TAAAGAAAAACATGGAATAAAAAGGCACGTAGATTCATTACTAAAGAAAAACATGGAATAAAAAGGCACGTAGATTCATTACTAAAGAAAAACATAGAATAGAAAGGGACGTAGATTCATTACTAAAGAAAAACATAGAATAGAAAGGGACGTATGTTCGTTACCAAAAAAAAAACATGGAATATGAACCATGACGTAGTGGGGAACAATGGTATGATGCACCGGGCTTATAAACGCCAGCTTGGCCGAGAATAATAAAGATCAAGGGCACGGAGCTCCCTATCTAGCTCACTATCCGCCGGGCCTTGTGGAATTAGATCGTGCCGGGGCTGCTGAGGTTCGGATGTGGTGTGGTGCTTCGAGGCGTCGTGATCTGGGAGAAGGTTAGCCAGTCCGACCATCAATTTCTGAGCGTCAATCATAGGATTCTTACCATGTAGTACGGATGTGGGCTGCTCTTCGGGCGTATTCTGGGAAGGATTATAGCTTAGATGCGGGCTCGATGGTCTGGTTGTAGATGCACCATCGACGCCGTCCTGCCTTTGCAATATCGACAGTGTTTGCGACGAATCACGCGAGCCATTGATGCTGGGGTTGTGCCTGGGCGGAAGATAGGTTAGCATGAATTTTGAAAAGTGGAACGTTTCTTCGGAGTGGTCCGAGGTTTTGATGTGACCCACCTCTTGCGTTGGGACGAATGGTTTATATCCTGCTGTTTGGCAGTACGCGAATGCCGAAGGGATGGCCGGCGGAATGGCCAGCACATGCTGCACTGTCTAAGGTTGTAGGAGCAGGTTGTTCATTAGAGTCGGAGCTGGTTTTGCGGCGGATTTGAGTGTTATGAATCGCGGAGGACGAAAGTCGCAGTGTTCGAGTGGGTGCAATTAGAAAGACCAGTGAGCTTAAGTTTAGTCTTGAAAGGATTGCTCGCAGTATGGTGGCCGGTGTGCTCCTTAGCATACACCGTTGTGCGTGGCTGCGCTGCGCCAGGCACACTCACTTATTGTAAGGTGATTCTGCATTCGACGAGTAGACATTATGCTTTCCTGCAGTGTTTTGATCATGGTTGCGATTCTGTTATGTACGTCCTACACTGACCTGCACCACTACAATATCCACCAAGACTACAACATCTGGTCTATGATTCTCTCTGCAGCTTAGAGCTTGAGGCCTATCTAGGTAGGTGGCTTCAACCAAGGAACATCGATCCTGGAGCGAGGAGTATTGTAGAAGAGAACAGGCACGTAGGCTGTGGCGCAGCGATGGCCGCTCGAATGTGGCGCAATGGTCTTGAATCTGTCTAGATGATGGCAGATCATGTTTCTTGTTCCAGCGGTGTTCACCGGGCCGTTCATGGTTCTACCCGTATATGTACCAGGAAACTACTCGCACGAGGTAGGCACAAGGCTAGGCAGCACTGGCAAACCTCCCTTTCCGATCCCGAAATCTTGTCCCTACGAGCGCCTACGAGCAAAGGTGGCGCAATAGTCTGGTAAATCCTCAGTCCTTGAGCTGCTGTCCACTCGTATAAATTTCCCTTGGCAGCTAGTCTGTGCCTTTTTGCGCATGGAAAACCCCCTGTAACCTACATACTGTGTAGAAGAGAACAAATGCACATGGCAGACAGAGTGGGCGGAGCAGGAAGTGAAGAATTCGTCTAATACATCATACCTCGTACATACCGATACATGAGGCCATTAGCCAAAACGTCTTCCGGGAACGGGGGGACCATGACACTTGCATTGGTGCTACGAGGTACGAAGCAAGTTCCAGTCGTGCCATTATTGTTCAGCAGACAGTGTTACATGACGGATCTCGCCAGCTCTCCTTGTAGTTTAGTGCCATGAGCTCGCTAATCTGGGCAGGCGGGGGCGGGGTAGAAGTACTTGTAGTTCCCATGTCCCCCCACGCCCTGAGGGCCTGGACCCACGAGGCAAATGTCCCTTTGATTTTTTTCGATATCCAAGTGTACCTTACCCAACATATGATAATAAAGGGTAATGTCAGTCGCTCAGCAACACTTCTGATTCTCTATATATTTCGATCAAGAGTTATCTACAGTAAAAAGTTGAAAATCTACCCTGCAATACAGGGACGCGTAGCAGGGGTGTAAAAAGAGGCCTTTAAAGGGATATTATATTCTATGATGCGACAGGCTAGGACAAGATCATCAGGGTATCAGCACTGGAAAGTGCAGTCAGACTACACAATATTCAACATCCGCTTCGAATAGAGGGGAATCTCACATTGCCCGACTCGGCCAAGTAGCGCACGAGCCCTAATACAAAATTACTGGCCAAACAGTGAGTGTATGTACATACAAGCCGATGTCTTGTTAGAAATGATGGATTCAAAGTGATTACTCCGCACCTCCCAATCACCTTGATATCCACCACTAATGCTAGATATATTGATCTAGTTCTGATAGGACTGATAGTTGATTCATATTTATACAGATTAACGATTTGTTATGGTAGCATTAGGACCTGATTCCGGTTGCTGGAGTGGTTGAAATCGATAGAAATTAAGGAAGAGCTCTCTAATCATCTCAATTTCGTGGTCGATATTATTGCACAGTATGTGTTAACCTCTTAAATACTGTCGCGTTTAGGCGTCTCTATAGGAGGGAGCATCACAGACACCACCCGCAATTGGTATATAGGCAGGACAAGTAGATATTCGCCTCTGTCGATATGCCTTACAAGGTAAATAGATAGTGCCTTAATCTCTCTTAGCAAGCCTTATTAATCTATCTATGCCCTGCCTATTCCCTTTCCCATACACGTAATCCCCCGAATAGCCTCATCTATCCTGCTACGCCACAATACCCATCTCGGAATCACATGAACTCTGGCCTACTAGTTTACACAGCAGATACCTCGTAACACGTAGGTACGCACGGCAGGTATGAGGCACATAACTATTAGTTCCCAGGGTCCTTCTAGGTAGCCATCCCACCTCTGCCGAGTAGTTCCCCGATCCCAAATGTCTCACAATAGTCCCCATCCTCAATCAGTCGCACTTCATAACGTCTTGACTTTGGTGTGCTATCAGATATACTGATCACAATCCCTTTCTTCCACTCTAATATCTCACACAAGACACGTTAGCAATAGATCTGTTAACCTTGAGCAGTGTCCACTCGTGTAAGAGGAAGAGAATGACGTAGGAACGCAATGAGCCCTTACGACCGTCAAATGCCCACACCTCGGCTCCTTCAGCAAAATGGGCACATAGTTGAGAGCCCACGGGACCTGCGATTTGTGCGTCCATCTTTGGGAATTAGGGGAGTCGCGCTTCGTTGTTGTTTTGGAATACGGATTTGCTTGGAAGCCTCGTCGTTGGGATAGTGAGAAAACAGACTCGGATCAAGGAGGACGTGCGGTGATGCGTGTATAAGTAGAGGTTTCCGGTGAAGCTTACTCTCTCTGACCGGTTGCGAGGCTTAACCACCTTGATTCTCTAATTCCCATGCTTTCAGCCTCGTGAAGATGGCCACCGAGTGTGCTCGCGTGGCGTGTTGTGATTCGATACCTCGACGGAGGGCAAAACTCACGGCAAAAGCGTCGTGCAAGGCATTCAATACGTTTTGCTACGCAGTCAAATCAATATATGGGCTCATTACTGTATGGGCTACTTAAGTATCCGTCATTCATATTGCCAAGGCCTCCTTCCATAAATGGGGTATCTAAGCGCCAGCCTGACGATCTCCACCCTTCCATGAATTGGCCCTCTTTACCTTTTACTTCTTGATGAGACTCTTTTTGACATCTGTCCCTATTATCTATCACTTTCTTTCATACCTTCGTCTATAGATCTACGTTTTGTATCAAACGCAGCCAATCTACTGGTCGTATTCACCAGTTCTCATCATGGATCCAATCTCAACATCAGCTAGTATCATAACCGTTCTAACAGCCGCGACGGGCACATGTAAGTTTCTCTATGACTTGATCCTCGACATCAAAGATGCGCCGAAGGAAATCCAGATTCAAAGGAAAAAGCTGCAGCATCTGCAAGTGAGCATGGAACACCTCTTGAAAGCATCCGCAAGGCTGCCAAAAGGCTACCAGCTCAATTCGACTCACCACGGTATGGTTGCGTTTATGCGAGACATCGAAGAGATACAGGATTATCTAGACAGAAGAGCACAAGCTTCAGCACGAAGAGGGGTCTCCCGTGCAAAAGAAAGCTTTAAATGGTTATTCGATCGTCGACTCAGGAAGTTCTTTGATAATTTGGAACATTACGACTTGATCTTTGGTCAGGCTGTGCGAACTGTCGAATTGTAATGTCGCTCTTGATAAGCTTGAATGGCGATAAGACTGACCAACCCCTAGTTCGATGTTATCTAAAATAATGGAACAAACTAGCCCCGTGGCAAGGCCTTGCTGCGAAGTGAGTTCGGAAACCTGCCGTAAATACGGATCTGCTTTCACCGTTTCTGCGATTCCAACGAAACACGACAAAGCATCTATACATACATTCATTGATTCGTCAAAATTGCATCAAGCACTGAGAAGTTTATCCGAAATGGTCTTTCCAGTAGGTTTATTGCTTAGGTACCGAAATCATGTCAGCATACCAACCGCCCTAAGATTAGAGCTCGAAGGTGGGCCGGCGATATGCAGACGTTGGTCCCCAAAAGGCCAACAGTACTATACCTCCAGTGGCTTTACCATATCACTGGCTGTTCGATTCAGTCGCCTTTTCCATACAAGATTAGCAGTTGTCCTGTTCTTCGTCCACAATTCATCATGCATGGGAGGGTTTACTTTAAAGTGTAACCCATCCATTTCGATTATCTTACCATGGGATCATTCCGCTTTTAAGGCTGTAGAGACGGGAGACATTGACGCAATTAGACAGAGAATCTCGTCAGGAGCACTGAACTTGAATTCTACCAACCCAGGTGGATGTACACTTTTACATGTACGATTAAATCTCCCTACTTTCAGTTGTTAGTTCGATTTTAACATATCAAAGTACGCTGTACGCTTCAATCAAGCAGACATCCTTTTACTGCTCCAAAGCTGCGGAGCAGATGTGAACAAAGCAAATTTTCAAGGCGAGTAAGTTTAGTATCTCGTCATCGATATCATTCGCATCTCACGCAGTACAGAACGCCACTTCATGTGTCCATAAGACGGGGTCGTGATCACGAATGCACGTGCCGACTCTTAGCCTTGGGGGCAGATCTGTGCCAACCTGACAGCAGTGGACGTTCAGCACTCCACACCTTCTACAACAGCATCACTGCATACGTGTTCCAGTACCACCTTGATGACATCGATACCTGGGCACAGGACAGCAATGGCATGACTGTTCTGCATTATTTATCATGGTCCAGGCGTTCACACCCCCAAGAACTGCTACGATGCGATGGGGTAGATAATTTTTCGACGACCCGGCGATCTCCATCTCACGCAACGTCGCAGCTTGCAATCAAAGATCGCCAGGGGAAATCAATGCTACATTACGCCACACGACGTGGTAATCTAGATCTCATCTGTACTCTGCTCCAACGCCCGGACGCTGCTAGTCTCAGTATGCCGGATTACCAGGGGCGTAGCTTACTCCACTACGCCACTGAAAGCAGTCGCACAGAAGTAATTGATGTGTTTCTTACTAGGGGAGTTGACATCAACGTCGTAGATAGCCAAGGCCGAAATGCATTACATCACGCTTGCATGTGGGGAAACGAAATCGCTGTAAAGCATCTGGTTGGACTGGAATTTGCCCATCTGCTCGATGCAGTCGACAATGATGGGAAGACTCCGATCATGGTGGCTAGTCATTACAGATCTCACTCAGTGCTGCAGTATTTGAGCGGGATGCGGCAGGTACCTGCACCTATCGTGGAAAGCGATCTCGTTGGTTTGGCCGATTCTTTTCATTGGAGGAGGTCAATGCTCCAATCGTGGATGAAGTACAGGAACTCGTGCATCGCATGGTCCATGTGTCTCTTGGTCCTGTGTGGACTGCTGTTGTTAGTCATGACGTTTCACGAGCGCGGATGTGAGACTCATATACGGGGTAAGTGAGGCTATTCGGAGATCACGAGTAAGAGGAAAGCCACCAGGAACAGCTCATCTAGGAAGATATATCAGGGTGACCTGGAGAGGTTGAGGCATCATTCATCTATCTCCGGAGGCCTATCGACAATGGCGAATATCGACCTATCCTAACAGGTCACCGGTTGCAGGTCGTGCCTACGATGGCCCCGACTCTACAGGAGTCTTTACGCAACAATAACCACCCAGTATCCTCGTTTGGCAAGAATCAGGTTATCCTACTAGATATAAGAATTAAAAATCCGTATCATCCTTATGTATCTGTCGAAAAATATAGTTCGCTCCTTATAACCGTTTCTGGACAATTTTCCCACCTCTTCTCCTGGTGTTACTTCAGTGTCACCGCACTGACAATCCACCCATCCTCCTCTCCTCCTATCCCAAACCTCCCCCCATACACTCCCCTTTCCCAGCACCCACCGTCATAAGCCACCAAAATAATGTATCTCCCACATACGACCATTGGACTATGAAAACAGGGCTTCCCGTTCGCTCAGCCATACTTAAGCATAGTACCGGCGGACTAGTAGTTGAGTGGGTGACCATCAGCGAATCCCCGCTGTTGTATGTTTTTTATTTTTTTTGCTTCGTTCCAGAGATTGAGATGGGATGGATATGAGTGGTTGTAGGTGGATGGGACATGCTGATGGTGTGGTGGTGGGAGGGTAGATGGGTTGCGAGGTTGGGGGGCTTCAGGGGCGATGTGGGGTATGGGGTAATGGGAATCACGGGGACAAATTTGGTCAATGATTTATTCGCGTTCTCTAATGTCTACTTAATCAAATCATCATTCTTTGTAACTTATCCTTTCCCCGACATGAACACGGGCACTGCACGAACCCTACAAGAAGCCACACCTAACTCCAGTGAAGTATTAACGCTGACCCTTAACAAACTTCAGAGAACACTGAGGCTAGATTCGGATATGATTTGCATTACCAAAAGATATCATTCTGATGCAGTACAACCTATCAGCTTAGTACACTAGGAGATGCGTAGAATAGGCCTATACCTCTAGATTTAAGTATACTAGTCAGTTTAGAGTTAGCAGAAGAGATATACAATAAAGTTAGAGAGATTGTAGATATAGTACTTATTAGTTTTGTAATATAGTAGTATAGTATAGGATAAGGTGCTGTTTAGAATCAACTAACTGCACAGGGGGATTGTTACTAAGACGTGAACAGTACAGGCGGGATGGACAACACCTCCAGATTAGCCAAGATCTGCTGTTTGAGAAATATGACGCATGTGAGCCAGTATTCTTGGAACCATGGCTGGGTAGAGAACAGATCAGCATGGATTTTAAGTAGCGTAATGTGTATCGTAAGAGTAGTCTGTATGTTGTTATTAAGTGACTGTAGCGAAGAGGGTAGAGGTTTTAACATGGCATGCCTCTGCCACATTGCAGCCGGGTCTGACCGTAGGATAGGACGAGTCTGGAGGAATATGCTGAACGTCTTGTAATTTTTTGGTATCGACTTTTCCGCGGCCGAAGAATTTCGCTTTGAAGATGTCCCCGTCCTGTATAAATAATACGGATGTATATGCAAATTCTGGCTTTGTAGTGATAGACCTGAAAATTTGAGTAGTTTGTAAATTTAGATCATAATGTCTTCCAGTAATGATGAGGTAACCAAGATGAGTCTCGCCCTGCTACTAGATAGTCGAAGGGAATCTTGACGCAGTAACCCTCAAGACGCTTCCATTGTCTTCGCGATTCCGCGACTTACAAACGAGAGTAACTACCCGTTTCGCATTCATTGCAGGACACTTTGTTTAGGATATTCATGCATTTACTCTATCTACACTCAGCGACATGAATCCGAACGCTCTTACCGCTAGGCTTCCGTGGGCGGTTGCTGCCTTGAATTACTGACATGCAGATGTGATCTCTATAGCCATGCCAAAATTATACTATAGCGCCAAGAATGAAATACGGCCGTCCGAAGAAAAGGCTCAGTATCATATAGTAGCGATATAATATCATTCTTCGTCTCTACAGTACCACACAGGGTACACGGTTCCTGGTCTGCGTCTATACTAACCCATCTACACGCCTCTTCACATCTAGGCATACATGCAAACATGGAATTGATCTCTGTTGCTACCAGGAACCTAACCATTACGTTCATTGACGCGGGCAATAGTTAGAGAGCTGTTGTCCCTATGGGAGTCCTCGTGAAGCGTCGCCGTCGATACGAGTGTTGCTCATGGTTGTGGCTATGTCATTCGATCGTTGTTAGCACTCAACTACTGATGCTCGGTGGATGGGATATGCTAATTGTGGTGGGAGGTTTGGGTCTTCAGGGCGGTTCGAGGGGATGGCGGTTTGTGGGGTAATGAGGATACAGAGAGGATCTGGCTAATGATTTGTTCGTGGTTTCTGATGTCTTCAATTCAAATTTTTATCTTTCTCACATAGGTACGGTTTACAACTACACAAGAAGCTCCACCCGACTCCATCAGTAAAACATCAACACTGACACTCAACGAGCTTCGCTCAAAGAATATTGAGGTCGGCCCCGGACACAAAGCGCCTCTGCAGAGGCATTGTCGCATATGGGGTAACCTGTAAGCTTTGTGGGGTTAAAGACGCGCGAAACTTGCCTGCTGCTTGGAAGAAAAGTGCACTGGTCGGTTCCGAGAAGGTGGAAAAGCTGGGCGATGGATTTGTAGAGGTCGTGGATATAGTGTCGATTGGCTTTGCGATGTATGACTGTGTGGCACGGGATGATATGCTATTTGGTATAACATTGTGACTACACGGGGGAGGGGGGGTTGGGATTGCGACGTGAACAATAACTGCGACATGGACAACACCTTTGGGTTAACTAAGATCTGCTCTTTGAAGAATGTTGTGATAAATGACTGATAATTCTTGAATTTGTATGTAGGTGTGGGTGACTGGAAAGATTCATTGAGATGTGTGTGTATGTACGTATATGCTATATGCTTCGTTCGTTGCGTCGTGTATGTAGATTCTAGATGCTAGGGAGATTTCGTTGTCGTTTAATGTGGTTTTCGTTCGTTGCGTCGCGTCTCCTCACCAAAGGCTCGATTTGATTCTATTTGGGTGGAAGGGGCAGGTTCAGTCTAATGTCGTGGAGACCGAGACATTGGATGCCCAATCTAGGAGACTCAAACGCACCTCATCAACACGCCGAACAAGCCGCCCTCCTCCCCTTCCACAGCAACAACTCCACCTTACTCCTCCTCCTCTTCCCACTCCTCCTACTCCTGACCCCGTTCCCCCTCCCAGCCTCCCTCTCACACTCCTCCCTCATCCTCTTAATCGCCTCCGTCATCCCCACCCTCTCCCTCCACGGCACCTCCCCACTAACAAGAAACCACTCGATAAACTCCCCGTCCCTGAGCCCGCCACCCCACACACTGCGTCGCGCAATGCTCCGCGCAACCGCCCGCATCCACTCCTCCTGCCTCCCGAACGCGAGCCACAGGTCCCGCACGTCGTCGGCGGACAATTCGGTCCCGTACACCATGCCCATGAGCTTCGCTGCCAGCGTCTGCGCGCCGGCGGAGAGATGCAGGATCTCGCATGCGCGGAGCGCGAGGATGCAGTGGTGGAGGGTCGGGGTGGCGGGGAGGACGTTCCAGGGGGCGTTGGTGCACATGAGGCCTTTGAGGTGGTTGAAGAGGAGGGTGAGGGCGGGGATGTCGATTTCCGTTGTCGTTGTTGCTGGGGAAGAGGATGGTGATGTTGGTGATGATGATGGTGGCGATGATTGCGGGAACAGTGTGAGGGTTTTTGCGCCGGTGGAAGGGTCCGTGGTTAGGGATTTGGAGAGCAGGGTTGAGGGCAGGTAGAGGTGGAGCAGCCGTTCTGGCATCTTCATGGGGAGGAGATGGGGTTTGGAGGTCGGGTGGTGCAGCGTGATGGTGACATTTGGGCCGCGCATGTACGATAGTCGTACGGACTGTGGTGGTGGTGGAGGCAAGCTGGGTACGAGTGCCGACGGGGGGAATTGTGGGATCGAGGTTGTATGTTTTTCGTGCATGTTTGGACGTGGTGATCTATCTTGTCGATGTTGGGATTAAAGATACATGGTTTATAAATAGATGCTGGCCGTGATGTGCGGCGATCCTGCGATGTTAAGTTATACCCAGAGCTTGGGGAACATTGTGAAGTGGGTCGAACAATGTGTTGTTTTTTCGCTTCGATAGTAGAGGCCGTGCGGCCAATGACGTTTCGTGTAGAGTTCTAGATCCTCACGTGGATCGATTGGCGAATACGGAATGGGATGCTTAGCATGAAACTTGTTTGTATGTGGTATCAATAGACGTAGTCATGAGCTTAAATGCGAGTTTTGAGACAGGTGGTGACATGTTCAAAATGGAACAAAGAATATTCTTGAATTCTCCCAGCTCTATCGTGTGTGGCTTTTGCCTTTGGGGTATCTTTTTCGAGCAGTTTTTTGTTGTGGACTCTTCGCATCTATTAAGTACTCCAGCTTAATTCGTAGCCATAAACAGTTCTTCGTAGAAGTTCGTCCTATACTCGTAAGCCACCACGCCATGGTTTGACGGACAATACTTACACCAGGGTCCTCCTCAAACATGACTTTGTCCATAACTTTTTCGAATGTCTTGGTGACGGCGAACCCAGCTTCCTTTGCAAGATCAAAGAATGCCAAATCCTTTTCCAGCAGCCAAGGGCGGTAGGGAGTAAAGAAGACGTATGCTCGCGACTGTGGCGACTTCTTCAAAGTCAACTGCACAGTCTTGACGAGTTTTGCATGCTCAGAATGATTGAAAAGCAGGTCGGCGAGAATCAAGACGTCGAATCCAGCTGGATCGGTGATGTGGCTCGTCAATGGATCAACGGGAGCGCCCCATAGGTAGCCCTCGGCGACAATAGCCTTGGGGCTGGGGAGAAGGTTGCAATGATCGATATTGTATCGTAGGTTATCGATAAGATCAGCATCGGGGTAGTCCGTGACCACGACCTGAGCAGCGCCATTGAGGGTGCAGACAAGACTTGGTAATCCGGCTCCAGCTCCTAATTCGAGAATTGTTTTCCCTCTGACGAGTTCGTCTGAACGTTCTTCTAGGTAGTGAGAGATGGTCCGCCCGGCGTTCCACAGGAAATGGCCCTGCAGCAGTCAGTCTCTTGGTCGCGAAGTACCCCGCACAGACACCAACAGGAAAGTTTCAAAATAGGCAGATCGGTCGAAAATAAACTCAATATATTGATGTGAAACGGTTCGTCGGAATATCTAGATTGATTCCATTTCCTAGTTGTGTAGGAGAGTGTTTCATGACCTTACCCAAAGTGGATTGTGACCAACGAGCCTGATATTCAGGTCTTTTCCAGACAGCAGTTGGTGGGATGCGAAGGTGGCTTCCTTCTCTGGCTGATAGTAGTCATCGGGCTCCTTGAACAGATCGACCCCTTCGTCCCCTGAGTCGGAAGCCATTTTTAGTTTATTGAAACGTCGTAGAAGATAAGGTTGTACATTCGTTTCAGAAATCAAAGTATGTGGAAGCCAGTGAAAAACGATGGTCACGTGGTTGAGCCGAAAGTGGCTGGAGTGTGGCTTCCAACTCTGGATCAGCCAATGACGCAAACGAGGCCGGGAAGTCTACTTTACTTGGACGTCGACGTCTCACTCGCTTCCCATCCCATCCCATCCTCGGATACCCACACCCACTCATGCCACTAACCACCAACCCGCACGTCGAGACCAACAGAACAACGTCCACAATACGACCAAACGAGGACAACAACGTGGGTGTTTGTGTTACCATTACCATGATGGACTCGCTTGCCGCCTGAGAAATTGACTTTCCCCACGCGTTCTAGGGCTTCGACGGACAAGGCGGACGCAGGGTCACACCCCAGGACAGGGTCTGACTTAGCACACGGTACCTATACCTACCTACTGGTATTGCCAATTAATTATTGCCGAGGCCTCATACAAAGAATTCCTCTGTTCGTTTGGAGAGGAAAGGGACTGGAAAGAAGCGGTACAGTCTCTTTGTGTAGAGGAATCGCATCATTGCACGCCTTCCTTTTGCGGGCAAAAAGTATCTTGGACTCGACTCTTCGGAATTCTACTGCAAGGAACTTTACACCGAACACCAAAAAGGAATTCCGCGATCGCACTACGAGTCACGAGGAATCTTCGTCTTCTCTTCTTCTACAGACTACCGTACAGTACATACACAGTACGGAACAAAGTTGTTTAATCAGGCCAAACGACGGTAGATCGTCTGGTCCGGCGTTCGAGACCCTAGCGCGACTGCCCAGTAAGAAACGCCCACTGGCTACAGAACACAACTGGCCTTAGCCGAACACAGTAATGAAACTTGCTCACTTTCAACGCCGCCCGTAACGACCTCTCACCATCTCACCACCCACCACTCACTCGAGTCACTCCTCACCACCACCACTCACAGTCTCACAGACTCACCACCCAGTCCAGGTCCTGTCCGGTCTCCTCTCCAGGTCCTCTCGCCAACCTCTCGCCAATCCACCGTCGTATCCGCCCATTAGTTATACTCTTGACCTGATTCATCTTGTCCACCTCTGCCACCGCCTAACCTACACGGTACACCAAAGGTACTCACTGCCTCATCAAATTCCCATCCTGAGCCAACAGCCGGTTACACCCGCCAATCATCCCAATTCTCCCCACGTGCAGTCATCCTCAACCGTAACATCGATTACCATACAGTTATACACATTCCCAGTGTCCAACCCACGACTGCTCGACTACTACCCCTTCCAGAACCGCCAGGACCGCCAGGACGACAAGGACCGTCAGGACTCCAGTTTTTTTAATCCCTTCGGCAACTATCCCTCTGCGCTCGCTGCTCGCTTCTGTATCGCCCCCCGCCGTCCGGCACTGTAGATTAATCTGCTCTTTCCTGCTCATCTCCTGCCTCACATTCATCCATCATTCTCCATTCCGACCAACCAAACCTACTGCGGTTTGCATTACGATCGCTCTCTGCCTGCAACAAGCTCTCGGTTTCTTTCCAGTATCCGGGTCCTTCCAACCAAGCCACCACGGGACCCTGGGACCGTCCGTGCTACCGCTGCCCGCACAGCAAACTCCCCGCAGTGTGGCTACACGTGCGCTTGGGTGATTGTCTTTGATCTTGTTTGTTCGTACTCCAATTCACAGGGACTGCATTACCCTTAGTTCCACGCGAAGCGGATGATTAGTTGCGGATTCTGATAAGAGTCCCGGCAGTCATCTCTCGAGTCCCAAGATGTGGGCTGAAATCAACAATGAGCGGAAAAAGGTGGCATGGTAAGCGTCTCTCCTAATCTCTCGGCCGTGTAGCGCATTATCTTCTCAAATTCAGATAAATGCAACGGCACACCTCCCTCGAGCATTCCATTCTAACATAGCACAGTGGCCCCTGTATCCGAGGTCATCGCTCATCAAAGTGTGACCACCGTGATCGAGTCTTGCTCGAGGTCAGAAAACCAGGCCGGCCGCTCAGCACTTGTCCACATCCAACAGGGTCATGTAGCTGTGATCGTGTAGTTATCAACTATACAATCCCCAAGAGTATGTTTCCTACTTTTCGTTTAAAACATGACACTCTAATACAATTACAGCTTCGGAATGTGCCTGTCCATCAGGACGGAAACAGACTGTAGCTTCTGCTTCGGGATCGAGTGCGCGGGTGCAGAAGAACAGGAGGCGAAAGTCTACGGTTACGAGTGCGCTTGCGTCAGTCTCAATAGAGAAGGCCATCAAAGCAAATCAAGAAGCCGAGACTGACTCTTCATCGTTCGTGACTAGTACACCCACCAACGCCTCCTTTGCGCCATCAGAAAGAAGCATCAGTAACGCGGCATCGCCACCTTCAAGTGCTAGTTCCACACCGCGTCTCCAGCCGTCGCCATCACGGAAAGAAAGCCACGGCTCAGATATACGACTTCCGGACGCGCCTGCATCGTCAGAGTCACCCCAAGTCTCTTCCTGTTGCAAACCAAAACCGGCGCCCTCCACCAATGCTGTCGTGCAACAGCAGGGTGGCGGTGGCTGTTGTAGTGGTACAGCGAACAAAATACAAGAGGCCCCAAAACCGGCCATAGAAAAGAAGTCATGCTGCTCTGGATCCACCCAACCAACGCAGCAAGATGCCTTCATCCAGCCCGTTGCTCAGCCAAATTTCGGTCAGCAATTCAACCAATACCCTCAATTCCCACACCAGGGCCAATACCAGACGCCACCTTTCGGAGGCATACATCAAAGTTTTGGCTTTAACATGTCCACAAACATGGGGATGCCAGTTCCTTATGGGTTTAATACGCCTATTTACAACCACATGGCATTCCAGCAGCATGCGCCGTCGATGCCAATGGCTCAAACAGTCGAGCACAATTGCCAATGTGGAGATTCATGTAGCTGTTTCGGCTGTGCAGCACACCCGCATAATGCGACAATGACCGAGTATCTTCGCACCATGCATCAGTATATGAATACTGGAGGGTTTGGGTCGTTCCCAGCCCCAACCTACGATCTCCCCACCTATCCACACCAACCAGGTTTCGGCGCAGAAGCAAACCAGTCCATGGCATTCAACAGTACTCCACACCCCCAACCCTTCTCACCACTTCCGAGCGGACATCTGCCTTTTGATGGGAACATTTCTTCCATGATGGGCGTACCGAACGCCCCCGTCGACTTGGCCAATCCCTGGGCTCAACAAAGCAGCTCCACCCCACTCCAGACACCACCAGTTGCCGGCTCACAGTACGACATGCAACCAAAGCCCCAAGAACCGTGCCCTCCGATGAAGACCGAAGATTCGACCTCAAGCCCGGCGTTCCTCGATAGTCCCAGCGAGGGTAAGGATGAAGAGACGCCAACACTTTCGCCATCGTCATACTTCTGGCAAGAGCTTGTCCTGCCCGGGTGCGACGATGCAACAGGGACATGCCAATGTGGCGATGGGTGCGAGTGCGTTGGCTGCTTGACACATGGAGGACACAACGGGGTGCCGCTAGAAGACCCCATTGCAACCACCGGCGCGGAAGACTTCTCAAACTTCCTCATGTCATAAGGACTACTATCACGATATTAACGTATCGTAGAGCGATCTGCAATCACCAGCGAGCTCATCAGGCATTCATATACCCACACATTCACATTCTTTGCCGGAGACATCCATCTCCCGCACCTCTTACTCCCACTTTCACAACAGTGTTCGTCGCGATTGTCATTCTCGCATCGTCCGGCATGTCCACTCAGTACATAGGCGGTCTTTTCTCTTCTTCCAAGCAGTAGCATCAACATTTCTCTATCAACATCATCGACAGGAGGAACCTACACAAGCAAGGATTCAGGGATCACATCAAAAATGGGGGCATGACGGGTTTTCCCTTCCTTTTGTCTCTTTCGCTAGGGAGGGAGATGTTTTCTTAGATTCGATACCCCAAGGGCATATTGCTGCAAAATGCGCACATCTCATCAAGTGGATGAATTAAAATTTTGAACACGAGTGTATTGAAACGTGATGATGAATGACATTGTATGTGATAATCAGCGATTTCAAAGGAAGAATCAGAATGCCCCCCGGTTCATCAACAACAACAACGTACACCGGTAGACTGTCCGGACCTGCATAGTCCCTAGGCATGCCATGCCCTAACCCTAACCCCCTCCTTCTAGTAGTACCTGAGCTCAAAGCCATATCCTACTATATCCTACCACACCATACCATACCACACACAACATACATACATCATAAAACCCCACCCCACGTCTTCACAAAGGCGTCCTCCTACGCCTACAATCTTCACGTTACCCATGGTTCTATCTTACCTACCTACCTGCGTAAGCACAAAGAACCTCAAATATCACAAGATAAACCGCAACAAACTTATCTCCCTTCCAAACGTGTTCAGGCCAGGAACCTCCCAGAACAATAGACGACGCGGTCGAAGAGATTGAGGTGGTGGATGGTGTAGTTAGTAGGAGTATGGGAAGAAGGCTGTTGGAGGATCGGAAAATGCTGTTGAGAGACATGTGGGAAAGGATGATTGGGAAGGGGAATGGGGATGTCAGCTGGAAGTGATACGCAAGTACGTTCTTTACACGTTTTGAGGATTGAGAAAGTTGGGGGGTTTTGGATGATGTATGTCATCGGCAACTCATCACTCTCGAAAAACACCAAAGACAGATTTCCAAGGTTGTTTGTTATAAGGTGGCATTGTACTTATCGATCGACATGTAGAGCTACCACGATCGTTCGAAACCTCGAACCCAGGGCAGCACCCACGCACCAAACATGTCCTTTTACACAGTAGTAAAGGGAAGTCAAAATTGTGCCGACCACCCCTTGGCACACAGCTCTGGAACGCCTGTTAAAAAGAAGAAAGCCCCTTGTGCCCTTATCCCAGCGTCCACATATTGCAAAGAGAAGTTGAAATCGGACATATAGAAAAACAAAAAAGGAAGAAAAGAACAAAGGATCAGACCCCCGAGTTGGACAGATAGGCAGGCAGGCATGCTCGGGGTGTATGTGCAGAAGTCCACATGTTGTGTATAATTACAAAGGAAGAAGGAGGAGGAGGGGGAAACAATATGCCCTTCCGGGGTAGTAAACGGGTATCGTGAAAGGTTGAATAGTAGATATCCATGGGAAGAGAAATTGTTCGTTGCTGGATGGAATGTATCGAGCAACACCTCAGCAGTGTTATGAGGCATGATGTGGTAGTGGAAGGATCATCATGTTGTCAAGACTTATCGACCTGGGTGTGAAAGAAGGAACCAAAATGTAGCGCGGCGATCGCGTAAATAGTGGGTGAGCCGTTTTGTGAGGGCTGAAGTAATGGTGTCTTAGTTCTCGGTAAGAACGACCGTGAGTGTGCCAGAATTGAGTGCAACCTATTCACTGTTAGCAAGACCCTGATTAACAGTTGCGATACGTAGCTTACCGTGCAACCTCGATTGTCACCAGTGGCGACCTTGCTGTAGTTCTCGCCATAGTGGAACTCGCCGTTCGAGTACTTGCAGTTGCCGTTCATGTCATCTGCCTGAAGTTCGACGGTGAAGTCAAGTTTAGCATTTGTAGTCGGCGAGTTTTGGAAGAGCGAGATATAGCCCTTTTGGTCCGCACTGCTGAACCCGACACCGAGATTCACAGGAGCAAAGTTGCCAACAGGCTTGGACCCGTCGCCCCATTGACACGCTTCACTCTCTTCAACGCCCCCATTGTTAAGGTAATACTGAGCCGAGGTCGATTTTCCGTTCCAGTGATAGTAAGTATCGGTCTCAGGGCAGGCCAGTTCGGCAAAATCTCCGGGGTTGGTGGTGATTGGGACGGTCTCTGACTCGGAACCTTCACAGCCTTAGCTTCTATGACTCAGAGGTATCGATAACACTTACCAGGATAATCGGTACGGCAGGTTGACTGTTTGCGCTTGAGCTTGTTGTGTACCTTGATAGTCACCTTATCGGTACCTCGAACACAGAGTGTCTTCGCGATAGCGCCAGTGGCCAACTCGAGCTTGTTGTCGAGATTGCAGTAGAGACCGCCGATTGATTGGCCTTTGAGGCCTTGCCGCTCTGGCCAAGAAGATTTCAAGTAACCAGGTGGACAGCTATAAGAACAGAATGCGCCGGCCTTGCAGCAAGTACCGTCAGAACAGGTGCCGTGAGGGGTGGTAGTGATGTCGTCGAAGCCCGCCGAGTCTACAATCTGGGGATCTTGAATACCAATCCAGCCACCGAGACCAGCATGTTGCACTGGCTGCGCGCCGTACCCCTTGGGAAACGCATCGCACGAGAACTCTCCGTTAGGGAACGGCCTGTTGACACCTTCAAGCCCGTTCAACTGAGGAGGTGGAGCCTGGGACTCGGGCTTAGATGAAGGCTCGGGAGTAGGTTCAGGCTCAGGTTGCGCAGCAGGAGCAGAAGGAAGGTCGGTCTTGGATGGTACTTCTGGATGGTGCTCTTCAATAATTTCCGGCTGTGCAGATGTTTTTGGAAGTTCGACAGATGGTGCTGGAAGCGAGATAGGAGTAGGTGTAGACACGGAAGAGGTAGAGGTAGAAAGGACACCATCGTCCCCCCACATGAGCGTGCCGTTAGCGATACCTTGACGAACTTCTTGCTCAGAAATAGGCTGACCATTCAACACGTAGACGATAATCGTAGCAATCGGAGCCGCCTCGTAGACTACGGATCCGAAATCCTGGCGCTTGATCTCGTTGCGCAGAGGGTGATGGCGGTGGACCTGGCGAGGCTGGGCTACCGCAGCAGTCACTGCAGCAGCGACTGCGACGAGAGTCGAGGCCTTCATGGCGCACTGATGGATTTGATGAGGCGAGTGAGACTAGATGTCGTCAAGTGAGGAAGTCAAGAATCGTGCCTTTCGTTTGTTGATTCAGCATTGAGCGCAAAAGCGAGCAAAGCACGCATGGTGAGTGACTAACCAACCTTTTTGTTTGATTGGCACGCGATGCCAGAGAATATTGCCTCGATTGACGGGTGTCCGTGAAATTGAGCACGGTTTGGTGCGACTGATGCGCAAGAAACGCGAAGATCGGCCGTGTAAGTGATAGTGAGAGTGAATGCTAAGGAGTGAAATGGAGACACGACTCCGAAGGAAAGGAAGACGAGATATCCCAACTGAGTCAGAGTGTTGGTTTGCGGGAGTGTGGAGGGATGGAGAGGAAGTGAGTGAGAGAGAAGGAGTGGAGGAGAAATGGTGGGGTAAAAAGGTGGAGAGATGTGACTCTTGTTTGCAGTCAACAGGAGGCAATGAGGAAGAAAAGAAAGAGAGAGTTTGGGCGTGAGTGAGAGAGTGAGTGAGAGAGATAGTATCAACAGGGAAGTCACTCTAAAAGGACTAGCGCGGTCACCAACACTTCTCAATTCACGGGCCAGGAACGTGGTAAAAGGGTATCCTCTGGAATGAGGGCGATGCTGAGCTTCCTTTTGATGTTTGTGTGGCGGCGTAGCTTCAATTGCTCCAATCAAGACACTGCCTGATTCTGGTCGACAGAGGGACGACACAGCACTGAGCACTCAAAGTACTGAGCAATGATCATTCACTGGTGAAGAAATCCAAAAGACGGTGGCATAGGATTCCCTAAGATTAGAAAGGATGTTGACAGTGTGCGTGCGTGGGTGCGTGCATAGTTGATATACAGAGGCACATGGGAAGAACATGAAACTCAAACAATAACAATAACAACCAGAAGAGAGGGGAGGGATATAGAGTTGAGAAAAAGAATGCTCGTCGAGGAGGGGAAATAGTCAGAATTTCAAAGCAATAGCCCTGTATCACGGTGGCATCCGCGGGCTAAGAGGTGGTCTGTTATTTTCCAGCCTTTGGCGTTCGGTAACCTTTGGTGCAACCTACTCTTTTCCCGAAAGAAAAAAGTGATAACAATAACAATTAAGACCTATCTACCGTGTAATCCAGTCAGTGTTAGTTGACTAGTTCTCTCGAGAATCAACAGACAATTCTTAGTCCCCCAAGTGGACGAACAGTCTAGAATTGAGGCGTATTCGATCCTAGCCAGTCTTGAATACTTAGAAACCATTGAGGCAATGAAAGCTTTGGCAATTGAAAGTGTAAAATTGTTCGAAAGGGAAGAAGAAGATGAGGAATTTCCCAAGGGAGGTGGCCAATCGCTATACTACCGAAGGAGCATTTTGATGTCGGTACCTGACGCTAAACCACAAAAGAGCGTATTTCAGTCGCGTTGATTGGTTCCCGACTTTCCCTACGCCTGTCCGGGTCCGTCAAGTCAAAGTACACATCGCACGAAATGTCTATCCCTGCCTGTGTCCTTGCGGTATGCACAAACGACATGTCGGAATGGACACTCGTTGCCGCGGGAGAGAGAGAGAGAGAGAAGGGCCAGATCGTAGAACCAGTCCAGCCCAGCCTTCTCTCTCCTTTTTTTTTCTTTTCTATTGAATTTCTCGTTGCTCTCCAACGCTCAATCCCCAACTACCACGGCTTTGCCGATTCCATAAGATGCAATTGCTAGAAATGCGATCTCTCCGTTGCCACAGCTGCACATTGCCACTTCTCTCTAGATCCCACCTGGCACTATTGCCATGGCTACGCAGCTATACTTCGTGAAATATACACGCACGCACACTGTTGCAAGCGTTTGCAATCTCTAAGATGAGGCTCAGTGTCCTTCACCTCGGTCAAACGTCCCCCGTGCTCATGATCTCAGCCATTGTGCCACAAGGACATGCAAGCTGCAACGCCAGCACGTTCGGACCTAGCCGAAAAGAGCCGCTTATGACGAGGACGCTCAGTGACTACGCCGTACTGATGCCTGGTATCACCACCGGGGGGCTAGCCAGCGTGCAGACAGATTTGACATCAGTCGTGCTGGTCAGAGAGTAATCTCCCCTGCGGCACCACGACTAGTAAAGGGGGTATAGATGGTTAGGAGCTGCCGAGGCAGCGCGACAGTGGGCGTCGGTTTGAGTGGTCGATGGCATGGCCACCTGACGAGCCTTGGTGCAGGGTGACGAAATGAATGTTAGACTAGAACATGAACTCTTGACAGCGTTTGCTAATGTGAAGAGATGAAAGTGAGGCCAGACTAGATTGTCAGCGTTGGACTAGCTACCCCTAAGCTAAAGAGGACATCGTGACGAACACAAACACATATTTTCAAATTCGTCCCGCACAGAATAGTCAGCGGGCTGCAGCTTCCTCCGCAAAAGGTGAAGATTCAAAGTACGATTACTCTGGCAGCATATGCTGTGCAACATGTTAGATTCGCCAGTCTGTGCAACACTTATCAGCAGCATGCGATCTCGTGGTTGTAACTGAGACATCGGCACTCTCCACGACTTGACTGACGGAATGCAAGAGAATGCACGCATTGCATTCGAAGACATTGTCTCATTGTAACGCTTATGTTGACGACGGTCATCGACAAGGGAGACTCGATGTCGAGTAACAATAACGCTCCATCTTCCTCGAGGGTATATACAGAAACCGATTCTGCTTGTACTCTCTCTAACAAATGCAGGGACTTGTGACAAAGCTCAAATGAAAACGCACGATCAATATCATGGTGATCGTTTTGGAAACAATGTGGCCTCCTTTTTAGAAAACGAAAATGTGAGAGTCCCGCTCCGGCTCATACTTGTTGAACGTAATTGGCGGGAACGCTTCGAACAGAACCGTCCTTCTCAACATCGGCCCACCCCTCGCCGGCATCCAAGTTGATAAGAACAAACCGCTCGCCTTCTGACATGCTATGTTCCGCATCGCTTTGAGCCGTGTAATCGTACAAGGCCTCCACGTACTTGAGCTTCTTGGCTCCACGCTTGGGCGCAACAGCAGGGCCCTTCTTCTTCCCTGCTGCCGCCGACACACTCCCTGCCAACGACGCGGAAGACGCAGAATACGTCGAATCAGGTCGATTCGAAGAAGGAGGCGTCAGAGGCAGTATCTCCACGTAGGCTGTGGGAACGAGTCCCTCCTTGTAGCCTGCGCGGACCTTTATCCAGCCAGAACCGTCTGAGAATAATGAGCGAAGTCTCCAATCATCGCACGCTGCTGACTCACCATCAGGCTCCAGAATGACAACCTCTCTGCCTTCTGGGACCGTAATTTCTCCCTCTCCGTTCTGCTCATATGCATAGAGCATCTTCCCCTTCTGCTCCGGTGCCTTGGGCGAAGCAATTGGTCCATCGCCTCCATCATCCTTGACATACTGTGCCGGAGGCGGTGCAACTATTCGATTCCGCCTGGCGCCAGCCGCAGGCGCTGGAGTTGTTTTCTTCTCTGCTGGAGGCTCTTCCGCTGTAGGAGACATGCCCGATATTGATCGATGCGCAGTCGCAGAATAGCCTGAACTAAGTGTGTTCATCGAATTGACAGTATCGCTTCTACTAATCTGCGGCATGTCAGGTCGAGGCGAAGCCGTATTTCCATTGGCGGGAGGAGCAGCATGCGAAGCCTTCTGTCGCTCCTCTTTGAGTTTCTTCCTCTCTTCCTTGGTCTGCTCGCCCGGGCAGTCCGCTGGAACCTTGAGTTCGCACTTGCTATGGCAAGTATACCCACAGTCTTTGCAGTCGAATCCCTTTGCAGACAGACCCCATATGCGGTCTCCGCACAGATCGCAGTTGGTCGGAATCTTGAAAGTTTGCGACTTGAAGTTGTGATTTCTGGCTCCAATACTCAGATCGCCAACAACAGAGGTGATCGTAGACACTTCCACCTCGGCGCTGACCTTTTGGCGTTCTACTTCATGCATCGCCTCCTGGATGGCGAATATGGCTCGGACAACATCCACCTCATCTCTCTTATCCCGGCCTTCTCGAATGGCGACTCGTACTTTCTTGGCGTTCTCGACTTCGGAGCGCTTCTTATCCAGCGTGCGCCGTTGCTCGGTGAGAGATGATTTAGTTTTTGTGAGAATGTTCCGAAGGTAGACGACGGCCGCTTCGTCTGTTGCAATGCTACCATCATCCAACCACACGGGACTGGGTTCAAACTGGAAGTCCGCTGGTTCCTGCCACGCTCCTGCATTATGTCTAACAAACATCATCGAGTCCAGTAGAGGATTGTTCCGAGGAATCTCTCCGGAAAGATGGTTAAGGGACTCGGTGCTTCGCGTTAGGGTTTGCGTCTCGATTTGTGCGGCCAAGGCCCAGATCGAATTGAGTTTGGCAACACGTGTTTCCGATAGGTCTTGTAAGCTCTGGCGCATGGTTAGATTGGGAAGTTACCCATGGAGGATTAACCTACGTCGAGTAACTCAGGCACGTATTCGTGATAGTACATCTCCTTCTGCTTGTTCGTGACGTTGATGTTGATCAGGTAGGTGTTCTAGAGATGTTAGTAGCAACTCCTGCTTCGTATGGCAATCTCGCGGTACCTTGACGTTGCGCATCTCGACCTGGTGTTGCTCAAATGCGTTACGAGCCTTGTTCTTGCCATGATCAAACGAGCTATCAATCTTCTTTCGTCTATTCTCCACTTCCTGGCACACTGTGTCATATTTGCCCTTCATCTTGCGCAGTTCTCCATATGTGCCATCGCGCTCCTTCTCCAACTTAGTCGCAAAGTCGGCATGCAGTTTCCGCAATTCTTCGAACCGGAGACCGTAGGCTTTAAGAGGTTCGGCGACTCTGGAGGTGAGGGCTCCGGCGAATTGTTCGTGTTCAGCGGCTCTGGACTCGAGGGTGCTTAATTGGACACCCCAAGTGGTCATTGATGCACTACGTGCAAGCAAAAGTGTCAGCAGTCATGGCCATATGGAGCAAACAGGCTGCCCTACCTCTCTAGCGATCCTGGTGTGACCGTCGGCGTGTCGCCGACACTGAGGCTGCTCGATTTCCTCGCCTTCTTCTCATAGTATTTCTTTGCCAATGCGCTCAGCTTCGCAGAATACTCCTTCTCTATTCCAGCTCTTTCCCGGTAGAATTGCTGGATCTCGTCGAGCCAAGCAATGCCGCCAGAGACCTGATCCCGAGCGTATTAGTAATGTTGTCTTCGTGGACGTAAAGGAGGAGAGCCGGAAGGTGTGCGCGACAGCCTTCTGAGGTGTGGGGTGAGAGCGAGGAGCATACCCAAGCGTTTGCGTTCTTGAAGCCATCCTGTGGATTTGTCCGTGTCAGTTCATGTACAAATCTCCACACAGTGGATCGCAGCCGGGGCGCGGAGGGATACCTTCAATTCGGCTCCAAACTGAGGAGCAATGTCAACTTCCATTCTCCAGAAGGGGGATCAGAGAACGAGGTAGCAGGCAGTTGGAGGCGGCGACACAGCAGACATAAGAGCAGGGCAGGGCAGGGTAGACAGGAGCTTCAGTCGTGAGCGGAAGTGAGAGGGCTACTTCGGAGGAAGTTGGCTGGTGCAGTGCCCAAGTGTGGGGTTTGAGTGGCTGAGAGGATTCACTAGAGCGGGAAGGCCTGGGCCGGCGTTCAGTGGTTGGATTATGGGAAGAAGGAATACGGTTGGAGGATCATTGGTTTTATTATGAAATGGGAAGGTGAGAGAGAGATGTGGATATATCTAGGTGAATAATACCATTTACTTGGTATAATCGGCATACGCGTTCGAGGTACGTACCTATCCTTAGTTGCTAGCAGTTCACCCGCTTCGCCATGTAAACTAATTCCGAGTGTAGGTTGTTCCTCGTAACAAGAGGTCATGCTCTCCCCTATACCACCTTGCCCTTTACGGTTAACACTGTTGCCTTTGCCTAAAGCAGCCTAGCCAGCCTAGTGCCCCGCCATCCAAGTCCAAGGCCGCAGACCGCAAGCTTCAATTATTATCCTCCTCCTACTTCCCAACCCTCAAACTATTCACAAGCTGAATAGCTAACACTCCTAACCGTTTCACTCATCTTCTATAAGCTGCAATTGCTAATATTTTGTCCTCTGCAGTTTACTCCCTTCATCTGTGTCATCTCGCCGACACAGTTCTTTCACCTCCCTTCAAGCAAATCCCACCGCCGCTTGTTGCGAGGCTTCTTTCACCTTGATCACATATCAACGTTCTTTCTCGTCTCCGCCTTACCCCTTTCTAGAGAACTCAGTCAATTAATCATATCTAGAGGATCCAGTCTCTGAAGATGTCGGCAGAAGCTGCGACCGCCGCAACTACTGCGGATACCAAACCCGCCGAAACTCCCTCCGCGACTACAGAAGCCACCACCGAGGCCGCCCCAGCAGAGAAAACCACTGCTCCGAGTGATCAAGTGGATGGCAGTGGAGAGCAGCCAGGCAATGGAGCCCCTCTACAAGAAGTCGAATACAAGGTCGAGGTCAAGCTTGCGGATCTGCAGGCCGACCCCAACAACCCACTGTTCTCCGCGACCAGCTTTGAACAGTTGCAGCTGTAAGCCGTCATGTCACTTCTCATACGCGATTAAACCTATTCTGACTATTACCCATCAAGCACACCGGAGCTCCTGAAAGGAATTCACCAAATGAACTTCCGCAAACCGTCAAAGATTCAAGAGAAGGCCCTTCCATTGCTTCTCCTCAACCCACCCGTCAACATGATCGCCCAGTCGCAATCGGGTACCGGAAAGACAGCAGCCTTTTCCCTCAACATTCTGTCCCGAATTGACTTGAGCATCGTTGCTCCGCAAGCTTTGGTCCTCGCACCGAGCCGAGAGCTTGCGCGCCAGATCCTGGGTGTCATCTCGCACATGGGTCAGTTCATGGACGGCCTTGTTGCTATGCCTGCGATTCCCGATCCCACCAAGCGAAACCAAAAGTACGATGCTCACGTCCTGGTCGGAACCCCGGGAACCGTCATGGATATGGTCCGGAGGAGATACATCGACCCCAAACACCTCAAGATTCTCGTACTCGATGAGGCCGACAATATGCTTGACCAACAAGGCCTTGGTGAGCAGTGCAATCGTGTGAAGGCGTAAGTCAAGTTTTGTCGAAGAATAGGAGTGACAGGAATGCTGACAGTAGCAGGCTCGTGCCAAAGAATATCCAAACAGTTCTGTTCTCTGCAACCTTCCCGCCACAAGTCATCAACTATGCAACCAGATTTGCGCCTAATGCCAACACCCTCACTCTCGCCCACGACGAGCTCACAATCGATGGAATCAAGCAGCTGTACATTGATATCAATGAGGACTCGGATAAGTTCTCCACGTTGTTGAAATTCTACGGCTTGATGACCCAAGCTTCCTCCATCATCTTCGTTCGAGTATGCATATCCAATCTACATTTCAACACGCAATAAAGCTAACAGAAACCAGACTCGTAGAACAGCCGAGGATATCGAGAAGCGAATGATTGCGGAGGGACACAAGGTAGCCCAACTGAGTGGAGCTCTAGACGGACCTGAGCGTGACCGCATCATCGACCTTTTCAGAAGTGGTGAGGCCAAGGTCCTCATTACCACCAACGTCCTCGCCCGTGGTATCGACGTGCAGTCTGTTACCATGGTCATCAACTATGTATGCACTGGCCCCTGTCCCTTATCTGCGGCCCTTTATTAACGCGTATCTAGGACGTTCCCACCATGGCCGACGGCAGGACCCCAGACCCCGAGACCTATCTTCACCGTATTGGTCGTACCGGACGATTCGGACGTGTCGGTGTTGCCCTCACATTCGTCCACGACCGAGCCAGCTGGCAGCAACTCAACGACATTGCAGAGTACTTCAAGACCAGCCTTTTCCCCATCGACACCAGCGACTGGGACGCCGTTGAGGAGATGATCCAGAAGATCATCAGGAGCTCTCGTGCCGGAAAGACTACGGAGGAGATGACGCAGTGAGATGGTGCCACCAATACTTGTGCGGGAGGTCGCCTGTTGCCAATCCTTCTTGTGAACGGTTAACGGAACGAGTCTCTGCTTCTGAATGGGACTTTACCCATCAAGTGTTTATCGGTGACCCTTGAGGAGCGGCGGAGGACACTCATGGCCACACCATATATTTCCCACTATCAAGGGGGAATGATGTAGGATTGAAGTAAATTAGACACGCTGAGACATTCAGCACAAAGCATATCCGAGAGAAAAGAGAAAACAAAAAAATGAAACACTCTGAGATACCCATATCATTCATCCAATTTCCAATAATCATTCTCTCGCCGTGAAATGCTTCGAATGGACTAACACGACTAATAAACAAACAAATATTCAAGAGTACCACCCCAACCACCACTCTTTCCATTCAATCTATCATCATTTTATCTACTCCCTCACAAAAGGTCCCCCCATATAAACAAATTTAAAACCCAACCCCTCATCCCTCTCAATTCTCAATTCTCAATTCTCAAACCCCGCCGTCCCCACCGCCAGCACAACAACAAAGCTCCCGACAATCAACGCGCCCGCAACCCCCGTCACCAAAATAATGCTCCCCCTGCTCGCGGGGAACTTCCCGCGTATCACGTAGTGCTGCGCCTCGAAGTACCTGTGGAACCCGATGAACAGTATCAGCACTGATATGCCGATGAACGTCGCGCCGAGGGGTTTTCCCACGGAGCGGAGGCGGGAGTGGGAGTGTGCGGTTGGGGAGAAGGAGGATGTGGAGGGGGAGGTGGCAGGGGAGCGGGGGGAGAGCGAGGTGTTGAGGCGGAAGAGTTGGGTTACGGCTATGCCTATTGATGCGAAGGCGAGGGATGTGCGGAGCCAGGCTAGGAAGGTTCGCTCTGTGAAGCTTTCGTCAGTCTACTCGCTGGAGAGGGAGACTCCACGGGGGGGAGGAGATGGACATATACATACCCAACGCCAAATGATCCCTAGCAACACTCCCCTTATTCTCCAGCTCCACGCTCCCGTACTTCTCCACCCACGCCCTCCACCTCCCCTTCTCCCTCCTCTCCTGCTCGGCAGCTTCGCGCTCTGCCGCCTCGCGCTGCTGGTTCTCGCGCACCCTCTCTACCTCCCCCGGCGCGCCGTTATGTCGTGTCCCTGCGGTTTCCGCGCCCGTCGTCCGCGCCGAGGTTGTCGTCGACGGTGATATGGAGTTATAATTACCTCCGGAATTGCGCGCGTTCTGGATTATCGGCGCGGACTCGTCGTCTCCCTGCTGTTGCTGTCGCCGCGAACTCGCCATCCCGGATGCGATTGCGTTGCCCTCGGCCACGAGGTCCGAGTACGTTTGTGCGTACGGTGTCGGACGGTCTCTTCTTGTGGTGGAGGAATCCGATGTGCTCGTGGGGTTGTGGATTGATGTCGAGGATGCGGTCGAGGAGGAAGAGGTGGAGGGTGATGCGGGATGTTGTTGCGTGCTAGACGGGCCGTCTGCGGTGCGATGATGGGATTTGAGGCTTGAATTGATGTTTGTGGCTGCAGATGTGCCTGGGTCTCTCACACGATCGGAGCTGTCGTCGGAGCGATCCATGATGACGGCGGTGGTGGTGGTGGATTCTGTGGATTGGATGGATGGGCCCCGACCCGCGGCTGTGGCTCGTGGCTGTTGCTAATCTTGCGCTGCATTGTTTGATTTGTCTCGTTAGCCCAGGATCCAGAGAGAGAACGGTTGAATTCGTGGGGGGAATATGGGATGTCTGGATTCTTTCTGTGCTGAGGTTGGCTGCGCTGGCGGCGGGATGGGGTTGGGATGGCAGCGGATGCGTCGCGTAGCGTAAGATTCGTGATCCGGGGTGGAGTTGACGCAATAGCGGGAACCTGACAAGTAACAAGCCACAAGGTACTGACCTATGAGAAGAGATGGGGAGCTATGGACCCTTTCTCTATGTATACATATAAATGTCGTCGTTGATGGTTGCTAAGACTGCAAGGTTATAAATGTACTCTACGAGGTACGAGAGCTTTATCTTATTGACCCCGCCGGCAATTGTCCGCATCGAGGAAGCAAATCTCGGGAGCTTGGACGGATCACCCACTTGACCTCCTGACCAATTCAGCTGCCCACCAACGGCTAGCATACAATAACAGCTCGGTGAGATCGAAACGTCCCCATCGTGCAATACCTACACTGTTGTTATCATAATGGCAGGGAGGCAAGCATGCGCTTTCGATGAAGACGATGAAAGAAGATGTAGGTTAGGTTGCAATATATATTTTTAAGTATTCTTCGTCGTCTTGAGAATATCTCGCCCAGCAAGTAAGGCAGATCAGTAGATGACCGCTATAAAAATACAATACAATCCGCGTAAACATCACAGCTCTAAAATCAAAATAGTTGGACCACTGCCCCCGGGAAAACGCCGCCCAATGACCGCAAAAGGAGAACTCCACAATCGGATGACGGGTGCAGTCGTTTACTCGTTGTAATGATATACCTAGTATTGTTAGCATGTCACGTCGAATACTAAAGCCGGACTGTGGGAAGAATAACTTACAAGGTAATTGGGAAGGCCCCAGCTCTCCCAGTTCAGTCGGTTCGCCATCTTTGCGAATCCCTCAGTCTCAATGAGATGATAGAATGCGAATGGGGGGAACATGGCTCCATCCCTATGCACCTCCGCCTTAACCAAAAGCGTGGCCCCACCGACACCGTCTAACTTGACTTTCGTGCCAGGGTCGGCAGCTGGGTCATGCATCATAGCCATGAGACTTCGGTAGGTAGGCATCTCAGCATATCCCTCGAGCAAGATATCGTCCTTGCCCATCTTAGCCGCCATCTCCTTCGCTGTAGGGCTATCGATCCAGTTGTTGAAGTCGTACGGGCGGATGTCCATTGCCTTCTTGTCATTGTTGTAATATCTCTGGAAGCAGTTGGGCACAATGATGGGGACATCGTACGCCGCAAGATCTTGGATCAGTGTTGGAGGATATTCAATAATGTCGGAATCCATCCAAAGGACCCAAGACGTAGTAGGTCCCAGAGTCGTGAAGAGGAGTGAATTGCGAGCCTTTGCCATCGCACCCCGTCGGGCCCTCTGGTTCTCCATCTTGTGACGTTCAGCTTCCGATTGGGACTGGAGTGGGGACTCGGTGTCCTGTCGCAGGATGGTCACACTGGCGAATCGCTTATTCTTCGATCCTGCCTGGGTCTTTGCGACCTGCACTTGAAGCGCTGCGTATGCGGCATTGCCCTCCTTTGTCTTGGGGATGATGAAGCCCAGGGAGATGAGCTCGTGCGGGTAACTCAGCTTGAGCAGATTGTCCCAGAACTCTTGGTAAAATCGCGTGAGGGGTGTAAGAATGAGGACCTTCTCCTCATTCTCAATCGGGGTCCGCGATGTAGTAACATTGTTCATGTAGTAGTTGACGACTGGCGGCGCAGCTGGAGGTTCGTTGGACTTGGATTTGCGGAAGGGAAGAGAAGGCGGCGACAAGACGCTCGCGGCGGTCGAGCCTGTGCGCTCTCCTAGGCTAGATGATCCATCACCGCCAGAGAAGAAGAAGATGAAGAAGCCTATGCATAGGATGGCGGCGAGGACGAGGGTGATGGGATTTTGGCGACGTAACGAGCGTGGGGTGGGCATCGTGATGTTGTTGAGGAAGAAGGGCGAACCGGTGGTTGCCAATTGAACTAGAGGTCTATATTCCACGCATCAGAAGTGAAGACAGTTATGAGGTGGTGTTGGGCCAGCGCTGGCGGGTTTTGCGCAGTGAGGGAGACGTGTCCAAGCGGCGGGCCAAAAAAGTTAACGATTTGCTGAAACCGCTGACGACGCGCACGGAGACGGACTGGGGGGTTTTTGTGTATGTAAGTGTGTCGAAGGTCCGAAGGGAGCGGACAGACAACACTTTTGTAGAAATTCTTGACGAGGTGTTTCTTGAGCGAGGAGGTGCTCACAGGGAGAGGGGTTAGAGAAGGAGAAGAGAAGAGGAGGAGGAGAAGAAGAAGCGTGAGACGATGTGAGGGTTGAGAAAGGGTAAGATGTGGAGATTGTTCCCTTGCCTGAGGACAGACAAGACAAAACGAGACAAGATAGGACGAAGACGAGATGGGAAGGGTCGGGGATGGGGGATGAGGTGGAATTGGGATTAGTGTTCACTGGTAGTTGGAGAGAGGACAGGGTGACTACAGTGAATACAGGGTGGTCGTTGGTCGTCGAGTGTCCTTCGGACAATGGTGTTGGTCTTAGCGCGTCGGACAGGGATTAATCCCTTGGCGTCGCGGCTCTTTGGAGATCGTCATCATACACTTTCTTTCTGACTGTGGGTAGTTTCATCTTAACCAAAGTCCCCTCTTCCAATCCCCATTGAGTCTTTCTACCATGATCAATTGATCTCAAACTCATGTCGCTGTGCGTCACGCGACAATACCATGCCCTGAGAGTCGCACGCTCAGCTGCTCTCCAGTTGCGACCGGGAGCATGCAGCTTAACATCATCCCGCATAGCATTGCGCTTCCATCAGTCAGCGTTGTATAGCTCTTCCAGCGATCCAGGATCTCCTCCGAATAGCGCAATCATTGTTCCTAGATCACTTGCGGTTTCTGTAGGTATCTGCAAAATGAACTCTTGTACATATCAGGATTATTGCTAATTACATATCCAGCCAGAAACTCTTGTAAAGCACATCGTTCCTCTTCAGAAGCATCATTATAGAAAATCTCGGTTCGCCGTTTTCTTCGTCACCCCAAGCTTTGCGCCATGGCTCCTTGATGACCACAAGTTTCTTACAAAGGCCGTACACCAGGCCTTCCTTCCATTATTGGCCGATGACAAATACGCCAAGGTCCATTCGCTCATTGCTGTCGTGGACAAGCTGCCTACGCCATTGTCCGTGGACGGTACCAAGTCTGTGGAGGACGAGATCACCAGTCGAATACATACGCCTCCTGTGTCGGATGTCGGCCATGAGGGTGTAGGGTACATGTACCTGAGGCCGCAAGACTTTGCTGGCTCAGTGGAGCGCACTGGATTTGACCAAAATGGCACGATTGGGTTTACCATTGCGGAAGGCTCGACCAAAAATGGCCAATTCCTAGATTTACTTCAGCTTCCGCTTGCCAACACTGTATTTCAGACGGGATCGCCTGCGACAATGACGCTGTCTACATGGGAGAAGCAAAAAGAGAGCAGAGAGTTCACACTGACGAACAAATCGGATCTAGTTCACCAGACCTTGCGCATACACACGCCTGAGTCGGCAGATCCTCCCAATGCATTCGCAATTCCCTTGGTGCCGATGACTTCCCCGCGTCAGGTGGAAGCAAGCATGGGTAACATCGTTCGGCGTGTTCTAGATCCCAGCGGAAAGAGCGTGACTGCTTCGGAGGAGCTCGAGAAGACTGTCCCGCAATATTTCAAGGCCAGAGGCGAACCATCACAATCAATATCAGTTTGGGCATTGTTGATCCCAAGGGATTTGGTAGACTCCATCCAGGCCGAAACCACAGCTCTCTTATCCAAAGCCAATACTCAGGTCTCATCCACAGACACTGCTTCCTGGGACAATCTATGGAGTAAGAAGTCTACTGCATGGAATGATATAGTGACATCCGCTCTATCGAAAGGTGCGCGCCTCCACCGAGTTCTGAGTGGTGGTGGTGGATGGGGTAAGAAGGCCGGTTTGCTGTCTCTGGATCCATCGTTCAACAATGAGGAGTTAGTCACCTCAGCAGTGCAAGATCTGCCCAGCGATATGCAGGCACTCGACGAGCTATCGTCAGCTCTGCACCAGGTCGTGCAAGATGGCGATTCCGTCCAGTTCTTCGTCTCACCGGCAGCTGACTTAGACACGAATGACCAATCTGAAGTGCTCAACAAGATATCCGAATCTGAGAACCTCTGGAGCTACGAATTCGGTATGATTCCTAGCACGGCGGATGCATTAGAAACGCGGTCATGGCAACGCAACAACGCCGCCTCTCAAGACGTAACGGTCTTCAGAAACACATTTGGCGCTCTATCGGAGGGAGGGATGACTATGAAGAGGCAAATACTCGGTGACAAGGGACAGCATATCATTGCTGGGGGAACAAAAATCGATGTACCATTCTCGCGTTACAGCTCAATCGAGCCAGCAGAAGACGTATGTAGTCCACACGAAGAATAAGATCCCAATACCAAACCACAACTCCCTCAAGAGAAACCACTCTGATCAAACTTTCCATCAGAAGCCAACCCTGCGAATCCACACCTACCCATCCACCCCCACCCTCACCACCACATCCCTAATCCTCCAACGCTTCGAAACCCTCCACCGCAACCTCACCCTCCACACAAAAACAACGCACCAACTCACCCACGCCCTCCGGCACCAGACCCTCCAATCCCTCGCCTCCCCCGCCACCAAATCAGACCTCCCGTCCTTCCTCCAAACCCTCACATCCCTAACCAACGCCTCCGCTCTCTCAACCTACACCCTCCACCTCTCCCTCCGCTGGCGTCTCGCATCCCTAATTCGGCACTCCAGCACCCACTACCCCCAGCATCTTAAGCTCTTAGAGCCCCATCTCGTGTACCTCCGCCTGTTTAACGCCGACCTGTTCGCGTCTGACGCGCACGTCTACACGGGCGGAAAGGGCAGACCCGTGCATGCGTGGTTGTTGGAGCGGGAGTACGCGCGGCGGGGGGTGAGGGAATTGAGGTTGTCGGGGGCAGCGACGAGGGTGTTGAAGAGGTTGAGGAGGGAGTTGCAGGCGGGGGAGAGGAGGAGCGTTGTTAAAGCTGTCGGGGTTGGGGGTGGCGTGGTGAGGTCTGTTTTGGTGGAGGGGAGGGGCAAGAGGTCTGGGGGTGTGGTTGGGGAGACGAGCGGTGATGGGGGGAAGAGGAGGAGGGTGAGGGGGTTGGGGGATAGACTTGAGAAGAGACGCGAGGCGGAGGAGGAGTTGTTGGCGACTGTGATGGGTTGGCTTGAGCCTAAGGGGGGTGGTGTAGAGCAGAGCGGAGTTGACGAAGTTGAACGTTCGGAAGAGGTTCGAAAAGATGTTGGGGAAGGGGAAAAGAAGAGGGTTTGGGGATCCCAGGCACCATCTGTCGTCGAGTGAGATGATAAGTTCTCGTAAGGACGGATAGATGCTAGACATCAGAATGTCCAGTGTATCATGGAATAGGAGAAGTGGAAAGGTAGATATGATCTTTACTCACAGCATCGATGATGAGTAAATACCCAATCTGGATATATCGATAGCTTGAGCAATTGCTTGCACTATACCACTTCTTATAAAAAGGATGCAATCAATTTACAAAGGATATCATTTTCTATCAATCCTACCGAATACTTCGAATACCTACTTCGCCATAACCATGCTAATCATCACTTATGCAAAGAAATACGCAAATCCACCCGGCCCTCTATTGCGAGGAACCGCCCGAAATAGTAATAACTTGTCCTACAACATCATCAGCACGACGATTCACAAATCTCAATTTCAAACAATTCAAACTTACCATTAACCCAACCACCATCTTCACTTGCCAAGAAAGCAACCACTCTAGCGACATCCTCAGGCACCGCACACCTCCCCAGCGGGCAGTGATTAGCCATGAGCGTCTCGATCTTCTCAGCCGGCCACTCGGGCGTCCCACCGGGGATATAGTGCCACGCATTCTGGGTGAACATATCGCTCTTAATGCCACCAGGCGCGACACCATTGACCGTGATACCCCTCTTACCGAAGTCCGTAGCAAACGACTTGATCATGCCGATGACCGCCATCTTGGAAGCGTTGTACAGCACGTGGTCCTTGACGCCGAGGAGGCCCGCGGCGATGGACGACATGAGGATGAGGCGGCCGTTCTCCTCCATATTCTTGTAGGCCGCCTGGCCGACGAAGAACTGCGCGCGCGCGTTGAGGTTGAACACGTGGTCGTACTTCTCCTCGGTGATCTCCTCGGTCTTGTCCCAGCTCTCGGTGCCGCTGTTGCTCATAACGATGTCGATTTTGCCGAAGGCCTGCTTGGCTTCCGCGAAGAGGCGGTTGATTTCGGACACTTTGGACACGTCGGCTTGGATGGAGATGGATTTGGCGCCGTTGTTGAAGCCCTCGATGATCTTGCAGACTTCCTCGGCGGCGTCTTTGGATGAGACGTAGTTCACGATGACGGAGGCGCCGCGCTTGCCCAGCTCGATCGCGCAGCCTCGTCCGATGCCGCGGCCGGCGCCGGTCACCAGGGCGACTTTTCCTTCAAGTGAAGCGGTGGGGACGTTGATGACCATTTTGGATGGCTGTGAATTGATGCGTCACGTGGTTTGTGATAGTCTTCCGGATACGGTAATTTGATATTTATGTCGGGTTGAGTCCTTCAGCGAAACAATACGTAAACCTGGGAGACAATCAGAGCAGTGGGATCGGTTATCAGTCAAATTGTGCAAATACAGACAATAAAAGTGCGTGGTATCCCAATAGCATTGCCATGCTGCTCCGTATATAAGGTTCAAGTTGTTCGGTGTTGGGAAGCTCTGTAAACGGAGATGTGGTGGGGATCCGAAGCCGGCAGTCGACCACATTGCAAGGCGAGACAGCACGAAACGACGGAAACGAGGAGAGAATGCCGCGGCTGAAGGTACGTAAGTCGAGAATCAATCCAGTTTGTAGGGGATTTGTCCCCATTTCGGAATGAAGGGTCCGGAAAGCGTTGCAAGCATCGGAATGGAGAGGGGCCATGGATGGAGCCCGGTGAGGAGAGTTGCGTTCAACGAGAGCCGGGCGCTCTGTGGTTTTGCTATTATTGACGAAGGGGTTAGCCTTGCCTATGTTTTTAAAGTCAATTCAAGATGATTGTTAATAAGCCACAAAGCCAGGTCTGACTGTTTTTCCGAGACATAGGATGCGGGCTGCAAGCTCCAGCATCTTCATTCTTATTTCACAGCCAACATGAATAATTGCAGAGCAATCCAGACCAACACACCTTGATCTTGTACTAGCCATGTTTACTCAACTGTATCCTCGCATACATTCTGAGATGGAAAGATTAGCGAGACATCGACGCTGATGCGCTGGCACCACGATGGTCGAAAGGCGTCATTGACACTATCGATAGTAGCCGTGGCCGACACGATTGCGTCAATGCGCGTGGCAGTCTGGACATGACCCCGCGTTCTGGAACTCTCTCCTCTACAACAATTAAGTACAACATCCTCCACGCCTCAATATGCATATTCTCGTAGGTACACTCTTCCAGAGAGCGCAATTGAGATTTCTAATTGACATGCTTCACAGGTAACCAACGACGATGGCCCGCCATCGGACCAGTCCTCCCCATACGTACATTCACTAGGTACATACACAACCACATCCACATCCAACATCCCATCAGACTCACTCACAACCCACCAGTCTCGACGCTCCAATCCGCAGGCCACACCGTCTCCGTCGTCCTCCCCAACACGCAGCGCTCCTGGATCGGCAAAGCGCACCTCGTCGGCAAAGCCATCAAGCCAACCTACTTCCGACCCTCGCCGCTGACCCTCCAGAACGGCCGCTTCTCCAACACAGGCAGCACGTCGAACCGCCCGCTCCCCGAAGACTCCACGCAGGAGGAATGGATCCTCGTCGACTCGACGCCCGCGTCGTGCGTGCAGATCGGCCTGTACCACTACTTCGAGAAGCGCGGGGCCATCGACCTGGTGGTCAGCGGTCCGAACTACGGGCGCAACAGCACGGCGGTGTTTTCGCTGAGCAGCGGGACGATAGGCGGCGCGATGGAGGCGGCGGTGTGTGGGTTTAAGAGCATAGCGCTGTCGTATGCGTTCTTCGATAGGAACCATGACCCGGAGATCATTACCGGCGCGTCTAAGTTGTCGGTGAAGCTGATCGAGCATTTGTATCAGAATTGGGATGAGAGTACCCATTTGTATACGATCAATGTGCCGTTGGTGGAGAACGTCGGTGCGAATAAGATTCTATTCACGGATATGCTGCAGAATTCGTGGAAATCGGGGTCGTGCTTTCAGGTCATTGAGGTTCCTGAGGAGGCGGATGAGGGGGCAGATGAGGCCGAGGCGGCGATGCGGAAGGCGGAGGAGAAGCAGGGCAGGAAAGAGTTGGCTGGGGGTGGAGGCGAGGGCTTCGAGAGCGGGACTCAGACGCCGTCAGGACAGGGACACATTCGATACACGCATAAGCATTTCAAGTGGGCTCCGCAGTTCAAGGACGTTTACCAGAGCGTTGAGGAGAGTGAGCCTGGTAATGATGGGTGGGCGGTGGCTCAAGGATACACCAGTGTGACGCCGTTGAGGGCGAACTTCATGCATGTAGGTGGATATAGTGGAAAGGAGATTCAATTGAAGTAAGATGGATTTGTGGATAGATAAAAGCATGTAGACGTAAATGCATTATCCTACACCCTGTTGTTTGAAAGGTGCCCAGACCCAATCTCTAGCATTACACCCAATACTTGTAGGAGCATGTCTAGTGATCTTATATCTATGACCTCCTCGAAATCCAGCACACATCTTCACCCTTCTTCTACTTCTCCTCCCCCTCAACCCTCTTCACAAACCCCACAACCCTCTCCACCAACTCCCTCACCACCTCCTCAGGGTTTCCATCAAGATTATGCCCAGCACCATCCAAAACACCCCCCTCAACATCATCCACGACCCCACCCCCTTCCCTAACAGCTGCCGTCCACCTCGCAACCAACGCCCTCTTATCCACCCTCCTCGGCACATACGGATCCTCCCCGCCCAAAACAAACATGACCCTCACGCCCAACCCCCCAATCCTCCCAAACGTCCCCCGCAAAACCTCATCCCCCAGATCATCACTAAAGAAATCGTCGTCCCCGCCCTTCCGCACCAGACTGTCCGTCCGATACGCACTCACCCCCGCCTCGAAAACCTCACTAAACACGTTCCCCTCCCTCGGCAGCACGTCGTCCCCCCTCCCCGCCTCAACCCACTCCCGCGCTTTCTTCGCCACGGCGTCGAACTCCGCCTTCTTGCTCGGATCCTCGTTCAGCATGTCCTCCCACGCCTGGCGGTCGCTCACCCCGCCTTGCAGTATGATGCCGTCGACTTTTGGCCGTGGGGAGGAAGAGGGGAGGACGTGGTACGCCACGACATCCTGACACCCCGTCGAATGCCCCATCAGCACGACCTTCCCGCCCTGCCTACCCTCCAAACCCTGAAAATACGCAACCGCGGCCGCGAGTTCGTCCGCATCGCTTGCGAGCGACGAGGTCGCCCAGCCGGAGTACGAGGACGAGAGGAGCACGGTTGCGAGGGACCATTCCGGAGGCAGGGAGGATGCGAGGACGGGGACGTACGGGATTGTTAGGAGGCCGTCTGAGAGGCCGCCGACGAAGAGGATTGTGTTTTTGGCGGTTGGGGACGGGGTGTGTTCGAAGGCGACGAGGCGGGGGGCGTAGGGGTGGAGGAGGCCGGGGTGGGGTGTTGATGGTATTGGCATTTTGGGGATCTGGTGCTTTTTGTTAGTATGTGTGTGTGAGGGATTGGGGGGTTGAGGGAGCGTACGGTGTGTGTGATGTTGTTGTGGGTTTTATGTGTGAGGTGAGAGCTATGGAGCTATATTGGACGGGTATATCGTCATATGTAACCCCGCCCGTTCGTCCGTATGCTTTTGCTTCTTATAGGGGATAGCAAGAGGTGCTGTAACTTCTTTATGTAGAATCAGTTCTTCAGATTGGCATTGGAAGGAAGAAAATTGAATTGGCTCTATTGTGTCGAGGTGCTTGTCATCATGGAAAGGCGTGCTTGACTGATCGTTATTAGCTACTCCGAGAGCTGTCTGTTTTAGGCGCGGGGTGAGAGGTGAGGGTAGGTGTAAGCGAGGATGATGGCTGATTGGATGTGGGATGGGAAGCTTGATTATGGAGGAAGGGAAGGATTTGCCGAGGTGGTTGACATGATACCACAATGTTGGTCGATTCTGGGAAAAGGTAGATAGAAGGAACCATGTAAGAGAATGGTGTTGAAGAGAATGGTGTTGCAATCCTTTAAATTCATTTGGACGAGCAGAATAAAGAGCATATCAATGTTTTTGATCGCTAATCATACACTCCTGATATCATCATCGATCCTACACTTCGTCTTCGAAGCATTTTCCCATGAGCTTCTCCTCAACTGTAGCTCAAACCCCCATCATGTCTGTCCCGTAGGATGAGAGCCCCAATGTGACTAGTACCCCACGATAGAATGTAAAGCTGAATATGAACGCCCTCGCAATGCTGTCGTCCGTACCGAAAAAAGCAGTAGAATGTGTAAGAAAAAAGGGGTTACCTTCTCCACCAAAATCCCCTCGACCTCATCATCATCACACCCTGGCAATCCCCTCGCCATCCCCCTCACCCTCAACAGCATACTTAATCTGCACGATCCAGTTCTCACCGAACTTGACGCCCTTTCCGCCGCCTCCCCCGATACCCGCGTTCCGCCAGGGGCGATTGACGCCGATATCCACGACCCAGATGAGCCACTGGGGGTCGCGACCGGTACCGTTCTGCAGCGCCTTGAGGAGCCCGCTGCGCGGCGCGCCCAGACACACGATGTACTTCGCGCGGACCTCGAGGGGCTCGCCCTCCAGGATGGCGACTTCGCCCGTGGAGCCGCCGACGCCGGAGGGGGTTTCGACGGCGAGGCACGCGGCGCGGGACTTGTTGGCCCAGCCGACGATGGCGAGGACGGTGCGTCGGTCTTCGTCACCCAGGGCGTCGAATTCTTTGTGGCGGCCGAGGAGCGCGTCGATGATGAGTTCGGGCGGGGCTTGCAGGCGCTTGAGGGCGTCTTCGGTTTGGGGCCAGGCGCGGACCGAGCCGCCGAACTTCTTGAAGAGGTCGACTTGTCGGCGGACGTCGCGGTCCCAGTCGGCGGCGCGCTCGAAGCCCAGGAGGGCGACCATGACTTTGGGTCCGCGGGCTTGCAGTTGGCGGGCGGCGGCTACGGCTCGAGCGCCGCCGCGGTGGTTGCCTGCGAGGACGACGATGACAGGGCGGGAGTTGGGGTTGTCGCGTGCAAGACGACGGCCGCCGGGGTTGATGGCGGAGAGTGCGACTTCAGCGATACCACGGCCGGCGTTCTCTGCCATCATGTCCTCTGTGAGACCGAAGTCGACCTCTGCGCTCTCCTCGACGGCGAGCATGCCACCTGGAGTGATGGTGTGGCACTTGCGATTGCTCGACACAAGACGAAGACAAGACCTGACGGCGGATGGATCGAGGAGAGGCGAGTCCGGTGGTGTAGCAATTCGGCCTGGCTTGGGGCTTCCTGTGGCATGTGATGATGCGTAGGGACGATTGATATATGCACGTGATGCGCGAGATACAAGACTTGGAGGAGCACCCGAGTTGTGGCTCACTGCATCGATGTCTGGCTGTAGCACGCCACTTCCTTGTCGTGTGGGAGCACGTTTGTGTGACGTTCGAGACATGGCCCTACGTGAGGTTCGGCCGCTCTCGAACTCCGACATGTCGTCGTCTTCACTGTCCGTGTTTGTTGTGCTCTTCAACCGCCGGCTTTCCAATACATTCTCCGTTGGGTGCAAGTTCTTCCCACCGTGTGTACCAGGTCTAGCAAGTCGATTGAAGCTGACCAGTCTATCCTCATCCGCAGTGGTGTCCTCATTCCTGATTTGATCAAAGACAGACCGCTTATCGAACTTCGACAGATTACCCAAGAAGTCAAACTCAGGCAGCTCTTGGATGTCTGTGGCATCTTCTGTGGCCCAACCGTTCTTTGCCTCCAGCGCCCGCTGTTTCCGCGTTTTACGATTCGACGCGCTCGCCGCTTCGAGGCCGACTCTGCCGCCGATAACGCCTGGGGTTCGTTCTTGAGGCTGTTCTGCATCCTGCAACATAGGCGTCTGGCGCCAGCCAGTTCCTTTTCTATTCACGGGTTAGTCATGGTTGGCAAAACCATCAGCGACCGCGCAGCTGCGACAGTCCAATCATTCAAAGAACTCAGAAAGAAATGAAATATCAAACACCTACCCTTTGCGAACAACGTCCGGAGACCCATTCAAGTCTGCACCCTTCCTCTTCTCTTGCGCAGCGACTTCCTTCTTCCGAGCCTTGCCCCCACGCCTTGTGCGCTTGTAGCTGTCTTCCCGTCCAGGAGTCGTGATATCCTCCATAGGCTTTCCCGATCTCGTCTTGTTTACGCTCGCCCTTCGGAGAGGACCCGGCTGCCGCGTCTTCGCATCATCGCTGTCAGGCTCCTCGGCATCTGCGATGTCCAGCGAGGAGAAAGGCCCCTCGAGCGTGGCAGCGCTGGGCTTTCGCACGTTCTGCTTCTTGGCTACACCGACAAACGGCGAAGTGGTGGCAGGTAAAGGCACAGCTGTTGCTGAGGAGATTGGCTTGATCGGCGTCGCGGGAGCTTCTTGGGGGGGTGCAGCGATCGGGTGAGACGAGGATGGCGCAGTAGATCGCTTGTTGACGCTGAGGATGGCAGGATCCTGGAAAGGCTGCTGAGCCGGTGGAGGAGCGGGTGCAGCTGCTGGAGCTGGAGCCTGGTGGAAGGGAGGGGGAGGATACGACACATGCGCATGATGTTGGGGAGGCTGATGGCGCTGTGGTTGTGGTGGAGGCGGCGCGGTAGGAGGGGAATTGACTTTGATATCAGCTATCGCGTGACCTTCAACGTTATAGCCGTCGAGCCTGTGGCCAGTGGCGGGGAACAAGACTGGAGGTGGAGAGTTAGCTCAATTGCGATCGTCACTACGAGGTGTAGCACTCACCATCCTGCAGAGTCAAAGTGGCCGTTTGAGGATTAACAGCAGCAACGATGCCTTGTACGACTGTGTTGGGAGGATTTTGTAGCGTGACAGCTACGGAGATACCGATGAGACCAGCAGCCATACTCGCAACGGGGGAGGTTTATGAGGGAGGGAGGAGCATGTCAATTCAGAAGACGGGGTGAGTGCGCAAGAACACGGTTATCGATCTGCTGCAGGTCGACGTTCCGAAATTCTGAAATGTCTTGGCGCGAGGATTACGTCACGTGTGCACTGTTGACTTCAATGAGAGCAAGGGCTCGATGCAGAATCCTGCAACTGGAAACAAGAGTCTGATACCGCTCAATATTCTTATATTGTAGCCAAATACTACTACTTCTATATAGCAGCCCTTGCGCCTTCACCCGTTGATTGAAGGCAGAAAATGCACCAAAGAAAATGCACATAAGAAATTCATGACTGTTGTGAAATGTGTGGGGTCCTCCATGCGCCGAGTGAGAGGACATTCAATAGAGGGAATGAAAATGACCGAATCCAAATGCAAAATCCTAGGGTATCCATACGCTCCACCGCAAACTGATCAGACCAACTCCCACATGGCCACACCTCCGAACGGGCCCATTCCGACCCGTCCAATCTTTCGTCTGTACTCATCTACACTCACACCGCGCGCGTCCTTGCCCTCGATCTTGTCGACCGAGAACACACTGACCTTTTGGCCAGGCGCGCCGAGATCAGAGCGCTTGATATCGAGCCACCAGACCCTGCCGTCCGTCTCGAAAGCTGTCCACTCTGTTTCGCCGTAGTTCAAGACCATGACATAAGGCTTGCCCTTTCCGTTTCTTTCGTGATCCCAGTGCGGGCACACAGTAGCGAACTGAAATCGCACGGTTGGGTTCTGGGGATCGTGGACTTTGATTTGCTTTCTCTCAGGTTGGAACGAGCGCTCTCCGATATTGTGCTCGGGCGTGGCAGGGCCATAGACCTGCAACCGTTCGGGGACGTCGTCGAGGCAGTACTCCTCCCAAGAGATGGTTGGTCGGCCGTCTGTTCGGAAGAAGTACTTGCTGTCTTCGGGGAAATGCTTCCAGCCAAACTCATTGTTATCCATGGTGAACATGGCGGGGTTGAATCTCTTCGAGTATGGTTGGCCGGGGCCGTTCACGACACCCGCACCCCAGCAGGGATCAATGAGTTTCCATTCCCCATTATCAATACGAACTGCGTTCCAGGCATGTCCGCATGAGAACTTAGGAACGGGCTCACCAGGCTTCAGTGGTGAGTGGCCGAACCCCTTTCCATTTCCACCAACCACGACTGCCTCCAGTCCAGACTTCAAGGCCAGTGCGGCGAAAAGACCAGCATAACCCTCGCAGACTGCCAAACCGGAAGTCAAAGTATTTTCGGGCGTGCGTCGCTGGACATTGTTGTTAAAGAACGCCTGGACGTCGTATTCAATGTTGTGATGGAGCCATGTAAAGATAACGCGGGCCTTGTCGGTAGCTGATGGGAATGGGCTGGTCAACTGATGGGCAAGCCAGGCAATGTCCGAAGACTGGAGGTTCTGTCGTGGAAACTTGGCGGCATGGCTATCTGGGCCTGAGAAATCACGGCACCTGAGGCACGTGTTAAGCGCTGATGGTTTTGGCTTGGAAGCCATGATTGCTGCAAGGTTCGGTCGGGAGCCCATTGGAATCGGGGGAGGGCCATTTGCGACGGGCGGTGCACTCTCTGTTGGCCGGCTCGCTGGCAAAGGTGGAGGGGTCTCCGTCGACTTGTTCAAACCCCACGAGAGTGCTGAAGGTCGCACAACATTTGCTCGCTTTGGAGGCTGGGGCGCAACGTTTTCTTGACTCTTCGGGGCATCCCGAGGGGGAAGGGTTGGCCTATTGGGGAGGGGTGGTGGAGTCGTTCGCAGTGGTTGAGTGGCCGAACGAGCCGGTGGGGGTGGCGGAATTGCTTGAGACAGTTGAGGAGGCAAAGCCCTGCTGGCAGTCGTAAGGGTAGATTTAGACTTCATCGCACTTCGTGTAGCACTGAGCTTGGGCTCATCTGGCTCTTTCTTCGCCGGCAAGGGCGGCAACTTGGAAGGGTCGTACGCTGGGGCTCGGACGCGATAAATCTCGTCACGGAAGCCTCCGCTGACGCTCGTCATGGACGATCCAAGGGACAGGCTCGACGTGCCAGAAGCAATTGTCGAAATGGACTCGAGTGAATCGCGGCGCTTGAGCATCTGGTCCGAATTCTTGCGCTCGGGCAGGCTTGGAGGTGGATTGTTGCGAGGTGGTGGGCGCGGCGGAAGCGCGGGCGAGATCCTTGGGGTGTCGGCATGATGCTCGACTGGCTGGTTGCCAATGGGTCGTCCAGCGGGGGAAAGGTGATTAACGATGGGAGGATTGTTTACGGTCTGCTGTCGGCCCTGAACAGACGGTCGGTTGGTTGGGGGAGGTGGTGGTGGCTTCTTCTTTGCTGCTGCATGCTCGTATGAATACGAGGGTTTGATGCCAGGTTTCGGGGCGTGAACCTCCTCTAGATTGAGGGCGGCAATGCGCGATTTAATAGACGACACCTGAGGCTGATGGTCCGCCATGTTGATGGAAGAGAGATGGAAGTGAACGCGTTTTGGAGGATGTCAAAGGCCAGTAAACGAAAGATGGGTCCAAGCGATGGTGGGCGTCGCAGGTCGTTGGGGGTGTGGGTGGGGAGGCCTTAAGGCTGAGTTTAAGGAGGTGCCCAGCTGGGCGTTGGGAACACGGCAAGACGAGAGGAGCGAAGGCGTGAGTGGAAGAGACGAATGATAGGACGAGCGACAGGGACGAAACAACTCTCAGTAGTGAGTCAAATGTCAGATGAGCACAAACAAAGCACAGCCCGACATTATCGAGTATATTATGAGACCGGGCTGGGGTGGTGCTCAGTAGGGGACGAGAATGAGGGAAAAAGAAGAAGACGAGAAGAAGGAGAGGACGGTGGAGGAGGAGGAGGAGGAGGAGGAAGAGGGTGAGAAGGAGGGAGGAGGGCAGTAATTAAGCCGGATTGCGGCAGGTTAATGTATGACGGAACGAAGGATGCGAGAACGAGAGGAAGCGAGCGAGAAAGAGAGTTAATATGTGAGTGACAGAAGTGTAAGAGAGTAGTGAGAGTGAATTGGGACGAAGAGAGAGAGAGCGAGAGAGGATGGGACGAGACGAGATGGGTTAAGGTTGGGGTTTTGGGGCTGGAGGGACGGGAAAGTGGGCAGATGCAGTGAGAGGAAGGAGCGCAGGACTGTGCAGTTGGAGAGGAAAGAGGCACAGAGGACGAGATGAGGCAGACGAGGCGCGTGTACTTGGGGTCCGTGCGTGGTAATTGTATGGGAAAGTGTGGCTGTGTACGGCAACTCCTTCCCATGAAGAACGAAAACCCCGCATCTGATTCGTCAATGCGCGTCCTTCTAACCCAAACTGTGCCTCTTTGTGTGCCTGGATTCCCATCTAAGGTTTAGCGTCAATCGTTGCGTCTTACATTGCTACTCCCAAGTAATTACTTCGAGCATGCTGTGTAGTCGGAATAGTAGATTAATAACAACACAATCATGTATCGTAGTCGAAGAACACAATGATAATGCCTCCGGTACTGTTACTGGCGTTGGTGTTGGCGTTGGTAGTTTCTGGCAGTCTGGTCCTTGGTAATAAAAACACTGGGAGCCTAGCGAGATAGTACATCCGTCACCCGTACCCGTCACCCGTCTACCCTTCCCTTCCTTTCCTTCCCTTCCCCTCATTAATCCCGCTGTTAATTAGAGTACAAGAATAGCCACCAGCTACCTTTTAGTCTACCACTCACCCTGATCCATACACACACACATCATCGTCACTTGCTTCGTTCATTCGCATTCGACTCGCCATCAGTTTAAAGGTTGTAGTAGAATTCAAAACTAAAACAGTCATTTCACTATCGTCAAGTAATAAGATCGCTACGTGTCGGGGGGGATTAACAAATGCGCCGAAGCAATCAGCATCATAAAAAAGCAAACAGAGAGAAGAGAGAAGAGAGGAAAGGAAACACATATAACCCCTTCCCCCATGACCCCCACCTCCCAACCAACCGATTCCATGCCCATGCCTTTCCCTTGCCCTTTGCCTTGCCATCCAATTCCCAATACCAAGTCTAATACTGCTTCACAGTCAATTTGCTCCAATTCACCTGTCCGAGTCTCCATCATCTGTAACCACTACAGCTGTCCTTGTCTTTCCCTTTCTCTTTTTTCCTCTTCATTCCTTTCTCTTCTCTCTTCTACAGTGCGGGAGTAATTGTATCTTCCAGCAAACTTTTCCGGAAACCAAGGAAATGAAGGAGCGGAATGGAGTGAAACCTCCTCGCCACCACCACTGCCTCTGCCACTATCCAATCCCTTCTGATTTTCCATCATCCTCCAATGGCAGATGGCTGGTAGTAACGGAAAGCCTTCGGATCGAAAGCCATTGACCATGATGGTGAGAATGTTGATAATGTTGATGTCAATGTAAATATAAATGGAAAACGAAACAACCCTTAGATTGCGCCGCATGCCTCATAATATCCAGGGGAGCAAATGATTTCGTAATATGTTTTTTTTACTTTATAGTTGAGTCGAGTTCGAGTTGTTGTTGTAGTAGTGTACGACAAAGGCCATGTTATTCGACCTTTAGAAACGGAATGTGTTATTCAACAGGTTTACCGCTTTCTCTTCTTGCTTTTTTCAATTGCGTTGCTTAGCAGAGGAGGAGCCGTTGGAGCGGCGGTGACACCATGAACATGATCATGGTCTGCTGCTGGAGTCTCAACTCCAGTCTTCTTGACGGTAACGCCCATGTGGCGCCCATAACGCCCCTTCCTTCCGTTGCCTTCGTCTTCGCTGATGCACCCTTCAATGCCGATGCCTGCATCTTTGCAACGACCGCACGGCCGCTGGCGGTCGCAACCCTTCTTGCTCTTACGGCAGCGCTGACAGCGAGGTTTGCTAGACAGGTCTTCTTCGTCGGCTCCCAATGGTGCTTGCAGCGTGATGGAGGCAACGGACTGCTTGCGCGACTGGGGAGGTAAGGAGGCAGGGGACATTGGGGGCTTGCTGGGAGCATTCGACTTGCTCTTGCTCTTAGGCTGGGCGCGAGGCTTGCTGGACTTTCCTGACTTTCCTGACGCGATCGATCGAGCTCTCACGCCGTTGGCTTGACCTGGGCGGTCATGATGCTCATCGGGCATGATCTCGTCGCTCTCACCCTTGAAAGAGTCGTCATGGTTGTCATCATACTCGTCGCCGCTCGCAGAGCCACTGTCAAATGCACGCGCGAGCTCGCCGTTGGCTCCATTGCTGCGCGCAGAGACAAATGGTAGGCCAGGGAGTTCTTGCTGATCCTCGCTGCCATTATCGCTCTCGTCATCTGAGGACGGAGCTTCTGCCTTTCCACTCAATGCGTCATCAAGGGTAGAGGTGGATGTGCGCCCATGAGTCGAAAAATTGGATGCATCTCCAAGGCGCATCAATTGGCGGGCGACATCCTCGTCTGAGATGACGCTAATGCTACCCAGAGTGGGGTCTGGTGTTGGCAGAATCTCTCCACCGAACCCTGAATGTCGTTGACCAACGTATTGACCCGAGCCACGTGTGCGAGACTTGTAGCCCTGCATTTGCACGCTCGAACTCGAATATGGAGTTGCGAGCCCATGTAAATACGAAGCTTCACCTTGTCCATAACTCTGAGGCGAAGGCAGAGGGTACGAAAAGGTATGCTGGTTATTGTTCACAGAGTACGGCGAGGCACCATTGTGACTGCTAATGCGCCGCTGCGGAGAGACGGACGATAGCGAAGCCGTCATGGGAACTTGGGGAGGAACAAATAGAGGCAGTTCCTGGAGGGAGGTTCGATGTTAGCGTACGTTGTCGATATATCGTCAACGTATCGAAACCACTTACAGAGCTGTCAAATTTGGCCCTCTTTCGACGTCCACCTTCGACAATGTTCTCAACGCTGATGTCGGCACTAGCAACCTGCTCCTTACGGGATCGGCGAGAGCTGGTGACTGATGCGTTGCCTCCATCGCTGTCGCTGAAGTTGCCAGCGTCTGCGTTGATGTCTGCGAAGCTTCCATGAGAGCTTGTGCCTCGACTCTTTGGAGCTGGACGAACCCTGCTCTTGTTATTGGTGCTGGCAGATGCGCTTCGACGACCTCTGCCGGGCTGTGGTGATTGACTATGTCGGCCCGTTGTGCGAGACCCTAGTCGGCCATCCTGGTGCGCTGTCAAAGAAGGCGGCAGCATCTGGAAGGCATCACCAAGCCGAGGACGGCGAGGAGAAGCGGAATGGCGCGGGTCTGGAGAGTAGTCATCTATCTCAGGCTCCTCTGCCGTGATGCGAACGTATACCACCATGTTGTGGTCGAAATTCTCGTAGCGCGCAATGAGGGTGGTTCCATGCTGATCCTCAAAGACCACGCCTCGTCTCTCATACAGGCCATAAAAATTCTTGACCGTTGTAATTATTGAGTCTGTAGTGTCGTGGGGGAAGATGTTCACACGCATGGGGAGGCGTGCTCTGTGTTGAGGCGATTGGGGAAGTAGCAGCACGAAACTGATGTGTTTAGGTTGCGCTGTCTTTGTGGGCGACATAGCTTCATGCCCCGATGTGGTTTCAGTGCTCGGATATACATCGTTCATCATCATGTCGCCGTCTTGTGCAATCATGCTGAAGTCCGATCCTCCTGAGTGCCTCGGATGGTATGAGCGGCTGATCGGGGTGTCCTCAGCAACGGCTTGGAAGCGTTGAGCAGCCGATGCCTGGATCTCCCCGAGGATAGCAGATGCTTCCATTTCCCTTCTTGCACTTGTTATGTATGGTATATGACGGGACCTCTGCGATGAGGATAGGGACGTTGGTGGACGATGAACACCGAGCCCGCCGGTGTCGCAAGGACTCGTCAAAGGGCAAAGGGCGAGCGAAGGAGAGGGAAGCCGAAATCGAGACTGCAGACATACACAGATGAGCGCTCAGGAGCCAATGATGGAAGAAGAGACTTTGATGAATGTGTTCAACGACCAGGAGGTCCAGACAGTAACCGGTGTGGTTGGCTGTGGTCATAATGGGGGTCTGGATGAACCTGCCACTATGACGAAGCCGCTGCGACGCTGGAGCATCCGCAGACGGACATGGGAGGGAATGACGGAGGGATCAAGGGTCGCAGGCATCTAATAGAAGGAATACATACCAGTAGAGTCTGTCGAAGTGGTGGATGGAGTCTGGTCGAGTGCTTCGATAGGATTCCGTCTGGCGCCGCTGCAAGTGGGAGAGCAGTCAGGTCAGCGACGGGGAGCGGGAGCGGGAGCAGGAGATGAAGAATGGGTGGTGATGGTATTGAATCGCATTGTCGAGAATATTGAGAGGGAGTGTGTGTCCATAACTTACCGACTGGTATGGCTCTTGCCACGGGGTTAGGAGTTGGAGTGGATGGGATGAGGGAGGAGCGGACGGTTGAGAATGAAGTCTTATTAGCGAGAGCACTGCTGCACCTGACAATGCAATGGATCGGAACAGCACCACGACACCAACAAGCTTACAAAACCTCGTCACAAGCAGATGCGCAAAGTCGAATACCACACAATGTCGGTCGCTTTATCATTTAAAAACCATTCCGAAGCATCAGGGCGGCTCTGGTGTTTGCGCAGGCGCTACAGGCAGACGACCGCACACGCACACAGAGAGAGACAGAATGAGGAGATGACCCTGGCTTTGCTAACTACTACTGCTGCTGCTACTTACTACCTACAGCTGCGACTTCACAACTAGGGGAGAAAAGCATGGCAAAAGCGGCTCTATCAGTCGCAGCAAGCAGGCCATCATTTGGCATAACTAACAGATCCATACGATATCAAGGGCTAAAGGTGCATGGCATGGCATGGCATGGGAGCCAGCCGGACAGACACGCACGCAAAACCTGACCCTAGTAGGAGCGTTGCAGCGGTATTGTCTATGGCGCATGCCATGAGAGGTCGAAACGGAACGAGACTTTGGGCGCATAGACAGCGGCCAATGAAGTCTGAGGCTACAATGCATGCCTCAGAAAGAACAGAGAGAGTGCGCTGTGTTTGAACAAGATTAAAACACCCGCTGCACACTGAAAGGGAAGAGGGAAGGGGAAAGGGAGTTGGATTCCGTATTCTCCCATTGCTTCGCTTTGCTATCTACAACCAGTTGTGACAGTATCTAGAATAGTTGCAATAATCGCTGAGGGTTGCGCTTCCTGATCGGCCAATAAGCAAGCTGATACCGACTCCCCTCTCTTGATTACCCTCTGTTCTGCCAGCATCTGCTTCCCCGAAGGCGTTACACAAGATCCGTGTGAACTCCCAACGAGCACCTTGATGCACATCCCCTCCTCAAGCCAGCAAACCCTCCTGACCGTCAAAGAAACTTGAGATCAGGTAATTTAGTGGTGGACAGGGCCATGTAGTTCCAGTCGGTCCAGTTGGCGGGCGCTATCTGCCCCAGCTGGTGTGAAGCGCTGGGGATTCGTTGGCAAGAGATGCGCGGCGTCTACTCACGGAATCTCCGTGTGACGCTCAAATCCCAGACACACACACACACACCACACCCCTCAAAGCGACGACCGTGCAGAGAGAAGAGGTAGCATTTCCACCATCATTCGAAGTCACCACTCCCTTCTTTTTGAAATGTATCGATCCTGAATCCTGTCGCGATCCTGAATATCCACTTTGCTATGTGTCCTAAAGAAAGCCATTGAAGCGCGCGAGGCGGCGGTGGAGGGCCCTGCATCCATCCCATCCGTCGTCCATTGATTCATCCAGCCATCCCACATCCCATCCCATCCCACACCACAAGAAGACAATCAGAACGAGGTGCGCCGAGCCTAATACTTCTCGTACATACGTAGTGTTCCCATTCCGTCATCTACTAGCTGAGGTGTGGGTGCGCAATCTACAATTTGCACGGTTTGGGCAAGATGAGGGGTTGATGAATCTTTGCGACTATCAATTTGCAATGCGCCAGGCCTTCCCAGGGCGCAAGACGTGCGAGCGCATTCCGTGCGATCGATGGACTACGACGGGTGAGAGCGGGCGCAGTGTGTAGAGCAAGAAGAGTAATAAGGTATTGGTTAGGTATTATGTTAGTTTAGTAGAACTCGTCACCGCACGCCCGCAGATGTCGGTGTCATGGATGGAAAACCCTCGGCCATTGCGCCAGCGCCGGCGCGGGCAGACAAAGGAGTAGCGAATGACTCCCAAAATTCCTCTCCAATACCTTTTGTAATGCTTTTCCATCCTGTCCACTCTGAGCAGCCTAGACGATTCAAAATTGTCGGCATATCCAGACCATGCCGACTAGAGCCATGGCGGTGAGGTGTCCATCGCTAGGTGCAGGCGGAAGAGTTTGAAACAAGTCGTTGTGCGGTGAGGCGATAGGCGGCGGCTTTCCTAGTCAATTCCCCCCGACGACGGGTCCCAACATTATCACAGCAGCGAAGTAGAGTCTGTGAACATCTCCAGGAACGAAATTCATCATCATTGTCGTCGTGGATGAACGTTGTCCGATGATGTGGTGGAAGTTGAAAAGGTCATGTGACTTCGCGAAAAAGTCATATGCTTGCGCGATTGTTTGACGTGCGGGGACGCGTTTTTTGACACATTGAGATTATGAGCCCATCTCTGAATTTATTTACGTCAAAATCTCGGAATCGACTCCAGACCATCTTGCGACCGTATTGATTGATATTATTGCAAATATTATTGTCGTTGTGGGCGTATTGTTTCAGAAGTTGGTTTATTGATGTTGTTTGGGGACCGCGACAATAGAGTAAATACATCTACGTCATGGCCCGAGGTCGCTTATATAACCGAGCCTTGCCCCTTTGGGAAATACCCTCTCGTGGTCGCAACCATGCCCGATGCGATTCTCTCCAATCTGCATCACGATTTGCTGAAGACTTCTGCTTACCTATATATTTGTCGCATAGTCACTATAATGGCTGGTGTTTTGTCAAGGGTCTATCCGGCATCTATTCTATGCATCCAGTCATCTACTGATCGTTGCATAGCAACTGCTCGTCGCCGCCTACACCTACTCGTCAATGGCATACATTCGCATGCATTTGCCTTGAGCTGTCCTAACTGTATAAAACCGGCGCTGTGTACAGGATGTCACTTTCTTGTAATTCATTATATTTCAGTAAATAAGACAATAAGTGTTGGTTGTGGTGTAATTCGAACACTCTCCAAGATATCAAATCCCTCATGATACACGAATCATTAATGGTGACATCTTGACTCTGTCGTAGTGGACTTGAAGGACGCGCCCAAACATTCAGCCTTTCCGAGTTGCGGCCTAAATAACAGACTGATACCATCAGGATATGGATATATGTTTATTTCTATCGCGGGGTGAACGTCGAGCTGCAAGCTCCATGAGGACGGTTGCATATACTTTCTCGTGTTGTTGTAGTAAACAACTCCTACCCAGTGATCACAGGGCTACCACAACGGCCTACCCTGAGCAAAGGGAACTACACGACTATTTAATTTAATTCCATATTTAGCATGGAGTAAACAAGTATCTACAGTGATTTACATGTATTTACATGTTATGATTCATACGCTTTGATGTTGTACCATTTAATTTCTGTTTACACTATCGGCTTCAAAGAGGATCCTGTCTACAACACGTAGATGAGGAACATGGTAACACGATAAACAATCAACAACAGAATGGTTTCACCTGTCATAGCTGCTCCTACTAAACAATTGCATGAATATCAAGACGAATATTTTCACTCGCCCTGCCAGCTTCGACTCATGATGCTGAATACTAAAAGATAATGAGACTTCCTTAGCCAGTGCTTCGGCTCCATGAATGGGTGCGTTTCCACGACGGGCATATAGCTCGGATGTACCCCACTGCGCGAACTGTTTTGCAGACCTATGACAGTGCGTAAAACATCGCGAGCAAAGGACCAAACATCCTATCACGATGCACTGGTGCGAATAGACGTGCAGATGCGTTGAGGAATTCCAGTGTTGCTTGTTGCGACTTGGTCGGTTGCCCCGGCGAACCGTTAGCGGAGCCACCCGATGGGGAATTAGCGCGAGCGGCGCGTTCAGATCAGACGTCTGTGCACCTTTATTTTGTTTGTAACCTTGAAACCACAACAGCTTGCGATGCTTTAAAGCTCCTCCAAGGTCGCTCATCATCCAACTAAACAGCAACACCACATCGTGTCGTTCGACAACCACTATCTCCTGTGCATTTCTTTGCTGCCAACTTAGATGGAGAGTTTCGTTATTGCTGCCCTTGTTTTGTAGCGCTTCAACCATAGCGCTCCCGTGTCTTCGCATAGACACTCTCCTTTTCATCTCGAGGTCGACATCAGTTCAACAGAAGCTCAACCCCTTACACAAATATCAATTGATCAATACTATACATCATGGATGCTAAAGTAAGTCCTCCTGATGTCCTCTGGGCTCCATCCACATCACTGTGGACCGTGGGTGTTGTCCATGCGATCTCACCCCATATCCTGCGATCTCTACCTTCACACTGAAGTCATCCTATCGACGTTTCGCAACACCTGCTAACATCACATCTCTCTAGCCACAACGTCCCATGCGCTCTCTTCGCATTCGCGACGAGAATGCGCTCCCCCAGTTGCCGACCGGCAAGACCATCCACCAGCGCAACAAGTCAACACCCGCCCTATCTACCCTCTTGCAAGTAGGTGGTCTCAAGCCTTCTACGAAGCGTACAGTCTTTGCGGATGTCAGCAACACAACGAGGCAGCCGGTAGCCAAGGATGATTTGCAGGTGCCTGGCAAGAATTCCAAGATCGAGATTCTCAAGGACAACGCCATCGTATCAACAAAGGAGCTTGCCAAGCCGGCGACGCTTCTGAGACCGGCTCAACGACCACTGGCGAATGCTGTATCGAAGAACAACGCGTCCAATGGAATCAGTCACGTTGCGTCTGCCGTGCCAAAGCACGTAACGACTGAGCCCAGCCTCTCCACTGCAAACATCCGCAAGGTCCTATCCAAGAAGTCTACCGCCGTCTTCAAAGAAGTTGACCCGGAGCCTGTTCTTGATGTCGTGAACCCGGTTCCGACGCGTCAACCGCTCGAACAGCGAAGCGACTTGGACACCAACCTCTCTCACGTATATCCCACTGTGGAGCCAGTGTCAAAGCAACTCTCGAAAAAGGCATCAACCTACCTTCACCTCGTAGAGCAGCAAGAGCCTCAAGAAGACGCCGTGTCCATGCCATCATATGATGAATGCGCAAAACAAGAGCAGGCCATCAAGGCTGACAGCGGAGAAGGACACGATTATTCGGACGCCTTGGAGGACCAAGCACGCGTTCTTGAGCAAGAGCGCAATGAAGAAATGGCAAAGACACGTCTCGAGCCCGAAGAGTACTGGGATGAAGACGAGGATGAGGGTGAGGAGTACTTTGATGCGGACGGCTATACCACTGCCCGATCCCTTCGATCTCGTAGTGACAACACTACTGGAGGTGTGACTCTCGTTCTCGCTCCCCGAGTTACAAGCAAGTCCCAACGCGAACTCGAGGCTGCCAGGGAATGGGTCGAGGCCAATAAGACTCCCGAGGATGTCGAGGATGAGCAATGGGATACCTCAATGGTTGCCGAGTACGGAGACGAGATCTTTGAATATATGCACTCGCTCGAGGTACGTACAGCTTGCTTTCGTGTCTCAGTCAATTGCTAACAAACATATAGGAGCGCATGAAACCCAACGCTACATACATGGAGCACCAGTCCGAGATTCAATGGTCTATGCGCTCTGTGCTCATGGATTGGCTGGTCCAAGTACACAATCGTTTCACCCTTTTGCCAGAGACCTTATTCCTTGCCGTCAACTATGTCGATCGTTTCTTGTCGGCCAAGGTTGTCTCCTTGGGTAAGCTACAGCTTGTGGGAGCAACTGCTCTCTTTGTTGCAGCCAAGTATGAAGAAATCAACTGCCCATCTGTGCAAGAGATTGTTTACATGGTGGATGGAGCGTACACTGCCGATGAGGTCCTTAAGGCTGAGCGTTTCATGCTTAGCATGCTCCAGTTCGAGCTGGGTTGGCCCGGTCCGATGAGCTTCCTCAGAAGGATCAGCAAGGCCGATGATTATGATCTTGAGACTCGCACATTAGCCAAATACTTCCTCGAGATCACTATCATGGACGAGCGTTTTGTGGGATGCTCTCCTAGCTTCCTGGCGGCTGGAGCTCACTGCCTGGCTCGTTTCATGCTGAAGAAGGGTGATTGGGTGAGTACCTTGCATCATGTTTTCTGCAGCATATGCTAATGTTTGATAGTCCTTGGCACACGTGCACTACTCGGGATACACCTGGACTCAGCTTCGCAGCCTTGTCTCCACGATAGTGGAATGCTGTGACAACCCACAAAAGCATCATGCTGCCGTCTATGACAAATACACGGACAAACGCTACAAGCGTGCATCCATCTTTGTCGAAACTGAGATCTCCAAGGGATTCCAGCTTCCTTTCGCAACCAGGGATAGTTTTGCAGGCCACAGCACGACCTGGAAGCGAAAGTAGACATTATCGACCCTTGGACTTTGATTGCTCTCGTTCTGACAAGATGCGTAGGTGCCATTCTGTCCTCGGTATTGCTCACCAGGCGAATGTCATCTCTACTCCAAGTCTCGACAGCTTCAACAAACCCCACGCTGCTCGAACTCCCTCCATTCTTGTCTATTCTTCACGCACACATGGCGCCATGACGGCTACCTCATGGGACGTCGATCATGCCCTCCACCATCGTTCCTCCTTCGTTCACATGGCGCATACGGATACCCGGTCTGGTCGGTACTGTGCTGGCCCTGCCTTCTGCTTCTGATTATCCCCCCCGGAGTTGAGTAGGGCTGCATGGTTCAAGGCGTTCTTTTCCTTTTCACTTTTGTCTACACACACATACTTTCGATTCATGTATTTTTCTTGCATCACCAAGCGAACTCAAGGCATGGTGCATCACGATGAGACGAAGTCATGAACACTTAATTAATTACCACTGTCTTCGTACATCTGGAAGCAGATGGTGGCGAATCATTTCCTTTGTCACTCTTCTCATACCATTGAAGGCTCCTTAGATAGTCGCCCTCTCATTAGGCTTCGGATTGGTCGGAAGCATCGACTTCACATCAAAACTATAGAGGAATAACACACTGCTTCTTCAAATGATTCTCATTTTTGATCTGATGTATTTACTTCGAGATTTGTGATGACATGGTATCTTCGTGTGGTGCCTCATCATAACATCACTTGGCGGTGTGACGTAGACTCTTTGGTCCCTCGCATGTTCATCTACCACAGCCTGGGACCTGCAATTCGATTACCAGATAGCACGAGATTTCCTTATAACCCTGGGTATCTTCGCTGTGCGCGCTCCTTCTGATCCTAGAACTCGAGAAGTATTGTCTGCTGCTTCATCCACAGCCCGTTTCGTTCAATGCGTGGACTGGGGTGCTATCAAAACAACCGAATCTCCTGCCCATCAATTAGCCAGATGTAGCACGACTGAAACCGCGTGTGTCCATACCTCTCACGAAGAGCATTTCCGACTGCTTCTTGATCGTCCTGACCTTGGGTGCCTCATCCTCGTCCTCATCCTCAGCTACGTATATCGTCTCTTCGACATCGCCAAGGACCAGGTTGCAATGGCTGTCGTATGCGTGTAGCCGGCCCTTGAGTTCGCGATCTCCTCGTAACTTGATAACAACCACCTCATCGATGCACAATCGGACGAGGTCGAGCGGCTCGGCGTGGCCTTCCTCCTTCTCTTCCATACTGACGATATTAGTCGCAATCCACACACCCGCCTTGGAAAATAGTACCTGATGAAATCGGATGAAGATGCTGATGAGCGCTGTTATTCGGTAGTATACAGACGTACTGCGACACGAACGCGCTTTTGCAATTATCGCTGGGTGGGGAATTGAAACAATGGCGGGGAATGCTACCCTTGTCTATTCATGGTGTTGTTCGATGTTCGAACTTTAGAGCTCAGATCCTTGGCGACGCCTTCCCCAGTTGGGCACTAGTACATCGAGTGTACGTCAACCGGTAATGGGGCCTGGAAGACCTGAATTGCGCGTACTGTGTATTCAACAACTTTTCATAAGACCCGAATTTTTGGCAGCTTCCGGATAGTTCTCAGACAACACTACAAGACGCTATGGCGGAAGTAGACAAGGAACAGAACCCTCTGTTGGCGGCTCTGCCGCCTGCAACTGACTATCTGACGTACTTGACCCTCATTGAGTACAACCTTACTGAGGAGAACTTGCCTGTACTTCACCAGGTTTTACAAGATACTGAGCTAACCATCAACATTGGGTGGGATCTGATACACCTCCTGCTTCCTTTGCTTCCGGCTTCCGAAGAATGTTTACAGGACGTCGCTGCACGTGGTAATCCACGGGAGTGCATCTTGAAAGTCACAGAGGCACTACGACTGCTCCGGTTCGAGGAACGCGAAGAATCTGACGATGAAGTTGATCTAGGTGCGGAGGAGTCTTCCAGTAAAGCGGCGCCAGTCGCAATAGGCGAATCCAGCTTGTCACCAGCCTTACCCAGGGCTGAGGTACCACCCCATTCAGTGCTGAGGTTCGAGGTTCTATTGTCACTGTTAGCTACGCTGCATAAACGGATCAAGACGAAGTATCCTAGCAGGTTCCTGTCTACAAGTTTGCAGGCTGTTCTTGCTGCGTATGATGAAATCACGACACACCGGGACGAACTCACCTTGGCAACTGTCAAGTTCGTGAAGGAAATCTCTGGCAAGAAGAGACCACATCTGCCCCCTCGTACAAGTAGTGGGAACATTCTCCGTACTGGTACTGGATTTTCGGAACCGGATCCTGAAGCCCAGGCAGACCCTCCAACTGCTGACGAGAACACACTGAGCAACCGTTTACTCCAGTCGTTCGTCACGCATGTTCTAAAAGACTACATATTCTCGCTGTTCTCCGATGAGGATGTCCCTGGTCTTGCATGGTCCAGCAGATTGATGGAAAAGTTCGAGCCACATCGATTAATACCAAATAAGACTACGTATGCCGACCGATTCGCCGAGCAGGAGGAGTTCACTTCAAGAACGGCCATAGTGGGACAGCTTGTGGCTTTAGCTCAGGACTTGGGCCTATCTGACTCCGATCTGACCGAAGCCATCTATGATGAAAGCACAGAGAAGGCAGAGAAGGTAGTCGAGGAAGACGAGCCGCCCGCATCTGCAAAGGATATCCCATTATCCAAGACGGGATCTCTTCTGCTGCACTCGGCACGAACTATCAAGCAAGAACTTTATGCAACGACCGCGGCGGGTGATGAGAGTGTCCTTCCAATCTTCCCAGACCATGCCTCACTTCTCCAGAACTTTGTGGGCATCAATGGTCTGCAGAATATCGGAAATGAGCCTGAAGCTCTCTTGGACGCACTGCTCTCCTTAGGACTCATCGCGCTGGAAAAGAACAACGTTGGAGAGCCTACAGATGATGAGCATTTCACAAAGTATCTGCAACTTACGTCTCTCATTTCCGCAAATTCTCCCTCGCCCAGCCTCAGGTACCATGCGCACTATCTTACATCGACGGTCCTCCGATCGCATCCTTCAGACCTTGTGCGCTTGACATTCATACGAGACACTCTCGAACACTGCCCGTACGAAAATCTCAAAGCAAGTGCCGTGGGCTGGCTCAAGGGAGACACTTTAGAAGCCAACATTCCGCACGGCAACGACAGTTCAGAAAGCTCCTCGCCTTCCATCTTCGCAACGCCGGTTGCCCTGCAGACGGTCTCACCCTTCCTCTTTCCCGATCCAACCAAGACCTGGGCCTCTTCTGAAGACGTGACAGAGAGCTGGACGCAGTTCCGCCTTGAGCTGGGATTCTATCTTGCTTCATTGAACTTTTACTACCTTCTGCTCTCTGCCAAACAATTACATGGCGCACTTGATATCCCCGGATTACACAAGCAGTCACTCATAGAAGACGGCTTCATTAATCCGTTAAAGGACGCCGTCAAGCGTTTCAAGGACTCTCTAGCGGACGGAGGTAGATTAGCCATCTCAGAGGGCGAGGAGAACGTCGAAGCCGCCAAGGCAGATATCGCGCGTCTTGAAGATGTTCTTGAGAGGGTGGACAGTGGTGTTCAGAGCTTAGGGAAAGCATAACTTAGCGGGGATCTCACACACTTATGACATGACATCACGATGAACGGAACGATTGGAATGGTCATGAAGTGCAATGAGGAATCACATATATCATTTCGTACAATTCAAATGCTTGCAATAAACTTATTTATGATAACCCCTCCCCCTCCACGTACTGGCAATGGCAGGCAAGTCTAACCGAACGTTGCCAAGCCCGCGGCGATCGTCCCATATCGTCATGAACTTTTTTTGGGCAGATCCCCCAATTCAACAATCCCCATAACCAAACCGCCTCTCCCCACCCACCCCAAACCACAAAAGAAACAGAGAAAATTCAAACCCACCACCAAAATCTCACCCGTCGCGCAAACCACACACCCTCAAAATGGCGACACCGCAACAACCGCCCCTCACGCCCGACCAACGCCTCGCGCTGGAGCAGAAGCAAAAGTTCGAAACCTTCGCGCTCAACGCCGCGATCGCCGGTGCCGTAATATGTCCCGTAGTCGCATTCATGCCGCCGCGGAAGCTCGACATGTACACGTTTTCCCTCGCGGTGGGATTCTACCTCTCGGCCGACCACCTCGCGACGCATTACACGGGGCGCGGCATATTCCAGCAGTGGAAGTTCGCGCAACCCAGCAGCGTGGGGGTGGGAGCGCTGCCGACGGAGAAGGCGAGGGAGACGCAGGCGAGGTTTGCGGAGGAAAAGAAGTTGGCGGAGGCGAGGGAGGCGATGAGGAGTGGGCGGCAGGTGAACTGGGAGGAGAAGGAGAAGAAGGAGCGGAGCGTGCTGCAGAAGTTGTGGATGGGGGATGAGACGGAGGGGTGGAAGGAGAGGAGGTTGGAGGAGGAGAGGAAGGCTTTGGAGGAGGGGAAGAGTTATACCGATTTGATTCTCGAGCAGGTGTGGGACGTGTGGAATTGGGATAAGAAGAAGAGTGGTGGTGAGGAGGATGGGTCGTCTACGGAGGAGAAGAAATGAGGGAGGGAGTGGTTTGGATGTTGGAAAAACTGTATGATATTGATTGGGATGTACAACACTGAACATGGAACGGAAACGACATGCATGGAATGAACGGCGTTTGGGAGACACGTCAGGCCCAGAATCCTGTCTTATGTCTATATTGGAATTACACTCTCCACCTTCGCCAATGCGATTGGATGCTGCCAGATCTCTTGCGGCGATTAATCAAAAGAATTGAGTTCGCAAACCTTGTTACTTGACTTAGTCAATGGTCTTGGTCCGGTGAACCTTTCATCTGAAGCTTTTCCACTGTGAGGGTCAAGCGTTTAGTTTCCATATCGACGAGACCCCTTATTGACATTGAGGCTCTTTAGAGCCGTGACTTTACGCTGTATTGGATAGACATAAAGAGACTAACCCTTTCTCCTTTAACATGCCGCCGCCACCTACGGATGTCTCGCTTGCTGGCACAGTGCCCATGCATGAGTCTCACCAGTAGCCTGCCGCCACAGTCGACCACATCACTCTGTTTGTCAACAAGGTCTCAGCCCAGACACACGAGACAAGGAGAACATCCTATATCTGGCCGTCACGCGTCCCATCATCCCCTGTGTGTGTAACCACAAGAGTGTGATCACATTGCCATTATCACATTGTCGCTGTCGGAAACGTAAAGCCATCCCCCTCAAATACAACATGTCTATCAAAATGGAAGAGTCATTTGGCGGCTCAATTGACCCTGCACTCCTGACGATCAATGGAGGCTGCTCGATCGATCATCACGATCCCGAAATTCTCCTTCCGACGAACCTGGATCAAGATCTGACATATTCGTTTCCAGAGGTCAATCCTCATCTCGACCACCTGATCACCACCTCCATACCGTCCTTAGAGGATTTCGATTCAATCTCCAGCAGCAGCAGCACCGGCTTAACCCCAGACTTCTCCACATTCTCTTTCGATCCGCCTGCTTATCCAAGCCACGACCTCCCAATCTATCCTCCGACCCCATCACCAGATATCCCAGACTCGTACCCAGCCATCCTCCACGACCACCAAATCTACCAATCCCCCTTCGACGAAACCCCCCAACCCTTCCCCTACACAACCTTCCAACAACCTCCCCCATACAACAACCACCCAACCCGCCCCCAACACCACCGCTCCAAAACGACAGACTCCGCCCTCCTCCACCCCCATCAATTCCTCCTCCCACCCCCTTCAGCACGCGGCCGCACCACCGAACCCGCCGCAGCCACCGCTCGCACAAACCCATCCTTCCACCGCCGCTCCCTCAGCCACGGCGACGCCGAACGCATCGCCGCTGCCGCAGCCGCGGCCGCGACACCGCGGTGCTTCCGCATCCGGGAGCCTCGCTCGTATACGCGGTCCCAGACGCCGGACTCGCCGCCGCCGCCACCGTCGTGGAGAAGGGAACGCAGACGTGCTGCGCCGTACGAGAGGAAGGGGAAGGCGCTGGTGGCGATAGCACCAGCGCCGAGGAGCGTGCCGATGGTGGGTGCGTCGACGTCCGGGTCGGCGTGTGGGTGTTGTTATTGTAGACGGGAGACGGGGACGGGGGTGGAGGTCAGACATATGGATGAGGGGGAGAAGGCGACGACGAGTAGGAGGGTTATTGAAGTTGGGGCGATGGCTGTGTTGGCGGCGAGGGCGAAGAGTGGTGGTGGAGGGGAAGAAGGTGAAGAGGGGTTGCTGGGGATGGTGAGTAGGATGGAGGAGAGGATTGAGAGGGAGATGGGGGTTGGGAGCTTGGGGTTGAGGGGGTGCGGGTTGATCCGTGAGGCGTTGGCTAGGCATGGAACTCCTGGGGATGATGTCGCTGGAGAGGCGGATAGAGGGTGAGTTGGCTTGTCGTTATTGCGTGTATGAGATGATGCTGATTGATGGACAGGTTGTCGGACGGGCGCGACGCAGAGGTTGCTATGCTTGCGACGGGCTACGAGCAGGAGATGAGCCCTCATTTCAAGGTGGAGGACTCTTCGGACGACGTATTGGACGCTATTCGGAGGGATGCTGCGGCCTATGTCAACGAGTGTGACTGATGGAGATATCCCAAGATCGGTGGTTGGAGATGCGGTGAACAGGATAACGAAGTGATGGTGTAATTGAGACGGAATGGATATGCATAAATTGAGAGGCGGCGGTGTTGATAAGTAACATTAATTTGCATTTTCGGCGTTTGGAATTCGGAAACGGAATACCCTATAGATCCCTATTATCGTGAAAAAATCATCATAGACAGCATGGAACTGAGAAATGTCAATCTCTCTTCCCCACTCCCACGACCTTGCTCCGACCCATTAACCCCAGTTCCTCCGCGCTCTTGAACTGCGGCCTGCCGGATTCGACATCTCCATGCTTCCCCCTCCTCCTCTCATCTCGAGCCTTGCCGTGCTGCGCCTGCTCGTAGTCGTCGGTGGCCCAGAGATCGCAGCCGAAAACGCATAGCAAACACACGACGCAGAAGAGGCCGACGACGGCGAACACGAAGATGAAGAGAGCCCAGACTCCCGAGTCCATCCAGTGCATGAAGGAGTCGCCCCATGAGGTCAGGAGATGCGCGGTCGTGCCCTTCTTGCCGAAGCTGTCCCAGTCTTTGAACACCATGGTCTTTTGCAGGTCCTTGGATGCGACTGGGTTGTTGGAGCGTGGGACTAAAGCTGCTTTGATGATCTCGAATGTCGGCGGCTCGGTGGCGGCATAGACGGGTCTCTGGAGAAGAATGATTTCGAGCATTTTCTGGTTGCGGTCGCTTAGTTTAAATTGCGTGTCCTTCTCGGTGAGGCCGTTGGATAGTTCCTCGACGTCGAACTGGTAGAGGACAGCGGCTGATTTAGAGATGTGGCGGACGGATGCGCGGTAAGAAAGGCCGAAGTAGCCTCCACCTCCAAAGTTGGATTCATGGCTGGCTTCAAGTTGGTTGGTGGCGATCAAGTTGTTCAGGTCCTCAGTTGAGATGTCGGAGAGTACTTGGTTGGCGTAGATGATCGGCAGCTTGTAAGTTGGATTTGAGTAGATAGGCTGATTATTTATAGACAGAAATGCGCTGTCGTATGGTAAAGAGATGTTAAGAAGCTGATGCGTGTTAGGTGGCAAGTCGCAGAAGAACATGTCTACGGGAAACGTTATAAAAGTCTATATAGATCGACATACCAAAGCATTATTGTCCTTCCGCTCTGTCCATGGTGGTTCCACCTCCCCTTTGGAAGTATCTTGAACTAGAAAAGGGCATCCGACACATGGAAGCTTTGCGATGCAGTTGAATCCTTCTTGGATCCAGGTGATGTCGGGCGCAACGGCTGCCAGCGATCCTTGAACAAGCGACAGGGTCGCTACAAGGGCCGAGAGCCGTGTCATCTTGAATGCATGTAAAGATGAGGGCAAGACAGGTTGACAAAATATATGGTAGAAGTTCACGGAGACAAGAGTGCTGATGTGTTAGGATGTTTCGATGTGCTTGGCACGGCTCTGTTCCGAGAATAGATGCCCATGCTTTCAATAGTTGGTTGACTGCGCACGTGATAGGTTTATACGAGGAACACCAATCCTGGCTGTGACTTTGGGTCACATTCAGCACTGATGGGACATGGTACTCGTATTGAGTCCTAAATTTCATTGATTCCGGGTACCTGGAAATCATCCGTCGTTGAAGGGACTTAGTCCCACCAATTGATGACGAGATGATGGCATGAAGTCAGGACTCATATCGATAAGCCATGCGACGGAACGAAGTATATTTTCCGAAGTGGATCTGCCCTTGGCTTGGATGCCTTGCCATCATTAGCTTGTTATTTAATTTTAATGCATTTCGCAGATGTCTATCTTTGCTGGCTTGTCATACTCGACTAGAATTTTTGTCGCCCCAAGTCAATTGATGAACGCTTGACGAAAAGTGGTACCCGCTAAATGGATAGAAAGCTGAATGTGGTATTGATATGGTGTTGATGACCCTCTAGCATTTCAACATATGCTGCTATACCCGTTAGAGACAGACGTGTCCATCTGTATTTATTCATTGGGTCTCGGCCTGCTAGACCCGCCGAGTGTCTTGTGTAGATTTCCTATGATTTATTGCGCCATGAGTGGCAATCTCCATACAGGACAAACTTTTCAGGTACAAGAAATCCGAGGCATACCCATCATCCAAATGCTGAAGGTAATCGTTGAGATGTTCGCTCCAACGTTGTCGCGGCCCATTGCGGGTCCTGCCACGGCTTACGCATTTGAGCGTTGTTCTTGTAATCTTCCGGGTTCATCAACGGTATTGAGAGCGACATATACTGGTGGCTATCTTATAGATGCATCCAGAGTTTTTCAGCAGGCTCCGCTAAGGTGGGCATTTTGATGACGGAGACGCGAGGTAACGATCCATCAATCCGCAAAGCGAAGTGCCACGAGACAGCTGTTGTCGATGGGAGGTTTCTCGAGGCCCTGTAGCCTTACTCGTCGTCACCGAAGGATAGTTTGACAACTTTTGCTTTCTTCTTGGGCTTCTTGACAGCTTTCCCATCAGGTTTCGCATTTGGTTTTGAGTCTTCCTCATCCTCAGCGTCTGCTCCTATGACTTTGATGGCTTTCCTCTTTTTGGTCATCTTGCCAACCTCTGCAATCTTGTCCTTGGACTGTTGGCTGGAGGCATCCTTCTTCTCACCGCCAGCTGCGGCTTGATCCTCGTCAGCGGGAGCGTCCTTTGGCTGATCCTCGCCAGCCACCAGGGCGTCGTACTCGGCCTTGGACAGCGATTGGTTGGTGTCTTCGAGGACATATGTAGGAGCATCATCTTCGTCGTCGTCCTTTTGCAGTCTCTTGTTGCGGGGAATTGGACGTTCGTGTCTTGCAGAATCTTCGCCTGCCAGCCCACCCCTGAGTCGTTGCAAGAATGCGGGCTCCGCAGCCTCTATGGGACATTTAGTTTGAGGGGATGTTGGATATATAGGGAGTTTACTGACGGTATGTCAATCCTTTGGCTTTGTTACTCATATCGAATTGGTCACGTGTACGAAACAATTCTATGTATCTAGCTTCTGACTCCAAGGTCCCGACGCAGTACAAATTTGTGTGTACTCGTAATTGGTGTGGGCGGAGGGACGTGAGGGAGTCCTTTGGTATGGCGGCGAGATATGTTGAATTCCAGAGGTCGAGAAGGGTTACACTCTGGTTAGGTTGACTATGAGTACAATGATGATTGGAGATAAACAATAATTGATAGCTAGTTAGAAAGGGATGTTGTGAAACCAGCTAAAGCTTGAGCATGAGCATGTGCATAGGTACGTAGTTACAGGGAGTTGGTAGGAGAGAAGGACTAAGGAAGGGCTAGATCGATTTTCTGCGGGCGGGTGGCTGCAACTCGGTAGATCGTGCGCCCGTCCATTATGATGATATCTCTTGGCACTGTCCACCTTCCGTCTCTGTCTGTGTGCGTAATTGCGGCTCTTCTTCCCGTTTTGCCTTCTTGAAGCATCAGAGACAATCATCACATCTCTGTACTTCCTCTTTCCCTCGTCTCTCTCTCCAACGAATCCTCTCCATATTCTCGGTATCACATCTGCAAAGGGTTCTAAAGGTACATATCCATACCTAATCATTCATTCATTCATTCTCCCACGCAATTGCTCCTGTCACTTGGCACTTGCGCAACCTCCCCTGTCCCTCTTTCCCTCCCTCCCTGCATATTGGTCCACCATCCTAACACGAATTCACCCTATCTATCGACGATTGGCTTGCTTCCCTTTCCCTTTCTTCCCTTGCTATCAAATCTCTTTTCTTTCTCTCTTTCTCGCGAGCCTCCTGTCTCTCGCCTACCACCCACCGTCCTCCTCTCCAAAGTTATCCGCTCACTCTCCAGTCGCTCATTTCGTAGTATCGGAGCTTCCTACAAGCCCGCGCACTACTGCGTCATCCAGGAAATTACATACCGTTCCCTCCGCCGAACAGCCACCGAGCGCCCGAGAATCTACACAGTGCATAATCTTGGTACCAATAAAGTCTTGGAGAAAGGGGAGGATTTAGACAGCTGTTCCGTCGGTTCGACGCGCTGTCAACAGACGCAGCCATGGGACTCAGAGATCTATACCGGAGGATGCCCACCTCGCAGGCCAGTATAGATAAGTTTGACGAGCTGTCACGGCGTGCAGAACGTGCATCCCCACAACTGTCCTTCTTCCGCCGCCGGGTACGCCTCAAGGGGAGCTCGACTGTCTCGGTTCCCCTGGGAATTGTTCTTCTCTTTCCATGTCTAGTCATAATCTTAATTCTGGTCCTTTTTGTGCGCCATCCCGATACTGGCGGGCTCTCGATGTCGCAAGCCAGTACACCGCCATCGATAAGGTACGTAGTGGCAATGGTGGCCGTGGTAATAGAATGCAATAATTGATCAAGCGTAGAAAAATTAGCGAGAAACATGACAAGGTCTTCGTGTCTGGCTGTCTGGAGCCTCAAGTGAACGCACCTCGAGCGAACGCCGCCTTTGTGGTTCTGGCGAGGAACCAGGAATTGGAAGGTGTTATACAGTCGGTCAAGTCGATTGAGCGCCATTTCAATCGCTGGTTCCACTACCCATACGTTTTCCTCAACGACGGGGACTTCAATTCAACATTTAAGGAGACAGTGCTCAATTATACCAGTGCTCCCGTGGAATGGGGTAAAATAGGACCAGAACTTTGGGATTTCCCAGATTGGGCGGATCCTGCTGTTACCAAGGAGGGAATCGCAAAGCAGGGCGATGCGGCCATCATGTACGGTGGCATGGAGAGCTACCACCACATGTGCCGCTTCTACTCTGGGTAAGATCATAGGCATAGGATTGTTATTCTGCAATGGGCTAACGGCAGATGCGCAGCTCCTTTTACAAGCACGAACTACTGCAGAAGTACGAATGGTACTGGCGACTTGAACCAGAGATCAAGTACTTCTGTGATATCACATAGTATGTCTACCTGCGATGTCTAGTCTCTGAAGAATATGGGTATTAATTCATGATAGTGATCCATTCATCCACATGATTCGAGAGAAGAAGACGTATGGATTTACTATAGCAGTGAAAGAACTGAAGGAGACGGTGCCGAATATCTTCCGATATGCGTCTGCATACAAGCGGCTCAATAACTTGACATCGAAAGGACTTTGGGAGATGTTTCTCGAGAAACCAGAGCCATCGCCCACACCGCTCCCGGAATCCGATCCCAAATATAAGAAGCCTCTTCCGGAGGAAATATTGAACTCGGAGCCCGGAAAAGGTGCCCTACCAGACATTGATCCCGAGGCGATGGAAGGTGAAGTATACAACATGTGCCATTTCTGGAGTAATTTCGAGATTGCGAATCTGAACTGGCTCCGAAGTAAGGAATACAACGACTTTTTTGAAATGATGGACCGCAGTGGTGGGTTCTGGACAGAACGCGTACGTGCACCATTCCCACGGTACCGTGGACAGATTATGCTAACGATGAACAGTGGGGCGATGCACCCATCCATTCTCTCGCTGCCGGAGCACTTCTTGGAGTCAAAGACATCCATTACTTCCGTGATTTCGGCTACCGGCATACAACAATCCAGCATTGTCCAGCGAATGCTCCGCATCGCCAACTACCTCGCATTCCGTTTCTGGAGAAGACGACATTGGATGAGAAATTACGCAAAGAAGAGGATGATTACTGGGCGCATCCGGACCCGCCCAAGGAGAACGGTGTTGGGTGCCGGTGCCGGTGCGACACTGACATTGTCGAGGTCGAGGGCAAGTCTGGGAGCTGTTTCCCGGAATGGGTTGATGTTGCCGGAGGGTTCATAACGCCGTGAAAAAAAAAGAAGGGAGGAAGTCGGCCAATTTTCTGCATGTTTGGAGTTGTTCCCCATAGAGCGTGAGGGTTGATACTTTTCTTCTTCTTTTACTTCTTCTACTATTACTTACCCTCATAAGTGGCGCAGCGGTGATTTCTCGAGTTGGGTCGTTTGGCTGGTTGGCTCATCATTGTGCCGGAACGCTTTCTGCTCCAAACCATGGACACGGCGTATGGGGACTTTTGTTTCTGGCGAGGATTTCCCCTCTCCTTTGTACTTACCTAACTATGACGGGCGTTGGAGAAAAGGAGAAGGAAGGAAAAAAGAGAGAAAGCATAGCATATCTGTATTTTGTACATCAATCAACTAGAGGAACGATTGCGATCAAGAGGGAAAGGAGTAGTAACTACCTAATTGATATAAGAGGGTGGAGAATCTGAGTTATGATCAGACGTCTAGGAATTAATTGTTCTTATCGTGCAAATAAATACTTAGTAGAAGAGCTGTTGAATGTCTCGGGTGACGGTGAAGCAGAGGGTGATGTTGATGGTGAACGGAATTAGCATAGTGATAGTAAGTACATAGTAATAGCAGTACTTAGTGCATGCTTATCTCTTGTAATGAGCATCATGTGCCAGCAAGGAATACGCCATACACAATTAGGAGATGTAGCTTGTAGATGTAAAGCTGTGATTGGGGGATTTGAATGAATGGGATGAGTCAATGATTGAGTGAATCTCTTAGTTAATGGATAGATGGATGGATGGATGGATGGATGGATGGATGGCGGGGTCAACAATGGGCAGGTGATTGATTGAGTGATTGAGTGATTGAGTGATTGAGCGATGGGATGGGATTGATAGCCGCCATGCATTTCCCGTCGTGGGGCTCCCATTATTATTGTTCTAGTTACTGTATTGTATTACCAGTAATTAGGTACAAGGTTACCAGCATCTACGAGACGAGGTACCTTCTTACCTACCAACCCTACTCACAGTTACGAGTACCTTGTAACTACCATCAACTCTACCAGCTCACATCTGACAGCTCTATGACATACATCATTCAATCTGCACACCTGCTGCACGCCACTTACAACCTATAATCTGACACCTAAACATAAACCCAACAAAGACCTGATATCCTTATATAACAACTAGTAGTCTACTTCTATTCAAGTCAATACTCACAACCTACCCTTCTCCGAACAACCTGTCCAGCCCCGCCCACGCATCATAAGGTCAACCCGTCCATCCAGTTCCAGTACACGAACAGCCGCCCTTATCGCCGAAGGGATACGCCCCCACCTTTTGGTTTGAATTGTATGGTACGTATGGGACGTATGGTATTGTATTGTTTTGTTGTTGTCGGCCTGTTTCAAGCATCACTTGTATACTTGTGGTTAGGGGGCAAGAGAGACACAAGGTCAGACCCCGCCTTGTCCCCTCCGACACCTCGTAAGGCTCCCGCCGCCGCCTCCGCTGCTACCACCACCACCACCACCACCACCACCATCAACCATCATTGCCAATCCAAGGTTAGGCAGCGTCCCTCCTACAACTCACTCCCTCAACTACCACTCCAACTCGACCCAACTCACTCTACCCTACTCTGCTCTACACCGCAACATACCTGACTTTGATTCGTCTTGACTTTGACTCTCCATAACATCATCCAAAGCATGTTCCAGATCATCTCTCCTCACTCATACTCAGCTTGAAACCACCGTCTCTCTCTCGAAGATCCTCTACTCACCCACCCGCTCGATAACGCACTCACGTACTCGACAGTTCGTTGTACTGACATGACCTCTAGCAATCCTGAGGAGCCGTCATCGTCCTCCCAGGAGCTTCACTTCCCTCCCGTTCGTGTCAATCACTCTCTGGCCCGTCTCGACCTCAACACACTCATGATGAGGTCGAACCAAGCACGGAACCCTCCTAAAGAGGCCCATAGCTCTCTCGAAGACAGCTCATATGAAGTCCTCGGAGAAAGCATGTGCGATGCCTCGGACGATGAGGGTAACACGGAGTCGTTGGCGTCTACTACACCCGACGATGTGTCCAGCATCTCCGATGGTGACGAATTCGACGATGATGACGACGAGTACGCGAACGAAGCCTCGCAACATCTCCCTGAACCCGATGTCTACAACCCACTTGAACACTTCGCTAGCAGCTCGTCGAGCCCGAACGCTAGCATGATGACGTCGATGGCAGATACACAGACGGGTGAGGCCTCCTCCATCAGGCTGGAGGAGGAAGTAAGAGAAGATGGTAGTGCACGTGCATGTGGCATTGTGGGAAGATTCAGTGAAGCTCGTGAACTGCCCCAGATCCTCCGCGGCTACGGCCTTCCAGATCTGAGGCTAACCGTCCGAATGACGCTCTCCGAGCGGTACCTCCCGGTTCCTCGTTCCTACAGAATATTGTATGTTGGCGAGTTTCCAGAATGGGGTGTAAAAGAAATCAACGCTCGCATCGGGGCTGCCCTCGATGCCACACCCAGTTCTTCGAGATTCAACATCGTACAAGGCCCCGCCTACCCGGGAAGCACGTCGTCCAGCAACATCCAGCTGGAGCGTTCAGGCCTCGAGCTTGTCGTTGACCATTGCAACCACCCCAAGGTGTCCCAGCAACCTGGCTCGCCACCTCGAGCTGTAATCACATTGGACGACGGTACAGAGCTTACATTTGGTCCAGGAAAATCGATCACGTTCAAGGGACAATCGAGCACTGACTCTCTTCCCGACCTGGTCATCTTCTGCCATTATACGATCCCATCTGAGTCAGACACAACGGCGGGGGTAGAAAAGATGCATCTTACCCGTGAAGCCTTCAGGCGCCATTCTATCCCATGCCTTGACATTGCCACTACGCGCCCATACGGAAAGAGCCCCTATGGTATCCCAAGCGACGATAGTTCTCTGCGGTTGTGCATGGAAGGCCGAACCTCCAATGATGAACCATACGAGATCTTGGAGACCTTGCCTATTGACATCTACACATTTGCTTCGATTGACCCCTCAGAACTCAATCGCCACTTGGCCTCCATCAGTCCACGGTCGCCTCAATCAAGGGCAGGATCTGAAGGCCGGGAAAGTCGAAGGTGGAGTCTGAGCGAGATAGTCCCAGGCTTCGGCGACGATTCTCACTCCAATGCTTTCGTATCTCTGCTTTCACAGCCTCGTATGTGGCTCGCAGTGCTAGCTTTGTCGGCTATCATCTCAGCACATCTTGCTGGACTCACCTCTTTTGCTGCCTTCTCGCCAAACACGGCAAAGGACGCTGTTAATGGGTCCGTGAGCGCGGCGGTATCGATATCTACACCAGCCACCAGTCAGATTACTCGTGCCCCCCAGCCAGTGGCACCTCCGTTAGGTTCCCTCTCCGTCCGACCTAGCTCACAAGACTTGAGCATCATGCCTTCTTTCGAGAAAACGAAGAAGCAGCCTCGCAAGGGTGCGAAACCAGCAGAAGAGGAACAATCTGGCGGATTGGAGATCGAAGTCAAGGGACCACAAACCTTCACCATTCGTCCGTTGAAGCAATTTGCGAACAAGAAACGCAAGCATCAGCTTGATGTGCATGTTTCGCGCGACTCGGAGCCTGTTCCTGTCCATGTGTCACCTAGCCAGGACAGCGACTCTTATATAGTCACTCTACAACAACAATATCCACTCGGCGTGTTCGACGTCGATGTTGTGCTGAGACGCAAGCCCCTTCTCCAACAAACCATCCAGGTGGAAATGGGTACACCAAAGTCCGGTATCGTTGACCTCATCGTCGGTGCACAGGCTGCACAGGACACGCTCAAAGTAATTTCGACCCATCTCTCCAAGACTGTCCACGCTGGTGTTGCCGTCGTCGAAGACAAAGCAAACACTGCTTTCGAGCATACGTGTCTTTGGAAGGACCGTATTACGCACTCTACTCAGACGGTAGCCGAACATCTCGAAGGGGCTAAACAAGAGGCAACACGACGGATTGCCATGGGCTCAAAGGTTTCTAAAGAGGTATCAAGCATGCTATGGAAGAACTACCAGGAGATATCAGCACGCGTGAAGGCAGATGTCAGGGAAGCGTCAACGAATATCAAGAAGTCTGAGCCGGTACGACGCGCTCGCAAGAACGTTGATACGCTCCGCAAGAAGTTCAGAAAGAATAGGTCTAAGGATGCAGGGCATCAGGGGGAGAAGAGCAAGAAACGTAGCAAGGCGGGCAAACGCAACAAGAGGCGAGGCAAGGAGTAAAGGGCGTTTTTCTTGGAAGGATGGACAATCTTCTTTGGTCGGCAGTCGATAGATCTGAATAGGAGGCGTTTGTATAATCGTTTGGGGACTTGCACGATACTTATCAACGGGTTTAAATGTCCCTCCAGCACAAACGGCGCCAGATGACTTTCGGATCAACTAGATGGTTCTTTTTTGGACTTGTCACGGGGGATCACTTATTGGCGCCTCAGGAAGGACCTAACATTATATCACTGGGCTTCGTCATCGCAATCAAGGTTTTATAATATGATTTCTATAGTGTATTCTTCTGCTCTGTTATCGTGGTAGCTATTTAACTCTACTCAACTCTGGTAATACACAACCATGCATAAAGTTATACTACCAGTAGATATGATGATTTAAACTTTCATACAGGCTCCAGCATCTATAGGCACGACATCTACTAGGCAGTTATTGAGGCAGGCAAAAGCCGTAGGCATCCCTCAGCGTGAGGCACGGCAGAGCACGTAGCACGTGGTGGCCATTCCAGGAGCGGCTAGCGTCAGATTCGTGGCGGGGCCCAAACATGAAGGTGGAAATCCAAAACTTGACCGCCGCCGACCCCTCGCTCTTAAACAATCACTTTCTCCCAAACAACCAAACACACACTGTAACTCCACCGTCACAGTTGTTCTCACTTACCTCTCCCAGACCCCACCAGACCCCAACAACCTCACACACAAAACATGGCCGACGCCGTAAAGCCCGACCCCGCCGGCGCCGCTCCTGGCGCAAAGCTCGCCGAGGACGAGACCAAGAAGGTCACCACCGACGTGACGGAGGCTCCCAAGGCCGAGGGCACTTCTGCATCCACCGTCACCGAGACCGTCTCGAGCGCAGCCACCACTGCGGCGGAAACCGTCAAGGACAATGTCTTCTCCATGTTCGGCGGAGGCCCCAAGAAGGAGAAGAAGGCCGAGGAGGAGGATGACACAAACGAGCCATCCGGAGCCACAAAGAAGGCCGACGTAAGTCTACGTCCCTAAACATAACCTGCAAACACACGAGAAACAAGTAACTTACAATTTCGTAACAGGACGAGGACCCGGAGAAGGAGACTGACGTTCAGTTCGAGCCCGTCGTCCACCTCACCGAGAAGGTCGACACCAAGACCAACGAGGAGCTCGAGGAGCAGACCTTCAAGATGCGCGCCAAGCTCTTCAAGTTCGATCGCGAGTCCCGGGAGTGGAAGGAGAGGGGCACCGGCGACGTCAGGTTATTGAAGCACAAGGAGAACGGAAAGACTCGCCTCGTCATGCGACGGGACAAGACCCTCAAGGTCTGCGCCAACCACTACGGTATGTTATGATAACCCTCGAGCGCCTCGAAGTCTGACTTGGGGTTGACGATGATTTGGACGCACATGGCTGACTGTGACATTCTAGTCGTCCCCGACATGAAGCTCTCCCCCAACGTCGGCAGCGACCGCAGCTGGGTATGGAACGCCGCCGCCGACGTCAGCGAGGGCGAGCCCGAGGCCCAGACCCTCGCCATCCGTTTCGCCAACAGCGAGAGTGAGTTTTCCCCCAATACCCCCCTGATCCATTCGTTGAAATCAGAAAACTAATACCATCCACCATAGACGCCAACCTCTTCAAGGAAGCCTTCATCAAGGCCCAGCAAGAGAACGAGGCTCTCTTCAAGGCCGGAGAGGTTTAAATCGGAAAAAACGCCGCAAATCACTTCTACTACTACTAGACATTACATTACATTACAAATGAGAACCCCCCCCACCACCACCATCACCACCAACCACCCCCGTAGATGAAATGAAAAGAAAGATATAAATCACACATTACGCTCGCACGCACACACATACGCGATGGTGGGAATCGAATAACCAAAGGGGAGGTGTTATGTGAAGATAGTGGATGTTCAACGGATGATGGTGACGAGTGATTGATTGATGATGAGTTGAACAAGTTTCGGCGGACGATGAACGATGGAATCATAACGGCGGTGTCAAGTGGCAGACAGATGAACAGGATCCCCCAATTCCCCAATTCCAATTCCCTTACACCATATCCCCTCTAACACAATGATCCCCCACTACAAAATGCACATAAGTAGATAGATAAAGTAGAAATCCCAATACGGTTCGTTTCTCCCCCCAAGCCAGCCAACCTAACGCTAGTTGGTCCAATGTGAACGGAAATGGATGCAAGACCACTGGGACGCATACAGTACAATATATCATGACTTTGTCGTATTGGTAAGAGCAGCGTTACCTAAGTCACCAACCCGCGGAGTTGGATGAAAGAATTAAGACGCCTACGTGCATAACTATGTGCATCAAAGCTATACCCAAGTACATGTAGGAGCACTGGAATTTCAACCTCAACACTAATGGAAAACCAAAGTAGCCATCTCCATCAATGAATCCCCATTCCCACCATCCACAAAAAATCCATTACGAGTGTGTCAATACGTGAAAGGTGATGTTCCAAAGTGAGGGAGTGCCCACCATGACTTATTTCGACCTAGGGGGTAAGGTGGGAAGCGGGTATGTGCAGTAGTGATATGTAATGTTGTATGGATGCCAAGACCAGGGTCAATTGGAACAAACGAAAGGGAACAACAATAAGGCTGCAGTATGTATTGGTACTTGAAACTATGTACTGGGTAGTATAACACAGTATACACAGTACACACTACAGAGTACACTTCACCGTACAAGTAAAAGTACCCAGGTACCTTACCCATAGCTATACCGACAGCTGTCTACCTGCCAGTTAATTGTCACCTACCTATATACCCGCGCCGCGCACTCCCCACTCAACTCAATCTCCCCCATCTCCAACCACTCACCTTTAACCTAACCTCACCTCACCTCTCACCTCGCCTTGTCCACCCGACACCTCTCATTCACTTCGAGAGGGTAAAGCTGTGGAGTTAATCAACGCGATCTTCTACTCTTCACGTTTGCTGCGACGACGACGCGCCCACCCCAGGATCACGCACGCACGCACCTAACCAACCAACGCAAACAATCAATCAATCAACCACCTAACTACTCAAACACCCACCTAACAACCACCTACCACCACCTAACCTTTCCCACCACGACGAATCGGCGCCCCGCCGTCAACCAATCGTCAAGATGCCGGACGTAAGTTGAAAAAGCTGCTCTGCTACTACTTGAGACGGCCGTTCGCTTTTTCGGTGCACCTCAAGTCCGGCGCAATGCGTGCGGTGAAGTCATGTCACCAGCCAGCACCGCCGCGGACAAACGACAACGACCGCGCGAGCACCGCGCCCCCAACGCCCAAGAAGACAAAGAGGATGTTGGCTGATTCATCAATCGTACAGGTCAAGCGACAAGTCAAGATCATCACCGAGCAGAAGCCCATCAAGTACGTCCCATAACATCCCGTCTCCCGCGGCGCACGCGCGCGATGCGAGCGCCGTCGCTGCCAGCATTGCAAAGCACCCGCGCCCACGCGTCTATCCCTTCTCTATCTCCCTCCCCGTTCATTACCTTGGAACAGGCACAGCACAAAGCTCCGTCGAACCTGATCCGTTACTTTGCGCGCGCAGCAGCTAACATGTGAAACCCGAATGTAGCAATGTCCCGTCCCCGATGGAAGGCTTCCCAATGCGATCGTGGAGCATAGAGATCTGGCTCCTGGACGAGAGCGGCAACGAGGTTTCGCCCACCATCTTCGAGAAGGCCGTCTACAACCTGCACCCGTCATTCGAGAAGAACAAGCAAGGTGAGTTTTTTTTTTTTGGACGTCGCAGGACGACGCGCAGACAGGCAATTGGAGAAAATGGGGAATATTTGGGTTTGAGGCGCAATGGCTAACGCGATTGTGCGACAGTGTTCAAGAAGCCGCCGTTCCGCATCCAGGAGCAGGGCTGGGGCGAGTTCGACATGACCATCGTCCTCACGGCGCTTCACAAGGGCGGCGACCACACCCTCGAGCACGACTTGAACTTCCAGAGCGAGAGATACGAGGCCAAGCACACTGTGGTATGTTGAGACGAGACGAGACGAGAGGAGTGTTCTATTCGACTCTCTCTCTGTCTTTCCTGGGAATTGGCCACGGCTAACGTACGAATTGCAGACTTTCAGGAATCCGCGACCAGACCTCCTCGCGCTTCTAGCTGAGACGGGACCCGCCGGCGATGCGAACGGCGTGCGCGGCAAGGCCGATGCGACCAAGAAGAAGGGTCGCAGGGACAAGAACGTAGGTCGCGCCAAGGCGGAATCGTCCTAACGAATGTGCATATGCTTACGATTTCTGTGACAGGTCGACATGGAGAAGCTCGCCGACGGCCTCCAGAAGCTCAGCGAGGATGACCTCCTCCAGATCGTCACCATGATTCACGACAACAAGTCCAACGAGACGTATACTAAGAACGACGTCGAGAGTAAGTCAAAAAAACCCCGTCATGTCTTTGTCTCAAAACCGCGGTGGCTAACTGAGTGTTTTTTTTGTTGCAGACGGCGAGTTCCACGTCGACCTCTACACCCTCCCCGACTCCCTCGTCAAGATGCTTTGGGACTTCACCGCCTCAAGGGTCGACTTATAGACTCATCCTCTCCCGACAGCGATGATCATGTACGCCGGGCGTGGCGAAGTACATTCGCAGGAGGAGGAGGAGGACGATGGGCAGGGGTCAAGGAACAGGACGAGGACGAAGCGTGGTGGCGATTCTTTACTTTCCCGAAGAGCTCCCCTATCCTCTCCTTCCCCTACCCCTTTTTTTATCTTTTTGAATGGCGGCGGCGGAGGAGCGAACGAGCGAGGCAGGCAGGCAAGGCAGACGGGGGGCGAGCAGAGCAGAGCAAACGGCCGGAATCTGATACCCTTTCGGCATCAACATCACACCAACATCAAATCACGATCATGAAAAATCCCCTTTACACCAACCCTGATGGCCTTTCCCTTTTTTTCTTAAATCCCCAATACGATCGATACTTTTGCCCCATCCCATATGAAGAAGCGCCTGCCTATCACCATCATATGGCTCCTTTTCCCTTTCTCAATGGGCAGGGTGGGCAACATATAGGCAGATGGACAGGCAGTAAACGGCCGAAAGCGAGGAAGGGAGGGAAGGTAATAAGGGCAAGAGAGAAAAAATAGGAAGGACCTTTCGATAGCTTAATGTCTGCTTTCTTTTCACTTTTAGTTCCTTTTTTCATTTCTCACCTCTCGTGTGTGTGTGTGTTTTATGATAATGACTACCCGTACGGACTAACAAGCCGTCCAGGATGCTGCTTCCTTGACTCTTCCTTCCTGTGTGCCGATGATTTTATTCTACTATGATTCTTGAATCAGGTACTCACGTCGATCGTCTTGTGAGGAAGAGGACTTTAAAAATAAAGAATTAGGAAGAGGGCTAACATATCTGACGGACTGGAAACCGGTGTTAACTCTCTCTCTCTAGGTCTCCACACCATACGAGGAACAAGGTGCTCTCGTACGGCGTGAGGGATGTCGATTGTAACCGTATAGCATCTCCCTACACACCACACACTCCACCCTCTCAATCCCTTCCACCGCCCTGCTATGTCATGAATATCACACAGCACGGCCGAACGTCCAGGACTCCAGGTACACATGGCGTTACATTAATCCACAGGGCTCACACGTATACCTTAAGCAAGGCGAAAAAGAGCCGAGTCTATATTCGTGACGGATGTAGAAGGGGCAGGATGGATAGTGGGGAGTGGTCATGTGGTGCTGGGAGAGATGTGCTTGTGATGTTGATCTTTTGAAAATGAGTGTGGACGTAACGTAACGTAGTGAAAGGGGATGAAAGGGAAGAAACGGTGGTGTGGGCATGTGTGGGTATAGACCTGAGCGATCTGATTCTTGAAGTAGAGGGTAGAGGTCTCCCGCGTCGGTACGAAGGGGGAGGAGGGGGATACGTTACTTTCATTTTTCTTCTCTTCTGATATACACAACATACCGTTTGGGTTGGAAACAGATATGTGTGGTGATGACGGATGGATTGGCCGGAGGGAGTAGACCACAGGCGGAGTCCTCAACACCGAGAACAAATGAATGTCTCCTACCTCCAAGAAAGAAATGAAGCAGAATGTCAATTTTATCTCGCTGGCTTCAATGTGTATGAGAAGACAGATGCAGTGGATGGAAGACTCGACATTGGCAAGATGCTGATGTCGCGATTCGGGAAGCTGGAATTCGATGTCGTGTGCTACACCCACTTGGATGATCTTCGCTCCAACAAGTCCTAGTAAAGCGCTGCTCTAACGCCAGCGAGTCTACCCCTTGAGAAAGTCATCCACAGTAGAGATGTCACAGCGTACCCAGCCCCATAACCTGCTTGCGGACAATTGGTACGGCGGCTGCGTTGATAGATACAATATCATTTTCTTCCTGTCTTTTTATTTGCTCTCATTCTTCCTGCATAGGAAATACAAAAGAGCTTAATTGTGTATCCCAAACATCCCCACCGTTAATTTCACTTCCAAAGCTCCACCGTAGACCGCGTATACAACATCACCCGTCACACTCTCCGATGTCTTCCTCAAACAGTGCACCACCTATAAACAACCTTTCCATTTTCCCTCCAAAATGGGCAAGTATATAATCAGCATTAGAAACTTTAAAACGATCCTTAGCGCTACCATTCCTTGGTTCAATGAATTGGTAAGGTAGGACGATGTGTTAGGCACCCCTTTTCATATTACATAATCACTCATGCCCACATAATACTGATAACCGTTCGACACATCTCAAACATCCGCTTTATGAAAACGTTACCCTCTCTTCCTGTATAACATAGTGTCTCCTCAAGGCCCTCATAGCTCATTACCTTCGCTTTCCCTAGAACCACTGATATGGCTGATCGGCGAACTTTGGCTTCGTTGTACTAGCATTCACTCCGTCGGTGAGGAGCAATCCCATGATTCCGCTGCTCTCTAGACAATGACAATACGTTGCTTCAGAGCAATGTCTACCCATTGCCTTGGTTTTTCGATGTCCAGGATGCCAATGCGCTCATACGCACCCATTCGATAAGAAGAAGCCCGCAGAGCTATCATGCCATCGTAATCCTCTGTAACGGCTAAGGCCCAGTGACGATCGTCGAGTATAATTTCGTCTTCTTCGCCGTCAACGTCTGGTACAAGCTTGGCAGAGAGACTTTCATTTTCCACTGCTATCTTCGAGAAGCAATGATATTTAGCTCCAAGGAATTCACGGTCATCCCTTTCTTTAATCGCAATCTCTACGAGGAATCCATCCATTATTAATTCCCCTGATTGCAAAGAGCCAAATCTATCGGAAGTCGCAGGCTTGCATTTGATTTCAAGTGACTGAGGTTGAACCACTTTTGGAAATCTCCAGGGGAGCGAAACACGGCCTGTTATAGATGCCCAAGACCAAGTCGGCGCGTGATAGGGCTGGACACGCTTATTTGTACATGTGGTACCTGTAATATCCTTGTGACGGTCAAGAAATCGCCATAACAGACAGTAAGGAAACGAGTCGCTCCAAAGCCCGGCCCAATACTCTGAATCAGTCGATTTCTGCATACTTTGTGCAATCCCTGAGATTGCTGGCAGACGGTCGGTCCAATAGGTGAGCTGACGGTCAGTGTATTCGTCGACCAACATATGCCAGCGCTGGTGGAAAGGTAGGTTATCGATGCTTATTCTGAGGGGCTCCTCGGCCTCGAATGCGTGTGGCGAACATTGACATTCGCATTGCGAGGTGGTAGAACACTCCCATGTAAGCTCTTCTGTCGTGAAATGTAGGATTCTGGGAGACAAGACGCTTTCTTGAAGCACCCACCCGCGACTTGCCAATGGGCTGCATTGAGGTCCAGCCCAGGCATGATGGCTGAAAGAGTCTCGACCGCTTGAGCCTTTCCTTCGAATACACAGCTCTTCCTTTCCAGAGTGTGACCCCGTTATAGAAAGTCTGTGTACTTTGATATTTCGAAGTTTGTTCGCAAGGAATCCTTCTGAACTGTTTGCCGCCCCATCTGCCGATATCGTGACAAATGCGTTTGCATATATGCTGCTCATTTGAGCAGCTTGTTCAGCCCAATCATTTGCGGAGTCTTGAATAATGCAAAGTGAGTCTATCCATAGACTGTCAACGCCTAAAAGACGGCATATTGTTATCGCGTCTTGGAACGTTTTCGGGATCTCTGCGAACGGGATGCCCTGGATACGTTTTTGTAAAGACGACAATTCCGTCTTGAAATGCCCTTTGCCACCCCAGCAGTGACTCAGCGCAAGATATTTTCCGCGCTCTTGATTACCAGTAATACGCAAACGCGGATCTTTCCCATTAGTAACGTCTAATACCCGAGACGGCAGGACTGGATTGGTTTCTTTCGCGCATGCACCATGCTGACTTAGGCATTCATCAATCCATCGCATCGCGAGTGATACGCACTCCTCGGACGAGCCAGATGTCGACACATCGCGAGCTGGCCCAACTAGTGGCCAACTCGAAAGAGGTCCTATAGAAGTCAATACTTATGCGCTTTGCAATCATGGATTCGGTAAAGGCGCCTTCGTTGGATCAGGGATAAGAGGCTTTCAAAATCTTTCATACCTTGTCGCACGTACATCTCTAGATCTAGACAATGTGCATACTCAGTGAGCACGTTAATAATTAGCGGACCATCCCGCTTGACTGAGCAAAGTCTGATGCCAAAGACTTCCTCTTCTGGGAGCGGGGGAAATCCTTTAAGCGGGGCGCAGAGCTCTGTGACAGATGCCCAGAGGAAATCGCAAATGACACATCCATTCTTAGCTGCGATGGGTAAGTCCTGGAGTCGAATGCCCAAAGAGCCATAATGATCTTTCCCCGTCCCCTGGACCGGAATATGAAGGTCCTGGCATAGCTGACAGGTGGCATTGCTCTTTGGAGGCGGAATATAGCGTTTGTTGAGAAGCATAATGTTATGGTTAGTCCAACTATCAGCTTGACGTGGTTCTATGCCCTCGAGTAACGAAGAGAATGACCCCGCCTCTTCTCCCTTGGGGAAAAACATGTGATTTACTTCTGATGCCGTGCCCTTTTCGCAGCCCTGCTTGAAAACCACATCCGTCTCATCGCGCCGAGCAGGTTGATTTACTTTGATAATTCTTACCCTTACCCTATAGGCCCGGTGAGCTACCTTACAATAGTGCGAATTCTTAACCACATCGTCTCATTCTCGGTCCTTACTTTTTTCATGCCAACTTGTTCATTATTTCCATTTCTCACTTCTTTAAGATTTATATATCAGTGTCGTACCTCCCTTGTCTATGCTGGATTCTAGTCCCATAGAGAGTATTGTCTCAAGTGTTGGCTTTCAATATAGCGGCGAGCTAACTTGCTTTCGTCCAGATTCGTGTAATTCTTGAGAAAGATACTTGTTTATTCAGGCCATTCTGTGACTAGAGCGAATTGTATAGTTCGCTTGACGACTTCCACGTCTGGTTTCCAATATTTTGGCGGTCCATCCAGGTATTCTCCAGAGGCTGTTTTCTGTTCCGTTCTTCTACCCAAAGACTGCCAAAGATGAGCCACTCAATTCACCTGTATCGTAGAGTTTGAATATGTGATATCTGGAGCCGTGGAACATGGATGTATGGCGAATATGAGCTTAGTCTAACACCGTGAAGTTGAAATGGAATGGAACCGTATCTTCCGTCTCAGAGAATGAGTTGCAAGTAAAAACATGCATGAAGGAATATCACTAGGAGGGAGGCTGAATGAATGATGGATGGAGCTTTTATTGTGACTTGATTGTCCTGCTGGACAGTTCAGGTTGATAAATTACTATACAATCCGCAAAGTGTTACGGAATCGACCACTTGATGGCCTAATTGATGCTGAAGCCATGCTGAATGCTGATGCTGCCCTGAGAATACACGCCTATGCAAGAATGTTGATATTACAAATGATTGTTGGTACACCGCTCTGGGAATCGATCTTCATCTGCGATTCATATCCTCCTCCTCTTAACATTCCCCCTATCCTCCCTCTCATCCTCCCCCCTCGTCACACTCTTCGCCGTCGTTCCACCACTCCCACCACCCTCCTTCCCCTTCTCCCCATCCTCACCAGCACCCCGCCGCGAAAAAAACCTCGCAACCTGCTGCAACCCCCCAATCATCTTAATCTTCTTCTGGGGACTCCTAAGCAACAACTCCACCTCCCTCTCCTTGTCCCCTCCTTCCAGCTCCACCTCATCCCCAGAACCAACCGTGTCGTCGAACTTCCTCTTTTGAGCTGTCTTCGGCGACTCCATGAGCTGTCGTAGCCGCGACTCCCTCAGCCGCTTGTGAACTTCCGCCGACACATCGACGTACTGGACTTGGTACCCCCCTTCCGCTCCCCCCTCTTCTTCCTCCCCACCATCCTTTACGTCGGCGCCGTGAGTCTCAGCCGGGGGTGGAGAAGAGTTCCTCTTCACGCCCTCAATGCTCAACCTTTTCGAGCCTCCCTCCCCATCACCCAACCTCTCCCGCTCCCGTTTCCTCTTCGCACCCCCCGGCGACCCAAACGCCGCAGGCGCGGGTCTTACGCCCTCGCTCACCATCCTCTTCCGCACGCGGCGCATCTCGTCGACGAGCATGCCGGTCTTGCCCTTCAGGCTTATGAGGTCTGTGGCGAGCCACTCTGGATCGCGATCGGAGGTCTCATGGGGGCCAGAGGAGTCGAGGTCGTCGAGCGCGGAGGTCAGGAACGAGAGGGTGGATTGGAGGGAGGCGATGTGGGATTCGAGGGTTGAGGTTGTTAGTGACGACATTTTTATTGCGCTTCTTCCGTTTCGCCTTCGCGGCGTCGCGGTGGGTGGGTGGGATTGCGAGCGCAGGTTTTAAGCTGGGAATTGGGAAGGATGTGCTTGTAAAAGTGTGTGTATGAATGGGTAATTGTGTAGCTCGCAAGCCGTCGTCCGTTGTGCGTTGTTCAATCTCGCAGTCTGAGCGACAAGAAAAAAGACTTGGGCGAACGTCTGTCCTTCTTCAAGGTGCCAGGGTCTAAGTAGAGCTTAAGAAGGGGGATGCGCGGAGCTTGAGCCTTGCGGTGCGGAGAAGAGAGTATGACGGGGCCAATGGGTGGTCTGTTCACTCCAACCTTTTTCGTTGCGGAAATGTCGGAATATCTTGTCGGAACTGACTTCGAGTGACTAGTCACTTCATTGAACAACGAAGAAAAGAAAGCATAGCGTTGGTTCACAAAATCACAGAGAAAAGAACATTTGATAGAGTTGAAAAATGATTTAATCTAAAAATCCGGGTATTGAGATGGGTGGTTGGTGTGTTAACAAATGGCAAAACCGACATGCTATTGTCAAACCGTTTGCCCAATTCTAAAACTTGCTAGCTAGCTACGTAGCTAAGTAATACTACCACCACTCCCCGATTGATTGTAGTATTTCCAAGAGAGAGCGAGAGACAACTAATAGTGAGACATCTCTCAACACCTCTAGCCGTCCGGCATGCGTCTCGGACGATCTATCTCCCTGTCTCTGTCTGTCTGTCTCAACCTACGTAGTCCTGCTCGTAGCTCGTCGCCGACTTCTTCTGCTTCATCATCTTCCCCAAAATCGTGCTATTCTTGTTGCTTTCGTGCGCGTGCTCCGCCCTGCTTAGCTGCGAGTAGAATACCCGCACCTTCTCGTGCGCGTTCACCTTCCTGGGATCGAACCGCAGCACTTGGAGACCCGCCATGTTCGTGGCACGCGAGAGCGCGACGTACGCCTGTCCCTTTTCGAAAACCTTGCCGAGATCGACGCGGACGCGCTCGAGAGTTTGTCCCTGCGCTTTGTGGATTGAGAGTGCCCAGGCGAGGATCAGGGGGATCTGTTCGCGGGACGCTAGGACTTCGCCGTTGGGTTGTTCGACCTTCCAGCTCTCCCGTTTGCAGAGGAGATCGCGGGTCGTTCCGTCTGCGATGGTGAAGCGGACGACGGGGTAGACTTGCTGCGTGTTCAAGCCCAAGAGTGCGCCTTTCATTTGGGCTCGCATTTCCATTTCAGTAGGACCTTCGCTTGTTCCGTTGAGGAAGGCTTCCTCATTCTTCTTGTAAAGCTCAAACATTGCCTCGTTCATGAACCCCGTTACCCTTCCAAGTGATCCATTGACAAGAGTCTCGTCCATGTTCTTGATCAACATCACCTGGGCACCCTTCTTGAATGTGACGGTTTCAGGGGCAATGCATGTGGCAAGTAGCCTGTCTCGCTGACCCTTGTCGGCCAGCGTCCCTCCGTCTCGCGAATCGTACATCTGTGCTTGACCGTGCAATTGCCGCATCCGTACGTCGTTCGCACGTTCGACTTCTTGTCGTGTGGGAAAGAGTTCGGTAGCTTCGATGTTATCCTCGGTTGCCGGTAGGGGTCGGTCAAGCTTCTTGAATTCTCTGATCGAGGCTTCGGATAAGCGCCCTTCTCGCATTTCGTTGAGCATGGCAGCAAATGCGGGATCCTTCTGACGGAACACATGGTGAAGACCAATTGTGTGCTCAATGGAAGTGTTCCATGTTCCAGCATCAAATGCGAATTTAGCTTGTCGACCACTGTCGGGGACGGGTGGTAATTGGAAGAAATCACCTGTCACCACAAGTTGAATACCGCCGAATGGTCGACCATTGTTGCGAAGTGTCCTTGCGATTTGCTCCAGCTTGTCGAAAAGGTCACCATCCACCATAGAAACTTCATCAATAATCAAGACCTTGGTGCGCAGCCATCTCTGTTTGGCTTTCTGGTTCCTTCTTATCTTTTTGACAAGATCTTCCGCAGACTCTTTCCCTAAGCCGATTCCAGAGAAGCTGTGGAGTGTGACTCCGCCAATATTGCAGGCAGCAAGTCCGGTAGAGGCAGTGCATGCAATCCGGTCTGGCTCTTTGATATGCTTCCTCCGTAAAGCTGCAATGATTTCCCGTAGAAGAACGGATTTACCAGTACCTGTATCGAATGAGCGACGCTGGCTTAAATGCTCTATTCAAGCACTTACCAGCTGAACCCGTGAAGAACACACTCTTCTTATACTCTACGACGAGGTTCAACACTTGCTGTTGCTCCTCGCTCAAAAAAATGCGATGAAGCGTGTTCTTCTTCTTTGTGGCCCTCCTGACTTCATCCTCGTTGCCCTCATTCGATTTCGTCAGCTTCTTGTTCTGTTCTCGGAGAGACTTTTGCTGCTGTTTAAGGGCGCTTGCAGTCACATTCCAACTGTACGCAGCCGCTGATTTCGTTCGCGGCGTAGCAGTCACATCACTGGTGGCAGCGGGCTGTGACGGCCTTGAATATGGTTTTGGTTTAGTAACATGAGCATCTCCCACAGATTTCCTCTTCTTCGGTAGTTGCGTGGCTTCTGAGTCGAATTCCTCGATTTGCTCAGCGTGTATCTGAGCCGCTGACGCCCATGGCAACATACGACGTTTTGTCGGCTTGGGTGGTGTCTTGAAATGTGATATGGGGGAAGAAGACCAGGGAATTGGTTGACTGCTGGCATTCCCAGCAGGTGCTTGCACGTCCGGTTCCACCGACCCGTAACCTGAATCCCTAGCTGTCGTGCTTGTTTTCACGGTAGGTAATGTCGGGTATTGCACACTTCCTTTTGTGGCAGGATCCTCGATGTCGAGATCCAGATCGCTATCGAAATCATTCTCGTCGAATAGCACGGGTGGTGGGTTCGTGTTATTGTTGTTGTTATTATTATTATTATTGTTGTTGGTTTTGGGTTTCGCCACAGAATGGAAGCTGCCAGGAATGTCGAAGTCATTATCCGATATGCTCATGGACGCATATTCGAATGCGTTTTCCTGTGACCTCAATGCCTTAGCCAGCCCACTCAAGTCTCTCTTTATCCCCTGTGGTTGCCCCGATATCCTTCGCTCGGTGGTGTGTCTGATGACATTTCCCGATCCGGTTGACAATGGACGCGTCGTCGAATTTTGGGTGGCCGATGTGCGTTTGAAGGAGCTGCTTAGGGACTGCTGCTGGGAGGGTGTCTTCTGCGAGGGCTTCGGTGCACTGTGCCTGTTCACAGCATTTTGGAACATCGCGGTCGAGTGCGGACGGGTTGTGAGGTAGCCGTAAGCCTTTGGCGATCGTGGCGGTCGCAGCGGGAGTGTTGATGCCTGATGTGAGCGCAATCGCAAAGAGGCCCCTTTCCTCGCCAAAGCAACGAGCATGCAGAAGAGTAGGAAGGCTACGAGCAAGGAAAGCAAGAGGGAAAGGGTATCGTGTAAATGCATTCGGGAGTGGGGTGTGAGCGACTCGCAATTGTCACAACGCGCTAGGTACGACGCGGCGCGATACCTTGTCACGTGCGCACAACAACGGTGATGAGGCCAAAGCTCAGCGCTATCTGATCTGATGCATGAGCTCATCCGAGCCTATGAGGTAGGTGGTTACACAGCAATCTCTTCAATTGATCAGAATATGCACGACATAAACGTATTTCTGGCTGTTTGCGTGGAAGGGAGAATTCTGCATTGACGACATGGCTGCCACGTCTCGCATCATAAATACCCTTTCCGTCCCAAAAACAACCACCTGGAAAGAATGCATCATACATAAATACTTATTTGGTATAACCGCCCTCATCCTGATTCCAAACGCGCTCGAACAGACTATGCAGGATGCAGAGCAAAGCGATGACCCATCAAGGCCACCTTCGTTGGGAAAAGTTGTTCGCTGCAGCAAGAACCCCAAATGCGATACCCACCAAAGCCGTCAAGAACGTGATAGTCGTGACAAATTGTAAACACTTTTGGTGACCCATCTACCGTGATAATCTTTTGGAAATCCAGAAACAGCAAAAAGGTCAATGTGTCGGGTGAACAGCGCGCCCCCAATTCGTAAGACAAATATCAATCAAGAAACTCGACAATAGCGGACAATTCGAAGGAAGGGGTATGCCACGCAAACCTGTGAACAGACGCCAACAACATCTTTTTTAGAAAATGGGCTTTGATAAGCAAGCAACATATGCAGCACAAGGAGAGTGAGAGATTCATTATGGAAAATCCACGCAAAAGACATAAGGCCACGCTCTGAGACAGATCCGCCTAGCGGAGATGGTGAAAACGTACAAATGTGACTCCAACCAGACAGACCCACGCCAGTGCCTGTCCTCCTCGGACTTGACTGAACTGAGCTGATTTTTTGGGAAAAGGATGGAAAGCGAGCATAGCAAGATGGTAGTGTAGAAGCCCGTTAAGACATAAGCAAAAGGTAGACAGATATGGATGGGGATATGAGGGCTATCCAAAGAGCGCCAACTTAAGACAACCAGATATGTCGTAAAGATGATCAGCTTACAAGAAAAGATTGGACAGCGTAACCAAAAGAGCAGAGACGGACTTTCTTTAGCCTTGGTAACCACCGAAGCCGTTCTGGTTGAAGTTGCCCTGGTTGGGCTGTCCCCATTGCTGCTGGGGTTGGCCGCCGCGGCCGTAACCACCAGCGCTACCGGGCATCTGGGGTTGATAGGGTTGAGCCATTGCTGGTCCACCGAAGCCAGCCTGGTTCTGCCCGAAAGGTTGACCTCCAGGGCTCGGGCCTGCCAGCGCATTAGCCTTCCTGTAGCGGAGCTTCCTCTTGTGTCGCTCACCTTGAGGGGACATGGGACCACCTGGTCCGTTGTACTGCGGGAAGTACTGGTTGGGCGTGTAGGGGGAGGGCCCGGCAGAGTTGGGGTTCTGTCCGGCTGGGGAGTAGCCCTCGAACTGGCCGGTGGGTGGGCGATCCTTACCCCACTACGTTCTACCTGTCAGCTTCATGGAAGACAAAAGAAAAGGAACGACTCAGAACCTACGCTGCACTTGAGGGGTCGGCCGTTGACGTTGTAGCCGTTGAGCTGGCAGATGGCCATGGCCGCATTCTCGTGGGTGTCCATCTTGATGAACGCGAACCCACGGTCGGACTGGAATCGAGTCTCGGTGACGTAACCGAAGTTTTGGAACAAGGGGACCAAGTCGGATTGAGAGGTGTAGGGGGTCAAATTTCCCACGTAGCAAGTGGTCTGCCATTGGGGGGTCTGGGAGACGACCATGTCGTAGCTCTGGACGCCATGGGTGGGGAAGTGGTGGTGTCCAAAGGGCGTCGTAGGGGTCATGCCCATGGCGGCCATGGCCTGCTGCTGGGAGATGGATGGTTGACCCTTCTGGTTAGCCCAGTTGACGCGGATCGCGCGAGAGCCAAGCCATTCACCGTCCATGGAGCTGAGTGCCCTGTCTGCGTCGGCACGGTCGCGGAAGGCGACGAATCCGTAACCACGAGAGCGGCCGGTCTTCATGTCCCACATGACGCGGGCCTCCGAGACGGGACCGAAGGTGGAGAAAGCTTGCAGCAGAACCTCATCGTTGACTTCGTTGGACAAATCGCCGACGAAGACGTGGAAGTGGTTGGAAGTATCTTCCTTGGCCGTGTTGTTGGATTGGTATGCCCAATTTACGCGGATTTCCTGTTTCAGATAAGCACCAATTTCGCGGTTCCCTGCTCATGGGCGAGGACCTACAGTGTTGTGAACTCGGCGTCCGTTGAGGGTCGACATGGCACGCTCGGCTGCCCCTGGGTCGTCGTATTCGACGAATCCGTAGTTGAAGCCTTTGGCCTATTGCTCGCTGCTGATTAGTATGCGTTCTGATGATTGTATATGTATTTTGTCGATGGGGAGAAGGTTTGCTCACACTTGGGTCGGTCACGTTCTTGTCCGGGATGATCTTGACATTTTGGACGTGTCCAGTGGTCTCGAAGATCTGACGCAAGACGTCTTCGGTGACTCGAGGATCCAATCCGCCAACGTACAGTGCCCTCTTGTTCGGTTCGGGTGCAGCTCGACGAGCTTGGTAGCCGGGACCGCCGCTCGTGGGAGAGATGACGCCGCCAGACATGGGAGAGCTGATGGCAGTGGGGATTGGGTTTGTGTTCTGCGGGATAGCGAGCGGTGGGGGAGGCATATGCTGTTGCTGGCCCTGCGCATTGCCATCGTAGCCAGGCGCACCGGTGGAGGCAGAAGGGGGTGGCATCTGTGCCGCAGAGGTTGAAGGGTCGGCCATGGCTGGTGGGTTTTATGGACGAGGAATCGAGGTCGAGATGGGAGTTTTGAGGTCGAACACACAAGGGTCTTGAGACGAGATGTAGCACACACGTATGCGCGAAGATGGAATTTCCAAAAAGACCGAGATGCGCTGAGCTCTGAGAACGAGACTGTTGATGAATACAGAGGCTGCGACAGCACTGAGGACAGCTGGGAGTTGCTGGGGGACGGATGAGGGGTCGAAGGGGGGGGAAAGAAGCTGGCGGTAAAAAGTCGAAGTTCGCGCGGGAGGCGGGAGACAGCAGACTGAGACGGGAGGAGAAAGAAGGAATGGGGAACAGCGTCAACCAGCAAGAGTGGAAAACGCGAACGCACAAGGAAAAGGGAAGGAGGAAAAAATAAAAGGAAAGAGAATTGCGCAGGAGGGATGAGAAGAGAAACCGACGCCTGACAACGATAGAAAGCTGATCTGGGCTTGGTCCACTTGTGGGGTGAGGGAGAGAGGGAGAGGAGAGGAGGAGAGGTCAGAGAATAGCAACCTGTAGGTAGAAGAGGCTATTATTCAGTTAACTAGGTAGACAGTAGTAGCCTGTAAACCTGTAGGTGGGAGGGCGTCTGAGCGAGGAGGGAGGTTCTGTTCACTGGATGGATGGGCGGCGGATTGAGACCCTCGGGCGGCGCTAACTAAGGTTTAAGGCGATGGATCATGGATGGGGCCGTTACGTCTCTCCTACTATTATCTTCAGGTACCTACATACATACCTATATCTTACACAATCAAAACGGGAGTTATTCCTCAGACCAGAGGAAAGCCTTGCTATTACTCCTGTTTTCTATAGTGTAATTTATGACGATAATGATAATTAAAACCCACCATATAACTGATCAATTGACTGGTAATGAACGTGAAAATTGGCACAGAGGAGAGGGGGCCAACTCGTGTATTATATTCCCATTCGGGCAATTCGCTACATGATCCTGGCTCTCTTCATTTATGCCTTGGAAATTGGCATCGAATCCCTTTAATAAGGACGGTCACTGTTCGATCGTAGCCAGAGACATACTGCTGTGTAGGATTGAAGGATTAAGGTGGTACGTAGTAGTAACAGAAAGGACTACGGACATCCTATTGAATGTATTGAGAGAGTTCACTGTCCATAATAGGGAGTTCAACTTTAGTAAAACTCAATATGATCGACAATGGGTTTATCCCAGCAATAGCCGAACGTATTGGAACAATGGGAACAATGGTGGAGGATTTGACAGCTGATATCGACAAGGGAACGTGGTGTTAGTTGAAATTTTCAGAACATGTAGAGAAGAGGGGGAGGCGTAGATTTGTCATTGATTGCGTTCTGTGTATCATATCGACACATTTGGTAATTGATCAGACGGAAGGGTTATTATCCTGAATTAGGTGGGATGGGAAGGATGATGGACGATACATAGATGATCTTTGGATGTTGGTGGTTGATCGTTGGTCATAGGGTAGTTAAGTGAAGTGAGTTCATACCTAGTGGAGGGTACCTGGACTGGAGACCAAGCCAGCCCAAGTCTGGAAGGTTTTGGTTGGTGGCCGCCGCTAACACGAACCAATCGATCTAAAGTTGCCTTTGCGACCAAGCTTATTCCATTGTTACCCCATCATTCATTCATTCATTCACTCTACGGACTCGACATTCAATTCAAGTCCACAACTCCCCCTCGACCCTCAACTACATGACAAACTCCAACCTCACACATTGACCGACCGACCACACCTCAACTACACAATGGCTACCACCGCGCAGCAGCAGCAGAAACCCCAGGCTGCGCAACAAGCCGCTCAACAAAATGCACAACCACCACCGCAAGACCAGCAACAACCCAAGACACCCGCCGCCCCCGCGACCGTCGCCCTCGACAACCTGCAAGCCATGATGAACCTCGTCCTCATCTCGACCGGCCGCTTCCTCAAAGAGCAGCAGGCAGGCGGCGGCTCCGGGCGCATGCTGTTCGCGATGAAGCGCGCCGTCCCCGCCGGCGAAGACCGCTTCCACGACTCCCTCGACGAACTCGAGAACGAGATCCACCAGGCGCAGGCCGTCCTGCGACGAGACCTCGCCGTCCTCCAGGCCGACCGCAAGAAGCGCGAGCAAGCCGAAGCCGCAGAGCGTCAACGCCGCGCCGCAGAGTCCTCTGCCGCAAAGAACACCCTCCCCGCAAACCCAACGCAGCAACCCGCCGACGCAGCCGCCACCGCCGACAAGACACAAGACGCGACGATGACGGGGACCTCAGAACCAGAACAGGCCGCCGCCGCGGAACCCACCAAGCAACCAGAAGAGAACCCAGCCTCACCCGAGAAACAAATGGACGACGCGCCCCCAACGCTCGACACATCCAACGCGCCGTCGCGCGACCCTCTCTTCGACGAAACCCCCATCACCGCCGACGCAGCAGACACGGGCTTCGACTTCGACGCCGAGTTCGGCGACCTGACCGGCGGCGACCAGGTCAACGGCGACATCGACATGGACGGCGTAGGCGACATGAACTTCCTCGCGGGCCTCGAGGACTTCGCCAAGGACGGCGGCAGTAGCGGTGTTGGCGACGCAAATGCCAGCGGAGGAGCGGGCGCCGGTGACTCGACCGCCGACCTCGACCTCGACTTCGCGATGCCGGACCTCCCAGACATGAACGCCTCAACAAACACAACCGACCAGCCACCTCCCGCGGCGCCCAAACCCGCAGACCCGGCTCCCGCTCCCACCACAGCTCCCGACAACAATGCCACCACCAACGATACCAATAATAACAACAATACCAACAGCATGGCCGACACAATGGAACCAACGACAATCGACAACATAGACGACCTGTTCGACATGGACTACGAGAACCCGGAAGCCACGCAGTTCGACGACGCCTTTTTTGGTTTTGACGAGTGATCACGTACCTGCCTAGTCGTACCAATTTCCGTTCCGGGGGCAGCAATATTGGTGTTATATAACCACACAGGGGCGTGTTAGAGTGAGAGAAAGATTGAAGGAGAAAATGAGAGATAGATACCCCAGAGAGTCTTACCAAGATACCTTAGTTAGCTACCTAGGTAGTCTAGTCTATGTAGTCGCCTGCTATAATACATCACCTTGTTTCACACTACTGCAATCAAGAAACACTCATCTGCACAACAAGAAACGTCACGAAAGGCAGATCAGATGAAAAAGTGAGGTTTCAAAAGTGTATCTATTAGCCCAGCCTAGCCCAAGTGGCCGAGCCTATCTATCAATAAGACTGTCTTCGCTTTCTGTCCTCACCGTGCTCGCTCGCTCGCTCGTGAACCCCCTCCCCTCCACACATATATATACGCTCGCGAGGAGCCTGCATGGAACCCCTCTTCGACGGAAAAAAATAGACACCTGCGGTCTTTATGTGTGGTATAGTACAAGAGAAAGCAGACGGAGGAAGTGTAAAATGGAAAGTAGGGGGCGGGAGAGAAAGATGCATGCAATTCATCACACGTATCTTCCAAAAATTCGTATCCTAGAAACCTTCGCTCATGCAAAAAAAATAAGGAAACCCCCGACGAACGCCAAGCGGGAGGGAAAAACAAGGGGTCATGTAATGTACCCGCGGGGGAATATGTGAAGGAAGAAGGGTATTGTAGTCCTTTTTTCAGACCGTAACGACGGAAGACTGTGGGTATATTCAAGAGGGTGGTGCATCGGGAGTATGGGCGCCTGATGCAGGGGACGATCCCTTACTGCTGTCGGCGGCGGAGGCGGCGGCGGCAGCGACGACGCCTTCGATCATGCTTGCAAAGTCCACTGAGATCTCTGTTGTCGTGGTCTTGAGTGGACTGCTGCCTTGGCTGTCAACTGCAGATACCGTGGGCTTCAAGTCCTGGTCCATGCCGAGAGGATCGCTGCCGCCAAATACGCTGGCTCCGCTCCATAGACCGACGGTGCTAGTCGCCGGGTCTTCGTACAAAGAGAAGCCAAGACCGCCTGGTGGACTGCTGGGGACGGGCATGTCGCTGGATAGAAAATCGTCAGGCATGAAGTCGGTGAACTGAGCGCTAGAACGGGGGGTCAAGGATAAGGGAGGAAAGGCCGAGAAATCGATAGCCTGGGATGGCGAGGTGATGCAATCCGACAAGAGGGCATTGAGTTGGCGGGTGAAAGGAGTTTCGGGCGCGATCGTGGCCGCCCTTGCGTTGCGGTTTGGAGTCATGATGTTTCGTGTAGGAGTCATAAGGAAAGCGAGGTCAGCACTGCCATCTACGCCAACCTTAGGAGTGAAGGGGCCGCGTCGTCTCGAGCCTGGCGTGGGTGTTTTGAGAAGATCTTGAAGCTGTGCGCCCTTTACCGGGGTTGTTTTGGGAGACAAGGGCTCATCGAACAAGTGCGCTAAGCCATCATCATGAGCAACCGGCGGTGGGCAATTTTCCTTATCCAGGTCGTCGTTGTCATCGGACGGCTTACTCCTCGATTCGACCGAATCTACCGTCTTCGATCTTGCAGACGGTGATACAGACTCGGTATCACTGAGCGATTTGGTTTCTCCGTTTCTACGTGGCGAAGGGAATAGTAGTCTCCGTGTAGGCTTGGGAGTAAGATCTGGCTCGACTTCAATCGGGGAATTCCTAGTTCCCATAAACCCTGGTGGACTAGACTGAATGGCTCTTTGGAGGGCTGCTGCTGCCGCCGGATTGGTAGATCGAGGGTCGTCCTTCCGGTCTGTAGCCGGGTGTGGAGCTGATAGGCTCGGATCACGAGCTTCGACGGAGCCAGCAAGTACGTTCCTGTCTAACCCAGCTACGACAGGATCAGATTGCGGAACAATTGCATCAGAGAAGGTATCGTCGTCCTGAGCTTTGGCAGACTTCCGAGGCCTAGGCTTTCGCTTCTTCTTCGGCTTATCTGGATCTTCTTGTCGAGCACTCTTCTCCCATTGCTCGCGTGGGCGCATTGCCTTCCTCTTGTTCAACCATAGACCGCATGGATTGCACAGTGTCAGGACGGAATAGCTCTCCGTATCCCGCTCCTGTGAACCTAGAGTTTGTTTGAATATGCGATACCTGGGAGTAACGTCACCCTCATACGAAGGCTCAATCATCTCGAAGGCAACGATGCCAGTCCCCTTAATGGTCCCTATGTCAGGCGGCGTCCCTTCCTCGATCCGGGTATAGGCTTTCCTCCATGTAGGAGTCTCAATTTCGCCACAGTTGTTACAATAAGTGGGCATTTCCCCCGCAGCGATTGATTGGTCCAATTTCACTGTAATATCCTGCTTCCTCTTCGCCCCGGACCCACTGCGTGGCATATTGGAAGACTCATAGGGCGCTACTGAATCCGACATTGGCTCCCCAGACCAGGTGTGAGACCGGGGTAGGCCACGTGCTTTCGTTGTCCTAGGGCGTTTGGGCGGAGGATTAGGCGTAGCTGACCTGCTCTCAGGCTGCTCTTTGACGACAGTAATGGTGGGTTGAGGGGATGGTAGGGCATCTGGTGACGCAGCATTGGACTGTTCTGGCCGTGACTTGCTGATCGCAGGCTGGGGCTGGTCCTGTGGAATAGGAGTTTGTGATTCGGTGGAGGGAATGACTGGGTTTGGTACAACCTCCGGCTCTTGGTTGATATTATGTCCATTGGCCATTTCAGGTTGCTTTGGTGCCGTAGGCTCAACCTCTGGGCCCTTGGGCATACATCCTGACGGATCGCGCTCAGATGGCTGCTGCTCTTCTGGAACTTTCTCCATTTTATCAAGCATTGCCTTGGAGCGTTGTCGAGGATACGATTTCGGCTTCGGTACATAGGATTTGGGGAGAAGCTCCATTGGCCCTGGATTGACCTCAGTCCACGGAACCCCCGACCTGTCCGGCCTCTTTCGAACCTTAGCATCCCTCGTGCTTGGGGTATCGGCCCCCATTTCTTCGTCTTCTCGACCCTGAGGCAGGTCGCTACCAAACCCGGAGTCCGTCGGATATGGAAGAGCAGGGAGGCCAGGGCTGGAAGGAGCTGAGGAGGCAAAGCGTTGAGAAAATCCCGTCATTACCGGGGGTGATGAAGGGATATCCATCGGTGTCTCGCCAGGGCTGATGCCTCTTTCATCGTCGGCGGAGTCTATTGCGTTGTCGGAGAAAATACCAGAGTCAAAGGAGGTCATGTTCGGGCGTCCTTCGTCTATGGAGGCATGTCTCAACGAGCTTCGAGCAGCAGGGTGACCAGAGTTCTGAGACCGAGGAAGGAAACGATCTCCTGGACGAGGCGTGGGGGCACGTGGTGCTTGTTCGTTAGACGCAAGCTCTGTGGCAATATTGGTTGCTACTGGCCGATGGAGACGGACAGAGGCGGCAGTGCTAGCGGTGACCCTTAATGAGTCATTGTTGACACCCAGTGCGGCCTTCTTCGGTCTCGTGGTTTTCGTGATGCGCGCTCTCTTTTTCGGAGGTCCATCGTCCTGTTGGTCAAGGGGGATGATCGGATACGGTGCTTGGTCTTGAAACTGCTGTGCGGGTTCGCTCTGGTAGGAAGCTCGAGATGCCGGCCGAGATTCAATTGGAGGCTGATAAGGGACAAAGGGAGTAACGCTCATCGCTGAGCTCGAAGGCCTTCTGCTAAAATCGCCATTGTCAAATGAGCCCTCCCCGTAGTTGCTTGGCTTCGGTTGGTTCTCCGATGATATGGTACCAGGCAACAATTGCGTAAAGCTCTCTTCGCCACTCATGAAGTCAGGTGGCAGGCTGAAGGATGGGTTGACAGATACGGGCTGTGTGAGTTGTCCAATCGTAGGGTTCTCCTTGAGAAAATCTGACCACGCACTATAATCGAAACCATTAGGTATCAACTGGCTCAAGCTGTGATAGCGTTCCATGTTCTCAACATAGTCTTTCTGCATGCAAGTTGGTACGGGTATGAGCTTAAGTTTGACTTCCAACGTCTCCTTGATACCATTTGAAAAAAGCCCCAGGATGTTCTTGCAGACGCGGCCAGTTACCATCGTTTCTGACTGATCAGCTGGTGCCTTGGGGGTCGGGGATGCGGACGCGAGGATACGTGAGAGCAGGCCCTGGCCGACAAGGGGTGTCTCATATTCAGAGTAGTCGTAGGCGTATACCGTATAGTCATGGCCGAGCTTGGCGACCAACTCAGGACTTCACCAAATCGTCAGCAATGCAGCCCTTGGAGTACCCAGGCAGCAACGCGCGTGACCTACCTTGCCGTGACTATGGCTTGAATGCACGTTTTCAACTCTACCACTCCTAGCTGGGTGTTTTCGTCTAGGGAGACAGTAGGTATGCTCAACGCGTGAGGCACTCGTGCGAGGCAATTCGACTTGTTCTCGTCTTCGAACGTGTACAAAACCTTGACTGTGGGCATTTGTTAGCCGTCAACCACCTTGGAAGGGCTGCAAACTGCTTGCCTCGCATGAGACGACGTGGTATCTCGTCCATGGTGTGATCCTCGTTGGCAGAGACTGGAGTCGATACGGCCTGCATGCCCTCATGCCTCGAATAACTGGACGGTGTTGCCATGACCGCCAGAAGAAGGACCCAGTGAGGGTGAAGGAGTGAGTGGAGGTCGAGAGAGAAAGTGGGGTTGGTGGAAGATCCGGGTTATAAGGGATAATAGTCAAAGATCCCTATCGCGATGGTGGCTGGCGAGCATCATCGCGAAACGCGTTTTGCAGGGAACTGAAGAATACCGATGTGACGTGACGAGCGATTGAACGGGGGATTTAGAGCCTTTATATACCGAAGGAGCTGCAGAAAGTGGCGGATATCCGGACTTGACGCGAAGAGTTGTCTGAAATACGTCTGCAGAGGTGAGATTGCTGTTCAAAGTTGCACGAGGTCGTGGTTTTCCCGATCTTCGAAAGGAACGACGGGTGTGACATAAGCAGAGCACGGCAGCTTCGCGGATAGTCCAAGCTCGACGTGAATAAGTGGGGCACATCCGCGGACTAAAGTTTCACCGACGACTTTAGGCAAGACCGCCTTCTTCATGTTTCTGTTTCTGACGCTACTTCCGACTCCAATCCACTTTGCATCTCTCGTTGCCGTGGTGTTCGACCGTCACAGACCATCTTGAGCACATTTCACGTCCGTGCTTCAATATCGCAATAGGTACGACTTAACCATAAGCGCTCCGTTGAAGGATTGGAAGATATCGAAGCTTCATCCACTCATATAGCTCGGCCAGTTACCTCTATTGACACCCACCTTAGTTGTACCCGTCGCGACAGACCTTACACATAATGGTTGACGCAAAGATCCAGTAAGTCAGGGCTGAATTCGAAGACGTGAGGGGCATCAACTGACAGTGCATAGAGAGCTCATCGCGAAGCCGCGATCAGAATTGACGTACGATTGATCCCTTCCCTGCGAAACAACTTTGTCGCTGATTGAATTTTAGCGAGTATGAGGTGTCTCAAGTCGAGGAGCATGAATTGACCACCGGTCCCCTCTCCATCCTCCAAACCGCCGTCCGGACACGAACCCAGGTCCTTATTTCATGCCGAAACAACCGCAAGCTCCTCGCTCGCGTGAAGGCATTCGACAGACATTGCAACATGGTTTTGGAGAACGCAAAGGAGATGTGGACTGAGACCCCTCGTCTGGCGAATGGACAGCAGGGCCGCAAGGTCAACAAAGACCGTTTCATCAGCAAAATGTGCGTGCGCCAACATTCCTGCGCCAACGACCACTAACATTTATTACAGGTTTTTGCGCGGCGACTCTGTCATTCTTGTCTTGCTCAGTTAAGGTATTAAAAGCGTTGGAAATGCCAGGAGCTGCATAGTTTTGGATTACGAAAATGGAGTTTTGCAGGCACTAAATTCTACATTACGGTCGCCGAAGCGGGATATTATCTTGAAATCGAACACAAATCACTTTTTCAACCCTTCGCTCAATCCAAGCAACAATTCTGCCAGTCCGTGCGCTCCTGGATCCGGGACTCCTTGCCAGCCTTCACCACCCACATAAACTGTTCGTCCTAAGCTCGCCTTCATACCCTGTGTTCCCCTTGCTCCTTCCGCCGCAGCCTCTGCTGCCGAATCGATATTGCGAGACTGCGAAAGGTTCTCAACAAAGGGGTACAGCGCATCCATCAATGTACGGTCTCCCGGTTGCGCAGGAGTGTATTTGCTCAGCGATTTGAGAGATGTTTGTAAAGCGTTACCCCAGATTTCGGCCGTGACCGGCTGTGGAGAGGATGGCGATTGTTGGCGAAGACCATGGGCAAGCGCATTCAAGAAGATGGCGTAAATAGCTCCGGAAGTTCCATCCATTGCAAGCTCAACGACTTGGATTATGCTATTCACGAAGAGTAGCACATCATCGGTGGTCTTCGCTTTCTCCAATTGTGATAGGATTGCTGGGGTCTAATTAGCGTTCTGCATGCGGCAATATCAATCAAGAGACGTACCTTCGGCTCCTCGCTTCAATCCAATACCGCAGTCTCCATCACCAACAATTGTGTCGTACCTCGTGATATCAGGCTCCGCAGCAATCAATCGATTCAGAGCCGTTGTCAAGGCTGATTTAGCGTGTGCATAGTCAACTGAAAGGTGTTAGTGAAGGACGTGGTTGATCAAAGAGTCGCACACTTACATCTTAGGTTGCTTGGCTGAACTTCCTCCTCGACGATACGCTCTTCCTCCTTTGCGGAGCTTCGTCGCCTGGCCCAGGTATCGCTGGTGACGGCAGCCGTCCACCCGCTTGCCTCGGCAGGTGCATCGATTAGCTCAAGCATAGACTTTCCGGCCCCGAGACCAGTGTCCTTGACCTTCAACAAGGTAATGGAAAAGCCGAGGCCGTTCAAGCTGGTCATATAGGTGCCTGACAATATTCTGATCGGCGAGATCTTGTAGTCTTTGGCGAGCTGTTGGATGACCTCGTTCGTGATGCCGCCCAACTCGAGAGGACTAACTCCACCCAGGTTGTTCACCAACAGGACCACATCGTCTTCATGAGAGATGTTGACGAAATTTCGGTCCTTGTCGCTTGCGTCAAGAGCGTGTTTCAACATAGTCTGGACGAGGTTGGGGAGATCTGTGACCTTTCGCTCTGAGCCGGCTTCATTGTGAATGCCCATGCCAATCTCGACCTCTCCCTCCTTGAGTTCATCCTCAGCAACGACATCTGCACTTCGTCCAGGGACGTGAACGTGCGATAGAGAGGAGCCAATAGAGACGAGATTATCGGCAGTGAGTTGTGCGACCTGTGTGACCTCCTTCAAGCTTGCGCCTTGTGCCGCCAATGCTCCAGCGATCTTGTGGACAAGGACAGTCCCCGCAATCCCTCTCCTCCCCACTTTTCCACCTTTTTCGCGACCAACCCCAACATCATCCCCAACAACCACCATGTCGGTCTCGATCCCATGCGACCTAGCTTTCTCCACTGCCATGCCGAAATTGAGGACATCACCTGTGTATCGCATCACCACAACTAAAACTCCCTTGTCTTTTCTCACTCTGTGCAGAATGCATCTCCTGATCTGCTCGGCACTTGGGCTTGCGAAGATGGTGCCTGCAACTGCGCCTGACAGCAGGCCGTGTCCTACAAAAGAGGCAAATGAAGGTTCATGACCGCTGCCTCCGCCAGAAACAATTGAAACCTGTGGGCTGCGGATCGCTGATCCGCGCATATGAATGATCTTGTTGTCGATGTCGCATGCCACAGCGGGATTCGTGTAAGGAATTGCGAGAAGAGCTGTGTTGACCAAGTGGGTAGGGTCATTGATGAAGTGTTTGGCTGCGCGCATTGTCAATCCCAATTCCTACGCCCTTTTACGCTGTCACTCTCCAACGACGAGCTATTGAACTGAACTAACCTGACATATTGGGCGAATTGGCAGCTCAATTGGCTCTCAATGTCCGTGAGTATTACTGTCGTATGGAACAATTGGCCGATCAATTGCACTGCGCGCAATGGAGGTCAAGAAGGAAGAATCGAAAAGGTATCACGAAAGTCACGGCAGAAGAGTAGAAGAGGGGCCAGGGACAATAAATGGCAGATCGGGAGATGGGACACACACACAACACACATGCACACGTAAACACAAGAGCCGTCGCATGACTTTCTGACTTGTGCGGCGGCTGGCCTGGGTTACCCAACTGGACGGACTCAACTGGGCACGTCTGGCAAGACGGGTATGGCGGTTTAGACTCGTCGCAAACAATTACCGGTAGCAGCCATCTAAGCGCTCCACCATCAATAGCGACATCCAGCCAGGCAGTGAGTTTGACCGGGAGTTGTCAGTCATCCGCAATAATGGCTGAGGGCCGAGGACACCTCCTAGAGCGCAAATGCGGTAGATGGATGAGTGGTGGTGGGGACCTTTCCGTGAGGGGTAACGGAGTACAATAGAGGGAAAGGCTGCGAAAGTGGGGTCTCCAAAGACAACTGAATTCAACTAAAAATGACTTGCAATTCTGAGATTCACACTGCAAAGTGCGACGGCCAAACTCGATCCTTCTACTGCGACTGGAACACGGTTGGAGGATTTGACGGTTCGGAATACCGAATCGGGAAATTGGAAGCACCAGTGCCACCGTCTTCCGTTTTCGGATCAATTCCCATCAACCTCAACTCAAACTCACGATAGTTTTTTCTGGTGTTGTTCTTTTTTCTTATGTGGCCTTGAGGTTCTAGACAATTGTCATTCCCCCGATGTTGGGCCTTTAACAGGGTTAACGGTGCCACTCAGGAACGACATTATCAATCCATTTACTATCGTCACTATCGACGATTCGCTGACACAAATTTTGTCACACTCAAAAACAACATTCCCCCTTAACTTTGATCCTCCGGTCTGTATGATAAATATTGCAGTCAATACTGAACGCGTGTACGCAACACCGATCGATCGTGTCCGTCTTCATTGCGTTAATCGTTCGCTACAAAGGGTATTTCCTCTTTCTTGGCTTGGTAGTCATTCAACAAGGGCCCGTTGTGGTATCCACTTGGTTGTTCTGATTATCTGATATCGACAATTTGTCAATATCCGAAATCACATACTACTGGTTTCTACAAAGCGGATGACTATCGCAGAATTCAATTCAATCAACTGGTCACGTTCTACCACAACAACTCCACACCTAAGCTAATCACAGAGCCTCTCCTACAACGGACCTTCCATTCATCTTTCCGCAACCCTCTCTTCCATAACCACAGATTTTTCCTTCTCCTCTTTCCACACATCTAGTGCCTCGTCCCCAACATCGAAATTCTTCCTCAATCCTGCAAATCCCTTGTTGACAAACAAATAATCCACCTGCTCTAGAGTCTTCCCGCCCGTCTCCGGACAAAGCAAGAAGACAAAGATGATAGCAATAACATTGCCCGAGATAACCCACAGCCAAAAGTACCATCCAATCTGATCGAACCCTATGGGGCCAGCAAAGACTGTGATAAAAGTCATGAGCCACTCTCCAAATGCGGTCGCCGCACCACCGATATGGCGGTACTCCAGAGGTGCGATTTCCGCGCAGTAGAGCCACACGCAGCCCTGCCATGCGTACCCGAAGACGAAGAGGAAGAGGAAGATGACTGCCACGGCTGCCCAGCGTATTGCTTGCGTTGGGGAGATTGCGACGAGCACGGTGAAGATGGAGATCAGGATCGTCATGGCGATTGCGCCGTAGAGCAGGACGGAGCGTCGGCCCACGCGTTCAATGGTGAAGTAGAGGGGCACGCAGCCGAGTGCGAAGAAGGTGTTGAGTACACCGGCGATCAGGGAGACGAGATGGGGGTCTGTCACTTTGGAGAGAATTACGGAGCCTGTGGCTTTGTTAGCACTCTGGATCATTGTCAAATATTCCATTGGCTGTAATGGACTCACTGTAGTAGGCAATCAAACTCGAGCCCATCCATTCGCGGATCATGGGAAGCCAGAAGCACATGCAAAGTCTTCTCACAATCTTCATTCTGGTGTTATCGACGATGCCCATCGTCAAGAATTGTTTCCAATGCAAGCTCGAATTCGCCTCCAGTTCTGCTTCAATTGCTCCAAGGATCTCACGTCGGGTAGCCTGCACCTTTTCAGACTCAACCGGCGCATCGTTGAGACGTGCGAGAACGGCATCGCCTTCGTCCCATCGATTTCGAGCGTAGTACCATCGCGGCGTATCTTGACCGAAGTCAGCACTTGAACTTAACACTACCTCCTCGCTGATTCTTCCAGCATTACTTACCAGGCAAGAACCACATCGTCCCACCAGAGAAGAAAGCAAAAATGCACTGAAAAATAATCGGCACTCTCCACGAAGCCTGATTATCCATCTTCGTGAACCCATAGTCAACCCAGTACGCCAACGGCACTCCACTAATAAGCAGAATAGCATTCAACGCATTCGCCGGCCCGCGGTCTCCAATCTCTATCCCCGTCTCACTGAGATACGTAGGCACTGCGGAACTGATGCAACCGATCGCGAAGCCGGTGCAGAGTCGACCGACGATCAGTTGGGGTACCGAGTAGGATGCAGCTTGGATGACTGATCCGATTATCGCGGCGATGTTGCCCATGATGATGGTGCCGCGGCGGCCGATGTTGAAGGTGAAGAAGGCGATGCCGACGGCGGTCACGCAGGCTGCGAGGTCGTATGAGGCGGTTATCATGGGGATCGTCCAGACGTCTTTGGGGTTACCGATGGCGTTGAGGAATGGTGGGTGGAGGAGTACGCCTCCGAGTACGCCGGCATCGTACTGGACAGCTTCATCAGTATGTGCGTACGTGAGTGTTGTGGATATGATTTCGCTTCATGGTGTGACTTACGCCATACATCATGAACGAAGTACCACACACTATCTTCATGAGTGTATACAAGGTCCGCCCTCTGAACACCGGAAAACAACCCATCATGCAATATTATCAATCTCTAAATATCTCTTTCAGTCAATAAACCTTATCCTCACTAAACTCAAGAGTCATTCACAGCATTTACCCACTCTTCGTGTCGGAGAACCGCGCACATCTTATACACACCGCTCCACCTCTCCTTCCAGACCATCAATTCGATTAACCAAGGCAATCCCGCATTCTCCGTCCCAGAGATTCAAGCTCGTCCAAGGCAACCCAGGACTATCTTATCCGTCTACCCGCCGATCATTAACCCCATTCGACATTAGTCGGTAACCTTCCTCCCTTGCATCCTCCACACGACGACGATGCGTACCCACTTATTTCCGCTCTTAGCGTGTTTGTGGGGTGTAGGATGGGAATTGCGTGCGGAAATAAACGAAATCGGATGTGAGTGCTGTGGGGTGTTGTGACCGGCCTGTTGATCCTGAATGCGATGGGCGTGTTGCTCGACGTCGAACGTAATGACTTAGGACTTTCTCAGAGGAATATGCATAACGGCGACATACAAGATGGTTTTCCCAGATAGGAAACCCAGATTGATTGAATGCACATGCCGGTTTTCCGTTGTCTGGCTGGAAAAAGAAAGGTGGTGATGTCTGGGTTGCGAAGTTTGTTTCCAAAGCTCGGCACAACTAGGCACCCACTTTTGGATCTAGACTGTGACATCGTGCGTAAAAGATTGTGAAAAGGAGATGCATTCGTTAAATAGATTCCGTTTCCTGGGAAATGTGCAGTGAAGAGCTGTCATGGATTGGGCTGTGCTTTGTCTAGTTTCGGCTTTTGGCACGAATGGCGAAAGCTTGTTTGATCCAATTATGAGTTGTCGTCTATCTCGCTTTGTCTAAATACTGCAAGGCTATGGCATGGACGACATGCTGGTAATAGCACACAACCGTCTAGTTCTCTTCCAGAAGCATCTGTTGACGTGGAGTCTCGGGTTGGAACACACTGCATATCAAACACTACGCCATTTTTGTTATTGAATTTTAGAACACTCCTCCTGACGAAGCGCGGGTTTGAACATGGTAATAGCAGGTACTGGCATATGCTTTAGAGTCCACTTGAATTGTTGCCTAGAAACGCTATGCAAGAACTATGGCGCAGTATTCAAGCCTAAAAGAGGCACAAGTCGCAATTGTCTTCATTCCTGATAGTCTATTGGACGTTTGTTTGGACGTGCTCCAACGACATCGTGCATATGCGACTAAAAATGTCAGATTCCGATAAAACATGTCTCCAAGCCAGACTGCATAATTATCTGTGCTTGACGACGCTTGACGGCAAAGTATTGGGGACCAAGTCTCCACATAATTTCATTATACGCGAGATTTCTCATACAAAGGACAAGTATATTTATCGACTTGTTTGCCCTCTGAATGCATCATCAAAGAACCCAAATCACCCGCTACGAGCAATCACTGCACAACACCGTTGGTACAGAGAACCAATGTCAAAAAACTGCGGTTTGTTTCTATCTACAACTGGGCAATCGATACCAACAATGGAACAATCTTCCGACTTTCCAAAGCAACCATCAGGTGCTTCCATTTTTTCAGATGTTTTCGAACGATTACCCTGTCCGAATGATCATCAACACCTGCATGGCGTTATTCGCTGCAAACTTCACGACCAATTTCTGATAACTATTAAACACCTTTTCTCGCCTCCTTCCAGCCTTCTTCTATCATCATCATATATACCACATATATACACTCTTGAAGCACAATTTTCCGCTGGATCCCAACGCACTTTCCCTGCTTCACGAGCACTCCTTAGCCAAAGACGCCCACGATGGTTGCAACCTCTGGAACCCCATCACCAGCATCGTTCAACTCGGTACCGACTATTCCCTCCTCAGTTGGCTCTTCTCTTTCTCCCGTTCTGCCATCGGAGAAACCTAAAGTCGGATCCTGTCCACCAACAACGGCAGCCTTCGTCCCCTACTCAACATCAACTGAACACCACGGCAGATGGTGTCGCTTCAAGAGCTGCTTGAAGAAGCTTTGGAGACGAAGCGCCAAAGGTATGGCTTTCTTTCTGGAAGCTCTACACGATACGATTCTCGACCGCGAGGGGAAGAAGGATCCGACTGGCAAGCCAAATGTAAAGGACACTTCATCCTCTTCTCAGCATGAGGATATTAGGAGTATATATGGGACATCGCTGACACCATCAATCGTTTCCTCGGCATCGACCGCGTCTACAGAGAAATACTGTCTGGAGGTACGTATCCAACAAGCTCCCATTTCCTCTTCTCTCTTTCGCCTCCCTTCTTCGATAAACTGTGACACTAACAATGGAACATAGACACCAGACCTAGGCTCTCCAATAGAACTAGATATATCCCTCTTCACGACTACTTCACTCCCGTCCGTCGGAAGAGACTCCAATAGTACTACATCGACTCGGAGAACGAAGCCTCCCAGTTTTCAAAACCTTCCCGTCTCACCGCTAGCCCCCACCGATCTCTCGATACCAATATCGCCGCCTCTTCCCATGACATCACCTTCTGAACCGCAACGACCGCGCCTATACACTTCATTCTCACCACCCCGAATCCCAATTGATCCCCATGCCATCCCGTCTCCGGCATCGCACACTCCCACGAATGCCTCTCCCGCGGCGTCCACAGACAAATACGGCGATGGCGATGCCGGCGTCATCGTGTTCGAAGAGAACGCAGTGGCGCGAAAGGGGCGGGTCGTATGGCTTGCTGAGGAACTGGTCACCATGTAGAGCTATGCTCTGGGGTTAGCTTGGTTGTAGTTCCACAGTGATGTGATGATGGGTGGGTTCGGGGCACACTGGGCGCCTTTGATAGCAACTGCTGTCCTGCTTATACACCTGCTCCTATATACAGCGAGAGAAGGAGTTCCGAATTTCTGGTTTTTCCTTTTCTGTTTTGTACTGGAACCTTCCGCTAGAAGAGGTGTTGTAGTCACTTCATCTCATCTCCTTGACGGATCTTGAACCTCAAAGAGGCCATATGTCTTCGAAAACGGCAACGACCTCTATAGCTGATGGTTGCCCGGGGTTGTCGATCGATCGAGAGTGACCCGTCTACTCAGGCTGATCCTCTTAGCACATTCTTGAGCGAGAATCACTCTGTTTTCGTTCGAACCCGAGTTCTTCCCCCGTTCGAAAGCGTAGTCGAACAGGCTTGCATCTCACCCCAAGTGATTGGACAATCCCGACCCACCGAACGGATTTACGGCGTATTGGCCACGGGCCCATCCGGCACAACGGCGAATCCAACAGATACGACTACCATAACGGACCCAAGATTCGTCCAGGCACCTCAGGGCATTGATGAGGAGTATCGCATCTCCTTGATGACGAATGACGCATCTTCGAACAGGACAAGACGGGTCTGCTGGGGTCATTTCATGTGCGACTCCACTACCCAATCTTCCCGACTTATATACACCCACCTTTATATATACCCAAAGCCTACCTTTATACCTAGAGCCCACCTTTATATCCAAAGCCGGAGGCAATTCATATTCCTTCGTGTTTTTTGGTCAATCGATCGCAGGAGGGAGAAGCGGCACAGTGTTCAAATTCCATCCTTTGGTGACGAATGAGGCATCTTCGAACAGGACAAGACGTTCCTGCTGGCATCATGGATGCCTTCGATGACTACTTCTCCCGAGCCTATATATACATTTATATACACAGGAAGACGCGAGGAGGTTCGTCCCTTCTCTCATTCTTCGTTTCGTTGGTCGAGAGGGGGATATCTGAACGAAACATCTGCTCGACGGTGAGCACAGCTCAAGTAATATCCTTGAATGCTGACAGACTTCACCGGTACGCTTCCGACCCAACCACCGAAACCAAACAACATTTTCGACGCGAGGGCACACGCGATCTCACATACGGCATCGAGAAAGATAGGAGGAGAAAGGAGGATGAGACGAGTCCATTTCTCGTTCTTCTCGTCGATCTTCCTGTCCCGATGGAGGGAGAGATCCTGTGGACGCTCGTTCACCACCCACCCGAATCAAACATTGATCGATGGAGCGATAATTTATTGAGTATCCTCACATATCTGAGCATCGACCAATCGAGCGATAGCCTATTCAACGAGAGCAGTTTGGCCCGAGGGGCAAACATCTTCTTTGGGTCTATCTTCGCTATAATGGCTGGGCTGGGTCAAGGAGGAAGCGATGGTAGGTCGACATTTCTCCTGCAGTCGACGGCAGACCAGGGCATTCCACCACCGACGACACTGGCAAAGCCATGGCAGTATATTACAACAGTGCAAAAGACTCCATTAGCCCTCGGGCTCGGCGTTATTCTTTTAGTAGGCGCTTCTGTTCTATGCCTTATGGTTCGCGCGGTTTTCTTGGCCGACAAGAGACAAGGTTTATGAAGAGGTGTGTGGGGAACTTGCACCATCTCCTTACGCGCAAAGCTCGAGGTATATAACCACTCGAAGAAAAAGTGAATGACACGAAAGCCATCACAACACACCGGGCGTGTACACAGGACAATGTAGCTGACATCATGACGAAGTTCCTCAGTCAGCAAGGACATGAACATCTCATCCACATACTGAACAAGAATCTAATATCGTATTTCTCTTCGACCTTTACCTCGAGAGGAAGGGATAAACCGAGAAGAACAGTCCGATCACCTGCCAACTATCAAATGCTCAAGACGGACTTCAACACCGTGAGCGCCTCTGGTCGCTTGCTGCTGAAGACATTATGCTCGCGCATTTCGTGTTCAGAGAGATACGAAGGAGGAGAAGGAGATGATACGGACAAGTCATCCATCGTCTTGACGACTGAACGAACAAATCTGGAAGCTATATAACCAGAACCAAACAAGATCCAAATCTGTTCTTTTGCCGCTCTTTTTGTTTCACGAGGGAGGAAGAGATCTCGCGGACACCCACCTATCCCTTCTACGACTGGGAAACCCCTGGAACATGCCTTCAAAACGGTGAGCGACTTTGTTCGCTAACGCCTGGAGACTTTTACGCTCGCGCGTTTTGTGTGCAGAGAAGAGACGAGGGAAAAAAAGACCGTTGCGCAGACGCCTCATATCCCTCATCTTCCCAACGACCGCACGAACAGACATCGAAATTATATACATAGAAGAAGAGAAAGTTCAATCTCGCTCTCTGTCCGCTCCTCACCGCCCGAATGGACAGTAGACCTGCAGAAAATGTTCGGAAGCGCGGTTGAGCGTCGATGGCTCTTCATGACGTATACACATCCGGGGAATATACACCAAATCAGAAGAGATGGATCTTCGTTTTTCCTCCTCTCCCTTTTCGTTGTATGAGAGATTGAGGAAATCGAACCAACCCCTACACATACAGGCAATAGATCGAACGATACGCAGCAAGGCAATGGATCAAACGCTACGCAGCCAGGCAGTGGATCTACGTGTTCCGGACAAACCCCCGACTACCATCGCCACATGGACGGAGAAGCAGCCTAAGAACAAAGGCTATAAAGCGCGGGCGAACTCCGATTACTATTCTCCCCCGGCCGCATACAAACGAGTACTTATATACCCCAAAGGAACCAAACACGTTCATCTTTTTCCGTTCTCCTTGAGGAGAGAGAAGAGGCGTCGCGAACATCCATCCAGCTCCCTCATGGCAGTGAGGCATTGTATGGACAAGCCATAGAGAGCGCGGGAGAGCTTTAGTCTGAACCCATTGATGGACTTGTGGACGGGAAGAGGAGGTGGAGGTTGTCGAGTAAGACAATCGTCATCCAGATCTGCTCGCGGTTCTGATCGAGGACTACCATGAGGAAGAGAGGAGAGCGGCCAGGGACAAGAATCCAAGAATCCCCAGGCAGACCGACAATACCTCGCGAACAAATTTTGGCCGAGCGGCGTCGCTCTCGAACCACGTGTATCAAAGACGGATATATATATTCGCACGACACGATAGCGAGTGCTCTAGATCGAGCAATCGAGACCTTGCAATGGACCGAGCCGGTGATGAGAGATTACTACACATCATGCCCGGTGGTCTTTTTCTCGCGGTGTAGGTCAAGTAATACAAGGAGGAAGAGAAAGCGAAGATAAGAGAGAGAGGCTAAGGACAAGCATCTCCAGGAAGACCGAAAAGCTTCGCGAACGTATTCTGGCCGAGCGCAGCTATCGAACCACCTGGATCAAAGACGGATATATATACACGCAACACGACAACGAGTTTTCGATGACGAGCAATGGAAGCTCTGCAATGGACCGGACCGGTGATGAACGACGGCTACATATCATTCCCGGTGGTCTTTCTGCTCGCTGGAAGCAAAGACAACTCAGACGACGACGATTCCACAAGTAAATCAAGTAACCAATGTTCTGGTTCGTTTCTCTCTCGCGAGAGTGAGGGAAATGAGAGACAAGTTCATTGCCCACAAGTTGCTTTCGAAGCGGATATATACACGGACACAGGGGGAAGATGGGACGATCTCGTTGCCCAATCTCTTTCGCCCACTCTTTTTCATTCAATCTCTGTCGTCCAATCTCTGTCGTGAAATATCTGTATTCAACGCAGACGTATATACCAACGCACGAAGCAGCGAGAGATAGGGATCGACAACTCACTTGAACGGCGACTCCTTTCTAAGGTAGACGTTTAGTTGAACGAAACTTTCGTGACCTCAACTTCCCAAGAACACAACCCCATTGCCACCCAGGGAAGCAACGGATTTGGCGATAGCGGGGGTGAGCCTTCAGGTGATGAATCCGATCAAGCAAGGAGGTGTCGAGATGACGATATCGAAAAGTGGCTAGACTCGCGGTACCTCAACTATAACATGCCACATCTCCTGGACTACACGTATGGAATCTCCGTACGAGATTACCTTACGATTATATACACGTTCGCTTCTTACGTACAAGAAGCAGCATGGCTCAACGGTGAGCGGAAATGAGCTCAAAGTTTTCCACGAGGGGATTTTAAACCTCAAAGAGGCCATCGTGGACGATCTCTCGTAGCGAGAGCGAGAGCGAGCGAGGCCAACGCAGTTCTTCACTGGCAGATCGATTCCGCAGCGAATTTTATATATACGTTATATACGAATACAACACACGGCGAGATGCGCACAGGTTGTTTGAAGCTATTTCACCTTTGCGAGGAACAATTCCAGGCACATGGAGCCAATTGGCTTCGGAATTCGATCGCTATGCTGAAACGGGATCCTCAATACCCCGGAATCAGGTAAGCAATTCACTGAAGATTTAAATGAACAAACCACTGACGTTCTAGATGACGAACCAGCTGAGGATTCGACTACACCATCCGCCTAATGATAGGCGGACCTCAGCTTTACATGGTTAAGGCTTTCTGCGCTCCTTCAGATGGAGAATTTCAATTTCCAGTTACGAAGCCTCTCTCAAATGTGGCTTGGAAGTGTTTTCTCTTCTTGAACGGAATGACTGGTATACTCCAGAGTGTACGACGAACACATGCGGCAGCGAGAGAGAGGGCTTCACACATCAATGCCATGGAGCCTCCTTTCCAAGGCAGATGTCTATTCTAGCAAGAGCGTGCCCTCGGAGACCAACACAGTTCTTCACTGGGAGATCGATTCCAAGCGAATTTATATACGAACACAACACACACAGCGAAAAAGACGTATTAGAATGAGAGAAGGACTCTCGAGATAAGTCCCACCAGCCATGCTTCTTTTCAAAGCGGATATATATACGCACAAAATGAGAGAGGGTTTTACACGATAATTCAATGGAACCTCGTTTCCAGAGCAGATATTTATTTGCTGGCACGAGCGAGCCATTGGAGACCAGCACACTCCCTCACTTTCATATCATTCTCGACGCGCGAACCTATATACGACCCTATATACGAACCTACACACTTGTATCGACATGATGAGGAAGAGACGGAGGGCAAGTACATTGTCCATAGCTTCTAATTTCTATCGTCTCTACGGAAGCGAACCTCGAAGGAGATCATATCTTTCTCGGGTGGACAATTTCATTGCCCACATTTCCGCCCGTCCGATTATTGATACCATGATCTCGTGGGTGAATGCTATATCATCAGCTCGCCATGCGAAACTTTTAGCAAGGATGCTATTTCCAGGCCTAATATTCCAGAGGCCTTAAAGGATAAGATATATATCTATAATGCTATGCAGCAACTCTACGTTCCGCGGTTCATTCAACATCCGCTCATCGAACAACTATGCAAGCAGATGTACAGGTCCGAACTAGACGCTTCATGGCTCCTCGATTTTGAACTGATGGTGGGGCGGAAAGGATTCTATTCCCAGGCCTAATATTCCAGAGACTACATATTTATAATGCCGTGCAGCAGCTCTGTGTTCCCCGCATCATCCAACAGCCCTGTGTTCCTCGCCTCATCCAACATCCTCTCATCGAACAACTCTGCGAGCAGATGTTCTGTTGCACGCCCACACGCCCACGCGCCACACGCGTCGCTCGAATGGAGAAAAAGACTTCCCTAGCAAAATCAGACGGAGCCTTCATTCCAAAGCAAGCACTCCCAACGCCGCAAGAGAGAGGAAGAACTCCAGGCAATGTTTCGCTCGGAGATTGTCTCCGCCGCGCCGACACCAGAAACACCACGGGTCGAAGAGAAGGAAAGGGAATGAGTACAAGGGAAAGAAGAGAAGAGTTCATACCTCCCAGTGGGTGCTCGACGCGCGTATATATACACAGGCGCCTTTTCTTTCCTAATGTCGTACACTATACATGGGTAACTCCATTCCTAACCCTGGCATCTCGAGCTTCCAGCGGCAGAGACGAAGACACACCTCCAACCAAATCCACCACGAGTTGAAGAGACGGGAAGGGATAAGATCAAGGGAAAGAAGACGAAAATTTATTTCCTCCCAGCGGGTGTTCGACGCGCCTTTATATACATTAGCAATGTTTTTCTTAGAGATCTCAGACAACTTGTTCTTCACAGTCATAGAGGGAAAGAGAGAACTCGAACAACTCAACGAAGAAACACCACGAGACGAATACACACCTCCAACTATAATGGCCATGAGAAGAATACACACCTCCAACTATAAACACCACGAGTCGAAGAGAAGGGAAAGAAGGGAACAGTTTATTTTCTCCCAGTGGGTATTCGACGCGCATATATATACACAGGCGGGATATCCCTTTTAGAGATGTCAGACATCTGCTCAAAGTCATATAGAGGGAGAGAAAGAGAGTTCGAACAACTCAACGATTCATCAACGACAGAAGACCAGGATCCACACACCTTCAACGAAGAAACACCGCGAGACGAACACACAACTGCAACCAAGAACAACAAAAGACGAGAATCCACACACCATGTACCAAAAACGCCACAGGACGACTACACACCTCCAACTAAAACCACGACGAAATGAAGAGAAGGAAAAGGATCTATAGATTAGGTAGTAACCAACCATAACCAATTGAAACGTATAAACCACAGCCTTCTTCCATCTTACTGTGCCATGCTATGCCACGCTTGAAGTTTCATTTTGTTTAATTCGATTTGAGTTGACTTGTATTTCGATTCGATTCGTCTATATGCCTTCCCGTTCCATTCTCATCCCAGAGAGAGGAAAAATAAAGATAACACATACATTGTACAAACAAGAAAACCCCAGAACAGGCGACTAGGTGACGATGACGAGAGAGGAGAGATGTGGTGGGTGGTATGAGCGTGTAGATGATGGAGCGGATACAACGTCCCCCTCCCCCCTGAAACCCGACGACAAACGAAAACATCTAGGTAGGTAGTTATAATATAAAAAAGCGTACAAAAACAAGAAGAGGAACAGAGAAGAAGAAGGGGAAATTCTTTCCGAAATTTAATCTTTGAATTTGTGAAGAAAAACGGAGAAAAAGAGGAAGAAGAAAACATGCCAGGTTTATATCGATCGGATCGGAATCATGCAAGAAAAGCTCATTTGAATTTGCGCCTTTGGTCCCCCTCACGTCTTCTCTCTCATCAGCGAACCCAAGTGGCTTAATCCAACCCACCAACGCATCAACCAACTAATCCGCCGCCCAACCGACGAGACGCAGGATCCATAATCTCGAATCCCCTGAAAAGAAGTCCTCGCCCCCAACGCACGCGTACCCCGCCGTCCTGGATGCATAATATTTTAATCCCGTTTTTCTGCGATCGACCGATCGACCGATCGATCATGATGATTTGATGATTTTTTTTATTCTTCGTATCTTTATGAATCTATTCGTCCTCCTCTCCCTCCAGGAGGGTGTGTTCGAGGATGTCGCTGAGCGTCAGGACGCCTTTTAGTTTGCTCTCCTCATCGATGACGATGAAGCGGTGGACGCGCGAGCGGCGGACCGTGTCGTATATCGTCGCGAGGTTGTCTTGCATGGAGCAGGTGTAGATGCCGGGGAATTCCTGTGATGTGAATGTTAGAGGGGGTGGGTCTATGAGACGGAAGGGAAACATACGTCTGATCGTTTCAGGAGGGCGTCGCCTACGGTCGAATTGAGGTCGTCGTAGGCTCCGCCTTTGATGAGCGTGATGACGTCGACGGACTCGAATACGTTTATCACGGTGCCTTGGGTTGTCAATTAGCCAACATTGCGACGCATTGCCGGTAGGTAAGGTACATACCATCCTTGTCTAAAATGGGAACGCTGGAAATGCTTTTCTTAACTAGCATATGGATGACGTCCATTACCGGCGTGTCCATATGCGCCGTCGCGAGATTATCGTAGGTTCCAACATGCGGGAGCTCTCGCAGCGGCTTTCGAAGCATCTGCGTCTCCTTGACGTTGACCGCGACGAATTTCAGGATGCGGTACTGTGTGATGACGCTGACGACCATGTTACGATGCGTCTCGTCGTCGATGTCCACCAGCGGAATGCGCCGCGCTCGCGATTCGAGCATTCTCCGACATGCTTCGTAGAGGGGTCGGTCCGGGTGGATCGACACGGTCTCAATGGGTTGCACTCCAATCGCTTTCTCGATATCTGCATGCTGTTAGGTCCTGGGCCGCTCCCGACGCTTGTTGAGGAAACCAAACACACCTCGAAGGCTGTCGAGCCGGAACTGATCCACCTGCCCGAGCGCATCGGGGTTCTGCCATATGTACTGTATGACGTTGATGTAGTCTGACGTCGTCAAGAGACCAGCGAAGGTGGACGACTTTGAGTCCCAAAGCGGCGCCGAGACAATGCCTGCCTCCAAGATTAGCCCCAGCGCGGGAGTGGAATGTGGTGAGCGTGCAACAACCCACCATTTTGAATCAGGATGTTGAGACTCTTCTTCACCAGCAGTGCCGTGTCGAACACGATCAGGCGAAAGCTCAATGGAAGCACGTCGTAACTTCTCCGGACCTTGAGAAATGCACGTATGATCCTCTGCTCTGTTGTTAGTTCCGATGAACGGCGGCGGTATGGTCACATTCGCTCGGACATACCAAGCCCTCCATTTGCTCTCTATCTATCGGCGAGAGCATCTGTGGCGATTGAGGCGGTCTCGTCTGCGACAAGTACGTCCGCGGCGCAACGAAAGATGGCTGGTGACCCAGAGCATCCTCGTTAACGGTATTGGGCGGCGGCGCCGGCGTCGTGGGGTCGGCTGTGTCTGCACCAGACATCGTGACGGCGGTGCTCCTTTGGACGGAGCCACATGGAGGTCTATGTAGGATCAGCTTGGGGTTGTTCCGATAGCCCTGGAGATCGCGGCGTACGGGGGAGGCGAGGAAAAGCAGGCTTGCGCAGGGCACGAGGGTATTGCGGATCTCCGCTCTGCCCTGAGGTTGCGATTCACGGGCGAGGTTGAAGCTGCCACGCGCTAGTAGTGGGGCGGCCTTGGCCCGCGCTTTCCCCAGATCTGCTGTGCTGACTCAGGCTGCCATGCCTGGTCATGACCGCATGCATGCAATCTTTTCTGGTTACGTCAACGTCAACATCACTTCATCAGTATTGTAATACCATAGTGCGCAATGGAAAGGCACCTCCAGATCAAATCAAAATGCGAGAGAGAGATGGACGAATGCGAAGTCCTAGTGCCAATAAGTAACCGTAATGCGAGCCGTCTGTCCGTCTGTCTGTGTCTGTCGGCTGCTTGTCTCTTCAATTGACCATGCTACTACGCCTTGCTTGATTTGGTACAGGTCGCATCAATCGATGCCGTTCGTCAGAAAACAAGATGAGGAAGTGGAGGAAGGAGAACCGCAAAAATTGAAAAGTACAATTGAAAAATAAGAAAATCGACGCAGATTGTTCGGCATCTTTGTAGCCTCTCAGCGCCTTTCCCCAATTCCATGACACATTCCCAAGAAACGCTAGTGACCTCGAAATATAAACATCTGCCGTGAGCGCCTCATCACGTTCAAGTAGGGTTCTTTTGAGCCGCCTTGACTGCGTCCGCATTCAGCTCGGGGCCTGGCTCGGTCTCTTCCTCCTCCATGATTATTTCGGCGGCAGCATGCTCAATGGGCTGCTCGGGCTCGCCTTGCTCCTTTCTTGACTTGGCTACAATAGCATCCGCCTCGCTGATACCCGCGCTGGCGCTCTGCTGGTCGCTGTCGACTCCGATCGTACCCTCGTTTTTCCGTTGCTTGAGAGCCTTGTTGTCGAAGCGGACCACCATACAGGATAAGTTGTCCGTGGAGAATCGGGCGAGTGCGTGGTCCACCAGTATTTTGGAGGCTACCTGCGGATCTTGAACACCGCGAATGAGGTCGACCGCTTCCTGGTCAGAGCACACATCCCATAGCTGTATACATGTTAGTGTGAATGCTGGTCGTATTAGAAGAATAGACTTACCCCATCGCAAGCAAGGATCAAGAATTCGTCTTGGTCCGCCTGGATCACCGTCTCCGTGGTGTATGGATGGCCAGTGACCAAGTCTTTCATATAAGCGTCACCTAGGGCCCTAGTAACAGCCAGAACGCCGTTAACGCGGTTGTTGAGGATCAAGCCACCTGCACTGGCAACACGACGACCTTCATTTTCATCACTGCCTTTGTGGTCATAAGAGAGTCGAAGAGCCCGGCCGTTCCGGCATAGCACGATGCGAGCATCTCCAACGTTCGCTGTGTATAGAACTCGCTGACGGCTTGCGTCACTACGCAATTTTGCTTCCGCTGGGTGTGGCTCACTTTGAGTAGTGGCTTTCGATTCAGTCGTTTCCGAATTGGCAGTGGCATCGCTGGCCTCGCCACCCTCGGTAGAATTCTTCACCGCAGACACAGCCGCTGGTGCAAAGAGGACGGATCCAGTGGAGGACTGAGAGTTGGGGACGCGATCCTCCCAGCGCAGTACTGCTATTACTGCAGTGCATCCGCTGTTCTTGAGGGGCAACTTCTCGAGCTGCTGGTCGACCGAGGTGAAGGTTTGGTCCAACAGTTCAGGGATTGGGGTGTTTGGGTTCTTTCGGATCGTGTCCTCCAACAACAGATGCAATTTCTTCCCGCACCAATCCGCTGCAAACGTACCGGCGTGGCCGTCGAAGATAGCGAAATACCCGTTGTCAGTCTCCACCACAGATTGCGAGGATGGGTCCGAATGATTCGATGCTGAATCGGAGAGAGAACTTCTGCCCTTGTCCTGGCCGTACGAAGGCGCCGGCGTGCTGAGGAAGTTGTACAGGTATGCGTGAGTATCCTCCATAGTCCTGCGACATTTCTTATTCTTGTCCTCGGTCACTCCGACGCGGAACGTCGAGCGGGGTCCAGGTACTGACTCCCCAGCCGAGTTGTTCAGCGACCCCTGGGGGACATTGAGCGCGGGATCCGACTTCCCAAGCTTTTGCATGGGCGTCTGTGGCTTATCGGAATTGGAGCCTGGAGTGGGAGAACCGGACAGGTGCAGGGACTGCTTCGCACTCGAGATCATGTCTCTGGCCCGCGACACCCCGCTGCTTCTTCGCTTCTTCTCACCGGCGGGACTTGTCTCGCTGTTCTTGCGCTCTGTGGAGGGGGCAGCGGCGTTGCCGGTACGCTTCTCGCTGGCAGGGGTTGCCTCGCTGTTCAGAACTGGGGCGCTCTTTTGGGTGCTGGCAGGGGCGGGGGAATCAACGGCAGAGGAGTCTTCGTCTTTGCCAGGTGAGGATCCGAACATCCTGTTCAGAAGGCCTCCCGAGCTGGAGAAACTCCGTCGCTTGTTTCCAGCCAGGATGAGCGATGGTTGCGCAGAACGCGGGGAGTCTGTGTGTGAGGAAGGTACGTCGGAACGAAGAGCAGATCTATTCTGGGCCTGAACCTTGGTGGTCGCGTCGTCTCGAAGAGTGACGTCAAGGATGTTGTACTGGGAGGGGGACTATGCTATGCAGGGTCAAATGTTAGCACCGTTGGCGGGGAATGAGAGAGAGACGAGAGCGATAGCGAGAGAGCGCGCGCAAAGAGAGAAGAGAGTACAGAGTAGTAGCTGGGAGGATTGTGTGAGTACGAGTAGTGAGTGGAGAACGCCCGTCCGCTCGCACGCACGAAAGCACGCACGCAACGTAGGTGGTGGTTGGCGGTGCTGGCGGTAGTGAGGGGCAGCCTCGTACTAGGCCCGACGAACTGTATAGAACCGGCGGTTGGGGACGGGAGAAGTTGCAAGGTTGACGAGCAAATGGAGAGAGACGTACCCGAACGAGGTCGCTGCCAGGACCCGACACACAGGGGCGGGGGAGGGGGGATAATAAATGTTAGGCGAGTGATGCAATGAGGAGATGAGGGGAATGTAGGGTTGGTGTTGGTTTGGTGGTGGTGGAGGAAGGGAAGTTTGTTGTTCTGTTGTCGGAGGTTGGAGAAGGAGGAAGAGAGGAAGAGCGCAGGCACGGGAAGGTAGGGAGGGAGGGGAAGGGAACTGAGAGGTGGTAAGGTTGGGAGGTTTTGTAAGAGTAATCAGGTAGAAAAGTGATGTGAATTAGGGTTAAGGTAGGCAAGTAGGTAGGTAAGTAAGGTTAAGGACGAGGCCAGGCAAGGCGAGGCAAGGCGAAGCAGTAATACTCCTAAGGTAATAGTAGGTGGTCACGTATTATGTGTAGGCGTAGGCGTAGGCTAGATGTGCCTATGTATTGCCTACCTATGTCATGCGTGCAATAATGACACCGACGAGCTAACTGCGATCAATTCCCACGAGTAACTAATTGATGATGATAACTGCTAACTGCTGACTGCTAACTACCTGTACCTGTACCTGCCCTGCTACCAAATGACGTCGGCACGAAAGTTTGTTCGGCGTTCGCGTCTGGCCCAGCGGGCGACAGGGAGTTTGAACGTACTACGAGTCACTAACTCCGTCGGATGACAGAGAGTGCGCAAAGGCGAAGATAGAGAGGTACAAACAGCAGGAAGCGAAGACAGAATAAAAAGAGTTAATTAGAGGGGAATATAACAATTGGCTTCATACATTCAATGCAGGTAACTGTGCCTGAGCACGAGTAATGGCTTACAAACTATGAGTTGCAGCACCTACAGAGTACTGTGTATGCCTTCAGACAGTCAAGACATGTATCAATTGTTCCCACCCAATTCTCCGACCTTCTAGTTCCAGCCCAAGAGTCAGGCATCATTGCTCTAGTCACTCCAATCCTCTTAGCTAGTCTTCGCGTCCGTGGCGGAGTGACTTGTTTACGGTACTGGGCCACTAGGATCAGTTCAATCCGGTGAACTGGTGAAACCTTTTACATTCCCGATTTCTACCTTAACACCCCATTCATAGTTCTTACAGTGTACCCTTGTGCAGGGCAGACCCCCAATTGATCTGATCCAATCCGATCGACAAGGAGAAAAACAAAACAAGAAACGAAGATCTGGTTCGATGAGATGACATGCGATCCATGCATGCCACGCCCGTTTACGACCCAACTACGGCGAACCCGGTTGCTCACAGGGTGGGGGCTCTGCTCTGTTGGCAAAGACCCGATGATTTCAACACATCTAAGAGTGATTGTAGATATAAAATACCTTGTCACATTCAATCAGGAAGAAATAAATATAATGAAACCAAGAAAAGGTCGGTATACAATCCATCACATCCCCGGTCATCGCGGTCCAGTGGATTACTAGTGCCTTTTCATGACCGATTGAACAAACGAGACAACTATAATAGACCATAAACCATCCTACGGCCATTGCATCTAATCAAATGCTTACATGAGGTTTATACGACATAAAAGAGCGAAATACACGCGACCCTCTTAAAGTCGCATTACAGTCGTTTTGGAGCAGCACTTGATAGAGTAATATCCGGATTCCTCCTAGAAAAGGCCCCACGAAAGACAAGTACACCATAAATTTCGAGAACGAAGTTTGTCCAATTGAAGATGAACGGCCTGTTTCATTATTGGACATCAAGGAGTTTCTGATAAGCTTGAGAAAGATGATGAAGGGGGGGGGGGGGTTCCCGAAAGACACGCTCGAGGGATGGGGTAAAGCAGTTGGTTGACACGTTTGCATGGTTGGCTGGCATAGCATTGGCCTGAGGGAATTGGATGATTGCGGTTCTATCAGGAAAAGTTGCTGCTGGGCCAAGCGTTAATATTCAGGCGCACTGTATGGCTTAGTGGGCATGGAGCGTTGAATAAACGCAGGTGAGGGAACGCCATGGGCACTGTTGTGGACATCGCAGCAACCAGACGGGACTGAGTTATGGCGTCAAACTGTCTACGGCTGTATCCTTGATGCTGTAATGTATTAGACGACGCCAAAAGGACACAAGGCTCCCTAACTCCATGGTATTGAACGCATGCAAGATTCATATCGACATTATCATCTTCGTAGGCTGTCGAGACGTGCCTGAAGGTCATCGTCACCCGGATCTCCTCCACCCACGGCCTGTGCCACTCTCCCTTCTGGCACGGCGGTCTTCTGCAGGCCGGATGGCGTCTCTCCGAGCTGTGTCTGGTCAGTACAATGATTGCAAAAGATGAGAACGATGATCCCCCATACCATTTGGCCTAGGTCAATGCCTATCTCGTCGAGCACCTGGTTCACGACCTCCTCACCCTCCTCTTCGTCCTCGAGGCCAGTCACGTCGTCAATGGCGTCATCCATCATCTCCTGTCGTTGGTCCATGATATCGTTCTCTTTCTCGAATTCCATGGCGATGCGCTGCAGTGCGGGGAGATTCATTTGTCGGTTCATGCTTCCGAGGAGTGCTGCGCGTGTTGTGTTAGAAATGCCAGAGCCTCGCTTTGTGATCCTGCTTACTTGTAGCTCCCTTCATGGATTGCATCATCTGCTCATTGCTTCGCACGGTCTAGACAACGTCAGTTACTCTGTAACAACTCGAATGTAGATTTCCCAACCTGTATCCTAAGCGATATAGCCTGCAACTGTGTTCGCATCTGATAGAACTTCTGAATGTACCTGCACGGCCGCGATTGCCATCAGTCCATGCCCATCACCAGCATCCATTGCGATAAGACGTACCGCCTGGTCCGAACCAGATCCTTGGCCTGTATCCTCAGCGGTCCCATCTGGCCATTCTTTGCGCTCTTCTTGATGTCCTGGACCAGCTTCTTCTCCTGGTTCTCCAACTTCACGCGCTCGCGGTCGAGTTCTCGTTGCGTCTTCTCGAGCGCCCGCTGGTGCTTCCGCAGACGCTCCGCCGGCGTCATGCGCTTGCCGAAGGCCCACTCAACGATCTAGATAGGTAGCGGGTGTTAGATTGCGTGGAACGGCCCAATGTGATTTGGCAACCACCTACATTCATGGCGACAGCCTGTTATTCTCTGCGCAGCGACTTGGGGTATTGTAATTTGTAGGGTAAGTGCCCTGTTGGCTTGAGGTTGGGTTGGAAGTGGGTTGAAGCTTGGAGATGCTATACGGTGGTCATGGTCGTGGTCGTTGCCTTGGCGTACGCTAGAAGGTTGCGTTGTATGCGGGCGGGTAACAAAGACAGACTAAGCACAGGTTTAAGTGTCCACCTAGAATGATGTTGACTATAAAATAAAGGCAAGTTAGTTCTCAGTTGACTACATTGTAGAGCGGGAAGACTAAGGAAGAGGCGTCTCCTACTGTTGCTATGCCATAGCTATGGGATACCACGAGTAGTAGCGAGTACTCGGTATATACAAACAAGACATATGACGAGGCGGTGAAAGCGTATCTAGTTCACGACTACGAGTGACAACTAATTCCTATTGGTAGGAATCAAATTATGTATTGGAGTATCCACCTGCATCGTTATTGAGTTGTTGTCAAGTCGGGAATTAATTACTTGTTGTTTTTATATAACCCTCTTGTCTTCCCTCTCCCCCCCTAAATTCCTTCTCCAAAACTTGTTTGGGAACGTTGCGGACGAAATCTTCTCTCTTCCCCCCTCCAACCACCGCCCGCCCCAACCAATCATCCGACCAGCCAATCGGCCGGCCAATCATCTCATCCCATCGCGCCACAGCAAAGCATATTATTTCCTTCCCTCACCCTACACCTACCTTGTACTCAGACACCTCATACCTCCAAACTACTGACGTCGCCATCCAAAAATCTTTCGCCAGCTGTCGACCCACCGCCATTCATCTTCCAGCGCCGCTCGCTGCGACATGATTTGATCTGTTTTATCGCATTCCACATAATTCGCCCTCATGAGTTCTAATCAAGGTGCTGACGGCCCCTCGACTCCCGGAGGTTCCTCCAGCAAACAAGATGCAGCAACCCCGGACCCATTCGTCCCTCGCGCTACCCGCCCAGGATACATGACTGTAGGCTCTGGATCAACACCCGAGGCTGCAGCACGCCTCGTGTCGATGCTAGATCAAGATTCTGGTTATGGAGGTAGTGTTGCCAATGGAGAAGGCTCTGGACCGATGTGGCATCCTAACATCGTCGAAGACCGACCAACGCCACCGCATACACCTCACGAAGGGAACGCTGCCGACCATGACCGACAGCGAAGCCAGGTCCTACAGCTTCGCTACAATAAAAACAAGAATGCTCTCGCCCGTGCCATTCAAGGCACTGTCGATACGTTGAAGGGATTCCAGGAGATGAACCTGTCATGGCCCGCACACTACCCCTCCGCCCAACAAGACCCCCAGAGCCCACAACACAGTCGAACCGAGTCTCGACCGGGACTTCAACACACGCAATCAGCTTTGGGAAGACCTGAAGCACAACGCTCACCTGATCGACCGAAACCCCCACGGAGGGCGGAAACCACGATCGAAGATGCATTCGGAGGAGGAGAATCGAGTTCGGCCGCTGAACAGGAGAAGAAACCCGAACCCCGACTTATCACGCCACAACTCGCCCATGACTTCTCGGTCCTGAAATTGGAGCTGCGTATGGGAGGAAGGACACAGACAGACTTGGTACACTCCCTCGAGAAAAGCTCTGTTGCGTCTCTCTTGGATGGCCAGATTCAACAGAGTATCCGCCATCTCTACTCAATTAGGGAGAGAATAGAGGATACGTCGAGTAAAGTCCTTGTCACTGGAGATTTAAATGCCGGAAAGTCAACCTTTTGCAATGCTCTTCTACGAAGAAAACTTTTGCCCGAGGATCAGCAGCCATGCACCAGTATATTCTGCGAAGTTCTCGATTATCGGGAGAATGGCATGATCGAAGAGGTCCATGCTGTACCGATCAACAACATCTACAACCGTCACGATGAGAGCACCTACGTGGTTTTTGACCTCAAGGATCTGGAAAAGATTGTTATCGACAACGAACGTTTTTCACAATGCAAGATCTACATCCGGGATATTCGTTCTGAAACCGAGTCATTGCTAAACAATGGAGTGGTCGACATTGCACTCATTGACGCACCAGGCTTGAACATGGACTCGGTAAAGACGACTGCAGTTTTCGCCAGACAGGAAGAGATTGATGTAGTGGTCTTCGTCGTATCTGCCGCCAACCACTTCACGGAATCCGCGAAGAACTTCATCTTCACTGCTGCACGTGAAAAGGCGTACATGTTTATGGTTGTGAATGGTTTCGACACGATTCGGGACCAGGAACGATGCCAGAACATGATCTTGAAGCAGGTCCACAACTTGAGCCCGGCAACATTCAAGGAATCCAGCGAGTTGGTTCATTTCGTATCAAGCAACGCCATCCCGATGGCACCTGGTGGCGGGGATGACGATGGAGACGACGATCCTTCCGACAAGGGCAAAGGCAAGGAAGCAGACAAGATCCGAGACTTCGAGGAACTAGAAACTTCCCTCCGACGATTTGTCCTTGAGAAGCGGGCGAGATCAAAGTTGGCCCCAGCGAAGACTTACCTTCTCAATGTCCTTGGAGACATCCACAATTTGGCCACAGTCAACCGAGATGTCGCTCAATCGGAGTTGGATCGAGTCAAGAAGGAGATGGATGAAGTGGAGCCTGAATTTGAGCAATCGAAGAAGGCAAGAACTGAAGCGGGCGAAACGGTCGATCGAATGGTTGAAGAAACTACATCCGATGTGTATAACTACACACGTGACACAATCAACAGCTCCATCGCCAAAGTGGCGGACCAAGATCTCGGTATTGCATACCCCGGTTTGTTGTCAGCGTACCAGTACGCGGAAGACATCAGGGATTCCATGCTTCATGAGATTACTGAGACCGTTCGACAATGCGAGGACCATGCCCGAGCCCAGACCGTTGAAGGCTACAATGGTGTCAAGAATATCGGAATTCTCCACCTTGGCGATACACAGTATGCGAACGTGATGTTCCTTCCCGAGAGAATGTTCCGAAAATCGATGCACGCACTTGCTCGACAAGTTGACATCGATATCGATGTTTGGGATTTCTTTGACGTTTCCGGCTTGTGGGAGCGACAAGAGAAGGCCGCAGGCACAGGCATGGCCTTGACAGTGGCTGGTATGGTTGGAGGACGTGTGATTGGTGGCGTTGGCTGGCTCGATGGAGCTCTCGGTGCAGCGAAGATCTTGGGCTCCAACAACATGAGGAGACTCCTCGTACCCGGCTTGATTGCTGGCTGTAAGTCTTCGATTACCCTATCTGATACAAGCCTTGACTAACTTCATTTCTAGTCGCTATTGGAGTTTCATATGTCCTAAGCTCGATCCCCAAATCGCTCCCACATCGCCTAAGTGCAAAGCTCTCATCACAGCTCGCTGCGATTGACTACACACACTCCAACGCCCTGCGTATCAGCTCGGAGGTTCGACGTGCGCTCAAGAGCCCCGCGAGCGACGTTCGCATTGGCCTTCAACGCAATGTCGAAAAGCTCCAGCTCCGAAAAGAAGAGACGGCCAAATCCAAGGCAGCTGCCGAGGTAGCACGCAAGTATTTTGGAAATTTGGTCAGGAGCAGCAACGATATCCGCCAAGGAGTCCAGCGCATCGACCTCGATGCACCTCCACCAAACTTCCCTACACTCATGCAGTAGCTGAAGCGAATATGTACTGATGATCAAAACCTCCATGATTTGAAAGAAAAAGCTCTGAAGCATTGGGATGGATGATGATTTTGTTATGATGGATAGGAGTTTTGGCAGGCGCTGGGATACCACGACCGCAATCGAATCAGACTCTTCTCAACCTGTAGATATATTCTAATTGAATACCCCCCCTTGAGCATTCGTTTAGCATCGTATACATCTTATTAATGGAAACCCTCCGAATCTGACTCTTGAATTCTGAATGTGAATCCCCGCATAATTTCTGGACATGACCAGTTCAAACCCCCCGCCAAGAATGCGGACCCCCGAACCTCAGAACGTCATCAGCCCGGTATCAACCTCACATCATTACCACCACCTCCTTCCCATGGCTCCCGCCGCCTCTCGACCACCCTAAATGGAAGCTCGACGCGATCCTAGATCGTTTGTTTTCTTTATAATCCTCCTCCTCATCATCAACTCCCCGGGACCCGAGCAACAGCCCTTCAACACCCGGAACCGATACGACGACGTGCTCGAGCGGGAATGGAGCCAACTAGATCTCTTGAATCGCACACGTTACGGCGACTTCGATGCGAAGAAGAATAAATGGCTGAATATATCAGGGCTGAGGGATGAAGACGGGTTCGACTGGGAATCGCTAGGTGCCGTGAAGAGACGAGCGATCGAGCAGACAAAAGGGCTGCTCGGACAGGATGCCGACTTCGCGCTTGATGGATCCGACGACCCCGGGGGAGGAAACAACATATTGGTTTACCGGAACGTGTCGGGGTACGTGGAGGGCGAATGGGTGCGCTCGTCCATCGGTCGCGTGAGGCATCCGTCTGATATGAATCTGACTGCCACGATTGCCGACGGCCCGTTCCCTTCGTCTGAGTTCGAGAGGAACCTCACGGGGAATAGTGGGTCGATACGGGTGCATGTTACAGAGCTGGATGGGAGGTCGCGGACGGATGAGAATAAGACGATTTCGGAGCTGGCGGCGAGGGTGGTGATTGGGGACGATGGGTCGTTTGGTGGGAATTGGTTTGAGTTTTTGTTGAATGGGGTGCACTTCACGAAGACTGGAGGCGCTGTTTTGACGACTACTAGCGATAGGTGAGTTCACGTTTGGAAGGAGTTGAGATGGTATGGCTAATATATCGTGCAGATTTGGTGGCATCTTTGCGCTGCCGCATTTCCAGCTTTCGCAGCATTTATATTCTTCCTCACAGGAGCTGCTTAACTCCACGATACACGATACGATTGAACGACAGATCAATAGGGTTTACCCGCTTTGGAATCCCTGGACATCCGCTCCCGAGGGTGCAAATGAGGCTTTGTTTACAAGCCCGCATTGCGAGTTCGTGCTCTACTTGCAGCAACATCCGATCGCATCTCTGCCTGCGATGGCCAAGCCGGACCAGTCGCAAACGAACCAGGGTTTTGATATAGACTGGTATGAGAACGAGTTGCGATTCCCTACCGGTGCCCCTGTATCGCGTAATTCGCCGCTGGCGATGTCCTTGATCGGGTTCTCTCCGGACTGTGGTTTCGTAATCGAATCCAAAGGACCTCCTGATTTTCCTCCAGGGGAGTTCGCCCATCTCGTAGGAACCAAGACGGAAGGGTTTAACGATAGGGCTAGGCGAGGAATCGTAGCATTCGCTGCAACCCTGACGCTGCAGCTCGTACTGTTGATCAAGCAGATGAAAGAGACTGCAACACCATCGACCCGGAATCGAGTCAGTTTCTATACGATAGCCATGCTCGGTCTGGGAGACGGGTTCGGGTTCCTTTCTCTCATCTTCATGCACCTATTCCTTGGAACTGCACAATTGGCGCTCTATGCCACAGCCTTTATGTCGCTGTTCTCTGTAGTCTTCGAACTACGCTTCCTGATGGATATCTGGACGGTTCAAGTGACGGAACAGATCCGTCAAGACCGACAACAGGCATCGACTACGACGCCGCCTAATGCACCTACACCTCCTCCAACGGCTGTCGACACTCCAGTACCTTCTACCAACCTGGCTCCTGGTGGAGGCCTCCCTCTACCAGCAACAGCTCCACGCCGTGGAGCATCCCCACCTATAATCATCGCGCCCGACCAAGACGATCCATTAGACGATGCCACGACCCCAACACCAGCCGGTGCAAACACTACCAACAACAACCCCGGGCGCGCTGAGCTAGGTGCTCTCTACAGCCGTTACTGCCTGTCCCTCATCGCCATCTTCTTCATGACCCTCCAATTCACCACCATGCGCACGACAGCGCGAGCCTTCTACTTCAACACCCTCTGCTTCCTCTACCTCTCATTCTGGTGCCCACAAATCTACCGCAACATCATGCGCAACTGCCGCAAAGCACTGCGCTGGGACTTCGTCCTCGGCCAATCCGCCGTCCGCATGATCCCCATCTACTACTTCTACGCCGTACCCGACAACGTCCTATTCTCTAGCACCGACGTTCGCGCACTCCTCATGCTCGCAGCCTGGGTCTGGCTCCAAATCCTCGCGCTCGCCAGCCAAGAGATCCTCGGATCCCGCTTCTTCGTGCGCGAGGGCTGGGCACCCCCAGCCTACGACTACCACCCCATCCTCCGCGAAGACGAAGAAGGCGCCACCATGCCCATCGGCTCCGACCAGACGCCCTCCTCCCCCTCCACCACCACCTCGTCCTCCAAACCCGGCGAGTCGAAGGCAGGAAAGGGCAAGAAGGTCTTCGACTGCAGCATCTGCGCTCAGGACATCGAGGTCCCCGTCATACCCGCCGGCGGGGCGTCCGCTGATGATTCTACCGCTGGGCTCACTAGTGGCGGGCTCGTGCTGCAGAGGAGGGCGTATATGGTTACGCCGTGTCGGCATATCTTCCACACGCCGTGCTTGGAGGGCTGGATGCGGTATCGGCTGCAGTGTCCGAATTGTAGGGAGACGCTTCCGCCGCTGTGATCAGGAGTGGGGGTTGTTGGATTTAGTTTGTTTATAGATTATAGGATTGTTTACCTTTTCATCGTTCATCTAGATGCTGTTTTACTAAAGGTTTTGTGGGTGTCGTTACTCGATTGTGGCCATCTGAGGACTTGCCATCAACGCTCTAGCGCCGTGCGTATGCCATGACAGTGACCACATCCATCCACGTAGTCATTTCACACTCCGTTTTCGATCATCCACCATGTAGAATTGAATAGATACGCAGACGCACATAGCCCATGTCCCCGCCTCCCATCACTAGCTCCTCATCCTCACAGCTCTCCCCTACCCTGTTGAAAAGACACAATGAACCTTGTATCAGGCTCCGACGTAACGTTTTCTCTTCTCCTGCTTACGCCGAACAATCTGTATTCCCTCATCTTTCGTTCGAAAATATGAAGGAGAATTCGCTGGTGCACTGGATCGGGGGCGTGATGACGGGACTATAGATATGGCTCCTAAGGATAGCAGAATCAAGGTTGAGAATACGCTAGATGCTCGTCCTGTGGCTGCAAGACAGGGGTCGCTCACATGAAGTGAATTCAATCTTTCATCTGGAATGGGTGGCAAAACTTGCATGGACGATATGTGAGACTTCCCAGAACCATTCTGTCGCGGGCTGAAGTAATCGTATATACCAATCTCAGCGCGTAAGGCGGAATTGGCCCACTGCAACATGGTGATTCTCGATCCTGCGGAAATAAGAAATAAACTAAGGTCTATTTTCCTATCCGAGATCAGGTGGGAAAGATCAGAGTTATGTGCAAGGATGAAGCCAAGACGGCAACGCAAAAGTAACGCATATGAAGATGCAAAGCCTAGTGATCCTCTTTGATTTAAGCATTCATTTTTGCGATACTATAATGCAGACCTACATGCACGTCTTCTAAAGCATCGATCTTTTTGCTTTTCCATCTTTGTGTTAAGGACATTTGGTTATATTTGGAACGGAAATAAGGATGTTGAATTATCTGACAGGGGTTTACTGTTCCAGTAGACGCCGACTGCGCCTCAGCATCCATCTCAGCCTTATCGTGGAACAGCATATCGCTTGTCTTTGTAACGTGCGCGTTGTAGCAAGCTGGTGCTATGATCTCTGTCAAGTCCTCTACCTACTTTAACTTGCTCCTGGACGTGTCAACTACACAGTCGTTACTACCATTCACATTTAGCGCACGGTTGTTCCTACTAGATACCCAACGCTCTAGCTCGCGGATCGGGCCGCGCATGGGGCATTTGTATAAACAATGAACCAATCCACAGTGCAGTACCTGCTCTGCATCCTTATTGTAGTGGCCGTTACACTCGCTTTCATCTATGACCAACTTACGAAAAGAATCCCGTCGCGGTTACGAGAGGCAGGAAAACCCAAAAGTGGATTTGGGCTCATTAGAGCCGACAAATTCAGCGCACACGACGAACCCGCCTGCGCTCATGGAATCGAGTAAGTCCGCGCAACTTAAGGGCTTCAGAGGGGTTACTGATTAATTTCGAGCATCATCTTCGTACACGGCCTCGGGTCAAATCCTGACACGACGTGGGGCCCTAGGGAAAGCAACTGGGTCAACGACATCCTCCCGCAAGACATCCCCGTGGAACTGCAAAAGGATGTCCGTATCTTCTTCTACAACTACGACTCGTACTGGAAGAGGGATGCCATTCAGGCGTGTCTCCAGAGCTTTGCACACGGGTTGCTAGATAATGTAGCTCTTGTGATTCGGAAAACAGAAAACGTGAGTATGCTCTTGTATACCTAGTCTGTGTACTAATACCTGTCAAGGAACAGACACGAAGGCTACTATTTGTCGGACATAGCTATGGAGGTCTCGTGATCAAGCAAGTAAGAAGATTGTGCTCTCTCCGAAAATGCCCGTTTCGTTACTCAGTGCTAAACAGGCATCGAAAGTAAGCCATAGCTGACTCTTCTTAGGCGCTCGTTCAGGCCAAAAGTAACCCGAAGTTTGTGAACATATTCGACCACGCAAAGGCTGCCTTCTTCTTGGGAACGCCCCACCAAGGCTCACACTTTAGTAAATGGGGTAGCTTCGCCGCTAGATTCCTACAACTACTTAATTCAAACCAGGCACTCCTCGAGGAAGTTAATTTTCATGCCCTGCCGCTGTACTATCTACACGACCAATTCGTGAATATAACCGGCAACATGCAGGTAGTCAATTTCTTTGAGGAACGACATACACCCCTCATTAGAGTTTGGTTTTGGCAATGGAGTGAAATTGTGGGCAAGCCTGTAACAATTACCCTCTTTGGCGAAGAGCCCGCTGATACAAGACGCAGTGTGTTTCTAGACAGTCAGCAACATACTCCTATGACAACGTGAAGAGCGTGGGGCTTTCCGTTGACCATTCCGGACTGAACAAGTTTACGATGAAAGATGAAAATTACACGCTGGTTGTCGCGAATCTACTCGACATAATCAAGCCCATCATCTTGGAGAGGCAGCACCGGCTATACTCGGTCCCTATCTTGGTAGCTGAAAGCTATGTTGAACGAAAGTCGCTGTCTGCGTCAGTCGAAGAGAAATTAGAAGTGCTTCATCAAGGGGCTAAGATCCCCTATTCTGTTGTAATCTACGGGCTTGGAGGCACAGGAAAAACCCAATTGGCGCGAAAATACGTCGAAGATCATATCAACGAGTACAACCCAATACTTTGGATAGACGCCAGGGACGAAGATTCGACAAGATCCAGCTTTGAGCGATGCGCAGGCGAGCTGCAGCTATCGTGGGAGCAGAAGGTCACTTCACCCTCGAATCTTGTGGACTCAGAAGCGGTACAGGCTGTTCTCAGGTACCTTCGCAAGCGAAAGAGGACGGATGATAGGTGGCTCGTAGTTATCGACAATGCCGACGATGCTACAACGGGAATCAAAGATATTGTCCCAGAGGGAAGTCAAGGGAGCGTCATCATCACGAGCCAAGACAGCTACTTGGCTAAACACATGAACCACGAAAGTGTGGAGGTAGATGTTATGGAGGATTCAGAGGCGAAAGCGCTCCTTCTTCGTCATGTTTCGCTAGAAGCCAATATTGCATCAAAAGCCGTGCTACATTATTGTGGCGAGGTTGCGATGGAGCTTGGATACTTGGCTCTTGCCATTGATCTTGCCGGAGCTTACATCACAGAGGATATCGCGGATGGCAAGGACGCTGAATCGGCCCTACAATACTACCTAAAATACCACAAGAGACATCGAGATGATCTACTGAAAAACGAAGAATTCCGCGGGCTATTGCAGAGCAAAAAGACAGTGTGGACGGTGTGGGACACGACATTGGAAAGAATAAGAGATATAAGCGGGGACAATCACGCTGACTTGTTGCTTGCTTTTTTAGCTCATTTCAGAGGCACGGTGGTCCAGGATGAATTATTCCGGATAGGCAGCCTGGAACTATCAATTGTAAATCAGACGCTATATGGCCAGTCGATCGAGCTGCCAAGCTGGCTTGGGAGAATCTTCACTCGGAAAGATGGCGAATGGGACGACTTTGACTATCAAAATGGCCGGCGCCGGCTTGAAAGATATGGCCTGTTGCATCGAACTAAGGGAAGATGGCCAGGTGTCTCAATGCATGGATTGGTACAATGGCGAGCGAAACAATGGGCCAAGGAGCATCCATGGGAAAGGTGGTGTCTGACAACAGTCTTGGCAGTATGTGATCAAGTGTCCCAGGATGTGGCGAACCTGGAATTTCACAGAGAAATAGTCACACATCTCCCAACGCTGGAAGAGGGGTATCTGGATAGGCTATATCTAGGCATTCCGAGCAGGTGTTATGTATGGAATACTATTGCTGACATGTATTTTGACGAAGGTCGGTGGAATGAGGCAGAGAAGATTCATGTAGAGGCGGTAGAAACATGCAGGAACGAGCTCGGCGTCAACCATCTAGCTACGATATCGAGCATGAATAATCTCGGGTTGATTTACCGTAAGCAAGGCCGGTGGAAAGAAGCAGAGGAGCTGTTAAGAGAAGTGGTAGAAGCACGGAACAACAAAGTTGGCATCAACCACACAGGCACGCTACCAAGCATGAGCAATCTAGCTGCGGTATTCCGCGAACAGGGTCGATTAGAGGAGGCAGAGAAGCTGTTCATGGAGGTGGCAGAGGTGTACAAGAGGATGCTCGGCTTCGACCACCTATCCACGCTGGAGAGTCTAAGCGATCTTGCTTCTGTCTACATAGATCAGGATCGATTAGAAGAGGCAGAGGAGCTGCTTGTGACAGTGACAGAGGCACAAAAGAGGAGGCTCGGCGTTGACCACCCCATCACGCTAGGTAACATGAACACTCTTTCTTCTGCCTACCTAAAGCTGCGTCGATTAGAGGAGGCAGAGAAGCTGCTTGTGCAAATAGCAGAGACCCATAAGAGGATGCTCGCCATTGACCACCCTAAAAGGCTGGATAGCATGAATAATCTTGGTGTTGTATACCTAAAGCAGCATCGATTCGAGGAGGCGGAGGAGCTGTTCGTACAGGTGACGGAGGTACGCAAGAAAAAGCTCGGCATCGACCACTACGAAACACTACGCAGCACGAATAATCTTTCCTGTGCATACCTTGATCAAGGTCGATGGGAGGAGGCGGAGAAGTTGCTTGTTACGGCGATGAAGGCAAGGAACAGCCTGGACGACCCGGAAACACTGAAATCGATGTTCAATATTGCTTTTACATGGAAAATGCAGGGGCGTCATGTAGAGGCTCTGCGCATGCTGAGGGGATGTATACACCTTTCCCATCGCGTATTGAGTATCAGCCATCCGGACGTTCTATATCGACAAGAGACACTTGCAGAGTGGGAGGAGGAAGAACAGGATAAGGAGGAGAAAGAAGATGAGAAGGAGGAAAAGGAAGATAAGACGGAAGAAGGGGATGTGGAGAAGGAGGAGGAGGAGGGAGAAGACGAAGAGCAGCCGTGAAACTCTGGTTGCAATGCTCTTGAGAGAATGTCAAGAGAAGGGAGGGTAGTGGAGCTTTCAGGATCATACGAGGGGAACGGGGAAAAGATTGAGTCAGCTCATGTATTTGCAAATGTTTCGGATTGGCTACAAGTGAAAGGGATTTATTTTACTGGATATTTTTGCAGTTCTTTTCACGATACCTTCAAATTGACCGAGGCCTCAACATCAAAGGGGCCAAGAGAGAAGTTATGTAGTTAGGCTAACTCGTAGCCTTTTCAATCGATTAATTTCCCTCTCCTCTTCTTATCTCAACGGTTTACTATGCTAGGGGGCGGTAGAATTAGGCAGAGAAGCTCTTGGTAAAATCGATAGAGGTGTGTGACAACAAGCCCGGCGCTGACCATTTCGCGTCAAGCAAGCCTGATCTAGCATTGATATACTTGAACCAGGGTCAATTGGAGGAGGCAGAAAAGGGTGCCTGCGAAAGCAACAGAGACTACAAGCAATGACAAGCTAATCAACCATTTACACTTGCCAGCGAAACCTTTTGACCTAACAACATACTTACGAAAGTGATAAAGCGAATTCGGAATTAGGAATCCGCACACGACGACGAACATATGTAACCTTGCTCTTTTAAGGTGAATTTAGAGACCATACACAAGTACAAGTAGTTAGATTAATGTAACTAAAGGATGCAACTAAGATTCCCTTGTACTTACAAGAACTTGTAGAGTTCAACAAGCGAGCGCAATCCGCGGATTGCGCTCGCTTGCTGGATTTTGATCATCTGATAAGATAAGATTTGATAAGATACGATCTTTCGTGTGGGTCACTTAACTACTTCCAGTATTTCGGTACGCACTGCCAATGCTATTGAGGTACTCTTCCGGATGGTAGGCACACACGGCGATTTGATAGGTACCGCTCAGTGAATTGAGTTTTGTCGCTGAACAGTTAGATAGATCCGGCAACCTGCAGCCGCCTGTGCATGCTCAAGTCTGCGGTGGTATATCCATCAAATATGGGTGCAACGACGATACACTGCAGTGAAATGTGTATATATACTTTCCCGATGAACGCCTTGTGGAAGTATCTCACCAGCAGCTTCAATCAATTCTCACTGCACTTGTGATCAGTATCCTCCCACCATGCGTTTCAGTACACAGTTCGCTGCCACTACGCTACTTGCCTCTGCTGCCCATGCTGCCTGGAAGGAAGGCTGCAAGAGCGCAAAATGGGATTCACAGGAAGACTTCTGGCTCAACAAGTACGAGCCGAATGAGAGTCTGCCATTCGTTCCAACGTACAATGGTACCTATGTTACGATCAGGAACCGACAGCGTCGCTACGTTGTTCTCCACTGCTCTGATGAGCGCCCACCTACGTCGGCCGTGGGCGAGGAAGCACTCTTCGTGAAGGTTCCTATTGAGAGCGTTGAGGTACACGATGGTTTTACTCAGGACCTGATCGACGTAAGCATCTATCCATGAGGTAATGCCACCTTTCATATCCACTGACCCGCCTTGTAGATGCTTGGTATGTCCTCTGCCATCAAGCGAACGGGTGCATATGCCGATGTCACGAATAGCTGCATTCGTGGCAACATGCTTGCGAACCGTACCTTCGATGAATCCAAGTGGGATCAGACTGAGCCTGCCAATGTTACCTTCTACGGCAATGTTGCCGCCTCCGACCCCAAAAAGGTTCTCATCTATAGCAACGGAGGCCAGGCACCGCTAGTTCAGCTTGCTTACATCAAGTTCCTTGGTATGTTCTGGGGAATGGAGGAGACTGCCAATGAGATCTACAGCAAGGTTTCTGCAAACTACCGCTGTGCCGCAGCTCGCATCGAGGACTTGGTCATCAAGAATGAGTTCCCCAAGGGGGCCTGGATCTCCGCTATCCAGAGCAACGGGAAGGAACTCACTGTTTTCCAGAATGACTGGTGGAACGTCTTGGCCGCAGATGCCGGTTCCAATTTGGTTAACGTTAGCAGTGAGGCTAAGGCCCCCGAGGATGCATGGTCTGCGCCTGGTGCCTACATCATGGATGCTAACAAGGAGAGCGTCCTCTCCAAGGAGTCCTTTGCTATCATCGATACTTCTTACTACGATCAGGTCAAGGAAAAAAATGTGGTCATTAACTTTGAGAATAACAGTCCTCGTGTCGATGTAAAAAACTACGCTCAGCGCTCGGGTATGGGTATCAGCGCGTTTGCAATCAAGGAAAAGAATGTCTACTTATCTGACAAGGCAACTAACCGCAACTTGCGTCATAGTAAGTTTCGTATATGGTCAGAAAACTTCGTTTCTTACTCAACATCATCTCAGATTTCTTCGACCGAGGTCTCGCCCGTCCTGATCTTGCTCTTCTCGACTTGATCTCCGTCCTCAAGCCTGGTTTCAACTCCGGCTACACTACGGCTTTCCTCCGATCCATCGAGAAGCCGGATGAGATGGACCCTCAGCGTTCCATGGACAGCCAATGTGTCAAAAAAGGCGAGGAAGTGAGTTCTCTCAAGCTCAACGAATGCAAGCTCCCCGAGTGGGCTACTGGATACCACGCTGCTGGTGTCAGTGCCGATGCCTACGGCCGCAACGGGAAGAACGTCAAGTCTCTTGCCCTCGACGGCAAGTCTAGTGGTCTTACTGGTGGGCAAAAGGCAGGTATCTCTGTTGGATCCATCGTCGGTGGTCTCCTTGTCATCAGTGCCGCCGTCTTCGGTGTCATGGTGTGCAAGCGCAAGCGCAGCACCCAAAAGACGAAGGAGATGGAGGAGGGGAAGCTTGATAGCCCAAGCCCCAGCATTAAGGTATAAATCAAAGTAATGTTCAATGTGAGTTATACACAGATAGCCGGAATTCTAGCATGATGATTATTGGAACGATTACTTCTTACCACCACCCATTTCAGTGTGCTTTTGTCAGAATTCATTGCCTAATTCTATCCTCAATTGACATTCACACGATACGGTGAGCCTCGATAAAGCTGCGAACCGAGTGTCATCTCTCGATCGTTGGAATGGGCAGCCACTATTGTGGGTGTTATACTAAGGTATTGTCGCGTATAGACGCCTCTGTATTAGGGAGCATCACAGGCACGACCCACAATCGGTGGATAGGTAGGATAGGTAGATATTTGACTCTATCGATAGGCCTCTGGGGGTGGGTGGATAATGCCTCGATCTCTCTCGGCAGCTCTGATCGATCTATCTATGCCCTGCCTAAGGCCCTTCCCCATACACGTGACCCCCGAATAGCCTCATCTATTCTGCTACACCACAATATATAGAGATTACTGATATTGCACGCTGATTGCCGAGCACTGTCACTGACTGATTGACTGACTGATTGAACGTCTCGGATATCATTGAGACCTGATGGCGTTAAGCTAGATCATCTGTGAATCACAGATTGTCTTTGTTTGTTAACTATACGCTAGGTATTGAAGTATTTGGGACTTACACCAAGCGCGGGCGGACAGACAGAGAACGAAGCACCCCTTTTGGCCTCTAGGCTAGTTTCACTTTCTCTAAGCAAGACTTGAAGGATTCGGCCATGACGAATAGTCCTATGAGTAGGGGAAATAAGTAAATTGTGTTTTGGTTCACATTTCGATATAATGTCCTTGTACGGGCCTGTGTGATGTAATACTATTTCCAAGTGAGAGGTGTGCTAATATTAATGCCCAATGATATGGTAATGACACCGTACCAGCATATACAAATCTAGAGTTTACGCCAGTGCCATACTTAAAATCATGATCAAGACAAAATACATGGAGCGAGAATCGTCTAATCATGCATCGCAGTGACGAGAAGATACTAGTAGGGTACTTCGCCATCTACTCAATTGCGTGTGCACACACACGTACCCCCATAGCTACGCAAGTAGATCCACCCAACGAAAATCGACAACGCCATCTACAACGACGACAAAATAGAAAACAGAAGGCTAGAACTATCGTGCCATCGTACTATCCCACAGACGATAAATATACTGCGCCGTCGGAGTTCACAGTGGGGTTGGGTCGCCAGGCCCTAACGTATGTATACGCGCGGCGAGGTACGGTACCGCGCAAAAAGCAAACGCCACGGTTTGCGGTACGCTACGCCACGCTGAGGGTGTACCTACCCGTACTGTGCGGGTTGAACCGTGGGAGTTGAGTTTTTTTGGCGTGTGATCTTTCTTTGGTTGAGGGATCGGGCTTTGGCTGGGGAGCTGAAGTGGGAGCTGAATGCTTGAGTGTGTGTGCTTACGGTTCACGGTACAGATGAATGGGTGATAGGGCTTATGTATTTGGGAGGCAGGCAAAGACAACTTTGTTGGTCTCTCTCATGAGGGACTGCGCTGGTAGGTAAGTAGTAATATGCACTCTGTAAGGCGTCCGTAAAACTCCGTTGATATCGCTGCATCTGCACAAAGCGTGCAGCATACATAATTGCTAGAGAGTCCAGTAGAGAGGAAACGAACACGAATTGGATCACGCCGATCATGACTTCATGTTGGAAGGACTCAAACTCGGGAAGACGGGAGGACGAAAGATAAAAATAACACGGGAAAGGTGCAGATCATGTCCTCGTTCCGTAATGAGAGATCAGGGTTTTGCAAGACAAGGGAGAGATACTTGACGCTGATTGGTTGATCCGGTGTGGCTATGAGCGTGAATGTGGCTGTGGTTGTGGTTTGAACAGCAAGAAGTAACAGCATGACAGGATGGAATGATTTCGAGAGGGAAGAGAATTAGGCCGTTCATTATTATTTTTCTCTGGTGTGTGATTCTGTGGCTTCATCCGGTGCGGCTGTAACCATTCCATTTGGCTCGTAAACCTGAACCTTGGATCTTCAAAGGTGTGACGTGAGTGGACGGGGACCCTTGAACAACAACGAACAGTAGAGAGGATGGGGAGGAGATTCTGTGGAGAACCGAGACAAGTCACAGCAAAGGCATACGCAATACCCGTAACTCTTAACTCTTAACTCTTCATTCTTTCAACCTCAGCCTCTCTCTCTCTTCTTTCTCTTACTCCACTTCCTTTTACTTCGCCTTTATCACCTCACCTGTCCACTGCGCTCGCTGTCAACAACGCGACACGACACGACACTCTCTACCCTACTTAACACCACCACCTCTCCTCCTCTTTCACACCTCCTCTCTCGCTTCCTGAGACACTTCAACGCGCCTATACTACAAGGCACCTCGACACTCGCTACAAACTCTCCCAGCCTTTGTTGCTGTGCATCATATTGCAGTACCACCTCATCCCTTCCCGCCTTACTGACCTCCCATCGTCAACCTCCTCTGTTCTCTCCTCCGTCCAACACCAACACAAACGCGCGCACGACCACCACTCCGCATCTTACCTTGTCCTGCGAACGCCCGACTCATTTACCGCATTCGATTACATCCGTTTCATTGCATTCCAATCCAATCGATTCCCGTGCCGAACTCCCACCTACCTCGTACCTACACCCTACCCTCGTAACATCTGCAACACCGTCAGCCTTGGTCCTTCCTTCCGCCGACTGTGCTCCTCCCTTCCAATCTCGGTCTTCGCACATCATGGCTGCCAACGCCTACTACAACAGCTCCAACACATTCTCTCCCAATGCCACATCACATCAGCAGTCAGGCACAATAGGAGGTGCCTCACCTCCTCCGCCTGCTCCTCCCGACAAATCTACACACTCAATCTCCCCCGTCACATCTCCCTTTGACGACCCGAACAATAGATACAACTATCCCTCCGAATCACAACAACATCTCGTCTCGGGTGGTGCCGCCCCGGCAGGCTACCAGGGCTATAACGACGATACCACCTACCACGGCGCAGGAGCTCCCAGTCGATACGATCCACCCGCGCAGTACGGTCAGAGCCACGACCCTTTTGCTGACCAGAACGCGATTCAGCTCCAGAACCAAGGGAAGATGGGCGAGCATTCGAATCCGTATGGTGCGGATCCCGAGAACCATATATATACCGGTCCTCCAAATGGGGGAGGTTATCCCGACAAGAGGAGGCGGAAGAAGAAGCCGTTCTTGAAGAGGAAAATAACATGGGTTGTTTACATTTTGACGGCGGTGCAGATTGGTGTTTTTGTCGGTGAACTCATTAGGAATGGTAAGTTTATGGTGCACAGGGCCCTCAAAATGGAATGCGATACTGATTATTGAATGTCTAGCTATCCTCACGAAAACGCCTATTCAGTTGAAACCCCAGTTTAACATCATGATCGGGCCGTCGCCGTACGTTCTGATCAACATGGGCGCCCGTTACCCGCCCTGCATGCACAACATCCGCGGTGTGACCGACCACAACGAAATGGTGTATTGGAACTGCCCAAACACCACTTCCCAGGAACCGGCTGACAATCACTGCTCGCTGCAAGAACTCTGTGGCATGGGATCTGGTGTCCCGGAGCAGACATATCCCACACCGTTCGATGACCGCTCGCATGAGCCGAACCAGTGGTGGCGCTTCATCACGCCCATCTTCCTCCACGCCGGTCTCATTCACATTGGTTTCAACATGTTGCTCCAGGTGACGCTCGGTCGAGATATGGAAAAAGAGATTGGACCACTACGATTTGCACTCGTCTACTTCTCTGCAGGAATTTTCGGTAATGTCCTCGGTGGAAACTACGCTGCGGAGAATCTGCCTAGTGTCGGTGCCTCAGGCTCGTTGTTCGGTATCCTCGCTCTCGTCCTTCTCGATCTCCTCTACAATTGGTCTTCCCGCCCCTCCCCCGTCAAGGACCTTCTTTTCCTCATCCTCGACATATGCATTGCCTTTGTCCTCGGTCTCCTTCCTGGCCTAGACAACTTCGCCCATATTGGCGGTTTCCTCTGCGGTCTCGTGCTGGGTATCTGCCTCATGCATTCGCCTCAGGCTCTGCGTGAGCGCATTGGCACCGACGAACCTCCCTACGCATCTGTGCATAATGCAGACAACTCCCAAGGGGCGGATGGCACCAAGCCCGCCTTCGCAATCCCCGCGATCGTTAAGCAACCTGTGGGATTCTTTAAGGGCCGTAAGCCATTCTGGTGGGCATGGTGGATTGTGCGTGCCGGCGCTCTCGTCGCCGTCTTCATCGGCTTCATCCTGTTGCTGAGGAACTTCTACGAGTTCAGGAACGAGTGTTCGTGGTGTTACCGCCTCTCGTGTCTTGTAAGTCTACCTCTACTCACTCGTTATTGATGGAACATTTTGCTAACTGCGCATCTCTGAACAGCCTGTCCGCGACTGGTGCGAGAACCAACACTTTGACCTCGACTCCACGAGTGAGAATCCGTCTCGAATGATGATAAGAGAGCTCTTCGGCTCGGCAGCGGGACCCGTCGACCTAGGTGCGGCAATGGCCGCTCAGGCTTTCACTGCATAGTTCCCTTTGCAATTTTTCTTGATCACGTTATGAACAATGTCGTTTTTCCCTATTTATAAACCATAATCATTTGGGCATGCTTTTTGTGCCACCCGCCCATTCAAAGAGACCCACGGCCACTTTTTGTTTTCTCATATCGATCCTTGGAATCAAGATAGGTCGGCTTGGACGAAGGCAAGGGCCGAGGGAAGTAAGCAAGGAAAGAAGGAATACCAAGACGAATGGAGACAAAAAGAGTTGTATGGACTCGTTAGCCGCGAGCCATCATCACGCATGGTGCAGTACTACAAGCGTCAGAATCAGCATCAGAATAAATATCACAACTTCCCTACCAGCAAGGAGGGAGAAAATATCATCGCCAAATGAACAAATGATGTATGGATGAATGAATGAATGAACATAAGAGTGAACGGGCTAGTGCAAGAAATTGAAATAACCCCTGATATGAAAAGTATCTAACATTAACCTCGTGATGAGACAGACAAAAGCCACGGAGATCCGCGGAAACGATTGTAATATGAAAAGTCTAGCTCACTGAGAGAACTTCTCATCAATGTTTTTATTTGGAATCGTGGGACTCTAGTGGTCGCAGTGACGGCATGGAAGCCATTCTCCGTCACGGTAAGCGGCACATTGATCGGCATTGTCGGCACCGACATCAACGTCTCCATCGGCACAGACTTCAACGACATCATTCATCGATGAATTTACGCCCCCTACGAGATGTCCTCAACATTTTTCTTCTAAGATATCAATAACAAACAATTGGAACAATGTGTGCTTCGAATTAATTACACAAAGAAAGATATAGGGCTAGAAGTGGTAGTTGATGTCTTACATCCCCACTAGGACGCCCAGAAACATAAGATCGTTATCACAACTATGGATACATTCTGGCTCCGCATTACATGTCCATTAATCTAGATGCAATTCCTTCGAGATGAGGTAATGTTTACACTGCATTGGACGGCCTGCGAATTTACATGTGATATGCGGTTATCGATTTGGTGGTTGAGCAAACTGTTGATCTTGATAGACGAAACAATATGAAAATCTTCCATAATGACGCAATTGTACAACGTCAAACGTAATTACTCGCATGATCTGATTAAACAGCTATTCTCCGATATTAAACAAAATGCTATATAGCAAACTGATAAGGAGATTTTTCGGAGCAGTGCTTTCACAGCGGCTTCTCCGGGGCGAGGGAGCGCTTTGAATCCGAAAGTGTTCCGTCGGCGCCTTGCCGACCGAGAAAGGCATTCTTTAGCTTCAACTTTGGAGCCGTGAAGGATTCGACGGGAGGACTTGGTGATGCAGGATGGCTTACTGATGTTTTGTCGGGCGGCAGATGATGGATAGATTGTGTTGAAGTATTTGCAATTCTATTTTGAGTGATGGGTTGTATGGCTTCAACTTATTATATATAGGAGGCTGTATTCGCTCCATCTGCTTTATCCTCATCACTCAGATATCAAACAATCATCTCTACTACAGCAACAGCCTCTTCTTTAACACATCTCTCAGCACTTTCTCCAGCTTCACAGCATCTCCATCCTAACAAAATGGCCAACCTCAACCTCGCAACTCTCGACGTACGTAACACTCAATCCTCCACACTCCCCCTTCCTCCATCTCAACTAACACTCCCCAGGCCTCATTGGCACCCCGCCTCCCCCTCTCCTCCACCACCCTCTTCGACGCCAAAAAGGCGAAGAACCTCTCCTTCGAAGCCATCGGCGCCGCCATCGGCCGCAACGAAGTCGCCGTCGCCTCTCTCTTCTACGGCCAGGCCCGCGCCTCCGCCGAGGACATCAAAGGCCTCTCCACCGTCCTCGACATCCCACACGACGTGCTCGAATCGCAGCTCGCAGGCTTCCCCGACCGCGGACGCACCCTCGACCTCCCTCCCCGCGACCCCCTCATCTACCGTCTCTTCGAGGTCGTCCAGAACTACGGATACGCCTACAAGGCAGTGCTCAACGAGAAGTTTGGCGACGGAATCATGAGTGCGATCAACTTCTCCACCAAGGTGGAGAGGGATGTCGATGATAAGGGCGAGTGGGCGGTTATTACCCTCAGGGGAAAGTGGTAAGTGGTTTCGCTCTGTTGGGTGATTGATTCGTGTGGGCTTTTACTGACGATTGAACAGGCTTCCTCATGGACGTTTCTAGACTTTCTAGATAGAGTAGTGAGTGGGTGACTGGGAAAGTGAAAGTGAATATGAGATAGATGATTACGCCAGGCACCTGTGTTGCACAGTGCAAGACATGAATTCGCTGTCCAGATGACTAATTGGCTTTTGCTTCTTCCACCGCATTGTATATAATATTCCATTTTCATAGACTGCACATAATTATCGACCACGTTCCTTAAAGTTGCTATTGACAACCCATTGGTGATTTCAATTGGATGGAGGGAGTGCCTGCCTTCTACTGGTCACCGCTCCCCAACAATCGCGACCTTTACCTTGGTAGCCTCACCGACCAACAATATTTATATATTTAGGTGTCCACCTACCACCTCGCCGGGTTTTTCAGATTGGATCTGCTTTTACCCTCCACCGAATACCTTTCCCTTTTCCTTCACTTCTATCCTATAACAATTTCACTTCCTTCCTCCTCATCACACCCAGTTCTCTATATCCGTTCTCACACTGACCATCAGAATCGCAAATACCTCCAAATCCCGCCTTCGAATCTCTCTCACAAATCGTTCCTTTCACTAATCCATCCATCTGAACCCCCAGCCTAGGCTTCACTACCACCCGCAACTCCTCAAGGCTCGACTCTTCCTATCACCATAATGGCCGACTCATCAGGAACAGACGGTCTCATTCCTTGCACCTACGAAGACTGTGACTTGTTCTTCAGGACCGAGAAGGAAATGAAGCGCCACAAGAAGAACGCCCCAGAGCACGATTACTGCGCGGTATGCAACGAGGACTTCGAGGACGACAACGCGTTGTCCATGCACAAGGTCGTCCGTCCAGACATGCACAACCTAGCTTGCCGTGTCTGCGGCCAGGAGTTCAAGTCTAACAAGGGACTCCAACGTCACATCGAGTTGGTGAGTGAGAAATTCAGATTGAAAGAAGGGCATCGCTAATCTAGAGACAGACTCACAGTGTTGACCAGAAGCTCGTATGCATCGGGTGCGAGGGCAAATTCCCTCGCGCCAGCCTCCTCGTCGAGCACCTCGAGTTCAATCACTGCAGGATCATCACGGCCAACGAGTTCATGGCGAGCATCACCCACAAGTATCTCATCACCGAACTCCTCAACGGCGGAGCCAACTTCGATCGCTTCATGCAGAAGACTTCGAGGTATGAGGCCGCTGTGGACAATGACGATGAGGGAGGCATCAACATCATGGACGAACCTGACCACGAGCCGGTTGACTTGGACTTCGAAGTGATGAAACCACATGTTCCTGAAGGCAGCAACAACTTTGAGAAGCATCTACCTTACCCGCCTCTCCCGGGCCAGTCATCCCAAGCATTCAATGCGCTGGCTGCGAAGCTCAACAAGGCCACACTAGAGGAAAATGAGCGAGTCGCTGCTGGTGAGAGCTCCAGGCAGGCCGTAAAGACTATGTGGGGAGGTCCGACTGCCCGTAAACTCTTCCCTCAAGCTGCGAGCTCTACAGTCGCCCCGAGTGAGTACTCCGTCGAGCAGCTTGATCGACAGAAGGAAAGTGAGTACGGCATCAATATCTTGGACACCCGCTTCTGGGATCCGGACTGCGAAGCCTGGAACCCTCAACGCTTCATCGACCCTGTCACCCTGAAGTACTGGTGTCCATTCGTCTGCGAGTAAGTTCCCATTTCTCCTACTCATTCATTTTATCCTAACAATATCTTTTAGACAATGCTTTGCCATCCCACCCGACCTCGCCCGCCACATCAAGACGGACCACAAGATCCGCGAGATGTCCTGCCCAGCCTGCATGAAGAAATTCAACCACACGACCGCCCTCGTCGCGCACTGCGAGTCCCCAGCCAGCAAGTGCCGCATCAAGCGCGCCGAGGACTTCAGCACCTTCCTCGACAAGCTGACCGGCGGCTTCCTCGGCGTCACAGAGGCCATCCGTCCAGACCACCTCCATAACCCCCAGGCCCTCATCACCAACCCGGAGACCGGCCGCGTCGAGGTCCACACGCCGCACCAGGCTCACTACCTCCGGTACGAGGTCACTCGCCCGGCGCAGTACAAGGGTCCCCAGCGCACTGTTCAGATCGGTGGCGGCCGTATCTGATCGATCCGAGCATCTTCGTCGGCCTCTGAATAGGTCTGTCATGCTTTTCCAAGGCGGCGACGGGCAATGTGGAGAGGTGTCTGCCTCAATGGATCTCCTATTGTCCCTTTATCTCTCCTCTTTCCTTTCTCACTTCAGATTCTCCTTTTCACCCAGTATGGCACGGCATGGCATGGTTTATTGGGAGCAAAGGCTACCAATGGTCTTACAGGCGAAGTGGAGTGCAAACATCAACATTCAATCTTTGGCACCCTCGTCCTCGGAATGAATTCACGGAGTTTACGGATGAAAATGAAAAGTTCAGGGCATAGCAATTCGTGGAGTAGTAAGGTCAAGGCGAGATAAATTCGATTGTCTAGAATAGAATATGCAGTGCCACAATTTCATTACATCCAAAATTCAAAACAGACCTCCTGGTGATGGTGATAAGATACATAGTGAAAAACGAAGAATACATCAAATACCTGCCTAGATACCTCCTAGGCTAGCTGGCAACAAGGGTGAATTCGTTACAAACAATGAACCAACAAATCAAGAAATAAAAATGCAGTCTTCTCCAACACAACAAAGACGAAATCCAATGATCTATTCTGGGATCGCATCACGTAAATCGTTCCACTCATGCCAATCGTTTAACGAAACTAACCGTGGGAAATAACGAAATTAGGTTATCATCCACTCTGGAGGTATAAGCATACCGGAAAGAAAAAAGAAAGCATGTGTGCAAAAGAATATGAGTTTGGCGCGGAAGAACTAACAAGCCCGACAGGTAAGCCAAGTCGTATTCGCAGCTAACTTTCCGAAAATAAGGAGAGACTTCAAGGTGCCTCAGATGATGGAGGTTATGCGATTTTGCGATGCCATGCATGCGCGTACGTCGTTGTTTGGAATGTCTCGTAGCTACCGCGAGTGAGATGGGATGAGAGTTCAACGTAAGGTTATTCTAAAGATGATTCGAATATGAAATAGCATTTAGATATGCGCTAGATATTCAAAGGGTTCTGCTATATGATCATGCTTGAAATACGTGGCTGTACAACCATGTATCTGTCAGGCCGTAAAACTTTAACAAGTCTTGCTTCGTTTCTTTTCCATCGATTCAATTTGACCATAGAATTGATTTTACTGAATATGCGCTTCCGTGCCGCTGTCATTGAAGAAAGAAAAACCCCCTCCTTCGACCTCCGACCTGATCATAGCCATTCAGATGAACATGATGTCCGAGTCAACTGTTTGTTGGTGTGCGGTGAAGTACTCAACTAGGCATGACCAGCAGCTCGATGGGGTGATGATGAAGGCGTTGTATGCCTTCTGTTCCGCCGGCGTCGCAGCAGCTAGGCGAGCAAGGGTGTTTCCTTGGGCACGGAAAATCGCGCTTGAAAGAGGTTGCTCTAGGAACTCTATCCAGCTGTCGACCGAGACGAGTGAATCAATCTTGAGAGGGCCGGATCGCTGCTGATCAGTGTGTGCACAATTGGGATGTCCCCGATATCTTTTCCAGACCTTGGAAGCTTTGACTATGTCGAGGTCTGCAATCCATTTGCCCTGGTCGTGCAATGATATGGCAGCCTCGACAATTCGAGCGTCAGAATCACGAGATCCACGGTCTCCCAAATCGAAGGTGAGCTCATAACCTGTCAAGCACAGGTGCAGTGACGTCGAAGCAAAACTATCTTGTGCTATTCCATCGAATGGCTCATGGGCGACTACTTTCCAGCTGTCCGGGTTGACCTGCAAAACCCGTGGATTGGTTGGCGATGCAAGTACGGATAACCCAGGTTTGCCAATGTTTCCGGTTATTCTCGTCAAGGGGACGTTTGGAGTTTCTTGTGGATCCTGTAGTAAAAGGGTGGAAACGTATAGGTTGCTTTCACATGATATCGCCATTGCGTTTTGGATCGTCTTCGGTTCGAGATCGACATGCCCCGTCTCAAAGTAAGCAATACAACTAAAAGCAATATCTGCCGATATGGATGGTGATTGACTTTTGCATACACTTCGCTGTATGCACCACGCTGCATCTGATATGGGACGAGACGCGGCACGTAAATCCACTCGAGCTCCCGGGAGCCCCGAATATATGAGATTCAAATCAACTAGGGCTTCTAGCGAACGGAAATAAGTTGGAAATCTCTTACTCCAGAATTCACCGTTTCGGATGAGGGAGTAGGCCCACCACTCCTTGTTGATAAAGCCACGGTTTAACAACTTTTGTACTTGACATATCGGAGCTGCACCAACGCGCAATGGTATTAATTTACCAGAGCTTGTTCGCCGACTGGGAAGGTAAACTGCACCGAACTTTGGTACGCCGCATAGGAACACGAATTCTTTGACGTCTTCGCCAGGTCCTGGTGGTAGATCTACGACGTCAGAGAACTTGCAAGATTGATACTGCCGGGTCGCGCCGTAGGTCTGCCACGACCACACAGTCGAGCGAATCTTCCAGGAATCATCGTCGCGTTTCAGCTGCTTCTCTGGAATTAAGTGGGTATACCTCAGATCTGGGCGACCGAACTCTATCACGCCGCCCGCCAGGGTAGCCTTGTCGTAGACGGAGGTCACGACCTCACGGAGGATGCTGACTGGTTCATCAGTGACGTCGCCTCTGAATCGTTCCAAGTATGGCGGCAAGCACCTAAGGATGTGCGGTGAATGTGATAGTCCAAACAACGAAGGGGGGTGTTGCTTTGCAGGAGCCAGCAATCCAGCACATTTTCTTTGACCATAATAGATGAGACGGCGGAGCTCTTCTCTCTCCAAGTTTTCTGAGTTCCAGAATTGTCTCACAGCGGAAGCGAGGACGCTTATATAAGATGGGTTCAGAGACTGGTCAAAAACGTTTGCTAATCCCTCGTCGATGGCAATGATGAGATGCAGCCCGTCATCGACATCGCGTGACCGGAAACCCCAACCGCCAACAATACTCCCCAAAGCCACACAAAGAAACTGGCTTAATGTGACTTGAAAGTCTCCGAGTCCTGTATGTCCCTCGGATAACAGAGGGTCTCCGTAATATTTCAGGTGAGCCAGTGGGAGGGACCAACGGATACCACCTGCGTCGTTGTTGATGTTCGATTCAAGTCCGACGGTGATGATCCCCCCCGGTTGATCAGAGGATCCGACTGAGTGACCAGACACGCTTTAGGATGTTGAACTGACAGATCAGGGTAGAGATGCCACGATGATAAGCCAAGCAGGACGTCTCCGCTTTGGATTCTTAACGGTTGCCCTTTGATCAAGCTATCGAGGGCGACCAATGCTTTGCTCCAAGCCGTTACCACAGAGTTGTGGAGATCGGAAGAAGTCGATACAGTGAGCTGTAGATTGTCTAGAATGAGTCGAAGTTGGGTTTGTTGAACTTTTTTCGCCTCGTCGGTAGTGCGAAGCCATGCCCTGCCCTGAATGAGCAATTGCAATCGAGCGTAAAGGTTGTACTGACCGCGCACTTGCATCCCAAGCCGCAAGTTGACTTCTCGGAATATCTATCCTTGATGCCACAGCCTCGGATATTTGGAAGGATTCTCCAAGAGTTTTCTGTCGAAGGAGCTCTTTCCTCTGCTCCACGAGCTCATTCCAGATTGATATTGCTTCTTTCTGCTTCCAGATACGGGCTAGCATGCATGCTAGAAGGTGTATTGTGATGACAGATTTACCAGATGTCGCGGTCGCCCATATGGTCGTACCATCAACCCCGACGTGGTCAGCAAAAGCCCCGTGTGAAGTTGAGCCTTTGGGATTGATATTGGGCATTTGTGCGATCTCGCTTACTCGTTCGCCATAAGCCCGAACAAGGTCGGGCACGTCTGGGATATCCGATGAGAAGAGTGCACCTAGCTTCCTTGCGACTATATGTAATTCTCCATTTTCAGCGGCGTTCTTACGGTTAGTCGATAAAGCCTTTCCGAGGCCTTTATACTCAGCTGGTGCGTCACATTTGATCATGGCGAAGTCAAAGTTCAAATTTAGCAATGCCATTGTGTTCTCTTGTGAGGCATTGAATAAGGAGGCTGTCAACCGTCCGAAGGATGCCATGGTGTCAAACAATTGACTGTATGTGATCGAACACAAAGTCTGATTTCAGTTCAATAGGAAAGACTGTTGATTGAGAAAAGTCTTTTCGAAGGAATACTGAGGACGACACAAGGCTGAGGTTACACATACTTTTCTTTTTCCTGCCTCGCGACGCAAGGCTGAGCTTGCATAGCCCTTTCTTCCCTCCCAAGTTTACGGCGCATGACTCCCTTGTGAAAGCCACATTACTGCAGATTGATAAACAGGCAGCTGGTTTAAGTACGAAGAAAACATGGTATATCAAATATCAAGACCGATGGAATATATTCATTGATGTCCGCCAATTGTATTAACCTACAGAGCTAAATCAGGATAAGGAGTGACTAGATTAAATAAAGATAGAGATGTACCTAGCATAGGGTGAACGCCAAAAGAGATAGTGAATGGGATGGAATAACTTGATATAAATAATGGATATGGGTGAGGGAATGAATGGAATGGAAAAGTGAAAGAGAGGTGCCTTCGTAAAGATAGATGCTAGTGATATGGGAAGAGGAAACCTTTCTAACAAGGATAGGAGGCGATTGGGTAAAGGGAAGGGTTGACCGCTAATTAGGAAACATAGGACTGAACCGTCCGGTCAGGCAGTGGTCCAGGTTCACGTAACGGCAGTTGATGTGAACCCAAGACAACACACTGCACAGATCAGACGCTGTAGGCGGTCGATGCGTCGACTTTCTCAACTGTCCACTCGCGGTCAACGTGGATCTCGCCGTCACAAACGGGGCCTCTGCGGCCATAGGAGGAGACCGTAGTGGGAGTTGCGGGATCCTTGCCGTTATTCGTTGGGTATATGATACTGCCGATTGTGCTTCCCTTGCCAGTCCCGCTAGCGTTGGTTGTGCTCAAGAGTGTGGAACCGCCGAATTGGCCTTGAAGAAGACGATGGTGGCCGTCGGCACCGCTGGATCCGAGGTTGGAATCACTGGCAATGACACCAGCCCAGATGGCGGAGAGCGGCAAGAAGATGCAGACCATAGTCAGGGTTTGCGAGCCAAGCTCGGGAACCTTGGGATAGAATTGGAGAACGGAGAATATGGCTAGTTGATGGAGTTAGCAAAAGAAGTAGGCGAGTGTAGGTCTGGACTTACCAGGTATGATCATGTTCTGACAGCCCATGATGAAGATGATTTGCATGGCACCAAACTGTGTCATTCCGAGTTTGCGGCGTTGTACGAGTGCGTAGCCGAGCTTGAATGTGAACACGACACAGTAGGACCAGATTGCTAGTGCTTGTACGATAGTCATGGTCGTCATGAGGGTTTCATACTCTTCCATGCCCTTATCCTCCATAGCCAAGCTGCTACTGATAACTGTGACAGCGAATCGATAGCCAATAGCGACGAGAGCCATGACGCCAGTAGAGCCCAATATGAGAACCCGTTGAAGCTTAGGTGTGGTGATGCAGACGACCCAGACTTGCATGCTCAGTGAAATCATGATGCAGATCACCAGCAGAAGTGTCATCGTGTTGGAGGCGACGGTGTTGGCACGATCGTGCCATGTAACTCGTGAGAAATCGTAGGAGAGCATTGCATAAGGAATGAAGTAGTTGCCGGTAAGATAGAGGGACTGGAGGATGGAGCGTATTGTGTTGAATGCCAGACACAGAGCATTCATGATGAAGATTGACGACTTGCGTTTCTCCCGTCGGGTGAGCACGAGAAGAACAAGCAGCAGGGTAGCCGATGCGCCGATCTGCGACCCGTAATTGATGGCAAGACGGATACCTTGCGTGCGAAAGTAGTTGAGATCGTTCATATGGACATCGAACTTTTCACCGTTCGGGGCAAGCAAGGTAAAGGTCTGCTGATAGACATCAATCGTAGGCTGAACGGACGCAGGCATGGTCGTCGACATCGTCGCTGACGTTGTGTCCGAAAGGGGTGTGAGGTTTGAAGTGGTCAATGTGAGAATGGAGATCCGGCTCAACGAGTTCTCAGTGGCAGGTGAATACAGTTTCCAAGAAGTCTTTGACGTTCTGGAGCTGGCCAAAGTTTCGTGGAATGGAAGTTGAATGATGGAATGAAAGTTGGTGAAGAGAAGCGTGTCCAGATATTAGATGAAGTGGGGGATAGAGTATGTAATGGAAGATATAATAGTTAACATGACAATATCTGGGTACAATGATATACAAGTATATGGCGGGCAAACGCAGTGACAGACAATATTAGAGTCTGGTCCAGAACTGGCTTCGCGCGAGGTAAGAGACACTGTTCCAAGGTAATACCGGATGTCTGGGACACCTAAAGGTTCTCCGTAGTGTATCGGCTGAATTGTAGCCACAATTTGAGTGGTCTTAGTATTGTTCCTCTGAAGCCGATACTTCTTAGGAGGTGAATGTTCTCGGCGACTAGACCTACGCAGAAGCAATTCATGAAAATTGATCCACTATGAAGAGTCTCCTGTCTCAATTGACTCGTGAGGTTCTCCTGAAGCTATCTCTTTACTTGATACATTGAGTTGTGAAGCTGCTGAGAGGAGGTTAGCGTGAAGTCCTTACTATTGTTCTCCCACAGCTTTGTCCGCTGAGAAGCCTAAGAACGCTTCATTCCACCCGACGAGACTTCCGGTCCACCATTTCCGTGGCAATGAGACTAGAACAAAACAAGTCAATGCAGAATTCATGTTTGCTTCTGATAGTTGCGACACCATGTTACTGAGGTGGGAGTCACTTAGTGGTAATGGTGATGTCCAGGTCTACTAATCCCAGAGTGAGATAGATTAGTACCCTGTGCACGTGACCTCGCGCAACGATTATCCTTTGTACCAACCCGATCTAGACAACGCGTTCAACTACACAAATCAGACAACCATGCCTTGGACGCTGAACGAAACGGCGAATCGAGGAGGGCCGAATGTTCAACATGAAATTTCTGCTCACCAGCCGTATGAAATAATCCAGACTCCTCAAGGTCGAATCTCCATCATCTCTCCCTCGCCACAGGAGCAGCACCTTCAACGCCTTGGCCGCTTAAGTACGTCACACATTCGTCCCGACTACGTGTATCTCTGTGACACATCTATCTACACGGCTTCAGGCACCGTTTGAACTACAGTGTGACAATAGACTAATCTATATAGGTATTGGTCCCTGGGGCATTAGATTACAGACCATCGATGTCGATCTTGCAATCGTACCTGCCAATCCACGACCAGGCTCCCAACCCAACGGACCAAGCGAGGAGTACAAAATCCATGGGAAGCCTTCATATGGTGGTGAATCAATATTCCTTCGTGAGGGCGATTCTCTTCGCATCCCGAGCATCAACACGAATTTGAAACTGGAGTGGCGCGAGGCAGAAGTGCAGGTTAACTCATCAGTGTCTTTCAATCCGGATGTTACCCACCAAGTCAAGCCTCAAGGTGAAGAACTGTCCGAGACTGAAGATGAAGATCTCGATTTGAATGATAAGGAGCCAAATCTAGGCAACTCTATTCTTGACCCCCAACCTACTCCTCATGCCTCAATCGCACAGTCCGAGGTGGTGGTTCATGAAACGCCTCACGCAGTGAGAATCGCTGAATTATCTCGAGGCAACTCTGAGAATGGCCATCAACCTGACCCCGAAACCAAAGCAATTGATGGCGAGGTATTCTCAACTGCCATTTCTGGCCACAATACTGAAATGAAAGATTCTCCGCCCGCCCTAAGGAGACGAAGGCCTCAACCCGTCGTCCAAATCCCTTCAAAGCGCGACAGCCCCATCCCAGAAACCAGCGAGGATACCACAGATACAACACCACCTCCATCCAACAAGCGCAAGAAACCGAACAACACCGCTCCCAGTCCAACAAGCACAATCTCCCCCGACATCCCAGCCCCATCAACCGCACGCCGAAAGCGAGCACAACCCGGAGCCACCACACCCCTCGCCTCCCAATCCTCAACGTCCCCAATCCAACTCTCCAAACCAAAAGTCGCCTTCAGCAACTCCAACGCCGCCAACATGCCCACGATGATGAAATTCCTAAAACGCCACGGCGGCACCAAAGTCGACACCGTCCGCGAAAACGAATGCACACTCCTCTGGTAACCTCCCACCCCTAACCCCGTTTCACCCCAACCCCCAACATCAACCTCACTCACTAACCCACCCACCAACCCTCAGCGTAAACTCCGGGCCCCTCAAAAAATCCATGAAACTCCTCCTCGCCATCGCCCTCGGCATCCCCATCGTCTCCGACCAATGGCTTCTCACCTCCGCCAAGGCAGACGCCCTCCTCGACCCGCACGCCTACATCCCGCAGGTTCCCGACCAAGAACGCGACTGGCGCTTCACGCTCGCGGACGTGTGGGCGAAACCCCAGCGGTCCCTCCTCGAGGGAAAGACCGTGTACTTCACGCCGGCCCTGAAGGCGATGTACAAGCCGTTCGCGGAGATCGAGCAGGTGTGCAAGGCGGTCGGCGCGCGGCGCACGGTGTCGAAGCCGGCGAGGGAGGTCAAGGATGGGGAGGGCGTGGTCGTGCTGGCGCTCGATGAGACGGATCCTGATGTCAAGGTCCTGGCGGACGGTGGGGTGAAGTGCTATTCGAGGGAGTTGCTGGCGAGTAGTATACTGCGTGGTGCGGTGGATCTCGAGAGTACGGAGTTTAGGCTTGGGGGGCAGACGCAGGTGCGGGAGGAAAGTCCGAAGCAGAGGAGGGGACGGTCGAGGAAGGGCTGAGTGTAGCACGGTCGGTTGCTTGTGAAGTTGGAGGTGTATGAGATATCTTCGAGAAAGGAAGACCTGCATCATAGACATACACTTTTACGATGAGACGAGATCACATGTCACGCACGAATAGCATAACCCAAGACTTTGTTTTTGAACTGAATGATTTCTTCACGCTCTCATTGCTAGCGAAAATGCAGGATTGGTGCATAAAATCGAAAGATATCCATCATACACGTCGTGAAGAGAGGTTGAGAAATAACAGAGAAGGAAAAAGGAAAGGAAACGCAAGAGATGACTGACTGACTGACTGATAAGAGAGAGAAAGAGAGAACCCCACACATTACGAATACGCCACACCAGTAGAGGTGTCCACTTAGGAGTGGAAGAGAACCAACAAACGCCACCCATTTGTACACGAAGAAACGCCCGCCTGCAGACCTTTCGCCCAATATGTGCCCAGGACGCGGTGAGAAAGATGGAGGGAGAGAACGAAGAAGCAGGACAGAGCCGGGACGCCACATATGCCATGCCACTGGAAACACCGATCGTGAAAGAAGATGCAAGATGCTCTAGCAAAGGACACCGATCAAGCAAAAGCTTGCGCTAAACTCAATGATGAAGTGACTTTTCAGGGGAGGCCGCGACCGCCAACGCTGCCCACCCGTCCGCTCGTCTTCCTCACACCGGCCTTGCTCTCGGTGGCTCGTCGAGCTGGGCTTGCACGTGTCTTGCCCACGCTGATGTCGCCTCGGCCACTGATGCTCTTCTCACGTGCGGGAGTCTTGGGACGTCCGGCAGCTGGAGCAACGTTCTCGCTGTCGCTTTCACCAGTTGCGGCCCATGTGGTTGTCACGCTTGTGGTGGTCGTGATTGCGCTCATGACTCGTCGCTTGTCCCTTGGGTTCGGTGACTTCGAGGTCGTTCGCTTGTGCAGAATGGCGTTTCGAAGGTACTCGTCCTCAGTCTCTCCATCCAATCGTTGAAGTACACCACTTTCTCGCTTCTCGAATGGCTCGTTCTCGCTGATGCGTTGAGGAGACCTCACGCTACCGCCTCCGTAAAGCTTGCTAGTCTTTCGTGGCTGTCCGGGAGTTGGGGCCGGGAGATTGTCGTCCTGAACACTGACTGTGTTGTGGGAATTGCTACGGTCATTCGTTTGGATCTCTCCCAGAGCTGCACGCTTCGCCGAGCCATTGGGGGGAGTGAAGGCCCCTCCGTTACTAGCGAGGCGCTGCTTGTGTGGGGACTTGGTCGGTGTCGAGGGAATTGCCTCCGCATACTTCGCCTTCATGGTGTCCTCGAACCACCACTCTCGGAATGTGGCCTGGTTCAAGTGAAGCCAATGCTGCTGGGGACCAACGACCATACCAGGGCGCATGAAGCGCATGTAGGCAATGATCTCGTTGGCAGTGAAGGCATGACGGTAGATGAGATAAGCGCCAATCAAGCATCCAGTTCGGCCAAGACCGGCCTTGCAATGCACGGCGATACCCTTCTTGCGCGAAATGTTGTCATGAGCAAGGTTGATGAACTGTCGAACAAGCGAGAGAGGGGGGCAGGTGCCATCATCGAAGATCATGTTCAAATGCTGTATGCCAACTGCAGTGAAGTACGAGGAAGAGTAGAGTTCGGAGTTGAGGCGGACCACAAGACCGATGTTGCGCGCGCAGAAGTGGGAGAGAACGTTCTTGAAGGGCGTGGGGAGGTTTGATCGTTGGATCTCGGGGATGTTCTGAGGCAATGTCGAGTACATTGGTGAAGACTCGGGAATCACATGAGTGGGTTTGTGCTGGGGAGAAGCGAATGCGAGAAAGCTTGGTGTGACCCAGTTGAAGTCTCCCATGTCGACGCGCTCGTACTTCTCATATCTACGTTCGTTAGCTTATGATTAGGTCTTGGGTGGTGGTTCAAGCGTACTCCTCGAGGCTGAAGTCCTTGAGGCCGCAAAGGCCCTCTTCCTTTGCTTTCCATACACCATACACGACATCCTGGATCGTCAATCCGTAGTCGGCCTGGCTGTAGCCTGCATCGCGGAAAGGCATTGGTGGTGGGTCCATCTGCGCGATTGGTGCAAGAGCCAAGTGAGGTGGCCATGACTGAATGAGGACCATGTAGCAGGCAAGAATGCAGGCAGCGTTTGCGCGACCTAATCATCGTTAATCATAATCTTAAAACAGAGAGATATTGTCTGCTTACTCCTTGAGTCGGCATTGCTCCAGAAAACAACACCCCTATCCTCGTTCGCAGGGTCGCCCAAAACTTCATGCAACTGCACCGCGAACCTGTAAAGGTGGCCGATGTGCAACGGACCGAAGTCGGCATGGAAAGCATTGTAGAGAAGATGCTTATCGATGCTGAAGTATACTGGAGGGTGCACCTTTGGACCGGTTGCAATCGAACCCTGTGCCTTGGTCGATCGCTTGCTTGGGGAGCGGCTCTGTCGAGGATATGGGAATGGTGTGTTTGCATCGGGCTCGTGTGTGTATGATGCTAGGTACAAACGGTCTTTTCATGTTCAGTTAGTTTTGCGATCACACATTGAGGTTTGTTTTGACTCCATGTTTTGGCCCGTACCTTGGATGTACTCAATGACCTGCCCATAGCTGGTCGCGGATGTGGGAGGCATGATGGCCACCGTCAAGATCGCAAGCGATAAGCTGAGATGTACGACTGCGAGATCCTATCTCGACTGAAGAAAGATCGGCAGATACTTGCGAGCAGTGATTGCGCGAAGAACGGGCGATTTGTTGTGGTGACGAAACGGCCCCGGGCAGCCTCTGGCGGGAATGTACGAATGGTGGGTATAGTAGTGAAGAAGTCGAAGTCGTCGTCGTCGCTGAAGCGGCCTGTACAAGGTCTCTCTCACTACGCCTGTACAGTAAAGAATAACTGTAAAGATGCGAGAAGTTTGTTGATTGTTAGGAAGAAGAAGAAGAGCTGGCGAAGGGCGACGTCTTGAAGGTCTGCGATGTCAAAACATCACAACAACGCTAACAACAACAGACTAGTCTGGATGTGGTTGGCCCCGAGGCCCCTGCTTCCGTCTCCGGCCTCGCCCCGACAACGACTGTTAGGCAGATCATAACAACAACCAACTCGACTCCTGTTTGACCTTCTGTTGTTCTGTTATTGTTTTGACCAAGGTTCCCGCTCTGATCTCATCTCCCCCCATCTCGAGGCTGGACCCTGTTCATGGTTGTTGTTGCTTATAGCTATAACTCTCCGAGTTATTGTTTGGCACACTCTACTTACCGTATCTCGACGGCGCTACAGTTGGACTCTCGAGGCTCGCCATGGTAACAGGAGGCGACACCTAATGCCAGTCCTTCATCCCCGGGAAATTGCGAATCTACCTCTTGATATCCCGACATTGCAATAATAACAATGCGATATCTCACAAACATTCTGCCCCATATGAGTTGCCACACAACCGTTTGAGGCGTTGTTTAGTACTTGCTTCCCAAAATACGTTCCATTGGTGCTGGCCGTCACTAGCACTCTCGAATCGCACATGATTGCAAATACGACATCATGGCTTGTTTCAATAGACACTTACCTCGCCTTCCCAATTGTATATTCTCGCAAGTCGCAGAACGTTGAGATGTTTAGTAGATTTGTGAGAGGGCTCAACGGCCGTGAGTGCATTATAATTGGTGGTATCTAATAAGTGCATTTATTCGTGAGGCAGGCATTCCATCTCTCGTTATTGCTACAGGGCTGCCAGACTTCCACCAAGCAAGCTCTTCAACTTCTTTGAATCAAGGATTTCACCTTCCTCCAGTTTGCCGGTTTCTTGAACCTTGCCGTCGATGCGCTCATAGCGCGCCAGAGTCGGGACGCTTTTGACTCCCCACTTCTTCCTGTACACGTTGTCGGACGATCTCCACCTAGGCCCATAAGTTAGCGATGTCAACAGTCGCATGCCAGCAAAGTAAACATACTCTGGTATCTGGCCAACGTGGACGTATCTGAGCTCAGGTGCGGTTTCGCCACCAAAAGCCCTTTTCAGTACGGGCAGCGCAGCACGAACGTCGGGGCACCATGCTTGGTTCGTCTTCGGGTCGGTAGACGCGATGAAGCAGATGAAAGTTTTGGCAGAAGGCTCCTCTGGCAGCGGCAAAGCCTGAGCCGACGAGGGCACCTTGTAATGGTCGAAGATAGGCATTATGTGTATATGTGCGCTTCGTGAACACTAGCTAGAACGTGGATTTGGTTTGAGAGACCAAGTGAACACAACGGTATGCAGGGTCTGCGATGATTAAAAAAGGCTTCGGTATGGGCGTTGCGCCATTGAGTTGGATTCTGAGCGCACCGGGGGAAAAGACTAATTGGGTGGGGCAAGTGTAACGGTCCCTTCGCTGGTCGCACGCCAGATCGCAGACACGACAGCACGAACACAGTCACACAGTTCACACCGTGTCTTCTACTTGTACCTCGTACAGATACAATAGCGGATGCTTGGCATTAGTGATGTCCATCAAGTGGATCGTGATGCCATCATTAGTGAATGACTTCAAATTCGATACATGAACATAGGTATGTATCGATTGTATCGAGTCGCTGTGAAGGCCATTACTAGAGTACATACACTCTTTTCAGGGCGCACACCCCTCTCTCTATTGACAGTGTGTCTAGAGACAATGGCTTGCGCTGAAATTGTTCATGTCATCATCCTATGGCGTGCTCTCTAGATTTGACATGCCACAACGGGCACTTATTCCTAAAACTAAACATCAATTGTATTTTATTCGAGATCTTGATACAGTGTAATCTTCCAATATTGGCTATCTTGAACCATATATGCGCTTTTCATGATCGCAAAGATATTCTACGAGTTTCAATTGATCACTTTTTAAGCATGTCCAGGCCTACTCCCACAGACGCACAAAACAATGAGCAATCCTCAAATCTATTTCACCATACCAAAACCTATCTTAATACACCATCCTCTATCAACCCAACAAATCAGTATCCCCTTACATCATCCTCATCGCGAAAACCTAAAAACCCCATACGTTCCACAGCACGAGCTCCAGCCCTCGCCTCGCCTCGAGTGTTGCCAAAAATTCCGGATTCGGGCCACTAAGCGGGATCGATCGGATAGTTGCGATCCTGTCTGTGTGCGTGTGTGGCGTGCGTCCGTCGGCGATCTGTACGCCGACGTCCCAACTCCCCAATATCCATTCACAGCACGGGCGGGGAGACTCGACGACCACACATTTACGGATGCTTGAGAAGGTTTATAGGTGTAGGGGAATTTTAATTGATACTGTGAGGTTAGTTTTTTAATCGTAAATTTTGAGCATGACTGATATCATGATTTAGGTGGAATAGCACTTTTTCTTTGCGTCAAATCTCATGATCATAAATTGGAGACCAACAACAACAATTGCCCAATGAATACAACCCCAAAAGCAAACAACCAGATCAAAACACGACCAAAATGATAAAATCCGGTCGCACCAACGGCTGGCTGCACTCCCCCATCTCGACCCTCCCCACATGGGCGTCCTTCAATGGCGTCAAACTGCACCCGGACATCACCATCGGGCCGCTCCCTGGCTTCGAAGAGCGCGGCTCGACTGTCGTTGCTACGGCCGACCTTTCCTCGGATGGCATCGAGGAGGGGCCTCTAATGACGGTGCCGAGGGAGTTGATAGTCTCGAGGGAGAACGTCGAGAATGTTGCGAAGAGTGATGCGGATTTCCGGGCGGTGCTGGAGGCTGTGGGGGAGTTTGGTAGGGTAAGTGAACTGAAGTCTATGAACTTTCATTGATCGCGATCTTGTTTGTCTTGTTGATATGAGAAAGAGATGTTCATAACATCTAGCCATCAAATTCGAAGAGGAAGAACAGTACTAACGACCACGACAGACATCCCGCGGCGCCATCCTCCTATTCCTCCTAATGCAAACCACCATCGCCAACCCCTCCATCCCAAACATCGGCGTCCTGAATCCCCTCACAGAGTACTTCCTCCCCCCTCCCCTCCTATTCCCCCATCTCCCCGCTGACCAAACTCCGTGTAGGTATATCAAATTCCTGCCCGACGAAAACCTCCCCACTTTCTGGACCGAGTCCGAACTCGAGCTCCTCACCGGCACCACTCTCCGCCCCGCCGTGCGTGCGAAACTCGGTAGCTTACTCCGTGAGTTCGAGAGCGTGCGCAGCGCGACGATGGGCGTGAGCTGGTGTCGTGAGCACTGGTGGGGCGAGTCGGCGCCTCCATCTCCCTCCTCGCCTTCCCTGCCTTCCCTCGATGACGTGGATGAGGGAGAACGGGAGAGTAGGGCGGCAGTGACGTTCGACGACTGGATGCGACTCGACGCGATGTACCGCTCCCGGGCGCTGGAGTTCCCAGGCGTGGGGGATTGCATGGTGCCGTGCGTTGACATGGCGAACCATGCTGCGGGCGAGGAGACGGCGGCGGTGTATGAGGTTGATTCGGATGGGAATGCCGTATTGATTCTCCGGGAGGGAAGGGGGGTGCGGAAGGGCGGGGAGGTGAATATTACGTGAGTGCACTTTTTCCTTTCATCTTTCATCTCTTCTTTACTTCTTTGATGGTTTCTACGTCTGTATGTGTGTATGTACATTGACGAACGACGTTGTTGGCTAATGGGTGATATAGATACGGCGACGCAAAAGGCGCATGCGAAACACTCTTCTCCTACGGCTTCCTGCCCGCGCCCTCGCCGTCATCACCATCAGCGCTGTTCCTGCACCTCACGCTCCCTCCCGACGACCCGCTCCGCGCTGCGAAACTCGCCCTAGCGACGTCCGCTGGAATCGCGCCGGGGGTTCTCATCACTTCCTCCCCTACCCCGACCCCTACCTCGCCCTCGACCTCCACCTCCACGGAGATGGAAACTAAGGAGGAGGAGGAGGAGCCACAGAGGAAGACAAAGTGGGAAAGCCCCTTCATCTACCTCGCGCTGCTGAACGAAGAAGACGGGCTCACGTTCCGGCTCGCGCAGACGACGGACGGGGAAACCGAACTCGCGGCCTTCTTCAACGACACGCCGCTCACTGACGAGCTTCTCAACGGGCTCGAGGCGCGGCTCAGGGAGGAGGAGCTGTGGGATGTGTATCGGCTGCGTGCTGTTGTGATGGTGGAGGAGAGGGTGGGCGAACAGTTGGATGTGCTGAGGGGGGTTGAGGAGGCGTTGGCGGAGGAGGGGGGCGAGGTGGGAGGGGATGTTAGGGAGGAGGTGAGGGAGTTGGCGGGGAGGTTGAGGGGAGTGGAGGGGGAGCTGCTGGAGAGGGCTGCGGGGGATTTGGGGAGTGAGGTGAGTTTGAATTTCTGGTTTTCTACTTTCTTGTTTGAGGTCTTTGGTTGGGGATGGGATGCTAACGTGTGTGTGTGGTGTAGAAATACGACTTGTTGCAGTCTGAGGTGGTACGGAGGTACCTTGGGTTAGGTGGCGACGACGACGACGACGACGACGAACAGGAGGATTTCAGTTGAGAATCGGGTTCATAGGTGATTGGTTTCGAGTTCGAGGACGCATGACTTTGAGAATACAGGACTTAGACTTGGAGTTCGAAGTGCTCCACATTGCTCGATGTACGGTCGCGAGACGACGAGGGGGGTCTCCACATACCTACCTACGCGCTGTACAAACACGCGTACCTTTTTCTGCAAGAAACGAAAAAATATATATAATTCGGAACAATTAGTCGAGCGTATTGTGAATTGCGATGTGGATGGTGTATTATTCAAAGTGGGATGGGGGGAATTGTCATATAAAACTCGAACATCCCTGGTTGCGGAGGTTTTAATCTAAACGACTGCCCATCCCAACGATTCCCACAATCCCACAGTGGTCAACTTCCCCCCGATGAGGAAAATCGTTCAAGGGTGATTGATTGCTGGTCACCTGGGATATGTCGATTACTGTCTGGAAATTGTGCGTCGTCTCCAATGTACGGTAGACGGTGTTATTGGTCGCGCGCTTGCCCCCACCTGCGTTTATATGGGTTTGGAAATGGTAGGTCTTAATCATTGTTATTGGGCCTGAGTACAGGACAGGGTGAGGTAGTTGCGAGACAACAGGAACAGATCTCGATTTTTCTAGAAGAACTTTCTCCTGAGCACTCTGGTGATAGGTTGGATGAAGAGGGGAGATTGGCACGAATGTATCGCGTAGTAAACGTTTTCTATCCTTCTTGCGACATTGGATCGTAGAATTTCAAGAGGTACCGTGCGTTCTCTATACGGATAGATATATGCAGGTGATCATTGCCAGGTCAGACGGGTTAATGTCCCGTCATCCCGCGGAGAGAAAGGACAATCAGCCTCTTTTGTACTCCAGATTTCAACGATGATTAGCGAAATGTACTCTGTAAAGAGACTTGATGAACTCTTTCCTTCATTTGACGACGTTATGAACTTCGATGAGATGAAATTGGCAGCGATGAACATGAGCAGACTTGGCTTGATCGTCCGGTGCTTATTGAACAGCAGTGCTGAGTGTAAGTCGTAGAGCGACATTTTGGCAAAAGATAGAAGACAGGGAAAAAGGCTTGATCGGACTGTGTGCCCTGGCTGATTGGCGATCCCATAGGACTATGGAAGAACCTGATCGACAGATGAGAGAGCGAAAAATATGGTACAGTACATACTACAAGGTACATTATGATACTCTGAGGGGCGACATGGGCCGGCAACGACCAATCCACACCACCGTTCAATTCATAGGCATTTCATGTTTCCTTCTGGAAAAGACGATGATTAGATTGGATGGTGGTACAATAGGTCAGGGGGAAGGTTGGGGGCCCGACCCAGAAATGATATGCGTTAGCGACAGTAAGTAGGGCAACATGGGGAGCGCTGCTGTGGCACATAGAGTGGATAGAGCGGATGTGCAGGATTGGCGAACCGTGTGGGCACGGCAGGATCGACGCGATTATTGCGTTGGTGGCACGGTTGACCTGCTGCAGAGGAGAGTGGTCTGAATGTTGATGGTATAGGATGATAGAGTTAAGGCAATTTCTCGTGGGGTATAATAGAGCAGCGATAACTGAGGCGTAAGTAGGTCTCGGAAGCGCATGTGCGATATGTAGGGCTAGGAAATGTGGAAAAATGCTCGTAGCGCTAGGAGCAATCAAGGCAACCAGAATCGGGCCGAACTCCAGGTGAAAAGGACTCTTGTGCGAATAACGAGATGAAGCGTAAGAGACTACCGCCGATATGCGATCGTCAACTTGCACTTGTATTGGACTCGTAAGGGCGGGCTGATTTAGTGCAAGTCACCGTGTGGTTAGTGGAGAGGCTAGATTGTGGCATGTTGTCCGTCGTCCATGACCACGTTTTTCTCACCCCCGCAAAAAGCTAGCAAAAGCTATTCATGGAAAGGTCTGGTTTCGGAGCCGCTGGGGGATTGACGGCAGGCAGTAGTACGGGAATAGGAGTGACATGGCGCCGAATGAGCGCTTGATTGTTTGAAGATGGTGCGAGATGATGATGGATGAACGATGACGGGAGGGGAAAGGTGGCGAAGGGTCTCACGAAAATGTGACGGGAGGGAGATGGAGAGGAAGAGGAAGAGTAAGAGAGATTGCGTGTGAATGGGAGCGATTAGTGAGGAAGGAGATGCAGGGTGATCAGCGATCCCTGTGGTATCCTGGTCTTGTCCGGGGGATGATGAACGAAGGCTGATGATACTGGCGATGATGGCTGGTGGGTGATGGGATGGGATGAAGAAGGTGGATGAATTTTGAAGGACGATAACAGTGAACGAGGTGAATTGTATGGTATTAACGGATTAGTCATCTATTGTTTTGTGTAATATTGACTCCTTCCCCGCATCCATCCGTGTGGGCTGCCCCATAAAGCGCTAAAAAGGAAAACATACACTAAACCCAGGTAGGAACAGCGGGATACACACAGACACCCACACAGACACACCCTTCGTTCCTTCCTTCCGCTTGTCCCTGCGAATCGTCGTCTCTTTTAGACCAACAGAATCCCTCCCCCTCTCATTCTTCTATTACTCACTCATTCACCCTCTCGTCACATCTCACATCTCACATCTTTCCCTCTCATCTCTTCTTTCTTCCCACCTCATCTCAATATCAACCCTCGAAATTCCAACACATACCCACTCCACACGCCTTACACACGTGCGTGCTGCTAAAAATTACGACTGTCCCACTTTTCTCGTCCACGTTCCGTCTCCACACGTCCGATTTCAGGCCTTGCATCCAATCCGCTCCATCCGAATGGTGAGCACCATCCCATCTACCAAACACCTGCACACTTCCCCCATCCGGGGTTCTTGCCACGCATCAACCATCATCTGCATCTAAACATCTACGACCACCGCCCATCATGCCTGGAATCCTTCCCATGAAGGTGATCAAGGTCGGCTCCAATGCCACGGCCCGAATCGCACAAGCCTGCGACCGATGTCGCTCCAAAAAGATTCGTTGCGACGGCATCCGCCCAAGCTGTACCCAATGCACAAACGTCGGATTCGAGTGCAAGACGAGTGACAAGCTCAGCCGACGCGCCTTTCCACGAGGATACACCGAGTCGCTCGAGGAGCGAGTCCGAGCGCTGGAACTGGAGGTTCGCGAATTGAAAGAATTGCTGGACGAGAAAGACGAGAAAATCGACCTCCTATCACGACTGCACTCACATTCACACTCTCCACAAGCTGCGAATTCCACGCCTCGAAGGACATCAACATCGCCATCCCCTTCAGAGCGGGTAGAGGCAAAGCAAGAGAAGGAAGACACATTCAAGGTTCATCAGGCCCCATTGCTGTTGGACGACGAGGAGTCCAGTGATGCATACTATGCAGGGGGCTCCAGCGGCAGGACGCTAGTCGGTACGTTGGACAGCAGCCATCACCTTATTGAATCGAACAATTATGTCTAACGTTACGCAGAGGCGTTCAAACAACGCGCCCAAGAAACGGGTCGCTCGTGCTCGGATGTCAATTCGGGCGTCTTCTTCGGTGCAGGCTCCAAGTCTTCGGTGACACAATCGCCAAAGCGTGCCATCTCCTACAAGGCACCTCCTCGCCTAGTATCTGACCAGATGGTCAACATCTTCTTCCAGGAGTGGGCACCAGTATTCCCCGTACTCCATCGACCGACGTTCCTTACGCTCTACGAGGAATACGTCGCCAGCCCCGATTCCCTGACTGACAAGAAATCGATTGCCCAACTCAATCTTGTCTTCGGAATCGCAGCACTATCAAGCGATGTAAGTAACCCGTCGTTCCACAACAGCTCTTTTGCTAACCCGCATCAGCCCCGCGATGGACAGGACGTCGAGTCTTTCGAGGCCCAGTGGCAGAGCGCCGTGGAGAGCTTCTTGATGGACAATGACGTCGCAACGCTGCAGTGTCTTGTTCTGGCCCAGATCTTCTGCCTTATCAAGGCCGACTATTCCAGGCTTCTCAAGTACAAAGGCTTGGCCGTGGCTCTGTCGCAGCGTCTCGGCTTGCATCAGTCTCAGAAGCGCTTCGCTCTGGGAGCCTTGACAAGCGAGACCAGGAAGAAGGTCTTTTGGTCGTTGTACACTGTTGACTGGTGCGGTCCCCACATCCGATTTATCCTTGCGGCACGTGCTAACCCCTCACAGTCTGTCTGCTGCCCATCTCGGCCTCCCCAAGCTTCTTAGGGAGGAAGATGTGCACTGCGAGTACCCCGTTGATGCTGACGATGAATACGTCACAGAGAAGGGGTTCTTGCCGACCCTTCCTGGAGAGTTCACCAAGCTCTCGAGCGCGTTGGCACTGTTCCGCGTGTCGCGCATCCTGGCCAAGGTGCTCGCAGAGTTGTACCCCGCGTCGCCTTCGCACGAAATCTCATTCCGCACGATTGCGTCGCTCAGTGACGAGCTTGAGGAGTGGTCCACCAACCTCTCGCCTCACCTGAAGCTTACCTTCCAGCAAGATAAGCCCAGCACGAACGTGACCAGCAGCCGTTCTCCGATCTTGGTATGTGCCCCATTCGTCGAACCAATACAAAGACCCAAGAACTAACGTGCAGCAGTCCTTGGCGTATCACCACATCCGCGCACTCATCTACCGGCCTGCTGTCATTGCCAACCTTGGCGACAAGGGTTCCTCGGCAATTGTTGCGGTTGGCGACGCATGCAAGCATATGGTGCAGATCATCCAGCTGCTCGACGAACGCAAGCTAAGTTTCTCGTTCTGCCTGAACCGCAATGAGGTACTCGTGCAGGCTGGTTTCGGCCTTCTCTTCCAGACCCTCAACCTCGACCGTGATGGCAAGCTCATCAAGGACTGCAACCGTCTTGTCTGCAGCGTCATCGAGATGCTCGAGCGTGGCTCTGCCGCCGGCAGCCACGAGTTCCGCCGTGTGGGATGCTCGATGATCTCCATCCCGCGCGTGGAGATGCCCATCCCGACACTGTCTCGTCACAACTCCGAGGCCAGCATGAATGCTCCCTTGGAGACCTTCCGTGCCACGCAGAAGTCGTTGAAGGCTATCGCGGCGCGGTTCTCTCCAGCGGCGAGGGCCAACCGCCAGGAGTCGGAGACATCGCGCCGAGCCACTCTGCCTGCAATCTCTCCAGGCATGCACGCCAACCCGTCGTCCACCAGCCTCTCTTCGATCCGATCCGAACCGCCCGTTGCCCGCTCTGAGCCCGCTTTCAGCCCTCTTTCCGGCCGCTCTTCGCTGTCTGTTCACACCAAGCGCCGCACCAGCAGCACTGTGCGACCATCGCAGAACCCCAACATCGACTATCTCTCGTTTGGCCCTGACCCTCTTGCCAACTACCACTTCGCTACAAACCACCACAACGGCAAGCCTGAAGTGTCATCTCAGGACTGGGAGCGTCTTTTGTCGAGCTTGGATAACGGACAAACCAATATTTACGACACCATCTACGGTGGCCAAACTGCCGATGCTCTTCTCGACTGTCCCCCAATGTCTGCTGGAGCCGAGGCAAGCCTTGCCTGGTCTCCTGATGTGTGGAGCTGGGACATGACGGGAGCAGCCGCCCCACCGCCTCAGAGTGTGCTCAGCTTCAGTGACGAGAGTCTGACAAGCGGAGAGGAGTTTGCCAATTGCGGCGCTGGTGACTACGGCCAGTCGCCGACAGGCAGTCACGACAGGATCTATCAGGGGATCATGATTCCCGACATGAGCACGCCGAACAGCGGTATGGGATTGGGTGGATTGGATGGGACCTTTCTATGATCTTCTGGCTGGCAAAAGGGATATGTAAAATTTCACGAGACCACGACTGGGAACACATGGTGTGGATTGGTGGATTGGACGGTATATCCAGGGTTCGAGGGAGTTTGATTGATTCGAAGTTTGATCGGATTTTGGTCGAATTTTTGGGCGGATAGTATTCGTTTTTGGACACTTCCAACGATTGGATGGGAGAGAGGGGAAAGAGACGACGTTTCTAACATATTTTTCAAGAGATACCACGCACACAGCTACCTACCTATCTACCTACGAAGTACAAAGAGAGAAGGAGTAGTCCGTTGTCTATAGTTACGAGCACTTTTACTGCTGTTCTTATTTTCCGAGTTCTTATTACATAGTCGATTTTGTAGTTACTATGCACAAAAACAATTTCAATCTACAAGACACAAATGTTTCATAAGTATGATGTATCAATTTTTTTGGCATGACGATCGAAGTGAAACACGAATTGGCATTACCTGTTCAAACATTGGACAGCGATTGAAAACACTCTCCACACGTCCGTTCCCCCGTTCCTTTCCCCGCCTTTCTACACATGCACACATACACACTTGACAAAACAGCCCAACGAAAACGAACCACAAAGGAGACAAAGAAACCACCACATCACCCTAACCCTTCACCCTAACCCTTCACCCTAACCCTCAGCCTTCAGCCTCACCACGTTTCTCCAAGCCTTAGAGCAGCGAGCTCAGATCTCCCTTTGCTCCGAGGAGCAGCGCATCCCGTCCAATCCAACCCACCGAACCCAACTCCAGCCCATAGGAAGCCATGAATAAAATACACCGGCTCGGCTTTAGCGCGAGCGTAGTGGGTGTAGTATGAGTGTAGCGGGCGTGTCGGCCACGTGGGAAAATCATCGCTAGTGGACGAGTAGTCAGTTAGTGTACCACATAACCTACCACCACCGCTACTTCTCCATGATGGAGGAGGATTGGGCGATGGTGGGTGGGAGGGGATCGACTGGATCTAATAGGACTTATTTAGTGGTGAGGTAGTGGGAGATGGGGAGAGTAGATGGGCACGTGGCAATGCGGGGATGAAACGGGGAGCATGAGGCGGTAAGGGACTAGAGTAAAGTAGGGGGAGAGGGAGTGAAAGGCGGAGGTGGGAGGCTAGAGGGAACGCACGTGGTGAATTGGAGACTAGGTGGACGGGTCGGAGGAGTCATCGGAGGAGGTTGAGCGAGTACAGAAGGGAGGAATGTGGTATTGGACTGTGTATCAAATGGGGTTGTGATCAATGGGCAAGTATGGAGAGCACGAGACATTGAATTTCGATAACGGTCATCGTAGCTGAGAAGGAAGTAAGTGGAGGGAAAGAGAGGTAAAGTTTCCATTCCTCCTTTTCCGTCTCTCTTTTTTTTTGTTCTGTCGATTTGATTATGTGTTTTGATTTGGCCTTTGGATTTTGGGTTTGGTTGAGTACTACGAGGTATGTGAATTGTTTTTGGGTAGGGGAGGCGTTGGGTGAATATATGTACATAGGGAGTCGACATGTCGATGTCTATATAGATACGTGTGTATATGTATACAGTAAATCATACGGAATAGGACCATACAAAGTACGAAGAGGTAACCACGGCAACGTACAACCCAGCTCCCCAAGGGTACCACCACCACCACCATCACAACCTCATCCACGGGTCCCTGATCCCAAAAAAACCCCAATCCTCAATCCCTACTCTTGCATTCGAGGGAACCCTTGAACCTTGGACTCTGGAAATCCGAGCTCATGGCCTGGGATCCCGAGTCCTGGGTCCCAATGCTACGTACCCACTCACTTCTTCTCACCCTCCTTTGAGTGGGCGACGGTTATGCGGATGTACAATTGGAGGGGGGGAAAGATGTTTTCCAGGTTTCTGGCCTTGGGGTGGGGGGGATCTGTTATGTCTATGCATTATAGACATAGGGTACAGCATCGAATGTGCTATCAAACTGGGAATCTTTGGAAATGGAATTGGAATTGACATACGGCTGCGATGCCATTATATCATTGTCGACGACGTCGAGATAGCGTGATCATGAATAGTTAACTACACACACCCTTTGACCTCACTGCTGTGATGTCTTGCTGCTTTGTACCAAGGACACATGGAATGTTTGCGGGTAGATGAGTTCATGTGTGTGCACAATGAGTGCAATAGTCGAGGAGAGGGAGGTGAGATGGTGGGTCGTTGAAGGTATAGGTAGATGAACGGGGACTACAGTCATCATCATTGTTAGGGGCGAGGATGGGTGGACAGGATAGGATTCACCGTGGCGTATCCAACGAAAGAGACGTTCTTGTAAACGTAGTTTGTAGGACGTTTGGAGATATGTAGTGTTGTAAGTGCTCAGGTGTATGTCTGTATATGCCTATGTATACCACCTGCAAGGGGATGTGTATGATCGGATTAGGCAAGTAGATACTGTATACAGTACCTCGTTGGGCGAAGTCAATGTCATAACAAGAGTCGGATCATATCGTACATCACTCAAGATTCCCATTCCCTCCTCCTTTGCCCTGCAGGGCATGGTGTTAGTGCAGCTGGGAACAGGTAGGTAGTATTAGACAGCTTGATTCCACAGATCTACTATTCCTATCTATCACCCATACACCCCATCGTACCCTAATACCGAATCCTTCGCAGTGGTACGTAAAGATCCATCTGGGGTAACGCACACCCGCTCCACACCGTCGGTTTCGTCCGGACCCTGATGAAAAACAGATTTCCCCATACCTAGACCCTGGGAAACGCAAAAAAAAGTCCAGGAGAGGAAAAAGGAACGGTCTAGAGTCAAAGCTTATCGTCGTCGTTGGGACTGTGGGAACGTGTGGGGGAGAGAGATGGTTGGATGGGATGGGAGCGGAGTGGAGGGGAGGAGGGAATCAGCAGTGTGTCACGCCATGTCAGTCGAGCAGGAATATTCGAGTCTGCGCGGCAGTTGGGGAGGTATGGCTGTGTCTCAGATTGTTTGTTTGTTTCTTTTCTTTTTTTTTCTTTTTTTGGTCGTGTGCTTCGGCCGACGCTTTGCGAGGTGATGATTGGGATGGGATGGGATGGGATGGGAACGGTTGGGGTGTGAGAGAAAGCTGGGGTAAGATGCGACATCGTGAGAAACGATGGGCCATCGGAACAAGTCGGAATCCGGGGAAACGAACACCAACCCCAGCTGTCAACCCCAACGTGGGTCTCTACCCAACCATACCATTCCAAAACACGACCATACTGTGACCCTGTAGGTATGTATGGTACGTATGTACTTACTGCAGGATGTCGTGCCCACAGTCTGCATCCGCCGATACCGCCGCTAACGTGTCTCCAAATCGCGAAAACGCCCGTCCGCTCGGCTCGGATCAGTGGAACATGGAGATCTTGAAATCCTGCCATACCGCCGAGCGGACGGAGGAAAGAAAGAAGCTCCTGCAAGATCCGGGAGTAGCCACGTCCCGCACGTGGCACTTCCCTGTTTCACTCTCCTTGTTTTCTGTCCGTCCACGATGGCCGATCTTCCTCCTACAAGCTGATCTACTCGTGAGTATGAGTGCCAACACAGTGCTGCGTATGTCATAGCTGCGGCGATCGACACGCCCGGCGCAGACGCATGCTAGCTAGCGCAGGAATTCGGTGTTCAGGTAGTCGACGAAGATCTCCTTTATCCGCGACTTCGTAAAGTTGTGCTGGCGGTTCATCGTGATGAACTGGCGGCGTATGCGCTGCAGCGCCGGCAGGCTCAACGGCGATGCGGGGAGCTCGATGGGCTGGCTGACGTCCTGGACGACGATCTCGCCGCCGCCCTCGCCCGCGTGGTCTTTTTGGTATGCTAGGATCTGCGCGACGATGTCGGAGGTCGTTTTGTCGAGTTCGTAGAGGTAGTTTTGTTCAGTTGCAGGGCGCTACAGAGGAATTAGCTTCCGACTGTGGAATTCGAATTAACATCAGAAAAGCGTGTTTGAGCGTACCAGCACTGTCGCCTGGTTCGGGCGCACGACTTTGGCCTTGCCGTCGCTGCCGACCATGGCCTCCCAGATGTCGTCGAACGGAGGCGTTTCGTCCTCGTCGAGCACCGTGAACAGCGGACTGTCCCATCTCGTCATTCCATTGGGTTCCTCATATCGAAAGATCAGGTTCTCAAAGTCCTCCTCGACGTATCCGCCGTCCTTTGTATCATCGGCCAGGAGGGCCTTGTTGATTTCGCGACATTTTTCGGCGGGTGTTCCTATGTGCACCTCTAAGAAGGTCAGTACGGTCGTCGCCGTTGGAGGGAAACAATTGGAGGACTGACGACGCAATTGGGAGTCTGGAGTGCCTTTGCCTCGCAGTAGAGCTGGTACCGAAACCCTTTTATATAATTGAGGCCGTCTGCGATGACCAAGTCATGCCGCGACAGCACCCTCTTCACGGCGGAATACTCTTCGGCGCGGGCGTCCTTCTCGGCCCTGGCAGTATGATAGACGCTGCGGGCGACGCCGAGGGATTGATCGTTGATGAGGTGGACTTTTAGGCGGGCGACGTGGGCATCGGTGGGAGCGGCGTCGATCTTGGATTGGAAGAATTGCTGGAGTTGGACGGCGCGCGTTGTCTTGCCCGAGGAGGGGTAGCCAGATATGAGGATGAGCTGGGGGGATGTTTGCGTCAGCGGGGATGCGACAACGATGGACAGAGACCATCTACTATTATTATATCATTACCCCAGATTTGGGCTGGAGGGAGCAATTCAAAGATACACCTTCAATGATGTAGTGGTAGTAGTGGTAGTAACAATGATAGTGGTGGTGGTTGTCGCATGTGATGTGGGGGGTGTATTCTACTCACAGGCATATCGCTGGCTCTGGCACTCTACTGTCTTCCCTATTCCTTTCCTAACTTTCCTCCCTCGAGCGTAATTACCTATGCTTAGATAGCTTGCTCTGCTCTCTGTCGGAAGTGGAAAAATAATGGGTATGGGAGAAAAAGTGCAAGGGAGAATGTTACCCCGAAGCGTCGATACGAGGAATTTCCGTCCGGTAGGGCCGAAGTCCCCTAGTGGGGAACGAAGATTCGACGGGTCTTGGGTTCTTAACTCATAGGAGTCAAGTCTCAGTTGGCCCTAAGAATCCTCGTTACGGTACGGTTTCTTTGAGAGATTGTTGCGCGAGGAATGTCCAGATTTGGTGGTGGTTCTAAATTATCTAATCCGTCCCGGTGGGTGGTGTTTGGCTGACTCGGTAGATTTTCCGGTGGATTCGGGTGAATTATCAACCCTACGTGTGGCTTGTGTTGTTGGAGGAGGTAGTGATCGAGATGGACAAGTTGGAATTACCCCAGATGGAGTGTAGTGAATGCAGTGTAGTGCGATATTGTGTTGTTGGTTGTGGGTGATGAGATGGTGGGAGTGTACTGGGTGTGTGTACTGTGAAGTGACGAAATTTGGCAGGGGAAGAGGAAGGACACCAACCGACGGTTTTCCCGATGTGGAAATTGGAGCCTCGGCTGTTTTTCCGTCGAAGAAAAAAGTGACGATGACGATATGGACAATATGGGATGATGTTGATTTGTGGTGTTTCGAAGAAAGTGATCATCGAGTGCTACATTCAATCGTTCATTCGTTCATATGGAGATGCGAAAGGTATCGGATGAATTGATACGCGATGGAATAGTGCAAAGATGGGTGATGATGCCGCAATAATTATTCATTCTGCCACTATCAAACTATAATCATAAGTCCATCTATGGCGTATACAACTGTAATTAACTAGCCATGTCTTCATTCTTATCTCGGTAGCGAAGCAGACAATTATTGCCTTTGATGGACGGATCAATCTAGAAAGTATCTTTCCGTCTGGTCTTGTCTGTTTTATCTACGGAGGAACAGCTGAGTACCCCCAGGTAGGTATCTATCTAATATGTTAATTGTGTTATAGTTATATCGTCTATCTTGATCTGTCCATCGTAGGATCATCGTCTAACTCCCTGACTGACTGCTGCTGCTTATCGCTTCCTCTTTTCAACTTCCTTCATCCCTCATATACCTCGTACCCTCTACCCTCTCATACAATAACCTCCCCCTCCATCTCCCCCATCCCACCATCCTCCATCCCATCCCTCCTCCATCTACTTCCCCATCCTTCTCCATTCCCCGACGTCCCACTTCCCACTTTCCGCTTCCCACTTCCAACATCCTCCATCCTACTCCTCTAGTAACTAGGGACATTGTATGTCCGACTAACGACATCGTCATCGTCCATCACCCGGAATTTCTCCAGACCAGTCTCCACCCATTGCACTACGCTGCACTACACAACCCTACCCTACCCTACCCTACACACTACGGAAAGGTACATTCTCCCTCGTCGTGGTATCCGCTATCTCCAGATCAGATCCACTTGGTCGCCCGCAAAATCCAATTTCATCCGTCCTTTTAAACTTCTCATTATCCTCCCTCATCCCTCCTACCCCCCTCGTCACTCCATCTCTCGTCAATCCTATCCTCACTCTCGCCTCCCACACCCTTCCATCCAGCCATCCACACACAATCCACCATTCATTGTCGCCGATACCCTTGGAATTTTCCGACAATACGAACCAACCTATAAACAACCCGGTCTCCCTCCTGCCGCCCATCACCATTTACCGCTTTCTTCCCGTGCAACAACAACAGTAACATCCATTCGTTGTATCCTGTACGGACTGCCTCTTGGATCATACAAGTATCTACCGCCATCCACCCATCATCTCCGCAATCCAACACGCGAAGACTCTTTTCCCTCCTCACGTCGCACAAGCATCTTGTTCATTCAAAATCTCGTACCTCGGCACATCCACCTCACGAAATCCAATCTACACATTCACGACTTTCATCAACAGCTTCAACATGCCGACCGCACAAGATACCACCCAGCCTTTCGCACGCCCTACCTTCCCTGGTCTTCAAGGATCAAATAATTCTGGCTACCAGAGCTTCCAGAGCAGTACTTCCAGCCTGGCCTCCTCCACCCCTGCGTCGGCGCCGCTGCCGTCGCCGTCGACCCGGCAGAACCAAACACAGGACTTTTTTACGAATGCGAGCCGCCAGCAGAACGCTCAACAGCACCAGCAGCAACCTGCTGTGTCGCCAATGGACTACAGCTATCAACCCAATCGCCAGGGCGCAGGACAGACAGCCGCCGAGACCACAAACTTCCTCAACCAGACTGGGTTGTTGGCAGAGGCAGCGAAGAGGGCGCAGATGGCCGTTGTCATGCGCGACATCGAGGGCATGGAATTGTAAACCCACCCGTAGAATCTATCCATCTTCTGCAGGGTCTGGACAATCTGTCGGAGGGCCGCCCGCCACAGCCGCAATACGAGGGAACTGCAACAGTCGAATGTCTCTGGTGGACTGACCGCCTCGTGTCGTTTTTCCAGCGCGCTCCATGGAGGGCTCGTCACAAAACAATAAATTGCGACTTTTCGATCGAGGGTGGGGGTGTGTCCGTCTGCAGAGCCTCATGTTCCATCGTGGGTTCGCAGGGTGCGCCTATCACCCCCAAAAGCGGGACCGACAAGCGCATGGACCGACTCGACTGGACGTAGCAACAACGGCCATGGCCATGGCCATATTTTCACACCATCTTCGGGCGACCTCGGCCTTGCCACCTTCCACCGCCAATTCACCTTGACTACTGTTACTGTGGATATGCAATCAATTTCTTATCGTCCTAGGACGCCTTTTCATTTTCGGACGCTCGAGAAAATTTCGGAATAGGGCGCTATCAAATTAGCTCACGACGTTCTTGTTCAGCTCCCCCAACCATCAATTCACCTTTACGATCCACCCAGTTTTTAAGGACACCCGCTTCAACTATTATAAAACTTCTCATGTAAATACATTTTCCCACACCCCGTTCTTTCGGCTCTTTTACGCTCCACGATCGGCGTTTCTTCCCGCATCCAATCGACGACTCAACCACCCAACAGCACAGCATCTCTCATAGCGTTCTTCATTCTCACCGTCGTCTACTACTCATCACAATTGATATCCCCAATTCGGGCACTGGGCGTTCTTTTTCGGATTTTAACTTCTCTTCATCACTTTTTTATCTTTTTGGCCGTTGGATAGCACGTACGCAGGGGATATATTTATAGAACTTTCGGATTTTTACATAGCTAGCGCGTGGTAAACCGTCTTGGACGGCGGGATAAGATAGATAGATAAAGATGAATGACAGCATCTATTCTCCAGGTTTCAAACTGGGAAATATTTTCGTGATCTGCTTTTGAATATAGGAGAGAGGTTTGTTTCCCTTGAGAAGTAAGTATCGATGTTGCCTGCCGATTGCACTTTAACATTGTATAGGATGGCATAGGCTCTACCATGAGCACCCCCTAATCCCCAACACTGTCACTATGCTTCTTATGGTGGACAAACATCTTCGTTGCAACGGCATGGCTTGCTCATTGACTGCACTTTAACATTGTATAGGATGGCATAAATTTTACCATGTGCACCTCCTAATCCCCAACCCCAACTTCAAAAATCCTATCCTCCAACATCACACCACACCTTCAAATGATTCTGTTTGCATCTCTGTGATAGGTACGCTTGAAGTAATCCTTCCCCTTCCTTCATGAACAGTGTTACTTCACACGTTCGCACGGCAAGGAGAAGAGAGGGTGAGAACACTCACTCGCTGTCAATGTTCTGGAAGATCTCGGTGTGTGGATTGATACTGGTATGAGGATTAATGTTTGTCCCTCGCAGCGACCTGTAGAAGAAGTCCGGGTACATGACTTCGAGTTGACACAGTGCTCGATCTTTTCTTTCACATTCATCCACTTCAATCCTAACCCCTCTTTCAGACTTCTAGCAAAGACGTAGCTTTCCAACATGGCTATTATGGTCATTCAGGATGGCTCGTACCGTAGCTAGCTATGCCCTTATGATACTGTCCTTACGATACAATGAATGGATAAGGTACACATAACGAACACGCAGGCACTCGTTTCAGTACGGGATTGGAGACTGCATTGACGGGTGTTGTCTGCTACTGCTGTGCTTGTCGTCGTGCACTTCTACGGAGTATACTAGTGAAGATACTGTACATTCACCACCACCGACCACACATCGCCAAACGTGAATCCCCATCAAGCACACACACACACACACACACACACACACACACACTGCAAAGTATACTTAAGCCTTCAATCCACAGAACAAAGTCCAGGTACGCGCACGATGTACATAACACGACTACGGAGTACCTAGTTACCGGATGAGTATGGAACGTACGAGGGAGTTGTCCTCCACCCCCACCCCCGAATGTCCAAATCTCCAAATCTCCAATTCTCCCAATCTTGAGCGCGGTTGGGTTAACGTACAAAACCAACCATTCCCAAGACCGCCCTCACACCACTATAGCACCTATCGTCCTCCGGTAGCATGTTCACAGGCGGGTCGTGTGTACGGAACCCCGCGAGATGAGAATCAAGTCAAAAACCCATCCGGTGAAAACGATAGCAGGGCATTCACGACACACCCGAAAATCCACAACACACCCGAAGAACCCCAGTGCAGAGCCGTGCATAACAGGGCAGAGCAGGGCAGAACAGGACAGGACAGGACAGGGTATGTTGTGGTGTGGTGTGTGTGGTAGGGGTGTATGTATGTAGCAAGGCTGAGCCTCTTGCTGATTGGCCGGCTGGCAGCTTCACCGGTTGTGGGGTTGGATGTAGTTTACGCGAGAGGGATGAGGGAGGGGGGTTGCATCTCATTCATTCTCGCGCGTTCAAGCATTATTGTCGTTTTGAGACGTTCTGGTGCGTCGTGGTGTGGTGTATGTGTTTTCTTTTTCTTCTGTCCTTCATATTTTCCGAACTGAATTTTGTTGGTGTTGAGTTATGTGCGCATGCATCCACTCTTGAAGCTTGTATGTTTGGGGGTTGGCGTTTAGTGATTTATTGATTGGTTTACGGAGTACTAGGTAGGAAGGGTCTGTTCTTGTGATAGTAGGTAGGTATATTGCAATTTCGCTGTGGAGAAATGAGGGATGTAGATTTCACATGTGTGAATTTCATGTGCCATCGTGTGGACATGTGAAGAGTTGGAATGCACATGTGTTCATCGTCTCATGCTTCATGGATATTTCCCATATTTCAAAGTAACAGCTGAAGAAGGACACGATGGTGATGTTGATGTAAAAGAAAGGTGCAATTGAACATATGCTCAATTGCAGCCAGTCGTATTCATCGCTTTCCCTTCGTTTACTCCATCACTAAGGTACCTTGGTCCGTTCACCGGAAGCTGCAAACCCACAAAACAACGCCTGACTTTTCCGTCTCAATGTGCTTCTTTTTTGAATTTCGTGTTCATTATTTCATGTTATCTTTACTTTTTGTTTCATTTACGATCAGTTGCATCGTCAGGGTGGCTGGCTGGCTGCATTGAAACCACAGTCCCGCACGCTCATTGCATTCATTCACACACTCCCTCCCTGCAGCACTGCCGCCTCTCCCCACCATCCCTATACCTCCACTCCCTCTGTGCATCCCCTCGTTGTCCTCCTCCAAGGATACCTTCCATGCCATCCATACCCGACGACGGCGATGCTGCAGTAGGACACCGGATCCTCTCGTCAAAGCTAATCAACACCAGCACGCCCCTCTCCCCCGCATCACCACTGTACGACCGCGCGGGCTTGACCAGGTAAATCAGGCTGCGTTCGTCCATGACGGCAGCAGCGACGCAGCGCTGTTGTCCTGCGCTACTGCTGCTTCCGTCGTTGTCGCTGCTGCCGCCGCCGCCGCCGCCAAGCAGGACGAGGGGGTCTGGGTTGAGGATCCGGTGAAGCCTCGCAGAGCACTTGCAGCGCGAGGGCCGTGGGGGCCACATTTGAATCTCCGGGTAGGTGTACCTGGTTGTTGCTGCGGGAGTGACGGTGCTGTCGAGGGCTGCAGATGCAGATGCAGATGCGGGTTGCTTTTCGTCCTTGCCTGAGGCCGCTGCCGCCATGCACTGTGCCATCAGCGGGGCAGGTGGAGGCGCCTCGTGTCGTGATCCCACGCGGATGCGCAGACACGACCCGGGGATCGTCGAGCAGCAGTCGTGGTCTTCGACCAGGTCGATGAACGACTGCGCGGAGGAGTTGTACCCCTTGAATTTCGTGCGGGCGAGGATGAAGGACCGCGTGTAGGTGTTGCTGGGCGCAAATTCAGGGTGTACTTGCCAGTCGTCCCGGCTCTGCTCCGGTGCGTAGTTGGGCCGGTCAGAAGACCCGACGAGGTGCGTGTACGGGTCGTCCAGGGGTAGCAATGGCGGTGCGGAGCCGTCTGCGGCGCCGGTGTTGGAGGACGAGGCACTCGACTCCGGGCCTGAGGTCGAGGACGGGTCGAATTCGATCTCCGTCATGTAGAACGTGCGGAGCTGTCGGCTGGAGCCTTTCCGCCATTCTCGCCGCGCTTCGACGATGATGGGCTCGTTCGTCTTCTCGTCGACTTGGATCGTGAGGTCCAGCCAGGAGTCGTGGATTGGGCCTTCTGCGTGCTGCCGTCGGTAGACTCTCGGATTGATGTCCATGGCCTCTGGCACGGGCGTGTCGACGGGGAATCGAATGACATGGTAGAAGCTCGTCCAGTCGACCTCCTCAACGTCAAAGGACGTCTGGTTGGAGACGGCGTAGAAGTACCCGTTGTGGATCTCGAACGCTATCGTCGAGCCGACGTCAGTGCCGTAGAAGTCCTCGAGCTGGAGCGGCTTGCATGTCTGCTCCTGCTCGAGCGAAACTCCAAAAATTTCCCACTCGTGGTGCCCGCTGTTGCCCGTCCCAGAGTAGGTGCCGTAGTAGACAAATTTTTCACTACAGCGCGCGAAGATCTTGAAGCTGGACTCTAGCGAGATGTCCCTGAGCAGTCTCTCGTCGTCCGCAAGGCCAGGCTTCGTACTGATAATCCAAAGACGAGCACTGCTCGATCGCCCCTTTCGCTCACAGTGCAGCACGAGCACATGATCGCTATAAGCCAAAATGTTGATTTCAGGATTGCTTGATGAGCTTTTCCAGGGTCCACCGGTCGGTGAATTATAAGGAGTCTTGATTGCACGCGAGATATCAATCTCGTAAGGCTGTGCCGAATCGTGCACACCAGTGACCCGCACAACATCACCGTCGAGAACACAAAGAATCCCCTGACGGTATGTAAAGGACATTCCCTGGTCGACTATCCGCGCTGAGTACGGAAGAGCTCTCGAGAATGCATTGCGCCGGCTGTGTATGCTTTTCATGGCCTCGCCGTACGTAATGTCACCGTTCCGGGCGAGCTGTGCCTCTTTGCTGCCGGGAGCATGTCTCTGTCAAGTCACTCGTAAGCCTCTACTGCAAAGCGCGTAGATTTCTTGTCTGCAAACACCCACTTCCACAGTCTTCCGACAGAGCGTGCTCTCGTCGAGGAGAGTCCGTAATTGATGACATGTGTGACACAAGTTCACTGTATCGTCGAGATTTAGATCCTCCGTGATGTAGTATAATACGTCGTAAGGAAGCTCCTCCAACGAGATCGGCATTTAAAGCTGGGAGACTCGACTTTGGGTGTGGGGAAGAAGAAGTGTAAAGGAGCAGCGAGAGGCAGGGACATTTATAAAATAAGGGACGGTGTGGTGGTGGCCCGCTAAAAGGGGAAATGTCAACCAAACACGACACTGCTCACAAGGCGTTTATCTTACAATTGCCTAGAAGTGGCAAGAGCTGAGGCAGGTGATGGTAATAAACTTTACAAAGAATCGTTATTGGGTGGTGGTACGAGGTAATGGATAGGTAGGTGTAAGCAGAGGACGATCATAGGTGCCAGCCTTTTGCCTGCATCTTTTGGTCTGCCTTGGGAAGATTTCCTTGGGGAGGGCCCTTTTTGATTTGGCACGATGCGGCTCTGCGACCTCTGGGTTTCATGATTCAAGCAATCGTCCCGGAAACGCGTTCGACGCGGGGGATAGTTACACCCTTCTTTCGATGGCCGCATTTGGGATGGCTGGTTCATCGAGCGGTGCAAGGGAGCGTCTTGAGTTTTGAGGACCTAGTGTGACCCGCCGTCACGCTGTGCATGGCCACACGGCAGTCTAGGATACATCGAGGCATTCGTGAAGATGTGAGGCTCAAAAATCAAGACATGGCTCTCATCTGAGCAGTTAGATCAAACGCCGCGTGGGGCGCACGGGGTGAAGAACGAGATGTGGTTGCAGCTGATAATTGCTTCTGCAATATTGAGGCGACAGTACAACGGTCATGCGGCTCTTATGCGTATGGAGGCAAATTAGCCAATCAGCAACGCCCTCCACAACTTCCGGCACCCCTATGATTGGCTGATTTATCGTCCCGCGCAGGTAACTAACTACTCCGTGCTCGGGTATTATGTACCTACTTGTACACAGTACGGAGGCAGGTATCCTTCTATTCTATCCATAGTCTAGTCTTCAGCCTTGTCACCCCTATCGCACAACGACAACGTTCGTATTGCGGACGACTTCCTCTGCTTCCCCATATTCCCTGATACTACTACGAGCAGAATCAACAATCCCAAGAGGCCAGCCTGGTGCATTCGACATGTGTTGATCCTTGCTTGGACTCCAAGTTCATCGTCTGGCTCAGCCTACTCAGTGGAGATCTGACCCGTCACATCTCCAATAATCGACGTTCCAGCCTTGTGAGACTTTTACCAGCAGCACGTGCAGGCGCACTTTCCGCAAACGGACACCGTTCTCTTTCGAGTTGCGGTTCATTGCAGGTCGATAATCTGCCCTTCAGGAGGACCAAGCAGCATGCCGCCCCAGACTTTAGCCCACGCCCTCTTGATCCAACGCCATAACAATGCATCATGCAGACACACATTGCGATTGTTAAAGTGCGGCCAATGGGAGGTGTCAATTGAACGCCCGAAAAGCAGAAGAGATGAAAATCATAACGTTGCTGGCATTCTCCGCATATTCAGTGACACAATCAAGAGATTTAAGGTGATGACGTGGTAATCGTGGGCAGGGCACGTGCTGTATGCCCCTCCTCCAGTTCTATCGACCAGGTCAGCTTTCGTCCCATAGGCACTAGATCGTGTAAACTCAAAGCCTTACCATTGGAATCACTGCTCAGGCCCTGCGCGTTCTCGCTCCTCCCTGTCCCATCCAACATAGGGCCAACCGATCGGTAATGAAGAATACGGCGGGAGAATGTAGCGGCCGGGGCAGCTACCCTGTTCCGAGCATTTGATGTTGCAGATACCAAACACTTTGCAGTAGCATTCATCCGCAGAAGGACAGTGGACAGCGTCCTTACCAAATATCACTAGCGCCCCGTTAGCTGAAGTTTATTTCAGTTACCGTTCCCTTGCGTTCCATAGATCGAGGCTTTGGCTGTCCCGCTTCCAGTTGATTGTGGTTTCAGCCTTGGTGAGAACTATCAATGTCCTCCAAAATATTGGGCTGCAACGGATCCTTATATACACCGTAGCATCTACAACCGGTGAAGACTTCCATGCTGAAGGGGGTGTGGGGAAGCGGGTCGGGAATGGATGACATGCTTCGTTGAGGCTGTTCCACGACCGTTGATGAGAGAGTCTGTATACACTTACTGTGCCAACTGTATTCCAAAATGCGCCCGCTGATGCTATCTTCCAAACTCGTGCCCATGAGCCATTCACGATATGCCACATAGTCGCTTTTCGGTCTCTCCAATATCTTCTCTCTTGTGGCTGCGAATTGAGCGCAACAGCTCACACCCACCGCTTTGGGTACCTCTTGTCCAGGGAACAACACCTCAAAAGCCTGCTTGTAGTCTCCACCGGCGTGAACAGCTGCACGATGCTCCCCCTCTTCCTGCAGAGGCTTGATTTCATTCGGACACCCGAGTGCCCACGCGCATCGCACGTTTACATAGCCTTCCTTCTCTAGGTAGGGGATCTGGAATCGGCGCAGCATGGGGAGGCCATCGTAGTCGGGATCGTCGTTGTGCCATTGGTAGCGATTCGGGTGGATGAATAAAACATTATCGGGTAGATCGTCATAGTTGTCGATGATGAACCTGCGTCACTGGTTAGCAAGATTTCATTCGATGCAGCCAAGCTGTCGTTCGACGTACGTCAAGTACACCATGCTCTCCCGTCCTTTGTTCACTGGCACCGTCAATTTTGCCGTGGGATCGTCCACCGCATATATGTTCTTTTCCCATTGCGGAAAGTATTCGTCAAGCCATGTCGCGTTCTCAGATCGCTGGCTTGCGACGACGACGGCTGTTCTACGCTCCTTGCCCTTTTTGGGAACTTCTAGCTTCGTGTCTCGATCGGGTGTCGCCACGGGGCTTTCGATTTCGTTGACGAGTGGTGCAGGCCGCGTTTGAATATTGTCAGTCGATGCGGGAGTCGGGTCAGGAGCAGGGTCCCAGAGCTCCGCTTTGAGATGTAGGACGAGGGCGATGAAAAGCCAGACTAGGAGGGTGAAGAGGGCCTTTTTGGCCGTAAAGCGCCTGTGGAGAGGCATCTTTACAGTCAAACTGTGCGCGGCGGTAGTATATGTATGTTCATTGTAGGAAAGGTGAAGAGTATGGTAGTGTTGATGTTGGGATGCTCGAGCTTTGGTGGTCCATGGGTGGGCCAATCGGAGGGAAGGCAAGCCTCCACATTTATTCATTCTGGGGAACTGGCACCTTTTCGGACTGTTCAAGCAACCTCCTTCTTTACTCAATGAATACCAATTTTATACAAGAAAGCGTTCGAATTTCTTACACAATACCATAATGTAGGAATCAATAGAGCACTTTCAAAATGTCAAACAACACTGCTTAGAGCATGGCTGCATCAGGACGAAATACAAATGTTCGTCATTCGTTTCAGTCATATCATAGCTAATATATACCTACCTATCGCTTACTCACTATTGCATCATGTATGCCGCTTAAGTGTAGATATCCTCCGTGAAAGCATTGAAACCCAAGCCCTCCTTCGCCATGTCCTCATCCTTCAAGAAGAGCAAACTCATTTCCACAAGCGTTCCCTTGATTGTGCTTAGAACCTCCTTGACCTCCCTAACTCCCTGCTCACCAGGGCTGAAGTTCTCTGCAACAACGTGACCCCACTTATACTGGCTGGGCTTCTTATTCTTATCGTTGTCGCCGGCTGTCTGGTTGAAGAAGCGAGAGTAGTACTCATCGTATTGCTTCCATGATCGCACGCCGTCGTAGGGTACGGGATGGAACACTTTGCCAAAGGCGTCAGTATTGGTCTTTGCACGCCAATTCCAGAGGTTCTGGAACTCGTCGGAAAGGGGGTCGGCAACTTGGCGATCCTCGTTCGAGCCAAAGTCGTAGGCGTTAGGGACACCGATCGGCTCAAAGTTTTGGTCGGGGCGATCGTAGGCCTGATGCTTGAGAAGACCAAGGTGCTTCCTAAAGATCTCCCTGCGGAGGGAAGTGGCAAACTTTGAGGCGCGGTATGGGCGACCATCCATGTAAGATTCGACAGTTTGGGGATCGTGAATGATAATGGCAATTTCGGAATCGTGGTCACCGAGCTGAGAACGGTCGTTCAAGTTGGCAGAGCCGCAAATGACAACTTGATCGTCCGCGATGAGGAGCTATAACATAATTAGTTGAGGATCATTGGGCGTTGTGGACTGACATACCTTGCTGTGAACATACAACTCCTCCGAGACAAAGGCGTCGATTTCGTCCATGGCGCCACCCTCCCAAGGAACATTTCGAATGTCTTCTCCGCCGAGCATATAGCATTCGCAGACCGAATCCCAACGCCCGCTGCCCAAGCCCTGGCGGCCACCAATCTTGCTGGCGCCTTGTTGATATGCCTCGTGAGCTGGTTGGCCGTACCCCTGACCTCCACCTTGCTGTTGCTGTTGCCCACCGTAGCCTTGATTACCTTGCTGGTATTGTTGTCCGCCATAACCTTGACCACCACCATAGCCCGAGTCCAACTCTTGCGGCCTGTTGGGAGCACTAGTCCCATCCATTTCGTACATGCCGTACTCCGAAGTGGGTGGTGGACGATAAGCTTGGTAATCACCCCTGCTCTGCTCATACTGGGCGTCTCGCTGCTCAGCTGCTTGCTGATACGACACGCCGCTCTGTTCCTCGGCCGCACGCATGGCCCCGCTGGCATTGATCCTGTCGTAACTACGCAAGTTGTAGAATCGAATGTATTCCATAGGATTGAAGCCGGCCTTGGCAATCTCTTCATAGATAGAGGAGCCGCCACGGTTGATAGATTCGTACTGGAATTCCATGATGGCGCGTGTTCCAAGGGCATCGTCACCCTTGAGATCGCCAGCGAATGCAGGTACGGCAGGCATCATGACGAAAATCTTGTATTTCTCGCCATTGCGCGCGGCGCGTATGATACGCTCGACGATTGCTGCACCGATCTGATTCTTAACAGCCTTCCGTTGGTTTCCAGTAGCCGTGATGAAGAACTGGTTCTCGATGTAGATAAAGTGCTTGCTGTTCTTGATGATCTCACAGTAGGCGTTCTGGATCGAGTGCTCCGTAGAAATATTGTGACTCCATTTCGCGGAGGATCGGGTGATCTGACAATCAGCACTGCTACGCTGAGCGCTGTGTTCGGCGTGAGATTGCTGTTGATGCTGCTGGGGACGACCGTGGCCGTGTTGCTGTTCGAATTGGTGGTAACCCTCGTTCACACGCGCAAACATCTTGGAGCGGAATCCGTCACCGCCGCCGCCACCACCACCCCCAAAGAATCCACGATCACCTGTCTGGCCGTCATCATCACGACCAAAACCGCGCTCGCCTTCTTGATCATCGAACCCGCGTTGCTGGGGCGGAGGTGCAAACTGGCCTCCTTGCTGTGCACCACTAAGGGTGTCATCGAGTCTATGGTATCTCGTGGCCTTCTTGCTATACTTTTCGTCGTAGATGAAGTTCCATCGCTGCGTAAAATGAGTACGAAGATCCTGGACAGCGGGCCCAGATAGACACAGCGAGACATCGCTCCAACCCATGCGTGAGCTCTGGGTTCTATCAAGTTTATTGTTATCAGGGTGTGATACATCCTGGAAGTCTATTTTTCGTCAGAGACGCATCTCAACCCACAAGTTGGTGGATAGTTACCCATTATTCTGGCATTATTGTAATCCTGACCAGGGAAGACAATCTGGTCAAGATCTCCAGGATGTGCGTCGGCAATCGGATGCGAGTGCGTGTCCCATCTACCGTAGCAAAGGTCGAGACCCCCCATGAAGGCAGTCTGGCCATCAATAAGACATAGCTTCTCATGATGTGCCCAATATAGGACTGTGCCGTCATGAGCACCATAGATTGCTTGCTAGAGAACGTCAATGGATCTACTAACCCACTCTTGTTGCTGGGTCTGACTTACAAGCGAATCTACAGGCATCTGAGCGAGTTTTGCGGGATTGAACGACATGTTTTGGATTGAGGAGATGAAGGACGACTGTAGGACCTTGGCATCTGGTAGATGGTCTGGGTGCCGGAAAACGGAAATGTTTGGATGGAGATCTTCCAAATGGTGCTTGGTATGAGAAGAAGAGACTGTTATAGGCGGAGCAATCAGCGGATCCGTCTTTTCCACTTCCTCCATTGATTTGAAAATAACCTCGAGGCCGACTCTTGTGAGCGCCTTTGTGAAAGAGTCCGTAGACGAGGGAAGGAGAGAATGGAGATATTCAGGCAACGTTGGATTGAGCAACTTACGCGTTAGAGCTTGAGTAACCTCCTTGTAGACAATGATATTGACCTTGACGCCACGTTGTGCGGCAGCTTCTAGCATACGATCGAGGCGGTATTGCTGGTTTTTGGCGGGCGGTCGTCGAAGATACAATTCGGGGGAGAGCCACCAGTCAAGAATCCAAATCGATTCTCGGGCACGCTCTATGGCAATGGATACAGCCCACATGTAGCCACACCCATCGACGTACCACTTAACATCATTTCCGTGACGTTCAGGAGCAAAGCTTAGGTAGCGATGCTGTGAATGGTACTCCTGACCTGGCTGTGGAGGCGGACCCCCCGATTGTCCCGAGTAGCCACCCTGAGGAGGCCTGTTCTCTTCCTTTCCTGAGATCTTGTCTTTGATATCTGAACCAATCCCGTGAACTGCTTGGTGAAGCTTATCGAACACGAACGACATCCCACCTTCGTTGGAAGATCCTTGCTGTTGGCCCTATAGCTGCAGCGTTAGCGACGATTTACGACATTGTGATGCCAGTAATGGTGCATATGAATGCATTTGGTAAGGTCGAGGATACACTCGCAAACGGTGACGTGCATAGTTAAAATGTGAGATAAACTGTACACTTACTTGGCCCTGTGGCTTACTTCCACCAAAGAATTTCCTACCGATATCTCCAATCATGCCACGGTCCCCCTCCTGACCTTCACGGCCCTGATCATGGTAGTCGCCGTACGCGAGATCGTCATCACGGCGATTGCCAGACATGTCGAAGGAAGCGCAGCTCCTAACGGCAATTTTTGTGATGATGTAAGTGAACGAATGAGTAGTGGAGGTAGAAGAGCTGAACAGCTCGGGAGCTTGAGGTGTTTATTAGTAGTCTTAGGGTGCTCAGCAGCTCTGGTCCGCCATCAGCCCCGCCACGTCCGCGCGCGCCTTCGTCATTGCTTTAGAGATCCCTGCACGAAATCATGCAAACGAGGAATAGCCTATCAAACTAACTCGGTGTTACTACCTTGACACCTGTGAGGCAATTACTTGTTTATGGAGTGTTTGATATGGAATGTAGCCTGAAGAACTCACGGAACTCGACCGTTTATGGACTTGATTCCGTAGTGTTTGACTACAATTGTTTTGGGGCCGGCCGGATTATACCCCACAAGCTGCCCCGCTAATGCTGTCGAAGCTCATCCGTAAACCAACATACGAAAAAGCTTATCATGGTTTTGTATGACGAAAGATACTGGCTGTACAAGTCCAATATCTGTTCTAAGCCAGGGTGGTTATAGACGACGTTCAACTAATGGCAATCAAGGATTCAGAGTACCAAAGGCTTCTATAGAATACACTCCAGTAATTGTAAGTTGAACTAGACTCAAAGATATAATAGAGACACGAGAGTATCACCCGAGCTCAAAGAGGTCTTGTACTATACATCGGGTACTTCAATTGGTCATGAGAACAGCTTCTGCAGAGACACGACGGCCTGTTGTTATTCTCAAACGTTCATTCAACTGGGTGAAGAACCATCACAAATAGTTAAACACCATTCCACTGACCTACAAGATTGAAATGATTCAGTATTAAGAATTTACTATACCCAATCTCATTACTAAGTAAACTTTTCCCCATCCATCCCACACCTCAACCACACAATAATCCAGCCACCCTCCTATCCCCAAAAGTTATCCGCGACCCATGCATAGATGGGGCAGATGCTTGATTACAAGTTCTTACCGCTGAGCTCATAGAAAAGAATTATAAAAACCTCGTCGTACAAGCGAGTGGAAAGCTTAGCATGTACAAAAAAGAGCGAGCCCTGATGAAATGAAATGAAAAGATTTAAGGAGGAGGAGAGGAGAAAAAGGGGGGCTAACGACAGAGAATTGAAAGAAGAATATGTAAAGACGAAGTAGTTTCGAGGGAGTTTGTTCTTTGTCGGATCGGTCGCACGTTGGTAATTGTGTCAAGTCGAGTCTCTCCCCCTTGTTCCATGTAATATCAACACCACCCTTCCCTATTTGATTTTCCAGGCCCTAGTTGTCCGTCTTTTTTAACACCGACCGTTCGTTCGTTATTATATCCTGCATCAATCATTTATTTCTTGCTCTTGCGCTCTCGTAACCGGGATGCTATTGAGCCCGGTTCCTCGGTTTCTATGGGCTTCTCGGGGGTGTGGATCGTCTTTCCGTTGAGTGTGACCTTTGGTGTCTCGGGGACGGATCCGTTGACCTTGCCGTTAGCCTTCTTCTTGTCTTGCTTTGTTGTCTCTCCGTCCTCGTTTTCTTCTTCGCTCTCTTCGTACTCGCTCCTCTCGTCCTCTGCGACGTTGGTCACTGCGAAGCGGTATGCGATTCTGCAGATGTAGAACCACCAGATGAGATTGAGAGCCTGGATTGCAGCGAGAAGTACGAATGTGATGATTTGAGAGATCCAGCACTTGTATTGTTGCGTCTCCCAGTTGAGCTCGTAGGGTCCGACGGTCCTGAACTCGGTGAGGATGGACCAGAGGATCTTGAGGTTGATCCAGTGGCGGAGGTAGGCCCAGGTGCACATGAAGAAGGCAAAGTAGGGTCCAACCCATGGATGATCGATATAGTTCAGTACCTTAGATGTCTACAAATGGAGTTAGCTAAATTCGCAGTTAGTTGCGATTGGTGAACTTACGGCAAGGAAGAAATCGGAAATGTCCATGGTGATGTAGACCGCGATACCAATGTAGGTGAAATGGAATCGGTAGCTGCACCAGATCAAGGCCAAGGTGATGAAGTGGTGTGCAACCAATTCCTTGAAGTCCTTCCTTGGTGCTTCCAGCATGAGTAGAAGCACAATCATTTGCTGTGCCCAGTAACTGGCCTGGAGCAGGTAGTAGGCCTTGAACACAGCCTCGTGCGTGTAGTGCGGGAATCCCTCGTACATGCCCGTAGTATTGAAATACCAGACCGGTGTCCTAGACATGACCCACATACCGAAAGGCCCAAAGAGACTGAAGTACACTGCGGTATAGAATTGTTCGAGGAAACGTGCCTGTTTCGCGCGAGATTTGATACCGTAGCTCAGGGCAATGGGCCGGATGATGCGCTGCATGATGAACTCGCGGGTGAAAGATAGGACGATTGTATAGAAGCCCACAAAGGCGAAGTCGCGTGCGCCTTTGCCATATTGGATAGGGGCGTCAGAGCCAGCCTCTTGGGGAAGAGGGTAGGACAGGAAGAGACATGCGGAGATCGGATTCGAGGGATACGGGTAGACGAGGTAGAGGGAGACGATTATCGATGTAAGGAGTAGAGGGAGGATCCAGGTGTGCTTGAAACATAGACGCTTGAATCTGACGAGGGAGCGTTTTACAGTTCGTCGTTTCGAGCGGCGCCCGGACTTGCTCGAGTACTACATAGGCTGTGAGCTGGTCGTTCATGAAACCATGATATTGCAGAGAAGCATACCGAGCTTTCAGTTGGTGTGCTAGGTGTCTGTGGTCGTGTGGACAGCGTTGCGAAAGCAGCTACGTCGCTGTCGCCAGGCAGTTCACCACCAAGACCACTGCTCTTCCGCCGTCGAACATTGCCGGATGATTTCTTGCCCTTCTGCGGGACCGGCTGGGGGCTCAGAGGAGGGAACGGTTCGAGGTCTGACTGAGCCATCTTATGAAGCGTTTTTCGAAAGCTGAAAGAAACCGAACAGGAGTGGGTTTGGTGGGTACTTGATCAAGAAATTAGGAGATCGGGATGCCAAGATCCCGGCCTCTCCGTGCGCTCCTGTGAACGACGATCGTGAAGCTTCGCGAAGAGATGAAAAGCTCTTTCTACCGCACCAAACAATGTACAATGTGGTAGAGCTTGCGAACAAAACTGAATATCTAAGTAGTTTTCAAGTATCAACCGTGGCGGAGGATTGGATTACTCTGGTTCGGAATCGAGTGGAACGATATGGGCTTTTCATGTGACGAGTTGTGCTAATTGAGCTCCAATAACAAGCATCTACCGTCACTACCACTGGTTCACACAAATTACGGTCTGACCAGCGTATATAGCAGTATTGGTCCGCAACAAGGCACAGCCGCTGACAGGACGTCAGCATGGACGACTTCTACACGCAACTTCAAGTGACTTTACAACTTGTAAGGCACACAGCCTCATCTTATCCACCCCTGTCCGGTAAATGACCATTCAATGGATTTGACCAATAGGAAGTCGACACCCGGATTAGGACTAGACGTTATTGTACTCTAGGAGAAAAATAGGAGAGCTTCACAAAATAATTATTGTAAAAGGGTAATGTACACATTAGATATCTACAGCAATGGCGTAGTGGTGCAGAAGTTTTGGGAGATAGGTCACTGCCTGCTCTCAGCCAACCTCTCTTAGCCTACTTCCAGCTACCACAGCAGTCTTCTTCTGCATCGATAGAGTCGGGCGATGCGTAGCTCCATTCGCCTTGGTGGCATCCGCTCTCTTGGAGAATGCTTCTAGATCATGTCTGATCTCTGCTGTACCCGCGCTACTCGCCGTTGCTGTGCTGTCCATGCTGCCTTTCCTTGACGACATCCCCTCATGTCGGAATAGTCCTCGGATCCCCCCAGCTTTCCGCGCCGGCAACTCGCCCTTACCGGCGGTAGCCACAAAGAGGAAGTACTTTAGATTAGGTAATGTGTGGCGGATGTCGACTGGTCGAATTCCAATTGCATTCGAAAGTATCTCAATGTTCTTATTGAGAAGAAAGACGCCGTACTCGAAACGATATCGTACCACGCCTTTCATGAATAGCGGAAAAGTACGGGGGTTGTTCTGATTGTTCGTACGCATTGCAAGCGGATCGTCAATGGTAGAAGTGGACCCCTTCTGCGTAATTGGGTACGGTAAGATGATAGAGAAGTAGGGAGACAAGAGGGAGACGATATGTGCAACGTAGCCGAGAGCTGCTGCTGTGACATCTTCCTTCGCATCATCATATTCGCTGTTTGGTAGGGGAAGGCCGCAAATAGTAAAACCAAGAGACTTTCCGGGTATAGGCTCAATCGGAAAGATCTTTTGTAGGTCTTCGCATATGCGTCGACGCTGGCCGGCGATGTCTTCGTCGGTTGTCGCGAGGGTCTCTTGTATTTTGTGTTGGCTCTCCTTCTGTGCGACCGTGTCTTCCTCAATCTTAGACTGCAGTTCCCAGCCGGCTTTCGCTTTTTCTTTTCGGAATGCGATGCTTGCTTTCAATTCGTCCCGTCGCCTCCGCGCAGCCTCTACTCGTCGTCTCTCTGTATTAACAGCAGCTTCCACCATCTTGAGCCTATCATGGGCCTCCGGTACCTGTTCGATAATGGACATGCCTTCTCTATGATCTTCCAAGATGGTCCCTATCTCATCAGCAAGCCTGTCGCGCGTGTTCAATGCGTCTTGGATGCAATCATCGAGTGTTGAGAGTCGCATCAGCGCATCGTATGATGATGAATTCGAGGCTCGACCATCCGGATTCTCTTTGGGTGGCGCAAGATCCGTAGGTCGTATCTGTTCTCGTACTGGGAGGTCGGTAAAGCTAGTATAGATTCCATCGATCATGTGGAAAAGTATACAATTCTGTGGGAGCGTGTGCCTCTGACTTCCCAAGGTCTTCCCGATGAATTGTAGAGCTCTAAAGTGTACGGTGAATTGGATAAGATACTGCCATCCATTCGTCTCGTCATTCTTGGCCCAAACCTTGACAGTCAGCTTGTCCAGGCGAGTGACGTTGGGTCCACAGGAGCCCAGATCGAAGTGCCTGAAGTTCGGGTTCATGGCCTTCTCCACAGTCTCAGAAATGTATATTGGCTCTTCCTGACCATCCGCGTGTAAAGAGAAGAACGTGTCTGCCATGCGAACGTCCACCGCATCTTCCAACCTCTTCTGCCGGATCAATGGGCTTGCTCCGGCCCACTCCATAGTGCTTCGTCTTCGCATTCCCTTGATTGCTCCTGGCCTCGAAACTCCAACTGGTGAGGTAGGATTGGGTAGAGTGCCATTGCTACCGTCAAGGCTATCCTCTTTGGATTTCAGGTCACTTGAAGACCTCGAGTGGGTGAGATTTCGCTGTTCCCTCAAAGCTAATGCTTTGGTCGGTGATTTCAATGTGCTCGGCACAGCGTCATCGTCTATAGTTTTCGTGCGCGTTCGCGAGGGCGAAGGGTTGAGGGTTAAGTTGCGGATAGTGATACCTTGAAGATGTCGCAGCTTTCGATTCTGATATAGTGTTGGTTATGTTCTCGGCCTTTAAAAGTATATCACCTACGTATGGCAATAGCCACGGCCTCTCTCGCGGAGACGCTACCGTCTCGCTCTCGTCGAACACAGCAGTCGCATCTTCCCCGGCCATAGTGATAACTTGACTGGGCGATGTTGATTGGAGGTAATAGGGGTCTTGGAGTAATTGACTAGAGTCACATTACAGATTCGCACAGTATAAAATGATTATTATGGCCTTCTAACTTCCGCATGATCGTTGGTCGCAGCGAGAGGATATAGCTTACGGCGAGCGTTGTTGGAGCTGCGACATTGGTGAAGTGACGCGGAAGCCACCCCGGTCATCCTTAAGCTCCGCGATGGTTGATGGTCCGTGCGCTTCCGCAAACCCTCAACTTTTCCTCATCGCTCACGAAACATCAGGTCAATATCTGAGCCATACGCCATCACCATGCCGCGACGGCTACCCCCACCCTCCGGCCACAAGGTCTGGACAGATCTTCTCCCATCAGAGGGATTGCGCGATCATGGACGACACATCTACATGTTTCGACATGTGCGAACGAACCAAGTCGTTTATTCGCTTCATCCAAGAGTAATTGTGAGTATTACCACCAACCATTGGACTCTTGCTAGAGTGTACCAATTATTCAATTCAAATTAAATGCTAATCGCTAGTAGCAACGCACACTTGATCAACTCCCTTTCATTGGAAAGCACTCGAAACCTCCCTCCGTTCGCCCCGACCACTGGACCGCATTATGCCGCGTAGGACCATTCCCAACGTCAAGGCAAGGAATTGGCGCTCTCAAGAAATTGCGAGAATTCAGGAAAGTCCATGAACTCAGCTGGGACAAGACCAATCCGGAGTGGAAGAGGTCAACGAAGAAAGGGTTGATCACAAAGATCATGGACCAGCGTGCAAATTCAGTCGCAGATTTGGCCAAGGTTCTTTCCATGCAGGAAATACAGGCAGAGTCAATGGAGGAGAAAACAGCGAACAGAAAGACTCTGCAAGAAGCATACCTGAAAAAGAAGTGGGCTGAACTGGAAGCCTTGGCCGCATCGATAGAGACAGGTGCGGTGAAGGAGCTCGAAAAGAAAATTCGAGACTGCAAATCGGTGCTGGGGGAGAAAAAGGTTGACGCACAGGAGGCTGCGCGATTGAACAAGGCCATGGCAGAGCACAGACACAAGTTGAAGGAGATACTGTGGGCACAACACATCATCCGGCAGCTTGAGGAAACCGAGAAAACATTGGACGCATCCCATGAAACGCGGATCAAGCACATTAAGTCCAGGATAGAATCATTACGATCTCAAGGAAGGAATGACGAGGCAGACGCCATTAAACTTCCCGAAAGGCCAGAGAACACCGTCCGAACACAATTTTTGCCGAAGGCACTCAAGTCTCTCCCAACACCCTTTACATTGAACGGTGTTGAGATCCACTGGGCTGATCTCCAGGACGCTGAAAGGGCTTCAGAATGGCCCGAGGCAGTGCTCCACGATACATTAGCAGCTATAGTCAAGAAGCGTAAGGACGGCTTCGTCACAGTAGAAGAGGCCAAGGACCAGCTACGGGAGATCGAAGAGGAGCGTATCAGAGCGGCGAAGAAGCTTCTAGGAATCGCCGCGCCAGAGGTGGACGAAGCGCCCAAAGAAGCGGCTAAGACTGGCGTGTGGAAATACATCCCTGAAATCAAGAATCCTTTCAAGCGGGCGACGGCCTAAGCCGTGTACAAAGTGCCGTAAGTAGTGTTTTGATCGTAAAAGATGTACTATACTAGGAAATGTCTGTACAATAGAATATCTGTGCAACATGTTTGCCTTTTCGATCCGCGCCATATTCTTCTTTTACACCAATATTTGTATTCCAACCAGTGGCCTATCGCACGAACTCCATGAGCAAGACGTAATGTTTTTGAACGCTGCATAGATCAATCTGGTGCAAAGTCCGATACGCAATTTGAATGTTCAACTAGATTTTTTTTATTCTCGACATCATCACTGAACTCCGCCATATGAAAGCTGCACACAAGACTGCTCAAGGCTCACCGGGCCAAATCTCATCCGCAATCTGCCTCACCAACGCAAGCTTCTTCTTCATACCCTCGATATCAATCAAATTTCCCTCCGCATGACTCGCAAACCCGCACTGCGGACTGACGCCCAATCTCTTGAGTGCCTGCTCCCGCGTCTCGCCAGACCCCTTCGCCATGATATCGGCGGCTTCGTAGATACGCTGTTTCATTTTTTCCTTGTCCTCCAGTTCTGGGAATTTTGATGTGATGACTCCGAGGATGACATTCTGTAATTGCGGTCAGATAGCTGTACCATACTCATTTGAGGTTTGGCTTTACCTTGTTCGTGGGTAGATGCTGGAGGGGTTCGAAACCTCCAGCACGAGGGGTGTCGTATTCCAAGTAGTAAGTGTTCATGTTCAATGTCTTGAATAGTTTCGTCGCAATGCGATCGTATCCGCCCTCGGAGAAATGTCTGGAATTTACGAAGTTGCCTCGGCAGAGATGAACACCAACGTGCATGTCATCTGGCTTCTTCGAAATGCAGTCGTTGTATAGGTCAATGTACAGATCGAGAAGCTCATCGGCAGTCACGGTATTGTTGGAATCCGTTTTCCAGCCCTCCAGCATCTTCTCGGAACAGAAGTCTTTCCTGCAGTCAGCCATTTCTGGTACAAGGTGCCATGGTAGAGATTGAGGAAGCACATACAAGCCAAGTTAGGATCATCGAATTGCACATTCCGTAGCCCAGCTTTGTAAAGGATATCAAGCTCAACCTGATAAGCCTTCGCCACGTCCGCAAAATACTCCTTATCATTCGCATACACCTCCTTTGGAAACGCCTTCCCATCCACATACCTCAAATGGTACCAATTCGGCGCCGCAAGGGTAAGCTTGATATCTCCCCATTGCTCCTCCGGCAAAATTGACTTCAAATACTCCACCTGGTCTACATACGTGCTCTTGCCCGTATGCTTAATCTTCCCCACACAGTACACGCTCTCACCAGGCTTATGCCCGGTCTCCATGAACGCAGCAATGTCCGGCACGTACATGCGGAACGTCTCAATGGGCGGGTTCTGAATCTCCTCCATGCCCTCTAATTCGGGCCAGAAGGTCCCCCAGAACATGTGGCGACGATATTCGCCATCAGAGATGGGGCGGAAGCCCAGGTCGACTTGCGCCTTGACGATGTCGTTGATTGCCTTGTCCTCGAGGGGCTTGAGCTCAGAGGATGATTTGCCATCTTTGTAGCGTGCGTCCAGGAGGTATTGAGGTCGCTTTAGGGAGCCGAGGTGCTCGGCGCGGAAGGGTGGGTTGCGATGGAGTTGGAAGGACATTGTCGTTTTGGTGGCTGAGGCCAATTCAATTCAATTCAATTTTCCTTATCTCAATTGCTACAGAAATTTTGGAGCTTCGAAAGATCTCGAAGAGTTACACAATCGATGGAAATAAATGGGAGGAAAACCGGGCTGGCGGTCGCTAGATCGTATTCTACCTATATAACCGCTATGTACCCCTCACGATGTAGCTGTCATGTATGGAATCCTGCATCGGTGCTGATGCTGCGAGACGTCTTGACCCACTCATAATGCAGTTTTACTGCTGTCGGCAGTTGCCAATTGACAGGGTTTCCGCTCTTGAGGGATGATGGACGCGACGGTTACTTGGGGGCTGTGATGTATTGGAGGTTCCTTCGATCCACGCGTGCCCCTCACTAGGCGAAGCTTACCCCGCGAGCTGTGACTAGGGATTGCGGCATGGGTTGGCGAGCTAGGAATGTTCTATGTTCTCTGAAGCCCAATTGCAAGGTTGAGTGGATGCCTGGTGAGATTGTACGAGATCGATATTGTTGGGTGGGCGTTATGTGGCAATGGACTTGTTTGTTGTCTTTGTCCAATATGCGAGTGCACTAATACTCAATCTGAACTTGTTCTCGACCGGACTGGAGTATATTAGTATTGACAATGCATTATGACTTGCATTCGACTTACCTCCTATATGATGAAACCTCATATGGCCTATGGTTTGCGAGGTTTAAAATGTTTAGGCTATATCTAGGTGCAGTAATCATCAGCAGATGTTGTTCGAAATTTTCCCTCCCACAGCAGCAAGAAGGGCATAGTCTGAAATGTACTCGATATTGACTCTGTCTTTGACTGATACTATCTCAATGATACGTTGGATTCAATTCCTACGTTGATGATGGAGATCTGAACCCTCTCGCCTGCTCTTTCGAGTTACAGAGTGACCACCAAATGTATAACTCCTATGCCGTATGAAGTGAACGGGTCACATATATTGGTAGGGCCCTTCAATGCATTCACTAAAGTTTAAAATCTCGTTTTACTAACTTTTCACTCAAGGCCCACAGGTTCTCCGCGAGTTTTGGATCGTTAGCATGTGGAGCAGCATCAGTGAATTGGCAGTCGTGCAACAAGAGTCCTTGAGATTGGTTGAGAGCTGGATCAAACGCTGCTACAATAGTGGTTGCCGCGCCTTGGTCGTGGTTCTTCCAGAAGGGACTCGTCTTACGGATTGCTTCTTCCCCTTCCGCGTCTAGGTTTCGAGATAGGCCGGTCCAGATTGCTGAAGCAAACATTAATCAAATATGTTTTGGAATGACAGGAGTGAGTCTGATACTTACATCCTGGATGAACTGCATAGGAGACAATACCCTGGTCCCTCAACCGCTCCGTAAGGGAAAGCGAAAACAGAACGTTTGCAGTTTTCGCTTGCCCGTATGCGATATAGCCATTATAGACAGATCCGTTCTTTCCTTGAAATATAGGAGGTAGAGTCTTCCCCGGAAACTTCTCTTCGTCGGGTATCTCCTTGCCTTCGAAGTTGTAGTCATGGAATCTGACCGGGCTCAACCTGTGACCTAGACTTGTGAGATTGACGACACGGGTGGCACCTGGAGGGCTCGACTTTGCCGCTGCGTATAACGAAGGAAGAAGTAAATTTGTGAGAAGAAAATGTCCAATGTGGTTTGAACCGAATTGTGCCTCGATTCCTTCCGCTGTATGTTGTAGGGTAGGTGTCATGACGGCTGCATTATTGATAATCAAGTCGAGTTTGTTTGTAATGCTTGATATTTCCGCAGCGGCCTTCTTCACGGCTTCCTGAGAGGCGAGATCAAGAAGTACTGTCTGCACATTTACACTCGGGTAGTCCTCTTTGATCTTCTTGACAACCTCATCGAGTTTGGATTGGGTCCGGGATGCGAGGATCAAGACACTAGGCGACTGTGAAGCAACTGCAATGGCTGTTGATGAGCCTATGCTTTCAGGACTGACTCCGGTGATGAGTACTTCGCATGTCAGCGTATGTACAATGATACTATTAGTGTTTTCTCAACCAACCATTTCGACCTTGGATCTGGTCAGAGAACGCCTTAGCAACCTCAAGACCGCCCGTCTCTTGATTCCATTCCGGGTGCGTTGTCATTCTGCTTAAAGGGGAGCTGGAATTCGAGATTGTTTATGTGAGGTTTCTTTGCATAAGCACATGGCATCATCTTATGTGGCAGCCCCACGTGCTAGACCAATCCTCCTTGGTCCCCCAGGTTGTCTAATCCATGTCGCATGATTCCCTATTTGCCTGTCCTTGCAGCAGATAGTGCGCTACTTCGGCAACGCCTTAATTCCATAATTGACTATGAAAGCCATAGGAATCATACCTCCGCGCACATTGAATGTTTAAGAGGATTAGCGTTTATCGTTTATACTTAGGATCTTACCCCAACTTGATGTGGGGCAGACCATGAATCAACTCTCGACCCCACAATTCACGATATCGCAATAAAATCTCAAAGTGTAATGGTAAGATCGTGAAGCTGAACTAATGTCAAAATGAGAAAACACTCCGGTATTATGGTGAAGTATGATTATGGGTATTTGCTGGGAATTGGACACAAGGATTCGCATCCTGAATCAAAGCCTTATCTTTGGGATCAACTGTTGCTAATGCCGACTCACTGGAAGATACGACTGCAACTCTTTCATATGCCCAAATGCTGAGTGATCTAATTGATAGTAGAGTAATTATTTATTTTTTGTTTCGGGTCTCATTTCAACGGTTCGTAAAGCCCATCGGTTGTATACCGACATTCACTAACGAGGTTCGCACCAATAGTATAGTAAATAGGAACATCCCAGGAAACATTCCATTCTGTTCAGAGCACCCCCGTGAATTGATAATTCGTTCGCTCTTTCAGAACTTGTAATGCTCCATGATAAGATTCATCGACCAAGTCATTGTCGTCTTTACACCAAGCCGTGATCCTTGAATTTCCTGTACAAGGCCATCGGAATTGAGGGATAAAAGTATAAATGAAAGCCAGAGCCGATTTTGAAAATGCTCCGCACTCCGAAATATTTACTCATAGGTCCTGGAAGGCCTCACAAAACTATCTCGCTGGCGAATTACTGTGAGAAGGTCGTCCAACCTGCCATACAGGAATCATGCCATAGATTCAGAAGAGGGATTCCTCGGGCTAATATGTATTTGTGCGTTATCTGATGATGATGTGACCAATTTATACACTCATAGACCCCCTTCCCGACATTATGTTAGCTAAGGAAGCCCAATCGGAATGTAAATGTCCGCCGGACTTCTCTTGAATCACACCTGTATCCACCAAACTATGCACATAGTACAAATTGAGAGAGGAGATTAGAAATTATTCCCGACTTCGGGTCATGTCATGGAATATGGAAACTGAGGCAGGGACAGGTCCGGCCATGTAAAGCAAATCAGCTCGTAAATCCTGCTGATGAAGGAACTAAGCAAAGACTATATGAAAGTGGGAATTAAACGGGCCAATAGCACTATAGTTTAGTATCTCTGAAGGCTACGACAATGGCGAGATTCTATTTCTTGTGTTATTTCATAAGACTAATCTTCCATCTTTAATGTTGTGCAACTGGCGTCGGACCTGGTCCGACACTAGGAAGCAATCCGAAACGCTAAAAAACATACTGGTACTGACTCGAAATGCGGAGAACGGTACGACTATTGATGAGGCTACTTTGGCGTGATGACTATAGTTCCGATGTGACCGTAGCCCAGCTGGCTAATCTGAAAACTGCGGAGTAGTGGGAACAGACAGCATGGTGAGAAGACGATCTTAAGTTTCGAATATGGTTCTTGGCGACGTCTAAAGACTACAAGTAGCATAGTTCTTGCAGTCCATAATCTCAAGCGCTATACTGAAAAAGAGTTCTTCTGCATCCGCGTGTATGGTTCTCGGTAGCCTTCCGAACTGACCACGTTTTCGGTCATGTCGGTAAAGCTGCCAACCACGGCTAAGAGCTTGAGTGAGAGAAACTAGTCTGGGGAATTCTTGGAAAAGGCTGGATTTTGAGTAATGGGGCCCCAGATTCTATCATTGATCCTGACCGCCATACCCCAGACCTGACGCTTTGACGGACAGCATCCGACAATCTCAATGGCACTCTACGTATAAGATCTCTTCACTGGCAGCAAAACCAAAGCCATATCCATCTCAAGCAGATCTCGGATTTCATCATGACAGACCAAAAGCCTGACGTGAAAGAGTTCAGCACTGCCAAGGACGTCGAACTTGATGAGCCGTCACCATATCGCAATTTGTCTCCTGAAGATGCAGCTCTCATGCGATCTTATGAAGGCGAAAGGGGTAGAAAGGTAGTCCGCAAGGTATGTCGACCAGATTTCGTCCTCCAATTGTTCGGAGATGCTAACTTTCCAGATTGACTACCGATTGGTGCCTGTCATGGCGGTTCTCTATCTCCTTGCACACATCGATCGTGGAAATATTGGCAACGCAAAAATCGAAGGAATGGACAAAGACCTCGGATTGACCGGAAACCAATATAACATTGCGAGCACCATCTTCTTCGTTCCTTATATCATCTTCGGTACGATTTCTACAAGGTCAAGAAGTTGTGGATTTTGCTAATCGGGTCAGAAATTCCTTCAAACATCGTACTGAAAAAGGTTCGACCGAGCATTTGGCTGTCTTTCTTGGTTGTATCTTGGGGAATCGTGATGACTTGCATGGGCGCGGTACAAAATTTCAAAGGAATGCTCGCATGCCGTGTCATGCTTGGGCTTGCAGAGGTCAGAAGTAATATGTCCATGAAATGATCCTATCGCTGACATCTGCCTCAAAGGCTGGTTTCTTCCCCGGAGCTGTATTCATTGTGTCGTCATGGTACCCTCGACACGAGCTACAACAGCGCCTGGCTCTGTTCTACACAGCCTCGGCCTTCTCTGGTGCTTTAAGCGGTCTTCTTGCTTTCGCAATTGCACGCATGGACGGCCTCCAAGGGATTAGAGGCTGGAGATGGATCTTCCTCATCGAAGGTGCAGTTACAGTAGCCGCTGGCCTTGTTATGCCCTTCTTCATCATTGACTCCGCAGAAAGAGCTTCCTGGCTGACTGATGAGGAGAAACGCTTCATCGACCTCCGACTCCAACTCTCTGGTGTCCGCGCCGTTACCGAGGAGGGCGACAAGTTCTCCTTCAAGCTCCTCGGCAAAACTATGATTGATTGGAAAATATGGCTCGGAATAATCCTAGCATGGGCGAACTCGGTGCCAAATGCGGCCTTTAAATTTACCATGCCCCAAATCATCAAGCAACTCGGTTTTGTTACCCAGACCGCACAACTTCTTACCATTCCGCCTTACTTCTGCGGTGGTGTTTCTGCCTGGCTCGTCGGTCGCTACTCCGACAAACTGGCCTGGAGATTTCCTTTCATCGTTGGCCCACTCAGTGTCCTTATCGCGGCAATGGGAATATTGTTTGGGCTCTCAGGCAACGTCAAGGGCAACGTTGGACCAATGTACTTTGGTATTGTGTTGGCGCAGATGGGTATCTACCCTCTTCTCCCTGGTATTTCAGCATGGGTAGGCAACAATCTCGCACCCTCATGGAAGAGATCAATGGGCCTGGCCTGGCTGCTCGCTGCGGGAAATCTTGGAAGTAAGTCTTCATTGCAAACTCCGAATTATTGTTAAGGCACTAATGTCACATTTCAGGCTTGGTTGGCACCAATATCTTCCTTGACCGTGAAGGCCCAAGGTACCCTACTGGATATGGCACAAGCTTGGGAATAGTTGTATTGGCCATGATTGCTGCAGTGGTACTCGAGTCGACTCTGTGGTCCCGTAATAAGAAGCAAAAGGCTATGTCAGAGACAGAGATCAGGACAAAATACTCACAGGTGGAGCTTGATGCAATGGGTGACAAGAGCCCGCTGTTCTATTACACTCTATAGTAAAGATATGGGTTGCGTCTAACGCTTTACGGCTTTCGCAGCGTTGGATTGGCATGACATCGCGTAGGCAGGGCAAGCATTTTGGACTTCCTTAGTGTATGTACTATCTGCTTCTAGGGCTTTTGCATCTTTAGCCTTAAGAAATCAAGTGCAGGTCCAGGAATAGACTAATCTAGGGCAACAGTCATCAGTGATGTTGCCCTTTCGCAATTCAATTCACGTTGACATCGAGTTTTAGAAAAGAGATGTGATTAGTTATGAGATCTTATTATATGGTTTCTACCTTTCATATCAGTCACTTTCTCATTCTATTTTCACTACATGGATGATCTGATTATCTCCTCAATCCGGCCCCTTCCTTGAATCTTGTATTCGTGTTAGCTAGCATGGTTACGCGGCAACACATGCCCTTCTTAACGGCTGCAGAATAGATTTGAGTCTAGCCCATATGAGAAACTTTGTATGTTGGAAGTAGGATTTTGTGAGGTAAGGACTTCTTTATTCGACTCTTACCCTTAGTGCACGCAACTATTACTCTGGTAAGTTGTCAACTAGGTTGCCCTTTAAACCCAAATCACGACCGTGAGAGCCACCAAAATTGGCAAGAATGAGGCTTGTACCTTGAATGGATAGGTAGATAAGCGCATTCAAGGTGGTTACAAGCAACAGCTTTGGTAATTTGAAGGCTCCATTTTATGCGCAAAGAGATATCGCTATTTTCTCTGTCAACACGCGAGCGATGGTTTCCACAATTTGCCTCAGCAAGCAGCAATGCATTAATTTCTGCGTCTTTATAGCATCCATAGTAACTAGAAATAGAGATCAGAGTTGCAGACTTGTTGGATAAGTGAACTTACCGAACAATCCGTGGATGGATCCTTAGCCATTCTCCAATATCGGAGTTTCCAAGAAGTCCAAGATTGCAGCTTGGTAAAAGTGCCTACACCTATCATTAAACATCCGGGAAATTTGCACAATCTTTCTATTGAAGATTGTCCAAACAAGCTTGGATTTAACAAGTGCTAAATGAATACATATGCTCTCCACATTGAAATCTTATACCACAGGATGCAAAGCATATTGAGTATAAAATAAGCTATAGATATGTTACAACTCAAAGTTGATATGATATGATCGTGTCCGAATCCGATTGAATTTTCTGACTATGGTTTTTAAGTTGGGTTGTTCCGATGGGATACGTGTGTATCGTTGTCGATAAGAAATCTAGCTTCTTGTGCAACAGAAGCAAGGTATATAAGAGTGTTAAAACATCGTTGCATGACGAATACATTATTTGTTCTGAAGCAATTAGTTAACTGATACTAGAAGATCTACTTCAGGAAGGGTACCTTGGCTTTGCAATTGGGTTTGCCACATTTCTTGTAGTCCTTGCCTAACCCGTCGAGTTCACGCCAAATCTTATGGCCTTTCTTATTCCGGTTGTTGCAATATGTTATACTTATCGTCTCCCGTACGATATCTCCACAGCCATAATATCGAATATCGTGATATTTTTCGAGGCACATAGTGATGAGGATTGAAGTATCGGGCATGAGCAGAATGCCAGCGTGAAGAAATGATAGGAGGAAGGTTAGAATGAAGAGGACTTAATATTTGCTACAGGATATTATAATAAGTAATAGTTCATGTGAAAAGTCAGTTTAAATCTTTATAGTCCTTGAAAAGATTATGGCTTGATTAAGAAGCATACCTAGACGCACTCTACGATAAACTCGCCAAGGGACTCCCAAACTTTACGCCCTTAATTTCGTTTCTATTGTGTACAAGATCACTAGCATGCAAAAGTCTATCCTCCAGGTCTCGAACCTTTGTTGATGATGCGATACTCTCACATAAACCTTCCAACGCAGTGTTGATTCGTGTAGTCATCGCCATCACCTCATCAGCCGAAAAGACCAAAGTGTCGTATTCGATTCGAAGTGTAAGCACCGATGATCTAACAGCTGAAAACTCAAACATGATGCCGAATTTGGCGCCCTCGGCCCAGGTAACCAGAGGTTCGACTCCCGCTATAACCCCATCCGTGAGTAATGATGCCTTGCCGGTTACGCTGCGCTCATGGAAGGTCACCATGGCATCGACCAGCGGGTGGTTCGGGCTCGGTGTGGTAGTGGCTGAGCGTAAATTATTGTCATCTGATAAGGAGAGCAGGTGTAGCAACGAGGCCCACTCGATACCGTGACTGAGAGCAGACCGCGCAGAATCTTGGACTGTGAGTAGAAAATTCCTCACGGGTGCGTCACCAAGGGCTTCCCCCAATTTTGATTGCCTTGAAACTCGTATTGGTAGTGGCTGTAAAAACAGCCCAATGGTACTCATATCGCCCTCTTGTCGTCCTATGTACGGACCGCCTAATATCAGATCTTGTTTGGTCGAGCTGTCTGTCTGCAGAATGAGTGACACGATAGCCAGCGCGATTTGATGTTTGGTGAGATGTAGTGATCGCGAAACTGTTTCGAGGTTATGGGCTGAATTATTCGAGAGCTGGAACATGCGCGATGCGCCATGGTACGATGCTCGAGCTTTCTTCATGTAAGGAGGCAGTCTACTGTAGTCGATTTCAGAAAGGTACGATCGCCAGAACCTGGCTGTATTTAGATCGATGGCGACATTTCCCCACATCGTGTCTTGATAACATTTTTGAGAAGCCAAGAGTAATGCCCCAGCCCCATCTTCATGATAGTACGCGGCGAGGAATTCTTCCAAAAGCCGGTTGAGGGTTGAATAGTCGCAGATGATGTGGCTCAGGCAGACCAACATATGGGACTTTGAGATTATTACCCGTATCGGGTGTTCTGAATCGAGCGAGAACTCGCTATTGATTGCAACTCGAACGTCGAACGAATCTACATATAAGGCTTTTGGTGGTTGAGCAGCGTAAAACCTCTCCACACCTTCATGTGCGGCCATAGAAGGACGAAACCTGCAACGTAGAATTGCGTGTCTTTTCAAGACAGCTGTCCACGCAGACACAAGTGCGTCATGCTGGTCAAATTCGTCGTCGAGTTTCGAAACATGCGACACATTGAAAGCTGAAGTGCCGAGGTTTTGCTGATATTTTGCGAACCAAACGCTCTCAATGGGCGATACATCGTTCACTTCGAAGGTAGACGCTGCTTTGCTGCGACCAAAGCAGGCAGGTTTTTCCCATCCGTCTTGGTCTACAACCACTTGCCCTTTGACTACCTCGTCCACCGAGGATGCTAGGTGCGAGATGACGGGATTGTCGAAAACGTGTTTCACAGTAAATTTTCGTTGGATAAGGGAAGAGAGGCGACTTGCAAGCTGTAGCTGCACGATCGAATGTGCACCTAGCGCTAGGAGATCTGAATCTCGATCGATGGGTATGCTAGGGTCAAGCTTCATTAGATCGCGCACAGCGCGTACAATCATTAACTCGGTTCCCGTGATACTCTTCTGCAAAGGTTGCGGCTTTAAAGCGTTGGATTTGTCAATCTCCTCAAGCTTTTTATAATCTAATTTGCCTCCTTTTGTTAGAGGGAGCTCGCGAAATGGCAGAATTCGTCGTGGGTTCGCGTATGGGGGTATAGCATCCCTAATCAACGTCTTGACCTCTGATTCATTATACACATATATCGAGGTGGGGGACATGGCGTACGCTGCCACCAGATAGTCCTCCCGACGGAATACAGCGGCACCTCTACAACTCGGGATCGCATTGGTAATCTGTGCTTCCAAGTCGTCAAGGTCGAGTCGGAAGCCGCGAAGCTTGATTTGCCGATCTTTGCGACCAATGATGCAGATTTCTCCAGTCATGCTATCCCAATAAGCAAAATCGCCTGTCTTATACATTTTTTGTTCTGCCTCGGGCAACACGGAGTCATAAAAAAAGCGACTTGCGTTCTCCAAAGGCAAATTGATATATCCTTCTGATACTTGGATGCCAGCAAGATACATCTCACCCACGGCACCAGGTGGCAACAGCCACTGATTGCGATCCAGTATGTATACCCTGGAAGATGGATTAGCCTGGCCAAGCGTAACAGCTCTGCTTGTTGCCAGTTGCTTGATTGTGGCGCCGCAAGTTGCTTCGGTCGGACCATACATGTTGTACACAGTATGATCCTTCGTCCATGCATCAGACACGGATTGAGGAACGGCTTCTCCAACCAGGTAGACCTATAGATTTCTTGTGTCAGCTGTGCACTTTCGGCTAGATAGCAAAACTATACATTACGCAGACGAGGGTACTGGTTAGCATCAAGTGCACTCGCGATCGAGGGAGTAAAAATAGCCGAGTCGCAGTCTTGAAGGTGCGCAAAGGGGTTGTCTTGGGCGTCAATCGAGCCTAAACGCAGTGTCGCACCGTATGTAAGGGTGGAGAAGATTTCATGAATACTTCCATCGAAGACAGGCGACATGACTTGAGCTACCACCGTCCCTTTCCTAGCACAAAGGCGAACAATATAATCTCTCTGGAAAGCTACTAGCGCTTTGTGAGTACACTGCACCGCCTTCGGCTGACCAGTGGACCCGGACGTAAAGCAAATGTAGGCAAGATCATCTGGACGAGCGATGCGTCTTCTTGGGGGAGAAGGTGTGAGACGATCTTGCCGTGACTCTATCCGGTTCTTCTCCAAGGCTGTGTCGACGAAGAGTGTCCGGCAACCAACAGGCAACACATCTGGGGAAATGCACGCTTTCGAGGGAAAGATGATAGCACGCGCACCACTCTGTACGAAGTTTGCATGTCGCACGGAGGCTGGGGCCGACGGATCTAATGGCGTGTATACGCCACCTGCTTTGAGCACGCCTAAAATAGCAACAAGCCAATCGACCGATCGGTCAGCGTATACGCAAACTGGCTCGTTCAGCTTAACCCAGGTGAGTTCCCGCGCTACAACGCTTGAACATTGGTCGAATTCATCATAGGAGATATCTTGTCCCTGACCACGAGTGACAGCCACAGCGGTGGGTTGTCTTGCCACGACACTTTCAAATAATGTCACTAGATCGTCCCCCTTTGACTCGTCCAACGCCTCGAGAGACTCGCAGTTGCTCCATCTTCGGATGGTCTGTTCCATCTTCAATGGCATGAGCCCCTGTCGCATCGCGGATGCCAACGGTTGCTCATCGTCATCCTGTAGGAAACAGCTCATGGCATTCTGAAAGACTGACCAAACATTGTGCATATCCTCTTCAGAATATTTCGAAGTAGAGTAGAGCACTCGTAGACAGTTCTGTCCATGAATGATAAGATTTAGGGCAATCCCAGACTGCACGTCAGGGCGGCCGGAGACACCTATTGGGAACTCGTCTGACCCTTCAAGCTCCTCAAACTGCGTGGCCATAATAGAAGTGAACTTCCTGTCGAATCCATCTGTTGTGTCCGAGTACTGAATGTCGTTCAACTCAAGGATACGGTCTTGTATGCCTAGGAGAAATGCTCGGACAGAAGTTTCTCGTTCTCCCTCAACCGGCATCTGTACAGACAATGGAAGTATGTTAATAAGCGGTCCAACAACATCGAATGCACCCAAGATAGGTAGATCACGGCCCGAGAACGTCATTCCAAAACAGACCTGATCGGTATCCATGAATTTGCCCAATGTCAGAGCCCATGCAGCGGCAAAGTATATTGTACTTGTAAGACCCGTCCGCGCTCGAGCAGCCGCCAGTTGTGCTTCCGGAATTATGAGGTTGATGACCCCCTGTGATGTAGACTCATCTTGATCTCGCTGTGGATTCAAGCATAGCTCGCCAACCGCGCTAGGAAATTTCGCTCGCTCGTTTTCCCAGAATCGTCTTGTGGCCTCTCTTCTCTCTTCTCTCAATCTACCTAGCGCACGTACTGTTTCTTTAAATGATGGGCCGGGACTAACACTGACTCTTCCTGACAAGAGATTGCGACGAATCTTATCGTGGAGAAGACGAGCAGAGAATCCATCTATGAAAGAATGGTGCACACGCCAGACAACCGCAACAGATGACAGATTCAGCCGCACGACGGTCAGTTTAGATAGTGCAGAGTCGACGAGAAATGCGTTACGGAGCTCTTCTTGGAAACCGTCCTCGGATTCTACATGGATTATTTTCTGAAGCAGGAGCTGGTGTGGAGGGATGCATAGCTCCGTAACAAAGTCCTGGAATATTGGTTCAGCCCAAATTGTGTTCATCCAGATGTTACAGACATGTTGAGGGTCCGATTCACCGGTATACAAATCGTGTACAGTCACAATGTTACGTTTCTGGTCGATGGATGTTTCCCGTAGCAGAAGAAGCTGCATCTCCGTCCATTCAGTAGCATTGATCCGACCTAAAAGGTCCGTTGCGGTCATGATCTTTTGTTCGTTGTAAGAAGAGAGCGTGTTGGAAGCTTGCAAGTCGCTAGTTGCAATATGGTCGTAGGAAGACGAAAGCGATGAAAGCCCGTCGCAATCAGTTGATGAATGCGACGAGAAAGCTGTTGAGCAAGGTGGGAGGCCCTGAGAAGGTAACAGAGAATTTGGTGTAGGCGTAAATGGAGTATTCAAGTCGATGTCGAGAAGCTGGGCGGAAATTTCAGCCTTCGCGATGGATTCTTCTAGGCTTGATGCTCTTAGGAAAACGCTTGCTGAGATGGAAATGCCATTCTTCTGACACTCTGCAGCGATAAGGATCGCAGTCAAAGAGTCGCCACCAAGCTTGACAAAAGTGCTATTTGGTGCGACAAAGTTGATTTCGCTAGGTTCAAGCCCAAGAACCGTCGATATTGCATTGGCAATGGTAGAAGAGACACTATCAACATGGCTCTTGGACATCATGATGATTGGCGTTGATTGGTGGGCCCCTTGTCAGTTTGACCCAATACCCGGTTAGGCCATAATGCCGGCAGGGAGTCCTCGGGGCTGGGGGCTCTTTTATTCACGTTGCTCGATTTGACGGGGTGATGTTGATTGCATGAGGCGCAGCCCCTGTGTAGGGATTACATTCAGCCAAATGGGAACCGAAAGCCGCGGCCACCGATCTGACAGCAAGCTGCGCGGGACTCGGCGGCCGACTAAGGGCTCTACGCCTAAGGAAATTTATATAGGTCTATCCTATTACATATACATCATGTACCAACAAATCTGTTACTAAGGCGCTCTTGTTAAGGTTTGAATATGTAGATTAAATCATTGTAATTGTGTGATCATAGAAAAGCTTCACGAATCAATTAGATCCGGCTTTGACTGCATACTCTTTCACTAGACACCCTTGCAAAGGTATATGGGGTGCGATAGGTCGGCGAGTCACCGCATGCAAAGTCTTTCAATATCGAGGGAGTGGATTCTACAATTAGACTGATACCTTGAGGCTCAGGTTCAATACTAAAAAATGCTTCTCACGTGATTGCTTTTATCGTGGGTTGGGCTCTAAAGCACTATCATTTGAGACTAACTATCAAGCTTAGTAACTATAGATATAACTCTTCTACACGAACCAGGAAGAGGAATCATCCTTATGCCTTTACTATTTAAACAGCCTGTTAGGCTGCTTTTTACATCTGTACAACAATTATCCAAAATCATCTGCTTTTTAATTCCCTTGGAAAATTTTCTGCCGCGCAGCACCCTACAGAAACATTTCAGGACCACCCATCTCAGTGTAAAAGACGCCAAACATTCTAGTCTCAAAGCCACATCAATTTAGCCCTGAAATTGAGAAATTCATTCAATCTCAGTTCAGTCGACCACTACCGGGAACTGATCCCAATATCTAAATGGCTGTGAGTATTCAGAATACGTTCACGTCGCATTGTTGGAATGACTCAAGAATGGAGAATTGGACGGACTGCGCGCAAACATCGGAATGTGTTTCTGTATTTAAGATTATTCAGACGCCTACTAGTGGGGCATTATCCCCATTTCTCTTCTCCTCGTCTTCGTTTTACTCAAGACATTCGATGGAGGGAATAACCCTCGAGTCTCGTCTACTAGATTATTAGCGTTACTGAACTGGTACTCAAAGTATGATTGCTGGTATTATGTAGATATTACTCTGACTATGTACTCGGCGCTAATTGCAAGCGCATTTTCTTGACATGGTAACGACCCTTCATAGACTAGGCCGCAGGAATGTCTTTCTCTTCATTCTTGATCTCGCCTGTTTTACCTTCCTCCACCTTCTCCACGTCTGTTTCCTTATCTCCGCCCTGTGCGCCCTGCGGAGACTTATCAATCCTTTTGAATCCTAGCGTCAGTCCAGTCAAGAGTGCGACGCCGGCAAATGCAATGGCCATTGCCCAAGCGGCTCGTAGCCCATCTAGATAGCTCTCGCGTATAGCCGGCATTTGGTCATCAGTAAACACGCGCCCGAGGTCAGTGGCGCCGGTCGAGATAATAGTCATGCGACTGACAGCGGGAAGTCGATCGGAAGCAGTGGCCAGTAGGCGATTGATGAAGACGGACTGGGCTGCAGCTACGGCTAATGCTCCCGAAAGCAGCTGGAAGACTGTTGTGGAGGATGTCAGCATTTGGCTATGAGCTTCTGTGGCGCACTCGGCTTTTAGACGATGGCGCTAATTATGTACAGTACCGATCTGTTTCCTGCGTTTGACTTACAAAGAACAGTTGACATCGATAGAGCCAAGTCTTCTGGCTTAGAGAATGCCTGCACGACTGTGAGAGGAATCTGCTGGCAAACACCATTGCCGAATCCAACTACAAACTGGAAGCCGATGTACTCTCTAGCGTAAGAGTCTGTCTTGAGAGTATAGAGCAAACCAGCGCCAATGGCGGTGAAGCTTGCCCCGATGAGAAGGTAAACTTGGTAAAATCGAAACTTGGTGAAGAGAATTCCGCTGAGTACGACGAAGACAGCTATGCGTAGGTTGGCCATTGAACAACAAAATGTAATGATCGCGTAAGAGGTAGCTTACATGCCGAGACAATGAGTGGAAGTACCTGGATGCCACTACGTGTTGGGCTAGAGCCCTTCACAGATTGAAAATACAAGGGCAGGTTATAGATCATTAAAAAGTTGGCGCAGCTCAGCCTGTTTCCAACCAATTAGTCGACGTCGTTAAAGAGTTTGGATTGGAAGTCAATCGGGTTGCTCACAAGAACATGAAGGCCGAACCGCCAGCGACATGGCGCTGTGCAAGAATTCGTGGAATGATGGATGCTCGCTGATCAGAGACCCCCTGCACGACGCCAAAGGCGGTCATGAGTAGGACACTGCCGACAAGTGTACCGACCACATCTGCATCACCCCAAGCTTTTGATATGCCGCCCCACTCTAGGGCAAGGAAGTAACAGATGACGGATGCGACTGCCAAAGTCATTCCGGGCAAATCTAGCTGAAGTAGCTTTTCTTTCAATGTTGCTTGCGGGAGGGGCGTCGTAGGTTTTGGGAAAAGAGCGAAGAAAATAAGGGTCGCCGCCCCGCCGATGGGAAGATTGATATAGAAACTATTGAGCATGAATTAGCTTAGCATAACGGTATATCACGCAAATGACAAAGGGCGCGAGCGCTTCAAAGCAAGCAAGCAGAAAGAGAACGTACCACCACCGCCATGAGACTTGTCCAGTGAATGCTCCTCCAATGAGAGGTCCGGCAACGCTCGCAATGCTGAACGCAGCGCCTATACCGCCAATGAAAGCAGGTGCTTTGGAGGGCGGTACGAGATGGGAAATGATAACATAGGTGCCGATCGTTATTCCTGCGCCTCCAGTGCCCGTGATAACACGACCTGCGATGAGCATCTGGCTATTCTGCGCGACACCTGCCAAACATGAATCGTAATGTACTATTTTGGCGTCGTCATGAGGACTTGTTTACGAACCACAAATAAGACTGCCAAGTTCAAATACGAATACCGACGCCAAATATGCAATCATAGTCGGATAGTACTTGTAGATTTTCCCCCAAGGCGACTGGAGGACCGCCAACGTGAGGAAGAAAGCCGAACCGTACCAGCCGGCTTCATCGAGACTCTTGAATTCTTGCGTGATTTTTGGAATGGCAGTTGCTATGATGGTCTAAGCGGATCAGTGAGCAGGTTGTCTTAAGCGAGCGCCATCGGACGCGGTGGCTTGAGATGTGACGCACCATATCTAGCGGTACCTGGATCGAACAATCCAAGCATTATTATTATTATTTCTACTCCGTATGAGATGGGGATAGGTACAAAACCCACAAGAAACATGGTCAAAAGTGTCGCGATGTAAACGAGCCACAGCTTCCATCCCTGAGGATACTCCGTCTTCGATGTTTTAGATTTGTCCTTTTCCTTGAGCGAAGAGGATGCTGATGGAACGACAGGCGATGATTCAGGGTTAGTCACGTCTGCGCTCGTTTGCGTCTTACTTTCGTCGAACGACATTCTGTAAGCTGTTGACGAGAACCAAAAAAAAAGTGGTAGTGGTTTGGTTGAAAGAGCAAAGCAAAAAATGTGGCTTCGGCAGAGTTACAGGGATAAGAGAAACGGTCGCAAACGTCCTGCCTTACCTTACTTACCCCAGGTTTTACGCACCAACCTTAGCCTCCGAATACGAATGCCTATAATAGTGTCCGCCACAAACCCGTCGGGACAGCCATCTCTGGGGGAGTCGGCCCGTCCAGTAGGAGATGAAGGTTTGGCCAGGTCGGTGAGGTCGGCACAGTCGGCGAGGTTGGCGCGCCGAACTATGCTTTCGAACTAGGCTGACCCTGCATGTTAGGCGTTCACTTACCTAGGTAGGTATACATGTATTTGAGTACATGCGATTCCAATCTACGTAGGCTCAATCGAGACTTTGCTAGGTATTGGCCCCCAACTCGGACATCGGCGACACATAAGGAGCTGCAGGACACTGCTGCCTGTTGGTGTATGAAAGATTGACCGGTTTGGCGTGGATGCCACTCGGAACAATAGTATAGACATATAGGAACATACCTAGCCACGTCGGCTGCAACGATCGTTACGGTGATAGCTTCCTCCATTATTCTTCTCCCGAATTCACTCTTGCCGCAATTGGAGCGTTATTGCCTACTACAGTAGTTCCCAGCCTTCTCCAAGCCAACAGACTCTTCATGTGGCACGGCATGGAAATGTGGCACGGGACAGAAGCCTATTCACCAGAGAGGATCCGTGCACGATCTTGGCGTATATATATCAGTACCTCCATAGATTAAGAATAACAATCATCGAATCGTATCAGCAATTCTCAACAAAGAAGCCTTTCACTCGACTGTCAACAGTACGCTTGATTGAGAATCAACCGGCCCTCGTATCCAAGATGACTTCACAGCCTCAACACCCGCACCTACCGCTTCCTGACTATTTCTCCAAGTTCGCCAGCATTTATGCTCGGCAGACGGGTCACTCAACTCTCAACATTCTTGCCGAGGTCATCTCCCAAAATGTCCAGACGTCCGCCCACCCTATTGGCCCAGACTCCGTCGTTCACGATACCGCCGCTGGGCCTGGTATCGGTGCTGCGGCGCTCGTTGCCAAACTCCCCAAAGAGCAGCTTCCAAAGGAGGTGCTAGTTTCAGACAACGTCCCGATGATGGTCTCTGGGGCGCGAGATTCCCTCGTTGCCTCTCCGCTACCCCACGTCGAGTGCAAGGAGCTCGATTCGCAAGACCTGTCATCGGTGCCTGACAATTACTTTACCCACTCGATTGACAATTTTAGCATCTTCACCTTTGTGCGCCCCGCTGATGCCGTCCGCGAGACATACCGTACCCTCCGCCCAGGTGGTCTCGCCATTGTTACCTGCTGGCGCCGCTTCGCACCAATGTTTATTGTGCACGCCGCGCAGAAGAAGATTCGCCCGGACCTGCCACTCATGCCTACACCGAGCCCGGAGTTCTACGAAGAGGGTGTGCTAGAGAGAGTAGTCGAGGAAAATGGCTTCACCAAGGACAACGTAACACTAGTCGAGAGGGAGTTGGTCGTCTCCGACGATGAGAATATCGGTGGTCTTACTACGCTCATGTCGGGTCCCATGATGGCCAAGGCCCGCGAAGGGTACACAGAGGAGGAGGAGTCTAGGTGGGTCGATTCCGTCAAGCAGTCCGTAAAGGAAGAAGTTGAGCAAAATGGGGGCATCAAGTTCCAGGCCTATATCCTCTTGGCTACTAAATAGAGGGGCTTGAGCGTGTCCACACAGGACGAAGAAGAGGAGACGTTGATCGGCTGCCATTGAGTCCTTGCTGATCAAAGTCTATGCGGATTTGGCCAAAGTGTTTTCTCCTCCGCGTACGCGTGGATGTAGTAGTATCACGTGTCTTAGAGAAGCTACTACTTGTGAATGAATGCGTGTGCAGCCAGGGAGGTGCGGAAGTGGCAGCACAGAGGAGCAAATAATTCGATAGTACTAATCATACTTCAGTTCCCAATGGCACGCTCAAACGGAATCGTCGTACCTCAATTTTTCGTGCATCATGTATCATGTTGTTGACGGGATAGTGATACCTCATACTTGGCCAACCGTAGATGCCCGACCGGAAAATACTGGCGCTCCCCGATAAACACATCCCGACCTTCGGCATCGGCGAAACCGAGGGTATCTATGGGACCGGACCGAAACGGAGGCTTCTTACGTTCGTGTGCATCTCTCGTGATTCAGTTGCCCAATCCAGCCAGTCCTTCAACCTCGAAATCTTCAGTTTTTATCGACTGAATCCGTTCCTATGCTTATTTTTTTCTTCCGCCGTACAACCGATCGCAATGGCCAACCAACACCAACAAGAAAGCAAGTACTGGATGGAAAGCGAGGGGGAGCGCAAACGGCTAGCCAGCAATCATTTCATTGCTAAAGATGCCATGGGCGGCAAGCTCGTTCGAGCGCCCGTAGATTTTTCTCGGCCGGGCAAGTTTCTAGACAGTGGGACTGCTGATGGTAAGTACAGTAACCTTAATGCTCATCTGGTTGCCCCGCGGGGCTACTTCTTTTCGAGTTAGCTTCCTTATCATTTGAATCCAGGAACCTGGCTCCTGGATCTCGCCTCATCCTTGCCGCCTCCAGCTCTGTCTGCCGCTGCCCACGAATTTGTTGGCACAGATCTCAACCCAGCACCTTTTCCGCAATCGGTTCCCCCAAACGTGACGTTTGCTGTTCAAGACATCAAGACTCAATGGCCAGAGTCCTCGCAAGGCCGATTTGACCTCGTTCATCAACGCCTAACCCTTCTTGGGGCGGGCCCCAACCCCGCTGCCTCCATCTCCCATCTGTACTCGATAGTCAAGCCCGGTGGTTGGGTTCAGGTCAGCGAAGGAACCATGGATTTCCCATCCGATATTGTGAATGAAGAACGAACGCCAGCATACAGCGACATGCTTAAGCTTATGCGAGCTATTGCAGGGGCGGTCGGCGCTGAGTGGCACCTTGGCAGAACGATCAAGGGCTTATTGGAGCAGGCGGGCTTTACGGATGTTGAAGAGGAAGACGTCATTCTTAATCTGGGTGCAACCAACATCAATGAAAAGCTGGCGAAGGAGGGAGCAGAAAGCTGCGGCGTCGCAGTACAGGGCTTGTCTAGGTTCGCACAAAGTAAGCATTCAGCATTTTTATATTCACTTCTTAGGAGTATCTGAGCTGGCTATGTGGATAGAACTTTGCTGATCAACTGTATCCACAGAATTCCCACCCGAGAAACAACCGTTGCCAACTGAAAGATACGAGACACTAGTGGCCGACATAGAGAAGGAAGTTCTGGAGAAAGGAGCGGTGTACCCACTAAAAGTAGTATGGGGTCGCAAGCCAGAGTAAAAATGAAGCGCTCCTTAAGGGACTGCCCATTCCCCAAGAGCGATGTCAGCTCGAGAGAGATTGCTCTCTGAGACTTATATTTCACCAATCATGTCGCAACACACTATATACAATTCCTAGGAAGACTTCAGTCAATATCATTTTTCAGCCATTACAATCTCAGCATGCTTAATCATATATCTTTACTTCTCAGACTACATTCCCACTCTCAGCCTTTCGCCGTCTAAATAAGATCATTTGCTCCATGTTAGGGCCAGTCTTCTCATCTTTTACCCAGTTCTTCGGCCTTTCAGTTTGCCCGTTTGGAAATTTGAAATCGTACTCAGTCAACAATAGACAAAGCACCAGCTTGATCTGTGCACTGGCATACCATCGCCCTGGGCACGCCTGTCGGCCACTCCCGAACCAGGAGTCACCCGCAGCGACGGAAGTAAAGAGATTGGTGGCGTGTACTTCGCCAAAGCTTTCAATTTTTGTAGTAGGAGAAGAATAGAAGCGCATCGGCCGGAACTCCAATGGTGATACGTAGAACGAGGGATCACGGGAACGGGCGTCGGAGGCTGCGCAAATGTGCGTCCCTTTTGGAATGATAAAGCCGTTTGAGAGTGGGATTGGAGATAGCACTAAACGCTGGAAGGAAACGATTCCGGCAGAGTTCGTGCGGCCGCTCTCTTTGAGGAAGCTCTCCATCTTACCCAGTTTTAGCAATGAGGCTTGGGTCCAGCCATTGGCACCAAGCTCTTTGATTGCCTCTTCACGCAACTCCTCCACCAAATTTGGGTGGGCGCAAAGATCATAGAGAGCGTGTATAGCTGTGATTGCACTTGTGTAGATTGCGGCAACAATCAGAAAAAGAATCTTCATGATGATTGCCTCTGGGTCATCACCTTTCCCGTTGGTAGATTCAGAGAGCCATTGCACAAAGTCCTGCGGTTGTTCGTTTTCGCGCACTGCAGACTTATCGTCCATATTTTGTCGCTGACGGCTTACAATGACAGGAGTCAGAAATTTGGTTACTTCTGCGATGTCAGAGCGCAGCTTCCTGCCACATGGTAACGTGTACCTAGCGATGGGACGCAGAGTAGGCGAGATATTCCTCATTGTTATGCAGAACGTGGCCACGGAAGCGGTGAAGCCTATGATGGTCTTGAGCCATATTGGGTCGCGGCAGATGAGAGGATCGTCGATCACTCGACGGGAGGTGATCTGGCCAATTGCTGCGAGAAGAAGTGAAGAGGCCTTGATTGGGGTGAAATCTACAGAAGTGGTTCGTCAGCAGTCTTCCTTTTTTTTTGCCTTTGGTAATTCTAAGCTTGACGAAAGCGAAACGTACCTTCGAAGCCACAATTATTGAGGCCATTCTTTAATGAGAGTTCTGCCTCCTCTTTCATATGCGGTAACAAATTCCCTAATGATGTTGCTGTCAGCTTGTTCTCCGTCCCTAAAACGCATTCTTTTGCACTTGAAATTGCGTACCCAGACTCTTGGTCAATTGAAACCGGACAATGTCGCGGTGTATGTTCGTTCCACGAACAGCGTCCAGTTTCGTATATTTTCCCATGAACCGATCCAGAAGCTCTTCTTTGAAGCTAAGTTGAGTCTCTGGTAGGTTTTTCAGCTCCTCGATGAATCTATCGGGAATGACCAGTCGCTCGTTGTCGCATGTGTGGATCACGTAGGGTGTGTCCTTGTTCTGTTCGATCGTTTTCAAGTCAACAACGAACGGAAACTTCTATCACTTTGCAATGCTCATCGATAAGGGGAATCAGCAGAAAATCGAAGTTATCGAACCTTTGCATAGCCATGCTCCAATAGCTGTTGCCCTTTCGCGAAGAACTCATCTTTGGCGGCTCGAGTCCGAAGTCCCAAGAAGCCTGGGTCAATCCCGACTCGTGGAAGTCCAGCAAACTTACTTCGCGATGAGATCCACCGGCCCAGCCAGGAAATCAATAGCACGCCCGCAAGAGCGATGAAAAATAAGAAGTTTTCGTACGCCATTTTTATAGTGAATCGTTTCACCTGGTATGAGCTTTCTCTTCCCAAAGTTCAGTCCGCTTTTGCTCACATCTGTCACCTATGTCGTTTATGACCAACTCATTGTGAGCTTTGCTGGACAATTGCAATGTTTAGCCCCCACGATCGACAATGACCCCCAAACCCTGTGCCCTGTCGCCGATTGAAAGGATCACACAGCCGGCACTCTCGGCATCGGCGGATCATGGCATCGGTGAACGAGCCACACCTGTCCGAGCCCATGGTCACCTTGCTAAATTGTTGTGCGATACCGACACCTAGTCTTGATCCACGCTGATCATACAGCCCCGTCGTCGCATTGGGTCGGAACCCTATTTGCTAGCTTATCTCGAGCTATTGCGCTGGTCTTGGGTAATAGATTGTATCGACCAAAAGTGATTTCCTCCATTCAATTCAACTAGGAGCACTCAAGTCCATTCTTTTTTCGTCTCATAACCTTAAAGACCGTAGCTCGACATAAAACGCAACCACTACACAGCAAAGGCGTACTTTTAGGTCAACAACCAACGTCGCAAGCGCTTCATCAACACAATGGTCTTCAGAGTCTACCTACTCGCCGTTAAGGCGCCCTCTATCTCCCTCGAGGAATTCAAGGAGCAATGGGACGTTCACCACATCAATCTGCTGAAGGAGATTGCCGGCGATGACTACCCTCAAAATCACTCTCACCAATATCCAAAACAAGCTAAAGGCCCGGCGGACGCTAAATACGATGGAATCGGATTTTTGGAGTTCAAGGACAAGGCGGCATTTTTGAAGCTCAGGGAAATTACTGGGACTCCGGAGAACAAGGCGAAGCTCGAAGCGCACGATAAGACGTTTTTGGACATGGAAAAGATCCAGATGTACATAGTAGATGATGAAGAATGATGAACATGTGTATACCGTCACTGGGTGACAAAACTGAGCATCTTAGCTTCACATCATACACTTATTCACTTCTCTCGCATCTTCGATTCCAATAACTAAGTAATACATCCTGGAATAACTACATCAATATAGTAGGGCATTTGACCCGACGCAGCTATCTACAAAAGGTCCCAAAAACATCATCAGTATTTCCCCCTTTCAGTCGATTTTCGGCTCGGACATTGTACTTATCAGCCTTCCAATCTTGACCAGACGAGCTGTTGAATGAAACTCGGAATCAAAGCCCACTTCCGTGGCTTTAGTGATTCTTTAGAGGATCATGATATGTCATAGGGTTTTGGCCCGCTAGCTTTGTGGTTGTTCCCATGCTCTCCATAGGAATGCGATGACTAGCGTTTGACTCGGTGTCGACCGAATATCCCACTTCGCGCTCGATACCGGCCTTCGATTCGTCCTTTGAGCTACTAAGACGAGCCCATGGTGAGAAGCGCGAGTGACTGGATGTAGCGCTGTACGCTGTGGACGTCTTGGACTTCTTTGAAAAGCGGCTCGTCGAGAAACTGATGAGTTGGAGGTATGGAGCATTGAGGACGCGCTGGGCTGCGGGCGGTATCACGGGGAGGCATGCGTTGATGATCCCAAGAGTAATTTCAAGTCCAGACCACAGAGCATCCTCGACAACTTCCACAGTGAAGTTCATCTGGTTCTTGGGCTTGCTGAATTCAACCACGTGGTATGTCCGCCATGCCGTGGCGAAGCAGACACTGAGTCACTGGTTAGACCTCTAGCCGAAACGATGACTTCTATTTTGGGGTACTGACAAAATACCGAGGCCGAAGACAAAGGTTATGGCAACCTTCTTGCGTGTGCTCACATGCAAAGTCCAGAGCATAGGCATGGGGAGAATAAGGATACAAACATCGAGGATAAGGTTGAAGATGGCGCTGAGAAGGAATTTGAGTTTGAGGTTGCCGCAATGCTGGGGCACATCTGGAGTGAGCGCCCAGTTGTACCGAAAAGGGCGGCAGGTGGCAAAAAAGGCGATTGTGCACGCAACCAGGTAGGCCACGGTCGCCGCTTGAAACAAATAGATGGCGATGCAGAACCTCTTGACGGGGAAGAAGACTTGCAGGAGGAAATCGAGAATGGAGAGGCGAACAAACGAGTTGGCCCAGGATTGCAGAAGCCAGGCTGCAAAAAATGCCTTTATGACGATCAGCAAAGCTCGCATCATTGGGACAGAAATAGACTGGTTTACCTTGCGGATGAGTGACCGCTCATGAGGAGCAACTTGGATGATAGGGTAGCCAATAGCGCCACGATCGGCCACTGAGCGAAGAAGTCAGCATACCACAACGACTGAGAACGAAGCGATTCGACTCCAATACGTGGAGACTTGCCTAGCCAGATGATTGCCATATAGCCCGTTCCAAAGATAGCGGCAATGAAGATAGCATAATCAGAGAGACGCCAGGAAACTTTCTTGATGTACCTCGCCCAGACTCGAAAACCCAGTGCTATTAAATCCAAGATATAGAATGCGGTGACGGGTCCAACAAGAAGAACAGCCTTGTGGTGCATGGGAGCCTCAGAAGGGTTGATCCAGCCTCCCGGCGGAGGAAACATCAGCGGATTTTTGGGAGGCACTGCATTCCCGCTGCCTGATGGTGGTGGAGCTGTGCCGCTCATGGTTGATACAATTGCGACTCGCAAGGCATAGGGGGCTTCCAGTGATTGAGAAAAGAACAAAGTCCAATCAAACTAGCGATCTTCGTCCAGAGGGGGTAAAATAGTGAGCAAGATGGCGGGATATGGGGAGAAAGCACCCCAGAATACTATCTCGCATCGGTGGAAGGCGGGGTTCCAACTCTCTGGTCGGTCTCTTTTGTATTGAATGGAAATTAATCTTTCCCAGTCTACAGGTAGCGAATGATATTTGTCTTACAGGAAGGCAGCAATTGCTTGCATGTAGCGAATAGCAACCCACTAAATCAAAGATGGTGGTCAGCCAGAGCGAGTCAATTGGAAGTGTACGAGATCACGACTGGACATCGGCGATACCGATACCTAGAAGAAGGACGTATCTAGAAGAAGACGCCGATGCATGCGTCCCTCAAAAGGGCTTTCTCTGCCCACCTGTCGAAGGATATCTACGCGCCCAACTAAAAATATGAATTGATGAGATAGAAAATAAGCAGCATTATCTTAATGAAATTTCGGCTATGACCACCTTAGCATCACAATACATAGTGTACCCTTCGAGATTCAGACACTCGGCGAGGTCGGTGGACAAGGTTCGGATCTGTGTAACCTTGGATGGCGGGGGACTCGGCGAGGTTAAGCGGCGTAGAACAGCAAGGCTGGCCCCCAAATCCAACGTCGGAAGCACCTTTAATACCGTGTATATATCCCTCTCACACCGAGATGGTCTCTTATTGGTCGGCCATAAACAGTTCCATGTCCTGTCTGAAGTCCACTGGTTACGAATGTGCAGCTTACAAGAACCCAAGTATCGCCTACTTCTACTCCTTGTCTCGCTTGTGTCGCCTTCCTTTCTCCTCATCATGACGCTTACAGCCCCTCCTGTCGAGGTGGCCATTATTGGAGGAGGTTTAGCCGTAAATGTTAGCAGCACCCTCTTTCGAATGCGGCTCACACTGCTCGACAGGGCTTTACCCTTGCGCTTGCTTTGCATCGCCTCAAAATACCGTCTAGAGTCTATGAAGCACGCTCTGAGAACTACAATCCGGGCGGGGGGCTCATGCTTTCTCCGAATGCCCTACGCGCACTCGACAGCCTTGGAGCCTACGAGCGTTTACGCGGTAAGGCTCTGCAGTTCGATAAGCTCTACTTCAAGGATGACAAGGATAAGACTACCGACATTTACTACTTTGGCTCCAAGGTCATCTATGGCTATCAGGCCATGCGTATCATGCGCAAAGAGTTGCTTGATGAGCTGCTCGTAATGCTACGGGAACGCAGCATTCCCGTCCATTTTGACAGTGCCTTGGCCACGGTTGACTACGATGGTCCGGACCCCAATTCTAAGGTCGGGTTCACCTTCACGAATGGTCAGAAAGATTCGGCCTCGCTCTTGATTGGGGCCGATGGCATTCATTCTATGGTGCGTTCGACCTTTTTACCAGAGGTAAAACCCAAATATGCAGGTATCCTAGGCATCAGCTGCGTCGTGCAGCGATCACAGCTCCGCATTCCCGACGAATATGGCTTGCCCGCGATTGCTGTGGGCAAGCCAGGAGGCTTTTTGCTTGTGCCGCAGAAACCAGATGGCTCTGAGCTCTATGTTGGGGCGCAGCGACGGTTTCCAGAAACAGATGATTGGAACTGTCTGCGTAAAGATCAGCAGAAGCTCTATGATATGATTCACGAGAACCAGACCGATTGGCCCGACATTGTACAGTCAGCGCTAGAAGCCATGTCATTGGACAGGATGGGATGTTGGGCCTTCTACAGCCTGCCTCCATTATCGTCTTGGTTGTCGGAATCGAAGCGCATCATTCTAGTTGGGGATGCAGCTCACGCTATACCGCCTACGGTCGGCCAGGGTGCTAATCAGGCAATTGAAGATGTCTGCGCCTTGGCATCCCTCCTCTCGAAGCTGTCGCCCCAAGTTTCTCTTGATAAAGCTGCCGCGCTGTGGCAATCGTACCGACAGAAGCGCGTTCAAAAGATCCTTGACTTGACGCAGCAAATGAATGCAAAGCGACTGCCCGAAGCAGAGAAGGCTAAGCTGCCCCCGAACGCTATCTGGACTGACACGTCGTTAACGCGTGGCGAGGGCGGCGAGCTACGCTGGTTGTATGATCCCGATATGTTCGATGAGGCTGAGAAGTGGGCACAGGGCCTGAAGTTGAAGGGCACTACCACGCAGGGGTAAGATTTGGAAAGGGACATACAATAGGATCCTGAAGACGTGTTCGTAGACTGGATGTCGGTAGAGATACCCTATGGTATCTTTGCCAATGATTGTGGAACGCGGGTTCCAAGATGCCGATGATACATAAAGAAGGCAAACATGTCTAAACCCTTCGCAGATCTACGTCACTTGCTCACCGGGCCGTATAATGCTATCCAGGGTCCTGGCAACATTTAATATATGCTATGCTGAATCAATATATATATTTTGTTGTGACCTTTAATCAGACTCCGTCCTTCATGATATATCGTTCAAGGTTACAGATACTTCTTATTCCAGCGATAAGCCCCTTGCGTCGATGGCTGCGGGTGGCTGCATGGGGCCGTTTTTTCTAACCCAATATATTTCATCCCCAATAAACCCTGCCTTAGTCCTGCTATGTCCGTTGCCTGACGCTGATCGTTGTTGTTTAAAACAGCAGCGGTAACCTGGCCTCAAAATTGGTCGTTACCACCAGCACTGAACAGCACCGAGGGCCCCAGTAGTAGAAGTCACTATTGGGTTGGGAATGTTACCATTCTCTGGGAACCAGGGCTCTGACTCGCCGACAAGCGTGCCGCCCACCATGATTCGAAAGAAGCGGATTGCGTGCGATAACTGCCATTCTTCAAAGGTATGTAAGTCAAATTCGAAATTAGATAAATGTAGTACAAGTGTTGACGGTTGTTTGCACTCGCACACAGGTTCGCTGCACGGGCGAGATATCAGGGTGCCAACGTTGTCGGCGCGGACACAAGACATGTCACTATAGCGAATCCAACATGGGCCGCACACCTTCAGATGGCGTGAGCAAGCGGCGAAAGTCGAGTGCGAATAGTGCTCTCGATGCATTAGCGGTTGCTACCCAACCCCAGCAACGTCAACCTCAGGATTGGGATGCAGTTAGCCATTTGGAGATGCTAGACAATACCAGTAACGAGTTAGACAACCTGGGGTTTGACGCACCCCTCTTCGCATCTGATGACCTGGACTTTTCCGACATGGACGACGTGTACTTCGAAGTAGGGGATGATGCGCTCAATCTCGCCTTCCCTCGACTTGCCGCTCCATCTTCGCGCTCTTCACCGACAACGTCTCATGCGCACATCCAACCCCAACAGCAGCTACGGCTCCAGACAACGCAGCTTTTCAACGCATCTTCATCCACAGCATCGCAAAGCTATCAGGACTCCAATAGTGAATTCAGTCAGACAGCCAGTACGCCCAACTCGGCAACGGATGGCGCACAATACTGGACTACGCAGCTCGAAGATCTTTCTCGCACACTTTACAAATCACCGATCACGCTTGATGGGATGCTGCGCCACAGCTCGCAGTTATTGCCGCACATTATGGAAGTAATGCGGTCTTTACATTCTGCAGATTTGTCCTCGTCCGCTACGAGTCTCATACTCATCCTCGTGTGCCTCACCCAAGCAGTCGCGCTCTTTGAGCAGTGCGTGCCGGCAGTGCTATTGGACCGTCGAATCGCAGGTTCGAGCGATCTCTCCCTCCGGCTCGTAAACCAAACACACGGCCCAACCAAATGCCCCCATAACAGCATGCGGGAGAGAGGAGACAAGATCATAGAGCGACGCCGAGCCACGCAAAGACAAGAACGACGGGACGGACAGATCCAAGCCGTCAAGCAAATAGGAGAGGAGCATACCGAGCAATGGAGAGACAGGTGGGAGGCGGAAAGGCGCAAGCCCCACCGCACCGCACCCACATGGAAGGACCCATGGGAAAGCCAGCCACTCCACCTGTATGATAATGCACCAAAGCACGTGGCAACGTCTATTCTTCTCCTACGCACAGAAGTACTCGGTACCAGGGCATGGCTAGCAAACGCTAGGGTACCAGACATACTACCCACATGCACCTGCAAGCATAATAGACAGACACTCACCCACTTAAGAGACTACTGCAAGGACACCTCTCACGCGAGGCTAAAACTGCTCGAACGAGCAGGTACTACTAGGACGGACCGTCTCTTGACAAGCAAAGACACCGCCTGGATGGCGGGTAGATGGCTCCTGGACACACACGTGCTGGAATACTTCCGCATTGCAAAGGAAGACGAAGGAGTAGACATGGAGAAGTGGGCGCCATTCCACAAAGCCCACAAAACGCCAACCTAAACTCCGCCAAGCCCTCACATGGCAACACAGTACAATAGCAGGAAGAAGCATGAGCAGAAGGCACCCAGGGACACGTAGGAAGTAGGGGTTTTTAGATACCTCCCCTATTGGAGGCATCACGTTTGCCCTACTAGACACAATAACGTAGGGGAAGTGTTCATAGACCCGAAAGGGAACCAGATAGCACTATAAATTGAACTATTTATTTATATATATTATTCTTTTAATATTTTCATAGTTATAGTATTAGATATTAAAGTACATTTTATAATATATAGTTAGGAAAATTAGAATTTAAAGTTTAAGTAGAAAGTTAAAGTAAAATAACTAAGAGAATTAGAGTAGCTATAAATTACTAGTTATATCCTATATAAGATTATTTCCTTTTTATTTTAAGATTTCTCTCTATAGGAGGACTTACCTTAGAGAGGACTCATTATGCCTCTAGGATAACTCATTACACCTCTTCGACCCGACCGCTGTGCACCCCATGTCTCCTTAGGATCTTGCTTTGGTGTGGTAAGCATTCATGAACTTCTGAAGACCCATGACTGATGTTCTCCATCTACTGGAGTGCTTGTCGTCTTTGCTGTACCACAAGACTACGCGCGTAGTTGGAACGTATTCGCATACACAACTCTTCCCATGTCTGCAGTATGTACCTCGATGCTCAAGGAGCTCACGAGCGTGTCAGCGAGCCTGTGTCGAATGATAGGCTTGTAAAAGCGGGCGTGTGCGCTGACAGTGACTTGGTACCTGCGCCTAGATTTGTAACTGGATCGCACGATAACCCAGTGCTTGTTTTAATTTTGGTATGGCTCAAGCTTCTTTGCTCTGTTCTTTCGGTTGAAATATCCCCTTTTGTCTAATTCTGTTCCGTCATATAAAGTTCAGTGTAGTCAAGTTCGGCTCTGTTGAGTTCTCGTTACAATACAACGCTGATTGTTCAACTAGTAAAGAAGGAAATCGAAAAGCACGGCGATGTACTAAATGCCAAGAAGGTTTATCCCTGTAAGCTAACAAGATCCCGTTTATTCAGGGCACATCTGTTGTCATAATTGTCATAAATTCATTCATCCATGGGGTTCTTCACAGGAATGTAGCGAGATTTCGAATAGCGATAGCGCTCTTGGATAGGTCGACTTTGGATGCTTCTAGCAGGTAGGAGATGACTCGCAAATATTCAACCTTGACCTTCAATATAGTAGTAATAATACCTTTAGAGCAAATTATCTCAACAACACCTGGTCAATCGTACAAGCGTCCCTTCCTACAATCAGCAATATCAACCTTATCATTACCTTGTATAGAGCCTATAGCAAGTCTTCCGACCTCCTTCTCTGGTTCAACGTCTCCAAAGTTAACCTTTACATCTTGTAATAATTTTGCTCTTTCTGCAGCATTCAAATGGCTCCCATTAACTGGCAACTTCAAATGGGTGTCATTGCTCGCAAGACTAGATATGTTCATCATAACATCGGGTCCGTGGAGAAAGAAGGTCTGGATGATTGGTGTGATGAGACTAGCTAAAATGAGAAGGGATGAGATTGTGGCTAGTATTGAGATCCAGCCCTGATGCGCGGCTATGCTATCAACCTCCGCCTCGAGAATTCTTTCTGTCTCCCATAAACGTATTGCTGGTCCGTTCCGACCAAAGTTATCCTGAGGACTTGCGGGTTCGGAAATCGGTATGAAGGATTGGTTGTTATCAATGTAGGTACCATCCTCGAATTCCTCCATTGGATTGGGTTGGCTTAGGGGTAGCGTCGACATGCCGTTTAGGAAATAAAAGTACGTGTTCAATAGCTGACCCAAGCGAACAGAGTACTCCTCTGGGGAGATACTATTAGCTCCAGTCATAGATGTACCCGCTGAGGCAAACTCTGGGTTCGCAATGTAATGATCGATAAGTGACGGTTCATTTTCTTTGCCTCTAATACTGCCGATGAAACTGTTAAGGAAGAATGGCCAGTAGCCAGGACGTAAATCGAGGAGCGTCCACGCTAAGGGATGATGGTCTAACTGAGACGGCTGGGCTCGAATGGTTTCGCACGTAAATATATTGCATTTTATGTCCGATTCGATATAAGCACTTCTTACTTCACAAGAAAGAGTGTTTTGCCCACTGGAGATATTGTAAGCCGGAGAGTAAAAGAACTTGAAGGGCCTTAGGTTTTCAGGAACCACTCCTATTCTTTCCGTCAAAGAGCTGTTGCTATATCGGATGGTTGCTCCAGTCCCTCTGATTTCGACAATATCAGAGACTTTTGCATTATTAATGCTGCTATTGTTTGCAGTGGGACTTGAAGTGGAGCAATTTAGATCCCAGTAAGAGGAATGAATACGGGAGAGATCATACGAACGTTCGTTGTGTATTAATTCAGTCTTTTTTCTGGGTATGCCTATCAGAGAATAGTATGATGAAGATTGACTGCTTCCAGTGGAATTGTACCAATTGTCTTCATCAATATTGGAAGAATTTCTGGTCCCAAAGAATGGTGCCTTTATGATTCTCGTATTCTGGTAAGGGTCTTCCCATGGGCCAGAATGGGAACGACTGCTAAAGCGGATCGACGATTCAATGAGCGTGCTCATGAATAATAAATTGACCTTCTCCATTACCAAGGGCCCATTCGTCATCTCATAGCCTTGTAAGCTTCCAGTAGGAACCATGTAGCTAATGGTTTCAGAAGTAGATGTCTTTCTGGGGCCGATGGACATGAGTCTCAACGTTGCTTGGCCCCCTAAAGGAGAGAGTGCCCAGACAGCGACCAAAAGTACTCCGAAGTAGTTCAGTCTACCCATCTGGGCTTGAGCTGTGATAATGCTCGTAAATGATGTACTAGCTGCAAGAGTATCAAGTACTCCCATACGCTCTCCCTTAACAAGCCGCCAGCAGAGGATCGTATGGGTCATTCGCCCAAGTACCGAAGCGAAGAGAATGGGAAACAGGGTAGGGCCCTAGATCATTGTAAGCAGAGCTCTTTGCATCGCGTATTGCACGGAAGTTCGTACGTATTTAATTGCTCCAAGTATCATTTTAGGCATTTGCTTCTGCTCTAATTTTTTTAAGTCCATGATATAGGCCTTATCATTTTTCTTGACGATTAATGCAAGCGCGAGGAAGGCAGTAGACGACGCAACCAAGAAAATATCAAATATAGCACTGGAAATCGATGAAAGGAGAGAAGACTTGATAGTCCTCGGACGGTTTGGCCAACCCTTCCGTAGAACCAAATCCTGATTTGAAGCTACGTTTGGCCCAGAACTTTCAGCCTTGTCGGTGCGAGGCGATCGTGATGAAAGTTCTTCGATTGAACCGTCGCGCAAATGAGGACGAAGCTGAGCTTGTGGTTTGCTTTGTTCATCCTGTCCATCTTGGTGGGGGTTTGATGTTTCCATTTTGTGTTGCTATATGATGGACCTTAGCATAGTCTATCAACAGTTCTTGATAGTAGTGAGAAGGCGGCGCCGAGATGCGGTGCCCCATCCCTTGCGTTCGGTACCTAGTACAGGCTGGTGGCACGGCGTTCTACCATCGGTACTGAAGTGGGCAGTGCTGGCCGTATTTATGACGAAGTCATTAGGGACCCAGAACGAGAACAGCGGGCCCACTCTAGAAATAAACCACAAGGTCGATGCTAGCTCACAGTTACATTTTGCTTTTCCGTATCATTAGTTGAGAATCCTAATAATGACACCTGAAGTTCATGTCAACAAAACTTGATTGTAGTAATATAACTGACGAAGGCCAAGTCTCTGTGCTTCTATCATCCTTTCTGTGCATGCTCATTGACAACATCCGAACCCATTAGGTGCCATGGGCGGTGAGACGCCTTGTCTTACATCTATGAACACAAGTCGGACATTTTGTCGTACATGTGCGTGCAGCAATGCCAAAGTTGGTTATCTTAGGCACTAGAAGTTGCCATCGAATGATAATTCAGAAGAATGCAAGAGCATTCGGCGGACTTGCTACAGCTCCAGGCGCCTGATTGTGTTGTTAGCCACAGCCTCGTCAATAACTTTGCACAAACACTAACATTCATCGGCGAACTAGAAAGAAAGAAGGTGTATCGGTTCTGAGCAGTGCACTGTCGACTAAGCTCCTCGAGATCGAACAATTCTCCAATCGGCATTCCCCATCCAGCAAGGAGCCACTCATGAAGATGCCACTCAAGCTCCTTGCATGGCCAAGCTTCGAAAGCACGTGAGTCACCTGCAACCGCTGCGATTTGATTCTCCCACAGAAACTCCAGAAATTCTCTGGATGCTTGGATACCGATGTTCTCAGGCTTTTGCGTCTTGTAGCGTTCGTTAAGCGTATTGCGCTTCTCGTCGCTCATGTTTTCGTACTGGTCGATATAACCAAGTCGGAAGAATACAATGTCTCCAGGTCGGAATGATGATAGAGACATCCCTTGGTGGTTTAAGACTTCGACTATATCGGAAAATGGCACTGCTTGGTCGGATGTCGCGTCTACACTCTTGCCTTTCTTTTGAGCCCAGGAGTACCAGTCTACCAAAATAGCACGGCCAGCAATGCCTTTTTTGGATACATCTGATATGGTCTTAGCTTGTTACCAAGTGAGAGAGTTGCAAACTTACGCTGGATACCGTTTGGCTCTGGGGACGCGGCAAATTCTTCAGCTGTTCGGCCCATGAAGTACAGCTGTATGATAAAATGTCAATGCTGGATTCTCGCAATATCACTAGAATCAGAATATAATTACCGCTTCCTTTTGATATGCATAGTGTCTGAATCCGTCCCATTGCGATGATGCTTGTGAATTGAATGTCCACTTTGATGAAATGTTAGCATCTAGCAGATCTAGGCCTAGTGGTATACTAACTTCGTCGTCGTGAGCATGCTTAAGCGGAGCCTTGTTGGTAGTCTTTATTTCGAGTATCTTGCGAGGGAATCTTGGGTTCGAAGGTCCGGTCAATGACCAACTAGTATCATAAGTATCAATTGACATTGCTGTGAAATTATCTTACTTTAGCGATATTCTTGCCCCAGTGCGGATCTCTTCTTTCGCGGCACGGCCGACGATTTCATCTGTGAGAAGATTGAGAGTTCCGAGTTGGTCATCAGGACCCCATAAACCCCAAGCGTTGCCTGTTGGGCCATTCTTGTCTAATGGTAGATCCTTGAAACTTGGTCTGCTCTTTGATGCCATTGTTGCTTCGTCGTAAGGAGAAAATTATTCGTGCCAAAAGATCTGTTCTGTCGGCGTACTATATGGCCTTTCTATAACTCTTTCCTGCTTGATAGTACCAAATTGGGACGCATTAGCAGATCCCAAGCTTGCCTCATGTACGTTGGATTTTCGGCATAAGAATCGGACTCGCTTCCTTTCCCCGCGTGAACAGTTGCTGAAGCCATTATCCCCGCGTCAGCAATGGCGAAACATGCACTAAACCCGTATCTGTACTGCACGAAAGTTCTAGCGCCGTAGTCGGCGTGTTTGATATGACATGTGCCTTGCAATTTCGTAGCCAACTCGGTGGGTTCGGAATCATAGTACAGTTTTTCGGACCTCGCCCGAGGAACCTTCCACCACTCAAAATATCGTAAAGGACTACCACAGAAGAGTAATTAAAGAGAATGGAGCGCATGTGTTTCTGTTTTACTACGCACACCGTTCAGCATCGGACTGCTACCGATGCGTTTTCGGCCGGTATGCTTTGACGAAATGTGATCGATGAATCATACCAGCATCCCGAATTTGTATCATTAGGTGTATTTAAGACGCACAAAATCACATAGACACAATTTCCATTAAAATTCATAAGATTGTGAACATTCTTCAAACGTATCTCTTGAACGCTTCTTGCAGTCACCAAAAAGACATAACGATAAACCAAGTTTGAAATTTTCCAACACACGACAAAATGGGTTCGATCCAACAAAAGCCCGCAACAATCGATGTTGCCAACCCTTTCCGCTCCATTATTCTCTCGGGCCAAGTATGCCCAGTAATGTCAACCAAGATCACGACAAGAAACGAGATCGCTATGTTCTGCAAGGAAGCCGGGATCCACGGTCTCTTCATCGATATGGAACATACATCCTTCGACGTCGCTAGTGTTGCCCAACTCTGCTCAGCGTGCAATTTCGTTGGTGTGTCACCTATTGTCCGCGTTCCATCTCAATCACCATGGCATATCAGCCGCGCTTTCGATTCCGGCGCGGCAGCAGTCGTCGTGCCTCACGTAGATTCAGTGGAAGAGGTGCGCGCTTTGGTTCGCGCCGGAAAGTACGCACCAATTGGCCAGCGCGGATGCTCAAATAACCAACCAATCCTCCGATTCCAACATGTTTCAACGGCGGTGCAGAATGCTTCTTTGAATGAGCAGACTATGTTGATCCCAATGATTGAGACCCCCGCTGCTGTGGAACTTGTGGATGAGTACCTTGCCATCGATGGAGTCGATGGCATCCTCATTGGTTCAAATGACCTCTGCACCGACCTTGGTATTCCAGGACAATACGACAACCCAATCTATCAAGACGCAGTAACTAAGATTGTCCTCGCCGGAAAGAAGGCCGGCAAGCCAATTGGTATCGGTGGAATCGGTCCTCGCGTGGATTTGTTGGAGAAGTGGTTCAAGATGGGTGCAAGCTGGTCGTTGAGCGGTGCTGATGCTGCCATGTTGCAGGCTGGTATGAAGAAGCTTGGACAGACATATGCGGACATCAACAAGAATCTCAGCAGCACGTCGAGTAATTAGTTGAGGCCGTCTTATGTAAATAGAATGTATTATGATATCCATTGCCACAATTTCCACACCAAGGTATGTGCTTTCTTGCACAATGCTTCAATGTTTTGATTTGGTTGAATTAATTGAAATATTTCAATATGTTTGAACCCATTTTCACTCATGAAGGCTTTATTCAGTATACTTGATCTAGCACAAATGTGGTTCGACTTTTCTTACTTTATGAATTTGCATAATATGCTCAATGACTTGCTGGTTACCCCAGTTTCCTAGCGGAGCATTATTTTCTTTCTTTTGATGAACGAAGCACACGATCTGTTATTTTATCTCGTCTTCAATTTAGAATTTACTAACTGTTTTCTTATGTTTTTAGTTTATTTTTATATTACACATGGTCTTTCATGAGCAAGACGCATGTCCAGATAGGAACTGTGTAGAACTATGAGATTAGGACCGCAATCAAAATTCCATTGACTGAATTGAGGCCTGCCTATTCAGAAATTTTGGTAGCTATGTGCCATACAAACATCAACAGAACCATAACTCAGTCCCAATTCCATTCATTTGGTCAGTGTACTACAGTGTGAATTGACCGCTGGAGCTGGAAATAGTTAAGCGAGGATGTTGTACCTGGGGAAGGTACTCTGTGGGGTAATGTGGGGCATGGAGATAACCCCAACTCATACATTTCCCTCTATAACCATCATCCAGGAATCTTCTGTAGTCACATGGCGCTGTGCAGTAATCTATTCGGCAAATGTACCTCCACCCCTCTTTGATCTCACCCACTTCTACCTCAAACGTCGAAGCTAAGCGACGAGCAAGCCACACCCACGCCCCCTTCCATTCGCAGACATGTCTACGCCTCTAGTTTGGGGGGTAGGTCACGGCATTTGTGTTACCTCGTGTCGGATACTTCGGCCATCGGAGCCATATCACCTAGACCCATTGCACCTGGGCTCGTAAGAGACTCAGGCCAGCGGCCAATGTGGTCCTAGGTACCCTGTCAGATTGAGCCCCACCACTGGGATCGCGAAACCTTGACAAGAGCTATCCTTTCCCATGCGATTTTCTGATTTCGAACCCTCATAATTCCTAGGATTGAACTACTCTTTTTGAACTTATCAATTGATTGAAAAGAGTACTTGGAGGGTTTAGATATCGTGTGCAATTGACCTTACTACATCAAATAACCAGCACATGCCCCTTCGCGCAAAGATAGACGAGTTAAAGCTTCCAAACATGGCCGCGACAAATGGCACTGAGAAGCCAAAAACCGGAATCAAGATCATAATCGTCGGCGCAGGTATAATTACACCCTCTTTGAGCTCAGCAACTGGCAGTCGCATTGCTAACACATTCCCAGGTTTCGGCGGCCTCACCGCAGCCATTGAAGCAAAACGACAAGGCCACGACCCCGTAATCTACGAAGCGTTCCCAGAGCTCAAAGTTCTCGGAGACATCATTTCCTTCGGACCCAATGCGGGCCGCATTTTCTACCGCTGGAACGATGGCGAGATCACGCGGAAGATGCGCGCTCTGTCCATCGATCTTTCTTCGTATGGTTTCAATATTCACAAGTACGACACGGGCGAGATCGTGGTAAATCAGAAGACGCCGATGAAGGACGAGAAGGCGCCTGTGTTCAATGGTCACCGCGGCGAATTGCATGAGATTGTGTTCAACTACGCTAAGGAGATTGGGGTTCCGATTCATCTGGGTCACCGGGTGGAGAATTACTGGGAAGATGAGAAGAGCGCGGGGATTCTGCTGGAAGATGGGACAAGAGTCGAAGCAGATGTTGTCGTCGGTAGCGATGGCGTGCGAAGTAAAGCAAGGACATTGGTCTTAGGCTACGAGGACAAACCAAAGTCATCTGGTTATGCTGTCTGGAGAGCATGGTTCTCTAATAAAGACATGCTTGCCGATCCTGAGACGGCGCATTTCTGCAACAATGGCGATACTTTCAACGGATGGATTGGTGAGCTTACAAGTGTCTATTTGGTAATCAAGAATACTAACATAGCGATCGTTAGGCCCGGATGTTCACTTCCTCTTCAGCACAATCAAAAACGGATCCGACTGCTGCTGGGTGCTAACCCACCGCGACGAAGCCGACATCGCCGAATCCTGGTCTTTCCCAGGCCATCTCAAAGACGTCTACAAAGTCCTTGAAGGATGGGACCCTATGTGCAAGAAGATCGTATCCAAGACCCCTGAAGAGAAGCTCGTGGACTGGAAGTTGGTGTACCGAGACCCATTGCCTACGTGGGTTTCTGGCTACGGAAAGGCCCCAGGTCACGGAAGGATCTGCCTACTGGGTGATTCGGCGCATCCGTTCCTGCCGACGAGTGCGCAGGGTGCTACACAGGCTCTTGAAGATGGTGTTGCGCTCGCTATTTTGCTGCGGAAAGCGGGTAAGAGTAACATCAGGGGTGCGCTTCGTGCATTCCAAGAAGTTAGATATGAGCGCGTGGGTAAAGTCCAGAAGACAGGAGAAACTACACGAGACATGTGGCATAAGACAGACTGGGCGAAGGTAAAGGATAATCCTGAGAGCATTCAGTTGCCACGTGAGGACTGGATATTCGGCTTTGATCAGGAGAAGTATACAGAGGAGAATGGGGATGATATCATTCAAAAGGTGTCCGCGGCTGCGTAGAGCATGCCTCCTTCGGATCTCATTTGACGACATAATGCATCATGTTAATCTATCCATATTACTCTGCATTCTCATCTTGGTTGACTGTGTTTTGGTATCTTGTGCAACAGAAATATGCATAGAAGCATCTGTGGTATAGTGAGGCGTTGGCGTGGGGGTGCAAGTCTTCCAAGTCACCACCAAAGTGTTTAGAAAGACGATGGTTGCAATCGCACATAAGACTGTAATGATAACACATTGGAGAACATCTTCCAGAACAATCAAGTAGCATTCATAAACTTCATTACCGTCGCGACTCCACCACAAATACAAGAACTCACCTAAACCCCCGCAACTCAATCCCCTATACATCCCCTACCCCCTTCCTTTCCCACCCATCAAAACAATCACTCAATATGCACCGCCGCCTCCGCAACCGCCTTCTCACTCGACCAAACCTGCTCCTCCGTGCTCTTCCTCGCCAACTTCTCCTCTGAAACATGTCGCCCGGTACAAACATACTTCCTAAACTTCCTCGCGGGCAGCCTCGCCTCAAACATCTCGTCAATCTCCTCGAGAGTCCTGTTCTTGATCTCGGGGAGGTACATCCAGATCCACGCTACGGTGATCAAGCACGAGGGGCCCCAGATCCAACCTATTGCGGGTGCGTTAGTTACGATGGAGAGCTTTGGGGGCGGGGGCAGAGTGATGAAACGTACCGTATTCAGGTCCCCAGTTCAGCGCGTCGGGGTTGATGAAATAGGGCGCGGTGAACGTGGCGAGCCATGCACCCGCGAAGCCAACAGCAGCGGCGATACCAAAAGTGTATGAGCGAAGACGCTGCGATGGTATTTCACCTCCAGCGAGCCAGGCGTATGTCGCGACCATTCCATTGTATCCGCAGATGTAGATGACGGACATGGCTATGATGACCTATGTCGCGAGCAAATCAGCAAGTGAGTAGGTGGAAAAGGTCGGGTGGGAATAGTACCTTTCCAGTTCCGACGGTGTTTGGTTTGACGTGATACACGGCGGCGACAATGAATTGTGATATCGCACAGACTGTCATGCCGATCATGAGGAACACGCGGCGACGGCCGATCTTAGAGATGACGCAGCTGTTGATTATGATGACGACGACACCGACAGCGGTGAGAATGCATGTGTTTTGGAAGGCGTTGCCGACGTGGGCCATCTCGAAGAAGTATGTTCCGTATGCTGGGAGATGTTAGCTATTGTTCGCGCTATGTGGAAAAGGACATCGTACCAATCATGAACATAGCGCCAGATGCAGCTTGCGTTGAAATGGCGCCCACGGCAAGCAAAGTACGTCTCCTGTCGACAGGATTCTTGAAGATGTCGATGAATGATGCAGAGCTAGCAGCTTCCTTCTCAGCGTAGATCGCCGACTGGATATCTGCCATCTCCGCTTCAACGGCATCCTTATTCGGACGCATCCATAGTAGACTCTTCCGTGCTTTGTCGGTCTTCTCCTGGAGCAACAGCCAGCGGGGCGATTCGGGGATGAAGAACATCCCGACCGCCATGAAGACTGGAACAATATAGATGATGCCCAGAGGAATGAGATACGACTCCCTTCCAGGGATAGAATGCGTCGAATTATCGACGACGGTTCCGATGAGCGTGCCGATGCTTGTCCAGAACTGGAACACAGCGATAAGCAGACCGCGATATCGAGCCGGAGAGCTCTCCTGAATGTACAGCTGCGAAAAGGTCATGTACCAGCCGTTGGCGATTCCGATGAGAAAGCGACCCGCGTATAGGCCGTGCATGTTGGTGGTGCTCATCATGATCACATTGGACGCGCAGCACAGTGCGCATGCCATCCACAGACAGGGAATGCGACCGAGCCATGTTGCGAAGATACCGGCGCTGGAAGAGCTGATGAAGGCGCCCAGTGTCATGAGGGAGGAGATTAGTTGCTGGCGGCCAGGAGAGATGTTGTATCCGATCGGGCTGGTGGGGTCTTTGTGGCCATAGATCTGAAGCTGTTAGATAGATCAATCGCATCCTGTGATTGAACATACTTCAAGAAAGCCAGGCATGGCCTGAAGACCACCGATCAAACCAAAGTCAATACCGTATTGAAACGGTGACATGGACACCAGAGTGCAGGCGAGAATGCATTTCCAGTTCTCGAGCAAGCCCTTGCCGGTGGAAGCTTCAGGCATGATGGCGAAAGTAACTTCACTTCTCACAAGATGGGAAACTCTCAAATGAGATGAATGGTGTCCCTTCGATACGAGAATTCACAATCGAAAGGACCAAAACAGCTTGTATAGATACCCTCCGCACGACCGTTCCCCACGGACCTCTAGACCAAGAGCCAGATTCCCCTTTGCTCGAAACACCCTTGCAGATCTCCAAATTCACAAGCCATAACCTGTAAAGTCATGGCCCTAAAACACTGCCGATCCTTGCCCATCGCTTGCAACACAATATCCCAGAAAAGCAACTTGCAATCTAATATGTGGGGATGCGGGGAATGGGTCCTCCCGCGGCCAATCATGCTCACATTCACTTCATGCATGCTGCAGAATAAGCTTCGTGGGGTAATTATCAACCTGGTTGTTTCCTGGTATAATGTCGACGTTGTTGTGACAGCCTTTGAAAGAAAATGAGAATTGGTCTAGGTCTCGATAGGGGCGTTTCTTGATGTGTGGCGTTGAAACGGTCGTCCCCTCGCTTCGGGATGATAAGACCGTGTGGCAGTGGCTGATCAGGACCCCTTTGAAGACAAGCCATTCCCTTGTTAGTTAGTTAAGAAGTCGAGATTCTATGAGACAAGTCATAATCGATGGTGTCTAATCCTAATCCTGAGAACCATTTAGATCACGTTTCCTGTGTCTAAACTTTGGCAGCTTTAGGGTGGTCGGCAGATCTGCTTAGCCGTCAAGAAGTAAACATGGTAAGGTGATGGTTCTGGGGAAACCTGGGGTAATTGTGGGGTTTAGAGTGGCCCCTCGCTACTACGAGATGAGGAGAGGATATGCCTCGATCGGGTTTTCATAGTTTGGAGAAGCGAAAAACCGAGAGCAAGTCGGCGCGAACACGAAATTGCCAGTCGATCCGCTCTATGCTTGTAGCCACCTGTTTTGAAGTATAACGTAAAGCAAGCGGCAACTGAGCTGCAGAGCGAAAGACGATCAATGCATAAAAAGCACAATAGAAGTAGCTGTACTGTATAGTTCTGGAAACTGCTTAGGTGATACTTAGTTCTGACAAAAGTCTTGTGCTGGTGTCACAACGTCTGGGATCATACATTGGTGGGCCGTCGTACTCGGAAGCCATCTCTTCTCCATATTGGAGCGCTGTCTTACCAGACACATCCTCAGCATTTGGGTCAATGCTAACAACATGGAGAAGATAATGGAGAGATTCTTTGGTGATGGATCCACTGATTGCGGCGCAGTGTAATATTGTTCTGCCTTCAAAGTCTTTCTGCGCCAGGTCGACGCCGTGTTCCCTCAAGGTCTCCAAAATGTCAACGCCACATTCCCAAGTTGATGCGTACAAGTGTCCTAGGTTTCTTCCTTCTTTGTCGGTAAACAAAGAGCTTCCTTTGACTGAAAGCAATTGCTTGCAGATATCGACGCTGAATCTCCCCCGATTTGGTCTGAAATATCTCGCCAATGGTGAGTATCCAGATGCATCTAACTCTGAACCATCTACCCCCTTGTCGAGCAGCAATCGCATTGTCTCAGGCCAAATTCTTGAGGGTCCTGTAGATAACAGGTGGTGGAGCAAGTTTCTACCCAAAGTGTCCCTCGACGCCACCAGGCTTGGTCCTGATTTCAGAACCATTTCTACAAGGACGGTGATTGTTTCATGGTTTCCATCCCGCGTGGCGTAGTGAAGAGCGTTAAGTCCCTCATTGTCCGTCAAGGCAGGGTCAACTCCTAGGGAAAGTAAGAAAGCGACCGCGTCGTGGTCGCCAGCTCGGCTGGCAAGATGCAAAGCACTCTGATGCTTTAAATTTACTTCAAACGGACTTGCTCCACTAGACACCAGCTTATTCACTATCCACACACTTTCAGCTGTTCCATATTCGACACAGTGCAAAGGGTACTCATGCTGACAGTCCTTGATCTCTAGGCTGGTCCTGGGATCCGCGAGTATCGCATCGAGAACATCTTTGCGCTGTGTTGCAACATCGTCTTCTCCCTCTTCAAACGAGTCTTCTGACTTGCAAGCCATCTTTGTCCAACCGTCGAAAATCCATGGTCCTTGCAGGGATTTTCGTAGTGCGAGATGTATGGGGGACTCGTTGTACACGGACAGAGCGTTCGGATCAGCGCCACGTTGCAGAAGGAACTTGGTCATGACGGAATTGCCAGTTAAGGCTGCAAAGTGCAAAGGCGTCAGACCAGCTGTCTTGCACGAGATGTCGGTCCCTAACTCTGTGTGGGGCTCTAAATCTGGAATGCATGAGAGATAAGATCCGTCGATCTTTACAGTGCTTCGACACCACGACTTTCGATGGACACCGGCATCAATGGACACACCGTTGTCAAGAAGCAATTCTACAACGCGTTCGCCGCTGTTCCGAACACTGTAATGCAATGGAGTCATGTTTTGCATATCGGTCGTGTTTGCTGGAGCTCCTTGTGACAGCAGAAGCTTGACAATACGGAGGTTACAATTCGGTCTCTGAGTAGCATGATGCAAAACACTCTTTCCCCCCTTATCGTGTCGCGAGGCGTCAGCACTGCTCTTGAGTAGGAGTTCGACAATGGCGACGTTGCCCTTGGCTGCAGCTATATTGAGAGCATTGCTATAGCCACCAGCCTGCTCGTTGATATCAGCGCCGTGCTTAAGTAAGAGTTCCACAATAGCAATATGATCATTAGCTGCAGCTACACTAAGAGCATTGCTATAGTAACTACTCTGCTTGTTGATATCAGCGCCGTGCTTAAGGAGGAGTTCAACAATAGCAACATAGCCCCTGCCTGCAGCTATATTGAGAGCATTGCGATAGCGACCACCCTGCTTGTTGATTTCAGCGCCGTTCTTAAGTAAGAGTTCAACAATAGCAATTTGGCCATTAGCTATAGCTCCATTGAGGGCATTGCCATAGCGACCACCCTGCTTGTTGATTTCAGCGCCGCGCTTAAGTAAGAGTTTAATAATAGCAACATGGCCATTAGCGGTAGCTCCATTAAGAGCATTGCCATAGCGAATACTCTGCTTGTTGATATCAGCGCCGTTCTTAAGGAGGAGTTTGATAATAGCAACATGGCCACTTCCTACAGCTTCATCGAGAGCATAGTTACCATCACCGCCCTGCTTGTTGACATCAGCGCCGTTCTTAAGTAGGAGTTCGACAATGGCGATATGGCCCCTGCCCGCAGCTTTATTGAGTGCATTGTTACCATCAGCGCCATGCTTAAGTAGGAGTTCGACAATGGCGACATGGCCCCTGCCTGCAGCTTCATTGAGAGCATTTTTACCATCACCGCCCTGCTTGTTGGAATCAGCACCATTATCAAGCAGCAGCTGTACTATTGATTGGTGACCTGCAGCCGAAGCTGCCTGGAGCGCATTGCCAGATCTCCAACCTTGCGCGTTGATGTCTGCCCCGTTATCGAGTAGGATCTGAACTACCTGCTCGTGACCATTCCGTGAAGCTGCTAGGAGTGGGCAGCCATCCTCCTTACTGTACACATCGATGTCAGCGCCTGCTTTGAGCAGAATACGGACTACCTGCTCGTGGCCCTTCAGTGAAGCTGCTATGAGTGGATGGCCATGGCGTCCGCCTCGTGTATTGACCTCCGCGCCTTGGCCCAGCATTAGCTCCGTAGTCGTATTCAAGCCTAAAAGCGCAGCATAGTAAAGCGGTTCTGGTAACCTTTCCAGGTGTAGGTTCAGAACTGGTATCCTTTCCAGATCCACGTGATCATCTGTTACTATTATGAAAGGACCTGGTTCCCCCCAAGGACTTTCCGGATTAAACAACTGGCGCCAGGTGAGGTATGCGAGGCTTTCTGTCGACATAAGACCTATCGCTAGTTGGCTTAATTTTTCCATGTCATCTCTTGCTTGCGTCAGATGACTACTCCAGAACTCTGCCGCATACTGTGCCAGCGCCGATGTCTGAAAGACGTCTTTCGATAGTGGTCGCGGTAATTGCAGCAGATAATTTAAACAACCATTTGTTATCACACTGTGACATTCGGCTTCCTGCAAACTGTATTGCCTTGCTAGGCCCTGCCTCAATCTGTCAGACACAAGGTATTCCCGGACAGAATAGTGTGCCAGAGCGATAATCCGCTGGGTGCGTTCTATGATCGGAAATCCCGGTCGAGATTGTGACATTTCTAGGACCTGGGTTGTCACAATTGTGACCAGACTCGAGCAGATGTTCAGCGCTTCGAGTGGATCTTCTAGCACTTCATCGCGTTCGAAAGCTGGGTCGCGCGCCACGTCGATAGCGACAATTTCTGCAACCTCTTCTACCGACATTGGCCTCATAGAGAACGCCAGCCACTGCAGGATGCGCATCGCGTAATTGCGGTCATTCTCGCTTATAGCGGTGAGAATGCGGTCATATGTCTGGTCTAACGTTTTCGGCAACGTGGCCAACGCCTTATACAGGTCCACTCGATTACGGCAAATTGCTAAGGTGTCTAGCTGACATACAGCCCATCGGAACCTGCTCTATGATCAATTTTGTTCTACAGACAACTGGGTGAACACACGTACATCCCGCAAGCTCCACTCATTAGTGCAGCCTCAATCCTTTGTCTGGTATCGGCATCCTTGTTCCATTTTGCCAGAGTTTTATCGGTGGACAGCCTTTCCTGAATATATCTCTTTATATCTTCGTCCACTACGTCGCTCTGGAGACATATGGTGTCTTCTTCGCCTACATACCTTTCCAACAATATTTCGATCTCACGCTCTTTCCGGCTGGTCATAAGCAGATGCATGTTGTCAATCTGCGCATCAACTATTTTCTCGAGCAGATCCACCAATTCATGGCGCTGTGTGCATTCATCGAGCGCATCGAGAACAATGTATACTTGCGTGAACTGGCTCATCACCTGCGGTGTCATCTCCAGAAGCCCACGCGTTGATGGCTGCTGCTTTCCGTTTCCACAGGACGAGAACAACGTATCAACGACCTTAGGTATTGTAAACGAGCGCTGCAGGAGCTGACAGAGTAGTGAGCGGAGCATCAGCTCTGGATCCTGTTTCCGTGCATCATTGAAGTCGAAGTAAAAGTAAGCTACTACCTTACTACGGTCGTCGTTGCAGTGTTGCAGCAGGTGATTGATAATGGTAGAGCTCAAGACAGTCTTTCCGCATCCCGGTATGCCATATAGCCATAGCCGCGACGCTGCACGTTTTTTCCATTTTGTGAACTTCGAACCATTCAGAAGCCATAGTCCTGTATCCTCCTGGCGCAGCTTGTCCGCTTTGTGGTAGTTCGTGGACGGATCGGGCGCTGAAAGCCACTTGTGGATCTTGTCGAGCCTCTCTTCTTGACTTTTGTTGCAGCCTTTGTTATTCTTTGCAACAACGGCATCTCTCAGTCGGTCGAATGCGTTTGCTTCGCCTTCACTATAGATCAGCGGTAAGTGAACACCAAATATGCCTAGGAGACAGTATGCTTTGTCTTCTTCGCGTGTCGTCTGGCGTTTTTCGGCCCATGAGAAACGGTCGTCTATGCTGAACTCAGACAATTCACTGCCTGACAGAGCTTGAACGGGTATTTGCGTTACCTCATGGATGATTTGTCTGAGTGATTCTTTATCTCCCAGTCGCACTCCCTTGCTAGAGAAGAACTCAACCGACTTGGGGGCTAGAAGTTCCTGGAGCGTCCAGCCTCGAGTAAACCATCTGCTCTCTCTTAAAGCAGCCTCGCAATCTTCATCCAAAGTGCTATTAATGACGTCGGAAAGGTATACATAACACTTCTCAGCTATCTGGTACCAGCGAAACATAGAATTGATCGCTTCTTGAAGCTCTTGACTGTTTGACTTGTCGATGCAGCAGGTGTCTACCCAAAAGTATTCTATGCCATCACGCTTAGCTTGCTCAGCGCAGAAAAAGATCTTCTGGTAACCCTCCTTGAACTTTGCGTCAACATCTTCTGTATCCTTGTGATTCTGGAGGTTCTTGAAGTTCACCTCCTGCCCGCCCCATGTGTGTGACAGGATGGCATAACGGGGAATTTGATCTTTGAGCAAGTCATCCGTCCAGCTGAGCCTTCCATCGCTTGTAGTATGTAGCAGTCGCATCGAGTTGTTGGTTCTGTCTGTTGCGCGAGCGGCGGACGAAGGACAATGAGCTTCGAAGCAGACTAAACGAGTCGATAGCGTAGGGCGTGGATATCGTTCAGTGTATCGGCCAAAACAAAAGAATATATGCAAAGTGTTATTCTCAAGTGCTTTGCAGTGGACTGCTAAATCAAAGATTGGATACGCAGTCTCTGTCTGTTAGAGTGAAGAAAGATGTGTGTTGGGGAAGGCTGAGTTTCGAATAACAAGAGTAGAAGATGCTGCCCGCCATCGCCACGAAGTGAGCCTAATCAGTGATCAGGCAAGGCTGAAACCACATGATCGCAATAGGGTACAAAAGCAAGCAGAAAGGCTGTTCTCGCCTAAAGGTGCAATGTGATGAGGCAGACATGCAGGTTGTAGGCTTGGGCGCTGTTGAACAAGTCGACGTCCATATGCATATCAACGAGTGTAGGCAATCTGAACCAAAACTAATGAACGTAACCAGTTAATAATCCTTGCACATAGTTAATGATATCAGTGCTAGATCCGACCCCAATGCCAGACCAATGCGGAGGGAAATGTCACGTGATCTGATACTTGTTACTTTTACAACTCATTAAACTAACTAAGCAAATGGAAGGATACGATAGGATACCTCGTAGAGATTTTTAATGGAATTATGATGGAAGTTGCCAATGTTGTAGTTGTAACTTTGGAATCCTCCTTTTATTTTAGTTAAATTGCTTCGCCTCCTACGTTACGGTTGCAAGGTGTGCGCGAAAAGCAATAGCTGTTGGATGCTCAGAGCCGAGCTGATGGATGTCTCCATTGCATAGTCATTGGCAAATTTCTGCTGCTTCCGTGCATTGGCGCAGTGTATACAAGAGATGAGCTACGCAGTGAGTAGAATTCAGCGTGTTGGAATGGCCTTCTCTCATTTGTCCCATATCTTTCTTCTTGTAGCGCTTGTCGGTGAGCGTCTCTGCCTCCCAGCCCACGATGCTATCGCTGTCGATTCCGATCAATGAGCTGATGGCACCGGATCCCTTTGAGGTATTCGATAGAATCGCGAGTGAGCGGTTCACACTGTGATATATGGGGACTCGGCCGCTAGAGTGCTTCAGCCATGCTGATCGACACCCAAGAGCAGTCACTTCGATTCCATGAACTGGGGTTATTATTGCATTTTATATTACGCAAGCGTGGCCATATCAAATACAAAAATGGGTGTTACCTCAACTACAAGCAGAGGAAGCCATAAAATTGGGCGTATCTCTTAAAGCATATCGGGAGAATAATCTGCGTTGCTGTTACAATCCTATCATCCATTTCTCTATTTCTAATCCACAAAATGGGCCCTCGACATACGTCGCGCTATGAATGATTCGCGCAACAATGTTTCTGGGCATGGCCAGTCAATGACAATGAATTACACACACTAGAGACACGGAATAGTGACGGCTATTCGGCCTGCATAGAATCGCGTTGCACCAGCACAGCATTTACCGGCTAAAGCCCCACCCTCCTCCACTTGCACCCTGGATCCCCTTCGATGCTGTTTATGTGGGGTAATGTATTCCCCCAACTCCCCGGGTGTGTCTGGCAAACTTTCCAGCGCGAAACACAAATTCGACTTTCTTCAGCTTTTGTTTCCTGCAAGCCAATTTCCAGGGTTTGTATTTCGTCCATTGATTGTGTTATACCCCAGACGAGGTTCGTTTTGGAGCCAGGCTTTTATCTCCGATTGCCTTTACATTATCAGAAACCTAGGTTTCAAAAGATCCTCCAGACGTGGGGGACGGTGAATCAAAATGGCCATTGAACAACTGTTCGATGTGTTACCTTTACATTACTTGCAGCACGGCATATCGAAATTCGGTGCTGTCAATGTTGCGTTAGCAGTCTTAATCACAGCCGCCTTAGGCGTGCTTGGTGATTACGCATGGATGTTATATTTGAGGTCGAAGATGGTTCGTCAATGCATGCTCCTTTGAATCGTCGTGCTGATGGGTAGAAGCCTCCTGGGCCTTTGCCTTTACCTATAGTCGGAAACACATTTCAACTACCAGATGTCAAACCATGGATCTGGTTTGAAGAGCTGTCCAAGAAGTACAATTCAGGACTCATTACAATTTGGATAGGGAGGTAAACTTCAAATAGGACGACCCCATGCATCAATAATGACTGATCGATTACTAGAAACCCTACAGTCTGGGTAAATGATGCATGGACCGCCAATGAGTTACTCGACAAGCGAGCTGGAATCTACTGCTCTCGCCCTCGTATGCTTGTTTTCGCAGAACTTGGAGCCGGCCAGAACAATCTTGTTAATCTGATCACCACAACACAAGCCCAACGTGAGCGTTTCCGCGCACTCAGAAAACTGACCCACCAGGGCGTGGGCATCCAGCAAGTAAAGAGGTATCGCGATTTCCAAAATGATGAAAGCAAGATGGTCGCTTATGACATGTTGACTACGCCCGAGAACTACGTTAAACATTTCGAGCGCTACGCGACCAGTGTCGTATCAATCATCGGTTTTGGGAGACGAGTGGGCGACCCTAATGATCCAATCATTACGGAAGTCATTGCCGTTATGCATAGAGCTGCTGATCTGAACGTACCCGGCAAGACCTTTCCTATGCTTATGGAGACTTTCCCTGGTAAGATAAATTGAACTTCAACGTAGGCCGGTGATTAATGTATTCCAGTTCTCGCCAAAGTACCGACAGAGTATGCCCCTTGGAAACATGGCTTAGGTGCTCGCGGGAAGTCCCACCGTGGCCACGACTTCTTCTACTCTCTTGCCCAGGAGGCAAACGAGAAACCCGGACACGAAGACTGCTACGCCAAAATGCTCTTCAGAGAGAAAGAGAAATATGGTCTCCGGGACAAAGAGATCTCGGCTCTTGCAGGCAACCTCTTCGGCGCCGGATCCGACACTTCAAGCAGCACCCTCATCACCGCCATCCTCGCCATGCGCGCATTCCCAGAAACCTTGATCCCAGCCTGGGAAGAACTCGACCGCGTCGTTGGCCCCAACCGCAGCCCGTCTTTCGACGACGACCTCGAACTTCCCTACATCCGCGCCTTCGTCAAGGAAGTCTTCCGCTGGCGCTCCGTCGCCATCATCGGCGGCCAACCCCACGCTCCAATCCAAGACGACTACTACAACGGCTACCTGATTCCAAAAGCCACTTGGGTCCAGGGAAACGTCTGGGCTATCCACCACAATGACCGCGAATTCCCCGAACCTGATCGCTTTAACCCGTACCGGTTCATCAAGGACCATCCAGACGCACGACCGTTCCCCGGCGAGAGGGGATACATGACGTTCGGATGGGGCCGTCGCGTTTGCTCCGGGCAGGCCCTAGCAGAACAGGGAACTTGGCTGACGGTAGCTCGACTGATATGGGCGTTTAAGGTCGAACCTGCGGTTGATGCTAGTGGAAAGCCGGTTCCTGTTGATATATTTGACTACACGTAAGTTTCAGCAGCCGATAACACCAACATTTGAGTACTGACTGGAGTTTCAGGAATGGATTAAATATGCGACCGGAGCCTTTTGAAGTCAAGATCACACCTAGGAGTGAGGAGATTCGGAAGACGATCATTCGTGAGGGCGAGCAGGCACTGGCGGATCTGGCGCCGTTTGAAGGTGAGACGAAGTATCGTATGAGTACATTTTATAAGAAATCATAAACAGTAAATATGGAAATGAGATGATGGATGGCCTGCTGTAGACCTTCAGAGCGAGTATTGTAGACTCCAAAGGCGAAAGGTATTCGAATAATTGTGGATAGTAACGACGATTGATCAACATCAAAGTAAGCATTCACGTGTTCCGAACGAGTGGCGCTTTCTATGACGGGTGTCGGTTGATAGTAGTTGATGCAAACACCAGTGTGGCCTTCAACGTGGCAAATCTAGAGACGAAATTCAATTCGTTAGGTCATACTGTAGCCCATATTAAAGTAACTATTCGGTAATTGTTTCACAAGTTGAAGGAAAGAGCCACTACGTTATCATGAAAGGAAATAAGATCATTGATTGATTTCGCTACATGCATTCATTGGGGCCTAGATGGGCAAGAAACTTATTTCATGCTTGAATGCATTCATCCTTGTTCGTATTTCGAACTCTGGTTTCCATGAAAAAATAAAAATCACAAACTCCTAAACTCCTGTGTTCTCTCAATGCCACAACGGCGATACTGTAGAGAAGAAATCAATCGGGAAGCTGCTTCAATCAGCAGCCGCCTTCGTCTACTCCTCAGATTCCTCGTTGACTTGGCGCATCAAGTCGTCCCACAACCTCATCGTGGCCTCTTCCTGCTTCTCTGGCGGCGTGTTCTGGTAGATGACTCCTGAGGCCAGGAAGCCGCGAGGGTGGCTCAGCGTGCTGAACTCCTTGGAGTTCTTTGGTTTGGCTTTGGCAGCCAGCTCGAGGAAGACGGTCCGCTTGCCGGCATTCCATCCGGCTTCGAAGCGGAGTTGGAATTTGGCCTCGATCGGCTTGAGGATTGGAGCTGCTGGCGGAGGGATCAGTAACGGTCTTGTGTGACTGGCTTCGGCGCGGAAGAGGAATTTGTAGTTGAGACCCGAAAAGAGGTACCTCTTGAGATGCTCGAATGCCTTCAGCATCATTTTTAAGATTGCTTTGAAGAGTGGTGCTTTGTTTGGGAGGGCTTGTTGAGGGTTGGTCGTTTCTTTGGAAAAGGTCTGTTTGAAGAGCGGTAGTCTGTTTGGTGAGGCTTTGTGGGAATCAAGTTGGTTGGAAGAGAAAAGATCGTGGGCGAGTTGGAGGGATTTATATACACTAATACTCTATTGTCGATTGTAACCTGTCGATTTGAGCTTCCTATTGTGCGTTTCAATAGTTTTGTGTCTCTTCAAGCTGTGGTTATTATATCTGCGTCGGGTCGGCGATTGTGTCAACCCAAGAAGAACAAGCTATTCATCAGTATACCGAAGCGTTTTGGAATAGTTCAAATAAACTATTCTGTAGGCAGTCACAAATGACAATACAATAGTTGATTAATAGTATTATTGTATCTAATTCATCGAAAGGATCTTTAACACGAAGCGATTAACAACATCTTAATAGTTATGAGACGGTAACTTCATTTCATCAATAATACTACTTAAGGACAATAGAGCTTACCTAAGGTCCCGGCATCTTGACTTGGCGATATCGATATTGAAACTCACCGTGAAGGTGATTCTGGCTTTGAAAATCACCACCTTCACTGCTTTTGCAGCCCGCGCACCTTTACCTCAAAAATTTTCGCGAGAGGATGAAATGAATTTTTGTGAGCAAAAGAAAAAGGGAAATAAGAACTGTTCCAGTCGCCTTATGTTTCGATAAATATGATTACGTTTTGCGGTTCTGGTTTTGAAGGTTTGATACGATTTCCTCTGGTAGTCATTCGATCGACTTGGTGATGTAGTGGTCACAGCCTGCGTACATCTTAGAACAGACAGAACAAACTCAATCTTGAATTCCATACAGGTAGGCGATAAGCAAATCATCTCGAAAGCCGCATACAATCTCCTCTCAAAAATCTTATATTCCCAGAACTCAGACTGCAGTTCAAATCTCGTGTCTGAATGGGAGGTGAAGTCGTCCTCATCTTACCCTATCTTACCTAAGACGATCTCCACCATCGTCTCTGGTCGTGGATAATACAGAAAATAATGCGCCTACTATAAGGAATTCATGAAAAGGATAATTCTATAGTATTCATAAGATGCTAATGGGGTATCGTACTTTAGTGTTACAGCAAACGTCATAGATAATACCAATTGTGCACAGTTCTGGCTCATAGCCGTCCAATCTTTGCTTCTTTTGGGGTGAGGTAGTCAATACTCACCTCCCTACTCCCTACCATTCTTTCATTCTCGCGACTCGAGACTAGCAATAATGATTCCAGATCAGAGAACAGATAACTTTTGTTCTCGTTTCGGCCTGGTTTGTTCATTGGTCTCGTTTAGGTCGAGTGCTTCTAGTCCAATAGACGCACTCAATGCCACATCAATCCAGACATCGAAGTTAACCGCCCAGATATCCAGAGATACTCAGGAGCCCTCCTTTTGCAATTATTCATGAACATTTCATTCGCGTTATCCACGCGTCCCTAGCCGCCAGGCCACGCTCTGTCTCATATGTCCCAAGAATGCCAAACCCCCATTGCCGACCTAACCGACCAATCCATGCAATCCGGACTTGGCAAACAGTGCACAATCAATGCTGCGCAGCAACGGTATCTCTCTCGAAGATACGTGGTATACGGGAATGTAAATGGGAATATGTCGTACGCAATCATCGCGGTCGAGGCTATGTCGAAGTTCTTCGGTTTCGTCGGCGTCATTGACTCGTACTCCTTTTCGTCAAGCGTGATGGCGGCGCGTTATCTTTGATAGAAGCGTCTTGTGCGCAGGCTGTTTGATAGACACTCAAACATTGATTCTCACATAGTTCATACTCCCGCGTAAGTTCGAAGGTCTCGCGGTCTGTGTGTTCTTTCCTGCATTCGTCGATGCAAGGCTGAGCACCGAGATGGAGATCGCAACATAGGCCGCGGCCGACTTCTTCTGTACATGGACTCGGTGCATGGACGATGGATTGAGATCGGAATGTTGTTACGAGGGACGTTGTTATGTAGTCTGTTGTTGTGACGAGGGTTGGTAGGACATGGTAGAAGAATGTCAGGATGGCGAGGAAGACTAGAATAGCGAGGATCGGTGTTCGGTTTGGTTTGGGAGTCATGCTTGAGTAATTGATGATGATATTTTGAACATTGGAAACTCCGGAATAGATGGTTTCGAGGCGTTGGGAATCTTATATATTCGGCTGAACGATTACACGGGGAATGGTAGATATAAAATTATCTCCGAAGGATGGTAGTGCTGATGTCTTTCCAAGACGCAAACTCGCTTTAAACCACGAAGACAGTTTCAGAAAGGCCGAAGATGAACTCCCAAGTAATGATGAACGAAAACAAATCCACAGCATTCAGTCAGACTTGGGTAGGAGGAAGACACGCAAGCGATGGAGCAGAGAAGGCTCATCAGCCTTCTTAAACATCAGCTCAGCCGGCCCCCGCTTTATGTACATCCACATAATAGATGCGCCTCCAGTCGGAAAACGGCAACGGCACCATCATCATACCAAGGCCACCAGCCACGGCAGTGTCTCCACGTTGTCCTATTAAAGTTTAACGTGACGTTCCCGCGCCTAACCGGACTCACGTTGATTCACCAGTTGTCAATTCGAACATTGCAGGCATATCTCTGTTCAACATCTCCTTTCCGTTGCATCTGGTCCGCGTTCGCATTCGGACTCAGCCTTGGACCAATTGTGATCGTGGGAAACGCTAGCAGGCCTGGGTTTGCACGATACAACACCTTGTAATGCTCGAGAGCGCTAGGGTCGATTATCTTATTAGACATTCGGGGCGCCACACTAGTTTCAGAAATTTGACCATGGTCGCTTGATTTCTCGATTTCGTGTACTGATGGAAGGCCCAATTCGACATGGTGGCTTAGCAGATCGTCGCACTCCTTGATTGGGAATCTTAACGAGTAGTTCGAACGTCTCCGACTAGGATGACAATATCGGGCTTACCAAAATCCGTTGAACTGGCAATGATTGTCGCCATACATATATTTGTTCAACCTCAGCCGCACAGGATTTAATCAAAGGCAATGCGCATCATCCCATCATCCAGCAAACACTGATCGAAGATGATAAATCTTCAGACTAGCATGTATAAATGGGTTTCTTTAGTGTTGGTCCTAGATTTCTCCTAAAGATGTTCTAACGGTTGTGGTGCCTAACAAGGCGTCCAGTGGATGCTGGAACGTTGAAACACGCAGGCTTGCAAAATAAGCAGCGCCGTCAGACCAAATTTCCACATTGCTGAACGCCGACCAGAGTGGCCGAGCTGAGCTCGGCCCTCGCAACGGTTCATACATGCTATATCTATAGTAACAATGATGTCTACAAGACGATTTGTTGTCGATGTACACGGTATACACGGTCTAATCTCTATATCGAACGTTGATATGCGACCTAACTTGCTCATAGCAAAGCTCTAAGAAGTGACAAATAACACTGTCTTGATGATAATGCTCAATTGAGGTGGACGAAGCCTAGTTCCAGGAGATTCTAGCTTTGAGTTAGCACTGTTAATCACTAGCATATCGAAGGTTACTCACATTAGCATAATTGCGGCTCCTGCGAACATAGCAGCAAATTGAGTGAGAGTCTTCTTCAGCTCCTTGCCTTTCTCTGGGCCGGTCTCAAGAAGTTCTGGGATCACAGCGACTGTTCCAACGTATAGGAAAGTGCCTGCAGTGAAAGGGAGCAGCATATCGCCCCACTGAAGACTGGTTCCAAACAGACCGGGTCCATTCACGTCGGCAGAAGCAGAGTTACCGCCAAATTCTTGGACTGCAATACCAATGCAGGTACCGAGAAAAGCCCCGATGGCAGTGATGAATTGCGCACCCATGGCTGCCCTCTTGGAGAAACCAGATTGAATCAGCAAGGCAAAGTCACCAACTTCGTGGGGGATTTCGTGGAAGAAGACGGCCACAGTCGTTGTTGCACCAATGGTAGGCGATGCATAGAATGAAGAGCTAAGAGCAAGTCCATCTGTGATGTTGTGTGTGAAATCGGCAATGAGATTAAGATAACCACCAAGTTTCACACTGGCGTTGATCTCCTTCTCCTTCTCCGCGACCACAGATTTGTCGCCCTTGGTTCCGGACTTGCGAGAGCGAACGGAGTCCTTGGAGCCATTGACATCGGCACCAGTGGCCTTCGCAGTTGCCTCAACCTTTTCGTGTGAGTGACCGTGGGAATGGTCATGTCCGCCCTCTCCGCCAGTAGCAATCCTGAGTCCCTTGTCCATAGCGACGAATGTGATGAATCCAACCATGATTGCAACGCCGAGCAGGAGGTTCTTGTTCGGCTCTACCATGACGAACTTGACCTTGTGAGGTTCGTCTTCTCCAAGGAAAATCTCCGGAAGCAAATGAAACAGCGTGTCACCCAGCAGACCACCAACCGCGAATGCTACCATCACAGACAGCGAAGAGGGGTCGATGTTCGGTGGGCATAACGCGAGGAGGAAATTCGGTGGGCCAGAGATGTAGAGCGTGGCTAACAGAGCGTTAACGGCGGGACTACCGGGGAACAGAAAGGCGAAAATCTGCGATGTCAAGCTCGAGGTCAATGGATTGGTAGCTACTTTGTGTTCGTTCAAAGCTTGGACGAGGGAGCATTCCTAGGACGAATGAGTTAGCTTAGGTACCTTGATGAGCACGCGACACAGCCAATGTGCGGCAAGACACAAGAGAACATTGGGAAGGAAGTCCCAATTGGGATTGAGAACAGATGAAATCGAAGATAGCGTTTCCGTACCTGGAGTTTTTCTTCAATCTCCCCCACTGTCAGGTCGCCAACGGGCGCGCCGGTCTCGCCCTTGACTGCGGCCGCAGATGCATTGTACACTAGAACCGACAGGAACACCGACACAAAAACTAGCGATCGAGCTCTACATGAGAGCATCGTGACGAAAGCGGGTGCAACCTAGATCAATATAAATTGGCGAGAGGGGTGGATGGGTGTTTGACCAGGACTGGGGGTGACGTCTCAGGGGTCTTTGCTGGAGGGACGGACAGGTTGTCCATCTGATAAGGAAATGTTCTCTTATCGATAAGGATCTCTTGGCAAGAAATTTCCATTCTTCACCAAACAATCTCGACAAGCCAACCACTATACTTCCATAACATTAACGTCGCTTACTCCGATACACATTCAACAATGGGTCGCGAACTCCAGAAGAAGAAGAATAGGTCGTCGATACCTAAGCGCCGCCAAAACCCGAAGTCGAAGAAAAAGATACTTTCCAACCCAATCATTGCGGCGAACTGGTATTTTTTTCTCTGGCCTTGCATCAAGAACTATTCATACTTACAATTCTGAATAGGAATCAAAAGGAGACTCTGTCGCAAAATTACCGCCGACTTGGATTGACTGCGCGTCTCAATCATTCCACAGGTGGTACGGAGAAATCAATCAAGCTCCTCGGCCTCAACGATCCAAACTCCTCCCGCGCCGATGCAGCCGCAGACAGCACCGCCAACAAGTTGAACATCGTGAGCACCGCCCCAAAAATAACTGGAACAGCTGAGATCGAGGTCGAACGCGATCCGGAAACCGGCGCGATTTTGCGAGTCATCGGCGGAGACGAACCTAATGACAATCCCCTCAACGATCCTTTGAACGAGCTCGAGGACAGTGATCCTGAGGAGTGGAATGGATTCGCTATGGTTCCAGAGGGCGTGAGTGACAACCCAGTCGTGAGGCAGTTGGAGGAGCAAGCGAGGAATGGTGTAAGGAAAGCGCCACGAAAGCAGAGCCAGAGGGAAGAGGAATGGATTGAAAGTCTAGTGAAAAAGCACGGAGAGAATTACAAGAAGATGGCCTGGGACCGAAAACTGAACCCAATGCAGCAGACTGAGGCTGACATCCGAAAGAGGGTCGCAAAGTGGAAGGCTGCACATGCGGAGGATTAAAAGTTGTGCTGCATGCGATTTTTTCAGACGATTAAATCCTCAATCGCCGATATCGTCCGGTCGACAACACTGCAAGCACTGATTGTTCTATTGCATATTACGGAGTAAGGCGTTTCTATATAGCCCTGAGAAAAAGGGAGTTACATATCCTCAATCATTGGCTTTTGATGCCTTCACATTTGCAACAACTATCAAGATCTTCCTGAGCACCCTGTTCTACTGCTTATGCTAGGGGTCCGGCGTCTCAACAACTTTTATGATACTTAGAAACCCCGATGAACAGTTTGTCATTCGACTGGCTCACGGCGACTTTTCAGTTTCGATTTGACTGCCCTTCAAGTCCACGTCGGATCTTTGCATGGCTCATAAATTGCTATTCGAATATACGGGCACAATCAGGAATCTTCGACTTCTCCACACAGGATCGCTGCCACTCGTTCGGTGAGATGCCCAAGCAAAAGAACCGCGTACAGCCTAAGTGACTGTGTCAAAACTTTCGAGACGGAGTTTTCTTTAGCAGAGTCTGCACCTCTATAACAGAGAGCATCACAAGCACGACCCGCCGTCGGTGGATAGGTAGAATAGGTAGATATTATGATCTGCTTAATGCCTCTCCTTTGCACGCGATCTTCGAATGGCCCCATACATCCTGATATGCCACGATATCTATTGTTAGGTATCTTTATTCATTCGTACCAATCATCAAATGATGTACTTCATGGAAAGCTGTTCTTGTTTGTATCGGCAGGTATTAGTGGATTGCAGCATCTCATTACTATTCTAGGCGTTTCAATTCTAGAAGCTAGATTTCGCCCCGACCTGATAATCATCATTCAACTGGACCGTACTACTCGACACACTCCTACTATCCTCCTTCTCCGCCGCATCGTGCACAACAGTCGTAGCAACCGTCTTCATAATCCCCGCTGCGCCCCTCTCCTCATCAAGACTACTATCACTCTCTTCCTCTCCCCCCCGCGCAGTATGATTCCCACGAATGGTCGTCGTATGCGTCGTGTTCCCCATTTTCGTACCGTGCGCGCTGCGCGACGCAAGCTCAGTCGGGTATGAATTGCTGCCGGAGTGGAAGGCGTCGGTCCTCTCGTTCCCGCGTACGATCTTGGATATCAGGTCGGCCATGGAGCATTCGATGTTGAGTTTTACGATGTAGGATACAGGGTGGAATTGCACGTAGATGAAGGTATTTCGGAGGGACATCATGCCGATTAGTAGGACCTGGGCAACCATTATTAACACTGTGTGTTTGTAGGATAGGCGGAGCGATTTTGAACTTACATCCATGGATAGAGAGACGACGATGATGATTGCGTTGAAATTGAAGAGCGGAGTGTACTTGGTTAGGCCCTTTGAGATCAATCTGGCCCTGACTAGGTAGAGGAAATATGCGTTCAGAGCGAAGTCAATCAAGAGGTAGATGACTTTCTCGATACGGTCCCAGATCTCGTTTAGGTGAATCCACATGGGGGATATCTGCATTCGGGCCGGAATCCATATACAGTAGACAGAGATATTGATGAGTCCAACAGCGACGAATAAAGCCCATTTGAGCTTTGTAGCTTTTCGCTTGTCTGTCATGACGAGTGCCACTCGGTTGGCAATGATCTGAATGAGTAGCTGGGTTTGAAGAACCCAGGTTGTTACGAGGATAAAAAAGAATGCGAAACTATCATGGTTCATGTCAGTCCAGCTCAGCGTTCACTACGATGTAAGGAAGTGACCGTGCTTCCTTTCTCTGATAATCGAACTTGAGGAAAAATGTGACGTACGATCCTTTTATATCTTCGTGCAAGAACAACCATGTAAGGACAGCCATAACCAAATTTACGATCAATTCGGACCAACACATCCATGGATAGGGATTCCATATCTTCTTTGTTCGCTTGTACATTGCCATTGACTGTCGCCCAATTTTCATTCCGGTGAGGATGACGAAACCTAGCGTGAAGCCAAAAGCAATGGACGGAACGTCCATGATGGATTCTCGCGCCATGGTCGGTTTGTGGGGTCGATCCAGCCAGATAGCTCAGTAGAGTCGTATATCTTCGCAACAGCAGCAGTCGGAACAAGTCGAAAGAGTCAACAACACCTATGTGCTATCAAGCTGGTGAAGGAATTTTTTTCCCACATTGCAGAATACTTATAATCCTTCAAGCATCCCCCTATCGTCTAGTCTTTGAGCCACGCAGGTTGCCTGAAAACTGTAGATCTTGGAGGATCTGTGATTATCAGTGAGCTAATTGCTGGGTACCATGTCCACATCAAGTTCTCCAAAGACAGGTTGGCCGACATCTTGGTTACTGGATTTGGTAACACTATAGATAGAGGCTGAGATTTTCAACAGGGTTCCTTGAATTAACGAGTCACGATGTGGAGTCTACAATGTTGATCAACAGGATCGGGGATGATCCTGTAGTGCTAATTGGACCCGCGTGCCGCGGTTAGTGAGCCGTGAGTGCCACGCCGCCCTCGCGTCGGACAACAGGAACAGGAAAAAGACTTTGCCCCATGATATTCGTCTCAGATGCCGCAGACTACTTGTGGAAACAATGAGGAGAACGGTACAATTGATTCATGGGTATGGGGAAAGGGAGGTAGTCCGTCTCCAAGGCATCCACACACCTCATGGAAAGGAAATGGACTCTCTCACAATCGACCAAAGCCGGATTTGAGCTTTTTTTGTGGCTTGCATTTTGGCGATGCATCTCCATTTAGAGGCAGTTACACTTACTCTTCAGGTTTGGTGCCGACGGTATGATCATAGCTGGTGATTGGTCTACATAGCTCTCGGTCTATTGCTCCTAAGCTGGCTGAGTGTACCTCGTAGAGTCGCCAAAGAGCCCGTAATGAATTGTAGCGTAGTTCTCGTGCTAGCACTAGGCACCCGGGCGGCACTGTTGAGCCGGCCAATCACCCATGGGACTAAAGTCTGGGGCAATATTCGGATCCGTCTTTAGCAATCTGGATTGTACAATTACTTGTAGCAGCTGGTGATAAACAGGAGTCCTGCAATGACCTTCCCCGCTAGCTTCTGCCTGAGCCAAGGCGACCACTGTTCACTACTTGTAAGTGTAAAGGGATGAGGCCTAGCCAATGAATCCTTCCATGTCGGGAGGCCACTGCATGACTGTCCATGGCAAGCCTATTTTCTTATATTGGGAAGATATATCACGCCATTATTCAGGCTTGGGTGCACGCTATCTAGGAATACAATGGTTAGGATTTGATTGAGATAGAAACTTGCATACAGTGAAGTGGTTAGCAGTGATCAAATTCAATCCATTAAAACACTCAATGTTGAGCGATGTCATTCATACGTGACGACAGCAAACGAACAGCAGTTCTTCGTAGCTAATCATGGACTCACTGCTCTTGTCATATGCATCGTACAAGCATTGACTCAAAGCTTGCTGATGTATTCGGCTGAGGTTTTTACGTACTTTTTGGATAGGATGAATTGGCATGGAGAGCAATATAATCTTGATGTTAAGTGTTTCGATAATTTATGAGAGGACGACATTGCGACGATAATACCTGCGTTCTAAGATTGATAAATGGATGCTCGATGGAGAAGTAATACGAAATGACATACATTAGACAGCGCAATGTGCGCAAGTCACGAGAAGCATCCGCTGGATTTGAAAGCACTCAACGAGCGGTAAAGAACCTTTTCCGTGGCCCATTGCACACCCCCCAAGTGGTACTGTCATTCACCCTCGCCACGTGGTATCCCGAGCTGGCCCATAGTTTCCGAACACGGGACCACGTTCCATGCAACGATGACTTTGACCAAAAAAATTTAGTTCCTGATCATGCCAGTCGCCTACCAGAAGTGGCGGTAATGGTTGGTGCCACCCGCACTGCAATAAGTCTGCCACACGTCTAACTGCCACGCAACAAAAGCTTTTCCATTTTCGAAGTCTCCGTTTCATGCATACCTACAAGAAGTAATATTACCAACCGCAGAAAGAACCTGCAGCTCCTGATTGGCTAGTAGTTGTAGTAATCTTTATGGAAGATTGGAAGCACAAATTTTAAAGAGAAGTAGAATTCTCCTAAAGAGGTAATTCATGATCTTTAGCGATTACCCGCGACTCGTATTCTCATAATCTTTGAGTAATGATTAGCATTCCATGGCTCCTCTCAGTAGGTATTCTTTAAGAGGCTCTCAAACAAGACAGCAGATGTTAGGTAATCTTTCACTTCATTGGAGCCCGCAGACAGCTGACAAAGGAAGTGCGATCAATGCAAGGGTAATCTATCCTTTAGCTTTGATATTCCGAGCAACGAACAAAGAAGCAAAACCTATCGGATTTAACCCCATACTGTTCATTGAGCCAACCGTTTTAGGTTATAGACCAGCGGATTTAAGGCTTACTTACACCGCGTGTGAATGGACAAAGCACCTGTTCACCAGTTGTTGTGGAGGTTGACGCCACGGATGTTGGCGGAAGCTTGACCAACCATTCCACCACTGACCTTGAATTTTTTATATACGCCTGACCACAACTATGACGCAATTGATGGGATTTCAAATGGTCATTTCAACAGTCAAGCCTTTGAGCCTCACGCATAGATCGTCACCGTGAACTGCTCGTACGAGCGTCTTGAAATACATTTCCCACATCTGTAGTGTGCGATGCATATCATCGAAATGATTAGTCACGCGTCCCTCACTATTGTTAAGAATAATACAAAGCTATCAGAATCATTTTGTAGATAATTCTCGTCCCTTCAGTTCTGTGATACTCAATTCGATGTGATGTTCAATCTCACGATCCCCAGACTTTTCCCCCGGCGGGATGAGGTACACGCGAGCCCGATTGTGGTACATCCGCAACGTTCCGTACCACGAGATACAGCATTTAGTTCAGATCCACAATGTCATATCCGAAGTCGTATGCACTCCACTCCCCACTGGGGCTCCGACTTTCTAAGCCGTTGACACCGTTACGTCGGTATCCAGTTCGGGAGAACGCTGTCCCCACTGGCCGAGCTGTCAGCTATGTAATCGAAGAGCATTCTGCTTAAATAGTGCTTATTCTGCCCCTCGTGAACCAAGATCCTACTGATTTACTTCATCATACCACTCTATATTCAACAGTAAACATGAACTTCTTCAAAAGAGTGCGACATCCAGTCCAGGACTTGCGGCGACGCAGTTCTGTGGTTGTTGCGGCACATGAAGGTTATGATACTAGGCCTCTGCCACGTTTGACATGGCTGGGTGTAGGCATGGGTATTCTTGTTTCCATGGGTAAAGTTCACTTAAATCCGAAAACTCCAAGCAGAAGTTTAACCAAAACGTAGGCGGATTCATCTTTGGTTATGATACAGGTCAGATCTCAGGTTTCCTTGAGATGACAGACTTCCTACGTCGATTCGGCCAACGGCATGCTGATGGGACCTACTACTTCTCCAACGTCAGAGCCGGCCTAATCGTTGCAATGGTATGTAACCTTTTTATGTCATACAATCATTGGCTAATCATTGATTTAGCTGTCTATTGGTACACTCATTGGTGCCCTTCTCGCAGCTCCTGTAGCAGACCGTGTGGGTCGAAAACCTAGCATGACGTTCTGGTGTATAATTTTCTCCGTTGGAATGATCGTACAAATCTCCGCAACGAATAAATGGTACCAGGTCATGCTGGGTCGGCTAGTTGCCGGATTCGGCGTTGGTGCTTTGTCTCTTGTTGTTCCCATGTACCAAGCAGAGACGGCACCTCGCCATATTCGTGGAGCCTTGATATCTACGTACCAGCTCATGATTACCTTCGGTATCTTCCTTGCCGCTGTTTTCAATTATGCAGCTGAGCGACACCAAGATGGAAAGGCTGCGAGCTGGCAGATCACAATGGGACTGAGCTTTGTCTTTGCCGCCATCCTGGGTGTTGGTATTCTTTTCTTCAATGAGACCCCCCGATACGACGCTCGCCATGGCCGGATAGTCAGAGCTAAAAAGACAATGATGAAGGTTTATGGAGTGCCCGAAAACCACTACAGCATCTATCACGAGATGGCCGAGATCGAGCGAAAGTTAGCGGAGGAGGATAGACAAGGAAGCGCGATCCGAGAATGGCTAGGCATGTGGAAGGCACCTAAGATGGCATATAGATTGTTTCTAGGCATGGGACTGCAGATGTTTCAGCAGCTTACTGGGTGCGTAATCTGCCCTCATTCTTTCCACGCAGCAACACTAACAATTACTCAGAGCAAACTACTTCTTCTACTATGGAACCACTATCTTTGTGGGAACTGGTATCCGCAACTCGTTTGTCACACAAATGATTCTTGTAAGTTTTTCTGTCCAGCACCTCATCACATCATGAACTGACAACTTTAGAACGGTATCAACTTTGGCGTCACATTCTATGGCCTGTATATCGTCGAGCACTACGGCCGTCGCAAGTCTCTCATCGCCGGCTCCATCTGGATGTTCATCTGCTTCATGATCTTCGCCTCAGTCGGACACTTCGTCCTTGACCGCTCAGATCCCTCGCGCACGCCCAAGGCCTCCATCGCTATGATCTGCTTCGCCTGCTTCTTCATCTTCGGCTTCGCAACAACATGGGGACCTATGATATGGGCCATCTGTGGAGAGCTCTACCCATCCCGCTACCGTGCTAAGGCCATGGCACTCAGCACCGCATCGAACTGGCTTTGGAACTTCTTGCTCGCGTTCTTCACTCCGTTCATTACTGGCGCTATTGACTTCAGGTATGGGTACGTATTTGCTGGGTGTAACATCCTTGCCGGCATTGGTGTCTATCTCTTCGTCATCGAAGGTCAGGGACGTACGTTAGAGGAGATCGATACGATGTACATTATGGGTGTCAAGCCTTGGGAAAGTTCCAAATGGCAATTCCCTGAAGAGGAGCGCATTGCGAGGAAAGAAGACCAGGCATGAGTGATGCTCTGACCTGGTATGATCACGCGGTAATGAGATGTTTTGGGAGGTGGCTGATAAATTGAGGGTTTTCTTTTTGGCGATCGATCAAGTCTCATAGGCGGCTGGTGTCTAGGGTGTTAGGTGCTTCAACGGATCACACTCTTGTATATAATGCTAATGAAGTAAATGGAGCAAGTAAACTAAAGACCAATTGCTCTTGATGGAATTTCTTTATTATGACCATATCATTCCCCATTAACTTATAATTCTCAATACTCCAAGATTGGATGTGTGTCATGATATGCGATGTTGGGTCAATTCAGGACAGGACATGGTATTGTAAGGTGAACAAAGAATCGTTACGTATAGTAGCATAGCCGCGTCCTAAACAGTCCGACTTGCCGGTTTGCCGTGATGTTGGTGTCTTTAAATCAGCCAACGTCAAGATCGCACAACCTAACTGTGCCAGCGGAGACTGGAGTGACCAGAGAACCGTTGCAGCAAGCGATGGGGGCTATTTACTACATGGAGTAGTCCGACCGTTGGATGTCCGGTTTAATAGCCCTATGACGGACCCATGGCCGTCTCCTCAAATCTAGAACGCCTCGGATTTCACCCCTATGTGACGTGAGACCTCGTATATGGTGTTTGCACGAGATGTGTTTGAACACATTGCGGAAGTCCTTCGGCTAGACGGATGCTGCTGGTATCTTGGGCGTAATCATGAACGAAACTGCGGCGCAACTAAGCTCGCTTAACGATGTACACCACGATTTAGTAGCTTACAATAAATTACCAGACTTAGAAAACTATGAATGAATCCAAGATGATCATAAACCCATCGCGTTGGGGAGACACGATACTCAAGCAAAATACTGCAAAATGACTGCGGACTGAACACTTTGGTCGTTGTTGATGGTGATTAATTCAGTGGGGTCGATAGGTCTCGCGGCACGAAGGATCGTTAAGCTTAATTGCGAAGCATAGGAACGTAAGCCCAAGTAGCAAAATGTCTGTGGCGCAGACAATTGTGATACAAGGCAATAAGCCAAATAGCAAACTTTGCCCCACCTTGGAGAATGGTCCTAGTGGCTTTCCGAATGTGCATCGTGTTCTCGGCGCGTTCTATATCATGATAAATACCCTCGTTGGCATCTTGTGGAGAGTTCAGTGTTTTTGTGAACAAATCCGAGGTTGTTCACCAGTCATTCATTCACACTCAACCCCACCGTCATTGACCGATATCATACATTCATTCCTTCTACACTCGCTCTTTACGACCATTCTTTCACAGTCACTACGAACTTGCTATGAATTACCTTCTCTTTCCAACTATTATCCTGTCGGTCCTTACCGCGGTCACAGAAGCCAGGCCTACCAGACACTACACGCCTCGTCAGGCACCAGCACCCACCGATGTATGCGGAGCCGTATGGTACAATAAGCCAGTTCTCGGCCTGTACAATGACCCATACTTCGATTCAGAACTAGTCACCAACGGGTGCTCAAACTTTCCAATCAAGGTTGCATTTGCTCGACACTCCGGTCTCCCTGGGGCCTGCAACATCTGCGAATTCTTCTCGTGAGTACTACTTAAGTTGAACTGTAGAGTAGAGAACTAATGACTTGAACAGGAACAATGACTGTGGCGGTGATGTCGTACAAACGATATCCTCAGAGAAGAACCTAGACATTGCGCAGGGCGTCGTTGTCCCACAAGCACAGAGTTACAAGTGCCGGATTTCATTGCAAGACGAATAGCCAAATTGCAACACTGTCTGAATCCTAGTTCTGGCTGACCAAGTTAAAAAGCTTGTATAACACTCATTTTGTCTTCAATTTTGTATTCATGTTTATGTTCATGATTTTTGCGGGTATTGGGTATTGGAGGCAAATGAGATGATACCCAGTTCTGGCCGATATTTTATCCAGAGAGCTTTCACTGTGTTTCAGTACGTATTGGAATTACCACGAGGGGGCATGGGGTTACAATAAGCAAAATACACTCGTTTCAACCTACTCATGACATATTGAATTGATTTTGTGTTCAGCAATTAACATAACATAGATAGGAAATCTCCCAAATTTGCATTTAGTGCACCTTACAACATTTATTGAAAGATATATACTACTGCTCATGGTTGCGCTATCCAAGAGTGAGTTTTACACGGATAGCATGAAAATAGACTCAAGGTCAACGGTCTATTTCATGAACGCAAGGAAATCAGCACCATCCATGTTTCCCATCACCACTCTTCCTCTCGCTCCCACGTAATTGTCATCATAATTATGAGTAGCACTACCCACAGGGATGTTTCCGATATTACCGTAGACAGCTCTTGCATCGCCTTCAGCCTTGTTCTTGCGGAAAGAGTGGCCAGCCATGTGCATTGCTTCGTTTGCCGCTGCCTGGTACAGAGGGATGCATTGCGATAGAATTGCTTGCTGTTGTTCCTCCAACCTGCGAATGCTGATCTGTATCTCCTCATTGCTTTCAGGCTCGATGGTGAGCAATTGTTCTAGGCGTGAATTCACTCGATTCAAATCGGCTGAAATTTGTACCTCGGTGGCTATGATACTATTCTGAAGTGCTTCAAGCGTATTCCAGTTGATGGACGTTGGGGTCCTATGAGATCAGATGTTAGCCGTCTATATCGTATTGTTAAATTATACCTTACAGTGTAGCCACGTATAATCCCAGGGTAAGACTCGCTTTCCAACTAGCAATCCTCATCCGAAAATCATTGATGTTTTTCCTTTGGAAGCTCAATTTGAGACCATCTCTAAAGCTTCTCTTTCCATCAGATGAATTCTCGGTGAGCTTCTCCAACTTTGTCTTAAAGTCTTGACAAGCAATATCACAGCCTTGAAGGGTTCTGTCCACTGCTTCTAAGTATGCAATCTGCTTGTTTCCCATCATCGAAGCGTGGTCGCCGAGGGTCGCTCTCAAAGTGTCCAAGATCTGATTGAGAGTTATGACCTCTTCACTAAGGTCTTTGAACACCGAAGGGCTGCCGTGAATCGTCGAGATCAATTCATAGAGTGCTCTACTGCTCGAATAGGCAAGGCTAACGATTGTTATTGCCCCTGCAGCAACATTGAGAGGGTCTGCCATTGTTTGGATATAATGAAGAGTAGAAGTATTGATTTACCTGTTGACCGCAGTATCGCACTGCAGTTTCCGTCTCTTTCCAGTGTCTTGTTGCCGTACTGTAGGAATATAGCGCCGGTCGCTTGCAATGAAGCAAGGTTCAGCTACGACTTGGCAAAACTTCAGCCTCGTCGCAAGTGTCAGCACATGAAATATATACATCAGGCTGAAGACCATAATTAAATACTATCTCAGCCTTGCATCCCATTTACTGTCTATACTTGAAAGCCGCTCCCTCCCAGAACAGCCAACTCCTCATCAGACAGCGAGTTCAGCATTTCCCTACGCGTACGAGACGATCGAGACCGATGCCTGAACCATACGCGGCAGTATATACCGGCAACATAACAGACGGCAACTCGAGAGCCGTCTACGGAAACATTCATGGAAATATAAACTTTGGTGGTGAGGGAGGTGGCTCGGTTCTCAATCAGTGTCTCCGCGACTTAAGAGTCACTGACCCGCGCGAGGATAGAGCACGTATCGAAGAAGGCAAGGACACGCTGCTCAGAAGTTGCTACGGCTGGATCTTGAACAATCCAACTTTTCGGCACTGGAGGACTGCCAAGGAGTCACGACTGCTTTGGATCCAGGGCGATCCAGGGAAGGGCAAGACGATGATGACTATGGGCATCATCGATGAGCTGTCACCAGAAGAGATGTTGCGGCCTAAAAGTATGAAGGCCGGCTCTAGCCCTGGATTGGTAGCGTTCTTCTTCTGTCAAAATGCCAGGCCGCAGCTCAACAATGCAGTTTCGGTCCTACGTGGGCTTATCTACATGCTCGTTAGACAGAAAGAAGATCTCATGCCACATGTACAAAAGCAATACGATATTACGGGCAGCAAGCTTTTCGACGGACCCAATGCTGTTTATGCACTGAAAGAAATACTGTCAAAAATATTACATGATCCCTCTCTTCCGATAACATATCTTCTTATCGACGCCCTCGATGAGTGCGTGTCTGGTCGGCCTGACATCTTACGCATCATCACCGACGACAAACTTGCACCGCGGTCAAAGGTTAAGTGGATGGTGACAAGCCGTAACGTGCCGGACATCAAGCGATACCTACAGCCTGGTTTGCTCGAGGCAAAGGTCAGCCTTGAGGTCAGCACAAGCCAGGTATCGGAAGCGGTTGCAGCGTATGTCAGCTATAAAGTCCAGCAACTGGCGAAGTCATTGGACTACGATCCTAGCACCGAAGCAGAGGTGAAGCAAGTGCTTTGCGAAAAAGCAGAAGGCACATTCCTATGGGTATCGCTGGTCTGTAAGGAGTTGGAGGAAGTGCCGCTCTATCGTACACGAGCGGTGCTGCAAGATCTACCGCCCAGACTAGATCCCTTGTACAAACGAATGATGGCACAGATCTTGGCACAGAAGGATGTTCAAACTGCAAAATACTGTAAGGACATCCTCCGATCGACAACTCTCGCCTACCGGCCGCTCCACCTTGAGGAGATCGCGATGGTGGCTGGCCTCCCTAACGATTTGTTTCACCAGGTGAAGGCAATTGTCGACCTGGTAAGTCGCTGTGGGTCTTTTCTTACCATACGGCAAAACATCGTGTCTTTTATCCATTTATCTGCCAGAGATTACCTTATGTCAGATGATAGCCAGAAGATATTCGGCCAGCCAGCATCAGAAGAGGCGAAACAAATAGCTATCCGCATTCTCGATATCATGCACAGAACACTACATCAAGATATATGCAGTCTGAAGTCTATGAAAATAGGTATACAGAAAGCAAAAGACCGAGTGAAGGACAGTATCCTACCACGGATTACATACGCATGCGAGTACTGGGTTGATCATGTGCAGCAATGTGCGCAGAATTGTGATAGTGTTATCTCGGACGGTGGAAAGGTTGACGAACTTTTTCGATGTCACTTCCTCCATTGGGTTGAGGCTATGACGTTGTTGCAAAAATTACCCGAAGCTATTCTAGCATTACGGAAGCTCCAGTTGGTGATGAATGTAAGTCAAAGACTGGCATACTAAAACTATCGCTAATATCAACAAGAGACCCAATAGCACTAAATTGGCTCAATTTGTACAAGACGCATTGCTATTTTTGATGTGGAGCTCATCAGGGATACAGAACAAGCCTTTGCAAGTATACCGTGGCGCGCTAATATTTTCGCCAAAACGGAGCTTGGTTCGACAACTGTGCTTGCAGGAAATTTCGAAACAGGTTGAGGTGAGGATAGGCCTCGAAAATGACTGGGGTCCTATACCGCAGTCTCTAGAAGGCCACCATGGCAAAGTGAAGAGCGTAGTTTTTTCACATGAAGGAGAACGAATAGCTGCAGCTTCAACTGACGAGACGGTGCGAGTTTGGGAGACACATACAGGGAATCTTGTATGCACATTTGAAGACCACACAGACTGCGTCAACAGTGTCGTTTTTGCGCCCAAGGGGGACCGATTAGCATCAGCCTCGCACGACAAAACAGTGCGAATATGGAACGTGACTGGCCAACTACTTCACACGCTTAGGGGGCATGCGAGTAAAGTAAATAGTGTGGCCTTTTCATTCGATGGAAGCCAGTTGGCATCAGGGTCGAATGACAGAACAGTATGTGTATGGGATGCTACAGGTCACTCACTACATACGCTTGAAGGCCATACAGACAAAGTCACTAGCGTAGCCTTTGCGCCTCGAGGACAACTATTAGCCTCGAGCTCCCGTGATGGAACAATTCGGATGTGGGACACAGAAACAGGAAACCTTCTTTACATACTTGAATGTTTAATGGGGTTTGCCCAGAGCGTGGTGTTCTCTCCGACCCGCAACGAACTTGTATCAGGATTAAACAATGGGTGGCTCAGAGTATGGGATTTAGATACTAGGGAGTTTCTCTACACGGCCCAGTGCCATGTTGGAAAGATCACCAGTATATCCTTACCGGCAGCTGGAGATCGAATCGCGTTAGTCTCACGAGATGGTATAGTAAATATTCGGAACGCAAATAACCTACGTTCTCTCAATACCCTTGTAGGTCACCTGGACGGCGCTAAAAGTGTGGCTTTCTCGTCAACAGGCGACAAACTAGTAACAGGTTACTGGCATGGGTCAGTGCTAGTCTGGGACTTAAAACATGGACAACTACCACAGACACTCCAAGGCCATCTCAACGAGGTATCATGCATAGCCTTTTCTCCAGCAGGTGATCGAATAGCATCAGGTTCATTGGATAGGACATTGAAGTTGTGGGATATAAAGACAGGGGAGCTGTTACACATCCTTACGAGCCACAGTGCAATTGGGAAGGTAGCCTTCTCGCCAGCAGGAAACCGGGTAGCAGCAGGTTCATTGACTGGAAGAGTGCAGATATGGGATGCGAATACGGAGGATATATTGTACAGCTTCAAAGCTCATACGGGGGACATCGCGACATTAGTCTTCTCCCCTACAGGAGATCAACTCGTATCAGGTTCTACAGATGGAACGGTTCGAATATGGGGCGCAGAAACGGGGCAGCCAATGCACACTCTGGCAGGCCACACTGATACAGTTAGTATTGTAGTCATTTCGCTAACAGGCGATCGACTAGCATCAGGTTGTAGTGATGGAACGGTGAGAGTCTGGAATGCGAAGACGGGGAATCTGTTGTGTACGAATAGGGACTTCCGTCAACGCGTGGATGGTTTGGTTTTCCTGCAGGGATCTCTCCTGGTATGGCTGGACGATGGTACGTCGACGATACTGGACGCTGTTAGCGGAATGCAGTTACAACCCTCGAGTGAAGAACCACGGCTCCTGAGAGATATATGGCGGGTGGCGGGTTTCGTAAATGGGCTTTGGTTTCCTGCCACCTATGGCCAGCGCAACGTTCTTTCCATTCAAGGCAATTTAGTTGCGTTAGGATTTAAATCCGGTCGATTAGTTCTACTTGAACTACCAACGTTCTGGAGTAGATCCGACATTATTTTCGAGGACCATGGTGATTCCGAGGACGATGACAGCCAGGAGGATGACGACAGTTCTGACGATGACAGCAGCTTTGCAGAGATCATTTAGGAATCTCTTTCCTCCGTCTTACCAAGCTGCATCTCTCTCCTACAGGCAGCCAGTCAATCCATACGGTTAGCACCTCCATTGGCTTTACTTTGCTTATTTACTGCAAGGCACCAGACATATTCGCAGCCACATTCACCAGTCCACAACATCGTTCTATAAAGGTCAGATCCTGGAAGTGGCTAGGAGGAAAGAAGTTATGAATATGCGTCGAACTATTCCATAGTCCATTTTCCTGCCCCAAGATAGACGACTCACTACGCTACAACTGTCTATGCCCCTCCTCGCCGAATGCTTTGATCCTGAACACGGATACAAGAACTCACGTGAATGATGGAAGTTGTTCATTTGATGGTTTTACGAAGATCTACGAGTATGAAAGAAGGCCAATCACTCATCTGACACCGCGCTACGTCCGCGTTGAACGGTTCTGTCTTGGCCTTCGTCAGTGGCTCTTTGTCTCAACGCGACCCCGCGCGTCTACCACGGAATATATGCAACACTGAATCTGCTGACACGAGGAAAGCTGATCTACAATCCCTCGAAATTTGGTCTTCCAAACTTTGCAAGAGAAACGCCAAATTAGGATCGTAATCACAACAGAATGATCACTGTCGCAGTAGCAGGCGGAACCTCCCCCGGACTCGGCCGCTCAATCCTCGAAGCCCTCATCAACCAACCGGAAAGAGTCACACCCATAGTCCTAAGCCGCGAAACATCGAAAACCCCAAAGTGGCTCTCAGACCTCGCCATCGAGGTCCGCCGAGTGAACTACCAATCCCCGGAATCTCTGGACGACGCACTGAACGGCGTCCACACAGCCAGTCTCCCCTACGTTCTTCGTATATAGACAACGCATAGCTCATGCGATGAAACCAGGTAATTTCCACGCTGCTCGCCATAGACGGAACATGGGCCTCAACGCAACTCAGCCTCCTTTCCGCCTGTATCCGGGCCGGCGTATCGCGCTTCGCGCCCGCTGAATTCGGCCTCGGTCCGCTGTCCGCTCACCACATCGCCCTCGTGTCTCCGCAGGTAGAAGTCATGAATGCGTGCCGCGAAGCGAAGCTCCAGAATCCGGCGACCTTCGAGTACGCGGGGTTTCATCCGGGGTTGTTTATGAACTACCTTGGTTACGGGGCGCCGGATCAGGAGGAGGCGTTGCATGGGTTTGAGGACAATTGGGAGGACTCGTGGTTCCATGTTAATACGATGAAGGCGGAGATTCCGCTGACGAAGGAGGGGGAGGTGCCGAGGATCACGATGACGGAGTTGAGGGATGTGGGGCGGTTTGTTGCTGCTGCTTGTTTGCTGCCTGATGGGTTTTGGCAGGAGGATTTTAGTATGGTGGGGGAGACGTTGCGAATGGATGAAATTGTCAAGGTTATCGAGAAGGTGAAAGGGGGGAAGGTGGAGGTTATGTATCGTAAGTATGATGAGCTCGCCGCATTGACGAAGAGGGAAGAGAATCCTTGGAGGAAGTTTTGGTATGAACTTGAGGGGGCAATTGCAAGAGATACAAAAGGGGAGGCGTTTGTGGATCCGATTCTGAATGGGCTATTTCCAGACATCAAGCCAGTGTCGATTGAAGAGTACTTGACGAAGTATTGGACTTGAATAAAAGAGGAAGAATTTGATTCAGCCCATGCAACTGGGTGCTAATGTATGTACATGAATTCCCAACCTGTATAATCATACCAGTTGCCTAGCATATCTCCCTGCCTTTGGCGCATTGGTGGGATACATCAAGCATGAGCAAGCCGAGCTAACCTTCTCCGCACTGCCACCACAATTGTTTAGGTACTTTGGAATAGCACTAGCAGCTAAGACAGCACTTTTAGTATATGTGGCACAGAATGTTTTCGCCGGAACTGATGCGGTGGGGTTGAAGATCTGATTTACGCAATTATTTCTCGGGCAGGAAGGCGCTTTGGTCGAATATGCCGTGTTACTGCGCTTGGTGGTGACGGAAGCACTGACTCGAGTCGTTGTTACGGTGATCAACTTTGTGGGTTGAGCGGAAGGAGCCTGTGTGGAAGAGGCCTTCGACGGTGCTGGTGGTTGCGGTGCATTGTTGTCTGAGGTGCCACTTCGTTCAATCTGAGCGTTCCTACACGACGTTGAAGAGCATTTGTGGTAGATACTCATTGCACCGCCATTACCGCAGAATTGCGTGTTGTTACCAGCACATTTCATAGTGCAGGAGCCCATAACTCCATCTTTAGGTGCGTTCTCCGGCTTCATGGCATTGTCGCAGAAGCATTCGCGGCCATACTCAACTCCTGCGTAGGAGAATCCGTTCGAGGAGCAGAAGTCGACGCACTTCTCGACTGTCATGTCGTCCGAGGATGTGCTCTCCCCAGTGAAAGCTCGTCCGTCGATGTTGTCCTTACCACAGCCGACGTATTCCCACTGCTTGCTCGAAGTCAAGTCCACGTAGTTGGTCTTTGGCGGACCTATGACCTTTGTAGCAGCGCAATCCGTGATGAGAATGGCAGGTTCAGGCCCAGAGGTGATTGGGTTGCATCCAGGGAGCTCTTCGAGAGACCCGTCAACTTGCTCATTGATGAGCTCTGGCAATTTGCATGCGTTGCATTCGGCATCTGTGTACATTGTGACAGCATCACACTTAGAAACGGCGCCAGAGTCGTCCAGGCAGGTATCCACAGCCTTCTGAAGTGTACCAACATTCCAGCCATTGACAAAGTCTCCGTGGAAGCCGTAGCCAGTTGGATCACCGTTCGCGAACACGAAGGGATGCTGGTCGCCAGTCCACTGATCCTCAAACTGATCGATATCGTAGAGAATCTCATAGAAGATTGAAATCAAATGAACGGGGAACTCCTTCGGGCAGGCGCCGGTGTTGTAATTTTTACCAGCAGGATAGCTGACATGGGATCTATGATCTAATGAGTCAAGATCATTTCCGTTCCAGCAGGCCGGAAAGAAGATTTGAGCGCGGAGGCCGCCGGGGCAGTTGTAGTTGGGTATTTCGTTTGTTTCGTCTTTTCCAGCACCGAGGCAGGCAAATGAGATAGCTTGTGCATCGAGGCCGCCTGTGAAGTTACGCTTGAAAGTGTCACCCGCGAGCATACGGAATCCTTCGGGAAAGGCATGAAGCTTTTCGCCATCCTCGCCGCGTTGGAGATAGTATACAGTCATGCCGCCATTTGCGTCCTTGCCATCACCAACCACGGGTACAGGCTGGAAAGTGCCGTCCTTTTTCTTGACATATAGTTGCGGTGTCCAGTAGTTCGACATGTCCTCCTTGATCTGGCAAGAAGAGCATGTTGAGTTGCGCGCCTGCTCGAACGTCATGCTGGGGCCAAAACCAGAGCCGCCAGAGATCGTGTGAAGATGACCAGATACAGCACCAGGGTTGACGATGGGATCAATTCGTTCGCGAACAAGGCGGCCAGGGCAAGACATGCGGAAGAAGGCATCGGTCGGGGTAATAAAGCCAACCAGGCCCAGAACAAAAGTAAAGCTTTTGATATACATGTTGGGGGTAGTAATGAAGTTGTCGGCGGTGAAGACAAGTTCCTTGGATGCAGACCTATATACTGAAGGGACAGGCGATTTATAAGGATGGGAAGTGTAGTAGAATGAATGACTTGAGTCGATCAAATCGAAGCAATGAGTGTAACGAGCGTCGAGCTCTAGAAGCAAGAATGAATGACGAGAAGGTAAGAACAAACGAACGACTATTGGAAAGTCTCTCCACTGTACACAAGAACAGAAAAAGCGAAGGAAGTTACACACGGCAAAGAAGAAGGCGATCCGGATTTCTTGTACCCATCTGAATTGAAATTGAGTCCTGCCCGCCTGTGGCTTGATTGTTTCAAAACTCAACCACCAATTTTAGCGTTTACGGCCGGGACGTTCAGGTCGCGCGTCTGTGCATATGTTGTAGGTTATCGTTCGTTCCGAGGTACTCCTATTGGTGCCGGCTCATCCCCTTTGCTGGAGTATAATATGACGTCGACCTGGAGATTCGATTGAATCAGAGGGCGAAGGAGACATCTCGAGGGCCTAGAATAATGGCAATGTCTAACCATTTCATTGATAAACCACGCCTGGCTGCACAAGTTGGTGTTCCCCGACATGGTGAAAATTGGCACAAGTTGGCACGAGGTTCGTCCATGCGGACCATGCTGGAAACGAAAAGAGATTTGGATTACCTCTCCTTGTCTGTTTCGAGAAGTCGGTATTCATCCCACAAGCCGGGTGGGAAGATAGCTAGACAGCCTAGACTGGTGATGTGCCGCTTGAGACGGGAAGCCTAACGTGAATTGATTAACCCAGGAACATTGCATGAACAAGGGTGAACTTTATAGCGCCACGGCGGCGACATCGTGACAGCAAAGTATCAATGCAAGGCGCATTCCGGATGTGTCGCTGATATTGAGCAAGTTCAAAAGGTATCGTAATCCAGAAGATAATGTATGTTTTTGGTGTCGGCTGATGGATTGATAGTTTGGGGAAGGGAAAGGGATGGTGATATCGCGGAGTTGGTGGTGGCTGACCACGCTAACTTGAATTCAGACATGGTTGAAAGTAACCAATCACTGGCTCCCCCTTATTCGAATTATCCAACGCCGTTCATTCTTTTCCCCGCGGGCTGTTTCTGATTTTGATATTGCTTGTGCTAGTTGAGATTATGTCTGGGCAAAGCGTGCATTATCCAAATCTGAGTCGCAAACCTAGAACGTCCAAAGTGGTGATGCGAATGGTCGTCTCGCCCACGTGGGGAAGTCTGTACGACAACGGACATGCCAGACTCGTTTTCGATGGCAGGAATGTCTCAATAATTTCCCGGTTTATGTCAAGGCGAGGTTTTCCAGATGGAGGCATACTGGTAGCCACAGGTAGTACACGATCAGCCCAAATCAAGATCGGAAGATCAAACGCAGGCAACAACACCGGGGCATTTATCAACAATCGGCAAAGTAATGATGAAGCATTCTTTGGTGTCAGATTTAGTGTCAATGAATCTTCGATCATCATGGTTTCAGTGGTTTACAAGCTCTAGAGTGATCGCCCGGTAACATAGGTAAACCATATTTCCATGACTGGGCTCAAGGGATAAGGTGACAACGTATTTACCGACTACTATTGAATCATTGTGTCGATCTCTTCAGGACTTTTTCTCGTAAGCCGATCGAAGCCGTCACGTAAGTTCGTGAGCTCGTTTTCAGACTACCATCTAAGACATTTCCCTTAATTCCACAGAGACATACATATCACGCACGCCAACGCCACCACCACATAGGGCGTACGCATAAACGTGCGGATTCGATGGCGATATGGGGATATTCGGCGCTAGGTTTGCCGCGTGGCTTCACTATTAGCGTCTTTGGAGGCTTTTCTATATTGTAATGATGATGATGATGTGAAGAAAGCCGAGCGTGGAAATGAAGTCCCATTTGGCCGATAATCAGTGTACCAGCAAGCATCGTGTTTGGTCTCAGAGAAAATTTTGGCGTTGGCCACACACGGTTGACTGGTAAGTGATAGATGCACAGAATGCTGTTGAGAAAATATTTCAAATAGTTATGCGGATTTGCTTGCTCGAAAAAAGTATGAGATGAACAAAACGCCGTGCAACCATGTTCACTTCTACATCCACAAACTCTTCTCCCAAGGGCCATCAAGAATGGCGAATATTTCTAATCTACATTTCTTCATGAACTCCAATATACATTTCTTTGATCTTCCCTCTCACTCATTATTTAAAACTTCAATTATTTTCAGTTGAAACGGTCGACATAAAAAGAACTTACCTACAAAGCTAGTACAGCCTTCTCACAGTCACGATAGGTTTGGCTTAATCCCATTGTCAACTATCAGCTTTTCAGGTGTACTTTACTGACACTTGGCTATTCTGTTACTCGGCGGACGTATTTTGTCCTCATTACCAGATTTTACAACCTGCTTTCCATCTGACATTTTCCTTAGCACTTACAAGAACGTACCATCAGGTGCCAACATCCCTCCTTGATTCTCAAAGACACAAATCTCTGGAAAATCGAATCGAGGTCAAAAGTAACCTACGCTACGATCTTCAGGCAATACCTGTCCTTAGGCGGATTGGACAGCCAAAAGGAAATCAAATGTACGTACTGAAGAATGGCAAACGGAATAACGTACGTCTCAATCCTGAACTTCATATCTCCGTTAGCTGCAATGATTATGGCAGGGTTACTTGCACTTTCCCACTTGCAGTGCGTCCAGGACGCAACCGAAGCAGACTAGCGTTTATAGAATCAATACGATCGACGTGGGCAGCAGTGTAGGAGTCGCTCTAGGCTGTCAATTAGCGGGATTCCCCATGCAAGCCACGGATGATACGAAGACAAAGTCGCACTTTACTATATACGGATGTTTCCAGGAAACAGCCAGAGTAGGTTAGAAGTCGTGCTTTACTATATACGGATGTTCCAGGAAACAGCCAAAGTAGACTAGCTTCGCTGGCTTGAGTAGCCATTTGACTGGTACGTATCCGATTTCACTACTTGGAGTGCGTCCATGACGGAGCAAAAGTAGACTTCGCGTTGTTTTAATATGCACAGTCTGGCGAATAATCTCACGGCTCAGCGACATCTGGACCCTATATAAAGGACAATAGGTTAACAATGATCCTCAGAATCAACAAGTCCCCAAATCTCCACTTCGAAACCACCTTATACTTATCCACAAGTTTTCGGAGCTTCTTTGACAAGATGTGCGTCAAAAGAATCTACTACACCCGCCATCCATGCGGAGACATAATCGTCAGTCACACTGAGGTGGTACAGTGCCCATTGTACGGGCAACCCGGACATTTACCAGCGAGGGAGCAGGCTGGATCCAGAGCTTGTGGTAACAAGTGTGGAAAGCCGGAGTGTAAGAATCCTTGATGTGAGTTGCTGCCAAATGCGTGAGTGGAAGTACAAGTGTTTGCAGACCTGACATACACGCCCCAGGTTGCGGGGCCAACCTTATGTCACACGAGAAGCAATGGTATTGTCTCCACGACTGGATAGTCAGTGCTCATGGTCCAGGGATCTGTTTCTCTCTTTTGTCACTGTGAGAAGATGGTCTACTATCACCACTTAATGCTCCATACCTAAATTGTTTTATTTGGAGCGTCGCTGGCGTCGGTGGGTGCTCGTACGGCTCCGACAATATGATTCCTTCAGTTCATAATGATATATAAAAACAAACATCACAAAGCTGTCTCTTTCCACAATTGACGAAATATCTATGAACCCCCTCTGCACGTGATTGATCTATGCCAACCCCAGCCCCCGGTCCTTCGCACCTTGAAATCCTCCGTTCTATTGCAACCCTCAGCCCCTCTCCTAACCATGGAGGTTCTAAGCAACAGCGGACGCACCAGCATCATCTACACCATCTCCGACACTCTCGTCTGGAAAACCGTCCGACGGTCCCCCCTCAACGAAAAGTTCACCGCTGAAAACGAGCACGCCGCCCTCGTCGAGCAACAACTCCTCCATCGACTCGGTACCCACCCCAGCATCATCCAGTATATACACCACACCCTACCCCCTGCACGGATCCCTTCTGACCAGCCATCTCAGATATCACGGCCGCCGCGAAATCTCCGGCAAGCAAGGCCTCCTCTTCACCAAAGCCAACCTCGGAGACCTGCAATCCTACCTCGACAACCACAACAGCACCATCAGCGACACCGTACGTCGGAAATGGTGTCTACAGCTCGCCGAAGCCGTCGCCCACGTCCACGGGAAAGGAATCATTCATTCGGATCTAGGCGTCCGGAACGTACTTGTTCACTAGACGGGCGTCGCCGTCGGCGTGCTGCTTGCTGATTTCGGTGGTTCGAGGTGTTTGGAGCTGTCGTTGGACGGCCACCTGCTACCTGATTTCCCGTTCAGCCATCCGCAGGTCGTAGACGACACCTCACCAGTACTTGACCTGTTCAGCCTGGGGGTCCTTATGTACATTATTATGACTGGCCACTTTCCTTTCCACACAGGCGCTTCGCCGAGGAACGAGGAGTTCTGGACGTATCAGGAATACGTGGAGCAGAAGTATCTGAACGATGAGTTTCCAGATCTTGAGGGGATCATGTTTGGAGACGTTATTGAGGGATGCTGCCGTGAGCGAAGATTCAGGACTGCAGATGAGGTCGTTGAAGCGATGAAGGCGGAGATGGAGGATGTGTTCATGAATGGGTACAGCGAGGTTCGGGCAGGGTGATGACCGAGCCCGCATATGATACGATTCAATATAAACTCTGTGTTATGAAGAATAGCAGTAGTACAAATTATATCTTCATACAATGTGTGGTCAATTTCATGTCTGTCTTTGCATTTTCTGAACGCTGAACAACTGCATCCATGGTGGTGTTGGATGCAGCCAATCAGACTCGGGTGATGTCCTGGAGCTTGGACCATTCTTCGCTTCAATGAGGAAGTAGGATGGCATCGCTCGTCAGTGCGATCTACATTACAACGCTGCGCGATATCACATCTGCCCAATGTTTTCTCTCATCAATTCAGGGCGGCCACGAATCTCCCAGGTCTCACGCCTATCTTCAATACATTCCCTTCCAATTCCCGTGTCAGCTCGACTACCTTCATTATCAACAATGCCCCAGATCTCCGCCGGCGAAGACAAAGCTTCGATAGAATCCCAACTCGAAACCCTCCGCCAGAACGGCTGGGAAATCTCCGGAAAGGGCGGATTGCAAAAGACGTTCTACTTCAAGACGTACACCAAAGTCGCCGTAAGACAAAAAGCAAAAAAGACAAAAGTCCCAAATGGGGGCCCATCTGCGTCCGTTTTTTGTTAACGGGCCAGCATCAATCAGGATTTCCATCACGTTATCGCTACAAGATGTAAATCGGAAAATCACCACCCGACTATGACGACGGTATTGAGCTTCTCCCGCGCTATGTAATTGATGAAAATGCTGATGAAAAAATGCAGAGGGCGGGTTCGATAGACGTGCATTGGATAACGCATTCGCCGCCTGGACTCTCGCACAAGGATCCAAAAATGGCAATGTACTGTGATGAACAGGCAAGACATATTGGAACGACGGAGCCTAGTCAAGCGAGGAAATGTGGGCCGTGAGCTTCCGCGTTTTGATGGAAGCGTTTGTATGATAGCGAGATTGTCGTTGTAACTATATGATAGCACCTATTTTTTAATATAGGTCTCTCCCTCACAACTAAAGCCAAGGTCCTAGATATCACACCAACTAACAATCCCGCTAAACTTACTTCAAAAATTAGGCTGATACTTGCCATGCTTTCCCAACGGTATTTGATACTTAATGCCCTAATGTATGCACGTATTCGGATCAACTAGTTGGAAAGTCTATAGAGGGCCACGGGTGTCGCGTTTCTCCCTCCCCCTCTCCCTTCTAACCCATAGACATATATGGCAGGCAGACAGATAGGTAGCCAGGAAGATATGCCTTGAAGGTAGCAATGTTCCACAGGCGAACTTAAACATCACTCAGACCTCCATCATTCTTGTCCCATCATCTCTTCTTCTGGAGAAAAATCTATTCTGTATCGATGTAAAAAAGTCGATGGGAAAATCCCCGTTTGATTCCCCATTCATCTAACCCCCTTTACTTAAATTTTCTACCCCTCAAACTCCTGCCCAGGGAACACAATCCCATTCTGCCTTCTCGCCGCCTCCGTGATCTTGACAACCCCCCTACTAAGCGCCTCCCACTTCTTCACCCCCTCCCAATCCGCCGTCTGTATGATCCTCGCGTGGTCCGCCGCCTCCTCCTTCAAGTTCAACTCCGCGGGCTCTTTCGGGCCCGCAAGCTCCTCTCTCGTCGTGTTCTTGCCGGACGGGATGAATGTGACGGACTCGATGTCCGTGAGTGTCGGGGCGACGAGGACGCCCTTTTCGCCGTAGATTTCGACGGCGGGGGCGGTCGAGGTGAAGATCTTGGAGATGGTGAGGTTGACGGGGAAGGTGGGGTATTTGAGGAGGAGGTTTCCGGAGCCGTCGGCGCCGTCGGTCTGCGGCAGGATGTAGGGCACGTAGTCGACTTTGTCGGGGGAGCCGAAGAGGTCGACGGCCGCGGAGACGTTGTAGACGCCTAGGTCGACGAGGGAGCCGGCTGCGTATTGCCGCGAGAAGACTTGGGGTTGGCGGCCGGCGATCACGTCGTTGTATTTTGAGGAGAGTTGGCAGAAGTCGAGGCGGGCGCCGAGGATGGCGCCGAGTTTGGTGGAGATGGCGGATTTGAGGATCTTGAAGTTGGCTTCTTGCACGTGGCGGTAGGCTTCGATGAGGATGAGGTTCTTGGAGTAGGCGAGCGCGAAGAGCTCTTCGAGTTGCTTGAGGTTGGCGGTTGCAGGCTTCTCGAGGATGACGTGCTTGCCGGCGGAGAGGACCGTCTTCGCTTGGGAGTAGTGGAGACTGTTGGGCGAGGCGATGTAGACGGTTGTGATGCTAGGGTCAGCGGCGATGTCCTCTACGGAGGTGTGGACGTTGATGTTGGGGTTCGCTGAAGCGTATTTGGCTGCGAACTTCTTGCCCGTCTCGGCGGAGCGCGAGGAGACGGCAGAGAATAGCCATTCGCCTGTCGCGTGGGCACCGACGATGTACGAGTCGGTGATCCAGCCGGTGCCGATCACGCCAAAGGGAATTGGGGCCATGCTGGATGTTGAGTTGATGAGAAAAATGGATTGATGAGCTGTACGTGTGAGGGGATGAAGTTGGGATCAGGGGTTCAATTGAGTGTAGAAGTGAGTTGAGTTGGAGTTGAGAGAGATGAAAGATGGTGGACGTTCTTGATTCTTATAAAGGAGTATCGTGGCGTCGTTGTCGTCTTCGCTGTCGTGTTGTGAGACTAAACTCTCTGATTGATGAAAAAGGTAGTTGTAGTAGTTCGTGGTAGCTGTAGTAGTCCAATTTTGCCCCGCCTACATCATAGCTATCCCACTCTCCTCCCACCTCAACCCATGCAAAACGGCCCGATTATCCCTCTACGGAAAGCGACCACTTGCAAAGCTGTTAAAGATACCTCGTTGGGCATGGTGCGCCGACTTTTGCCACCTACGGACACTATCAACACCCTGAACCCACCTTATGCGCAACACCATCGTGGGGTCGATGTCGGGCGAAATGCATTGAAAAGAGTTTCGTTGGGGTGGTGAATGGCGAAAAACCACGTTGATCACTGCCGAGGTTCGTCAAATCTTCTACGGAGATTCCGGACTTTGGATTGGTAAGACGACGTCGTCCTTCAACAACTCGATTTTCGTTGGAATTTGGGAGGTTGAAGAGTCACAATGCGGCAAGTTTCATCCCATAGTAGCAGCACGCGATGTTGCGCATTGCGTGCTCCTAACCGCAGAGTCGTCACGGTTACCATCGTGATCCAGTGAGTCAGAGATCTGTTCATTGCATCATCGCATTCTATTCCCCAACTCTCTGCTCATGGTAAGTAAATTCTTCCATAGTCGTCAACGCTCAATCAAATCACGGTCACAGTTTTGTCATACGGGAAACGTTTCTCCAGTCAATGGTAAAGTAGAATTGCTATCGCTGTTGGTCAATTCCAATTGACTGGCTAATCCGACCGCTCGTCCTTCGTAAATGAAGAAGGAAGAAGAAAACAATTGCTCCTCGCTGTGCTCCTTGCTGTCGGAGGGTATCATGCTGATGTGAAGGATTCGATCTCGTTCGTCGTCGTGTACGGTCTTGCGTGTGCAATGATGCAGGCACGCGTGCATTCGTGGGAGCATAAACAAAAAGCTCTCCACCATATCGTATCGTGAAACCATGCTCCATGTCCCGTACACGGATAGAAACAATGGTTGAGGAAAAGGAAATAGAACATCGAAAATAGAAGAGAGAACACCACCCTTCGTGCTGGCTAATGAGCAGACGAAAGTCTGCGTGAAATAGAAAACCGCCGATAACGCCATAATATGCCTATCCCAATTGAAAAACTTCCGGTAATGCTGTTGTACAGGGAATACCATTACGGCATGTCCCGATTTTCTCTTTTTCTTTGGAGGAAAATCCACCAGACGAGAGTCGCTGTGTCAAGCGACCTTATGCCCTTTTGGGCGACTCAATCTTCCCAGATGGTCTCCAAGTCCAGGTCTCCTCGCCTTTCGGCACCGCAGACACTCCATCTCTTGCGAGCATCTCGCTTGCCGAACCCCAAGGTGCGTCTCTCCCCGGGAACATCCAAACTGGACCTCCTCGTTCCTTCCTCACCGTCCTTGTCGCCTTCCACGATGGCCCGCATCTTCGCGATGCGCTCTTCCTCGATTGCCTCTGCCTCGGCATCTGGGGTATCGGGGATAGTCTCGAGAGACGAAATGGAGGGACTGCGGGAGCGCATGGAGGTAGGGGTAGATGGCATCGAAGAGGTAACCGAAGATGAGTAGGTAGAGCTCGTGCCGGGGAACGGTTCGTTGAACTTCTGGGCCGAAAGAAGTGGGGAGCTGGGGTTCGACGTCGGCGTGCGAACGGCAGGAGAGCTGATTGCCGAGCCGAAGGGCACGGTATGATACAAGGGCGAAGCCGGACGCCTCCTGTTGGGGCGAGGAAGGGGCCCGTTGGATGCATACGTAGGGGACGAGTGGATGAGTGGAGTATAGGACAATCCACCGCTCGCCCGAGGGGTCAATTCCAGCTCGGCATCCTCGGATATATCGCAAACGCTGGGAGCACCTGAGTGAATGTACGAGTCCTCTGCCAACTTCATCGGGCTCCGGGTCCGCTTGGGAGAGCGGAGAGGAGAGGCCGGGCGATGGAAGGGTATGGGAGAGGGTGCAAGAGAGAGGTGGCCGCTGGAGTTTATGACCGAAGGCAGCGAGTGTGCGCGAAGCATGGGAGGAGCGCTGAGGGAGCTGGAGCTGCTGTGGGAGCGTAGGTGCGAGCGGGAGTATGGAGATCGGTTGCGCGGACGGGGACTGTGGGTGGAGAACATGTCGAGCGCCGAAGGGTCGGTCTGCGCGCGCGGCGTAGTGGGTCGTCGCTGGTGCTGGGAGGTGAAGCTGTCGTCAGAGGAGTTGCTCGTCTGGCGGCTGAGAGAGTTGAATTCGCCCATGGTGGAGAGAGAGGAGGTGGAAGTGCTGGAAGCGGTGGTAGGCTCTTCTTCAATGACGGGAGGGACCGTGGTCATGGCCTTGAGGCGCTTGATGATATCGGTGGTGTCGTCGAAGTTGTCGGAGCTCGTATCGGGGTTGGTCGCCGTGTTGCTGTCCTGGGGGAGTTGCCGGTGGGTGGAGGAGGCAGCAGTCGACGTGGAGGCGGATGAGGAGGGAGAGGGAGAGTTGGCGGGAGGGGAGCAAGAGGAGTCGGGGGTTGTCATGATGGATGAAGACGACGACGGGTAGTATACATAATAGTAGACTAGACTAGGCGGTAGGAGATGGAAGGGGAGTTAGGAGAGCGCAGGTAAATGAGGTGAGGTGGAGACAGGAGGAAGTGATGATATGAGGAGGATAGGTTGTTAGGTAGTGCAACTGCAGTGCATGTACCTAGCAGTAGCAGTAGTGAATGTGTGCAGTGTGCAGTGTGCATGTGCATGTGCAGAGGTAGTGCAAACGCAGTAACTAATGCATCCAGTAGTGACAGCGGTCGGGTATGGATTGGGTACGTATTGGGTATCGTGGTTGTAAGGTTGTGTAGTGGTAGTGGTGGACGTTGTAGAGATTATTGGTGGTAATCGTACCGTATCGGAGAGAGGGAAAGGGAAGAAGAGAACAGACCAGTCCAGTCTTGACCAGTCTTGACCAGAGCAGCTAAAAGGATGGGGGCATTGAGGGGACGCGGAGGGGACCTTGCGCGTTTCAGCCTCCGGAGAGCGAAGGTTGAAGTTTTAGCGGGGATGGGGTGGAGAATTGTGAGTGGCTCCGGAGCGTTGGTCGGGTTGTATTCCGTGTCGTATGGTGTCGTGTTGGGTTTATTGGAAGAGGATGGATGGATTAGTTGCGAGGACAAGAGTTGGATGGTGGATGGGTGGTGATAGAAGTGAGTGAGAGGTGGAGTGGAAAGATGAAGATGAAGAAGGTGAGGCTGTAGGTGGAAGTGGAAGAGGAAGTGGAAGTGGATGAATTGGATGATCCGTTCCTGGTGGCCGTTGGTTGGCGTCCAGTAGTGAGGAAGGTACGAGTAGTAGCTGACAATGTGGCAGGTGCAGGTGCAGGTCAGATACCCTCAGTCGGGAAGGAACAGCCAGATCTAGACAAGTCACGAGTTGATTGTCTTTACTGGTACTTGCCACTCCTAGTAATTAACTACTACACTACAAGTATCATCAGCCATATCCAACAAACGAGGGACCAACTCAACACATATATCACACAACTACGATACAACACATACACGATACACAATCACCACAGCAATCAAACAGCTACTCAAACATCTTCAACCAGCAGCTCGCAATGTGACTAAACCCGCCTTACCTACTAAAATGCCCTGCCTAACCCTACCCTACTGCCACCACCAGCGCCTGGCCCGGTCCCGTGTTTAGCGCGTCACGCGTCCTCGGCGTGTGCCCATCGTGCCCATCCCAATCCCAATAACGACTCCCCTAATACCTAATACTCCGTACCCAATACATACAATACTCCCACTCAAGAACCTCCCCTTGTCCCTGTCCGCCTGATCTTAATCATCACTGCTATTCCCACCTACCCTCCTTAAAATCTCCGTATCCAACATCAAATAAACAGCGAAGTCAATGCATCGAATTAATGCTCATCAATGCATCTCATGAAAACCAAACGCTGCGGACGGAAACAAATGCGTCCGAGAAAACACATCTTCTGTTTTGCCACCACTACGGGGGTACGGAGTATGTACAAGTACTCCGTAGGTACGGAAGGATAAACAAATCCCCACATATATTGAACCTATGTAGGTACATGTGTGCTGCAGGTTCCAGACACGGCGTCTTTGTTTGTATGCGTGGTCTAGACGCTGTGGTACAATAACAATGAACCACCTGGACTCGTGATAATTCACAAACAATGACAATAACAACGCTTTGATTCTTGACCTCTTTCCAATTCGACCGTACTCTGTATTGATAGACTAGATACGGAGTACTTCCACACTGTATTGTCGAGTCCACTCAGGAGACGGAATACTACACTTACCTACACTACACAGTACGAGTACCTGGCTAGCTGGACCCCTATGACACCCCATCCCCATCGCTCAACCAATCCACCCCAGCCCTCCACTCTTCCTCAGCTCCACAATATCCTTCTACGCTCTCAGCCTCTACCCAACATCATCCCACACCGAGTGATTAATTTAGATTAAAAGTACGATCGGGTATCGGGCATCGGCACTAACTGAGTCGCTAAACCGGATGTGTGTATTCATCGGGACGCTAGGATGGATTGGGAGGAAGATGGCACGGATGGTGAGGTTAGTGTACCAGAGATGGGAGACCCCTATTTTGGAGAGCTGTGGAGATGGTGATGTGCGAGCTTAGAGATTGGGTAAGGACGTCAGGTAGGAAGGGAGTTGGGTATCTTGGTGCCTGGTTGTCATTTCGAATAACTAGATGTCTGTAAGAGTCGGTGGGGCATTCAATTCATGCTATAGACGAGCATCCAACCAAGTTCAAGCATACTGTATGATTAAGAGAAACATAAAATCCACAACCTCAAATGCACCAATCGGAACAAACAACGATGTAATGCGTGAATTACCTCGTATAAAACCTCAAATCACAAGAAGTGACGAATCGGAGGATTGAGTTGGTCCAGGAGGACAAGGGGTTGAACAAGGGAGGGAGAAAGAAAGGGAGTAATTGACCCGACGGCCCGGAAGCTGGGTGGGAAAATAGAAACAAGAGCATTTGACCTGGATTATGGGTAGCTAGGTTGCAAGGGATTGATGAATTACTGAGTCGTAGAAAGGCGGAACGGGGGAAGGGCGAGTAGGGGAGATGGGAAGGGAGGTTAGGGGAATTAGGGGAAGTGGGTACGTTTTTGAGGTGTCTGTGCTGCGTCGTGATGCTGTGCAGCTATAGCTAAGTACTTATTTCTGAAGCTGAGGTGTATTCTTGGACCTGGATCATGTCAAGTTATTTAATCCAGAGACGAGAGTGCTATAGTGGTTGATGTTGTCAAAGTTGTTAATGCTAGTTAATTGTGATGGCGATGAAAGTACAGGTTGGACTCTCCTTTGTAGGGATGGACAATGTGGTATACCTTAACCTCCGCCCACTGCTTTGGCAAGTGTCCTCCATGAGGATGTATGCAAAAAGAACATTTTATCACAAGCCAGGAAATATTTCTTCTGATGATTTGACGTTAATTGCGCTAGGTTAGAAGACGAACGAAAAAAAATGTATCATGAGCTAATCTATACTTGATCGAAAAATGGAACAGTATTCGTCTACTGGCATTGTTCATTGAGCGTTAAAGATATGCATCTCTAACGCCTCCGCCAGTTTCGACAACACCTCCCTCCGAACAGCGTTTCTGAATTCTGGAAGTCTGAAATCTTCTGCTACGTCACACGCCATGTCACAGAAAAGACACGACTTCACTGCCTCTTCGTACTTCCTTCCGGCGTCTTGCAAGAGTCCTCTCTCGACAATCTGCACGGCATGGCCCCACATCGGTCCAAACGGAAATTCCTCACTGAGGACCATCTCCTCATCGTCCTCCAGATCTTCAATCTTTTTGTTGGTCCACAGCTCGATTAGCTGAATGGCAACCACGTACAATGTCCAATTCAAAGATGGCTCCTTCGAGATCGGCACTTCGCAGTCCTCTAGAACTCGACCATAGAAAGTAAAATATGGGCGTCTAACGGTCTCATGCACAGAGAAAAGATCGAGACACTGGTCAGAAAGCCCCACGTCGTAGATATGAAGAATACTGTCGACCAGGTCATGAGCCAACCGCAACCTTTCGATCCGAGTGAATTTGTTCATCTCACCCCCGAGGTGCTTTCCACCTTCGAAGAGGTACAGATGACCGAGCGTTCCATCCGCGGAGGCAAGTTTGGGTCTCTCTAGCTGGTAGATATGACAAGTTTCGACACATGAATCATCCATTCCGTCACCAGATAACAGCACCATAGCATTTGGCACCGTTCTCATGGGTTTGACGTTAGCATAGACAAGGTAGCTATCGTCGAGATGGACAATCCTACTCGACGCTTCACAGATTTGCATGCAGATCCAGCAGTCGTTGGGTGCGGCAAATTCAATCATTGAGCCAAGATACTTACGTGTATACGTAGTTGTGTTGGGAAAGTTTGCGAGAGTACCTGTGCATTTAGGACACAGGTAACGCTGACAGATTTCGCTTGGATCACGACTCGATGTTCCCGAGTTCAATATTTGTTGGGTGATGGCCCGCAACATTTCGTTGTAGAAATCAATGCTTCTCAACTGTAATTCAGTCATATCCCAATGGTACTGGACCTCCGAGAGAACAGACTTGTCGTGATTCCAATTGACTGGATCGGGAGATGTCGATCGTGGCTACGAGATATCAGCGAGATAGAGCAGTGACACTGGAGTGGTGTTTACAGTCGGAAGTAAGGCCATTCAACTACTGACTTACATTGCTCTTGTCTGAAGATAGGCAGTCTATGATCACTTCTAGCCTATGTTGCAAATTTTCCGTTGTGTGTAAATAGTCTTTATGTTGTGGTGAACAGTCCCTTATGTAGGCATTGAGTCTGTCGACTGTAACAAGGTCGACAGTGTTTTTCATGAACGCCAAGGGATCCGATGTATCAAGCGGTATGTTTATCGATAAAATTGCGGATGAAGTGAACATAAATATACTTTCTTGAGCACAGATCTTTCCGAAATGGACGCCCATTCCCGTTCTACAACCTTCGGTTTTTAATGGGCATTTTGATCCAACTATTTTTCGTAAAGATCTGAAAAGATTGATAATTGCGATTGTATGTTGAACGATCGGATTCTGAGCGATTTTCGTTTCCAGAGTTAGTCGTTCTTCCATGTCTTTCTTAGATCTTTGTTGTCGGGTCGATCTTTCTGCATCGGTAGCCTGGGCCTCTTGCAATGACTTGAAATGTTCAACAACAACGTTGTCGCCGGTGTCCTTTTCTGGTAGGTTGAGATTGCTCCAATCTTCCTCTACGTTGCATGAAGCTGCGTCAAGGGGAATCTCTGGCACGAGTGAGAGGCGATCGAAGTGAGGCGCCTCGCCGTCTGCTATGGACATAGAAGATTGTTCAACTAACGACTCCGGAAAACCATCGTTGGAACTACTCCGATTCAAATTTGAATTGTTACTCGAGTTGTTAGTGTCATTGATAACTTGTCGATCGGTGGAAGGTAGAGAAAAGAACGCAAGCGATTTAAGATGATCTGCAATATGACTGAGCAGCTGTTGTTGAATGTCTGCGTCCTTGCCCTGTGACAGTCCATGGGGTACCCGTTCACAAAGAGGACAAGCATTTCTATCTCTTAGTCCAGTGCCCCGACTGTGGCGTGCTAGGGAATTCACCCGAAGCTCGGAGATATCAGGATGCAAAGCCGTAATATGCTCTCGAAACTGGGCTTCATCATTGAACTCCTGCTGTTCTTCGTGATCGAGGTTACAAGCCCAGGTTGTCATATGAATCCGCTGGTACCAGGACCCGCCATGGAATGACTCCATGTGATCCGCCCACTCTCGCTGCGAGGAGAAATAGTGATGTGAGGTTCTGCACTTCTCAGATATGCAGACGTACGGCTTCAGATCTCCTTCGACATGCTTTCTGCGCAGGGTGTAAGTATTGGCTATCATAACATGCTCATATGATACCTTACATCCATCTAGTAGGGCTCAGACCTGCACATTCTAATGGCCTGGAACAAAAAGGGCAGACACACCAGCCGGGAGCTGTCTTATCAGGTTCGGGAAGTGGTGGGTAATCAATATGGGTTTCTTCTCTTGAAATCTTTCCACTAACACGGCTCGATATCACTGTCCGACTCTTCATTCTCCTACGTAATAGACTGCCATCTATTCTTGATGCTTGTGTCATGGATGGAGCAACATTAGAAAATGACACTCGCGCTCGTACTTCCCGGGGGACGAGATAGGGCGTAGTTTCAGGAGCTCCAGGTGGTGATGAATTCTCTTCCAAGAATCCCACGTTCGGTAGCTTCTCGGAGGAAGGAAACGAAACTTTTCTGTCATGTCGTTGCTGATATAAGAGCCGTTTTCGTCGAAGATATATCGAATATCCTAACTGGTCAGTCAATGACTTTGGTGCAGCGGGAAATCGGCTTCGTGCTAACGTAGACGCAAGTTGAGGAAAGTAGGAATCGTCTGGACGAGGATAGTGAACGTCGAGATGAGCAGCGGTCATTGGAATCGTCGATTTTTTGATGGTTGCTGCGAGCTCCAACAATGTGTCTAGGGCCATTTCGACTGCTTCCCAGGGCCTGCCTCCATAGACTCGCCATCTCTGTTGTATAGCCACCTCTTCGGAGATATCGTTTTTGATTCCATCGGAGGCAGTTACATTGGCCTCCTCGGTGGACTGTACTGCTGTGGAGGTTTAGTACTGTGCTATGAAGGACAATACCCTGGATACCTACCATTTCGAAGCCTTGCTGAGATAAGCTGCAGCAGGCCGATGATGGCGTCCTTCACATCGCCGTAATCCTGCAGCCGGTCATCGAGTGCTAGACCATCGCGGCCCTGGACACCCAGGTATTTGCTCCAAATGCTCAGTTTCCAGGATAACTGATTTACGAAAGTTTGCTCTTGCGATTTCATGTTAGAAGAAACATAGGTCTCGAACAACTCCGAACATTGTAATAGTTCGCCAAGGATGCTTCGAGGTTGGATATTCATAGGTCCTACAGCTGGATCCATGTCGTATTTACCGTATGTCATAGGTTTGCAGTGTTTGGGGTCAGTCAGTCACAAGCGCGAAGTACCGGAGTATGTCAATGAGTAGATGAGGAGTCAGGTCCAGATGGTATCACAGTACTTGCCAAGAATTCCCCTTCCAGCAAGGGGCATTTCGCCGTCCGTTCCACGATCTACATGACAGTTCTTTCATCAATCTCAGGTCTATCCCCTCTCGCTACCATTTGCCCACTACATCTTGACAGGTCACGACTTAGTCTTCCGCGTAGCTCCATCCAAATCAGCAGAGTTTGGTCGGACAACACGCACGGATAGAGCGCAACCATGGCACCTGCCTTGGTAATGGCAGATGAAGAAAGCTGTGACATTGGATCAACCCAAGTACTTCTTGCCACAGATCTTCAGCTTCATATCCAGTTCCTCAAAGACATCCATCACTCTTTCACGGAAGCCCTGACGCCTGAGAACAACGACGGATGCAAGCCCTTCATTCGAGCAAAACTCGCCGAGATTGGGCTCCTGATCGGCCCATTAACTGTTCCTTGTGATCTGACAGACGTCCCGTTCATTCTAATAGAGCGATGCTTGAGATATCTCCACCAAACTCTGAATATGCTGGAAACACTAGTGAGCCCTGTAGCCCCCGCTCATAGCCTGGATAATCGGCCACGAACAGATCAATCAGACGCTGATGTATTTATCCCAAGTCATAGGCCTATTCTTTGCTAAACTTTCCCAGGCCCGGTATCCAAACTTGATGATGCTTCGGGACTCCATGTCTTTGCAATACCGCTCCAACCAGACGAATAATCGAAGTATTAATGACAGACCTCCAGCACAACATTTGCCCGCTCTAGTCATCAACTTTTCCCTGAACTTCGAGAAAGAAAAGAAACTGGTCGAAGTAATGACGCAATTCATCGCTACCCTGAGTCGAGTGCTTCCTCTCCTCAACAAAAACGGCATTCCCAATGCCATGGTGGATCAAGGTCAGGCCAGGAGAGATGTCCACGTCGCCAAGCAAGCACAAACCATCTGCCAACAGTTAGATCTCCTTCTGCACCTCATGTCGAGTAATCTAGGCCCTTGTGGTTTGGAACACACGGCAGGCATCGAGCTATCAGACTTCTTCGATACGAATTGTGATATTCGTCTATTACTATCGACATGCACCGATGAGGAGCCCCAACGAGTTTGGTATCCGATACACTGTAAACGCCACTGGTAAGCCCTACAACCCCCATTTTGATGAATAGGTATTGAAAATAATACAACAGTGAACCTAAAATGAGTATCACAGAGCCTTTTCGCCTGTGCCAAAGTTTGCAGAAATCCAAACCACGCTTGATGCCTGTTCATCTGACATATAGTGCCAACACCATCTCGTCCTCAAAGAATCGAGGACGCGCGCGACTGAACCGGGAGGATATCCTGAGTTCCTTCACCACGCTGTCCAATCTCATGAAAGAAGAGAGCAATGCTACACATAAGGCGATCCTTCGACGTGGCGAAAGAAGACGACTCCAATGCCTGCTAGCTTCAAGTCTACTATATTTGTTCAAGAATGCATGGTTTGAGGGGGTGTGGAATCTCGATGGGATCCTGTTCCCTTCAATCACCAAGCCGTCAAAATTCGCAACCCCATATGCGTTTGGACGACTCAAAATCACGAGTAGCATTGGAGAAAATCCCAACGACACCGAAGACTGGGACGTTGGAATCTTCATGGCGAGCTTTGGACTGCTCTTACTCGAAATAGAATTCCAGGAGCGCCTCGAACTCTCTGAAGAAGAAAAACATGAGGAATTCGGAGTCGAGATCGCGCTTGACCGCTACATTAAAGCGTACGAGGGCGACATCGAAGACCCGCTGTTGAAAGTCCTGCTCGTCTGTCTGGATTTCAATGCCTTTGTAGACGACTTGGAGGATCCCTCCCTGCAAGAGGACGACCTGAAATCCCGATTGGTCATATACCAAAACATACTCACGCCGATAAAAGACATGCTAATCATTGGCTTCCCTGAAATCGCCTCAAAGATCCCGGACATCCAGCAGATACAAGATCTGAGTTCAAATTGGGGCATAAAGCCATCACCTGTACGGAAACAGACGGCCGCGAGCATGGATGTCTCGTTCAGGGCAAAGACAGAATTATCCACAATCAACAAGGAGCCAAAGTCGACAATTGCATCCACTACCCGTTCACGACCACCAACAGTACCACCCACAGTAACCGATCCGGACACCAACATTGTCACACCACATCACGACTTTAGAGGCTCTATCCCACGACATTGCGACTACCTCACTGAAGACTCTGTCCCCTGGATCGCAACGACCCGCCTCGGCCACGGCTACAACACGATCATCGAAAAAGTGCACCTCAAGCCCAAAACCCCTTCACCACCCCAATTCTATGCACGGAAACTAGTCGTGTGCCCCAGATCCCCGCAGGCAAAAGCCCGCTTCCTTCACGACATCAGCACAGAAGCCAACATCATGAAGTCGCTCACCCATCGGCACATCGTCCGCCTGCACTCAACCTACACCCTCAAGCACGAATTCGCCATCATCATGAGCCCCGTCGGAGACATGAATCTTGCCGAATATTTCGCCAGCGACACGGAGCCAGGCTCGCAGTCGGATTCTCCCATGCGCGGCTGGTTCGGCTGTCTCGCCATGGCGTTTGCGTATCTGCATGCTAAGAAGATCAAACATAGGGACGTCAAGCCTGCGAACATACTCATAAAGGGGTCGGAGATCGTGCTGGCTGACTTCGGCATCTCGAAGGATGCGTGGGAGGACATGTCGACGAAGACGACGGGCCGCGTGGATCGACGGACGGAAATGTACTGCTCGCCCGAAGTCGAGGAGTGGGATGAGCGGGGCAGGAGTTCGGATGTCTTTTCGTTGGGATGCGTGTTTCTAGAGATGGTCACACATCTTCTTCGGGAACATGGGTGCACGGTGGAGAGGCTTCATCAACAGGTCACGGCAGAGTATGGGGTCAGAAGTTATTGCAAGTCGATGGAAAGAGTTCTACATTGGATACGGGAACTCTATTCCGCCGCGAGGCAGCCGCGAAATGTGTACGGTGCGGGCCGCGGGCGGGTAGATGGGGCGAGGATTCTACCAGCTCTGGAGTGGTGCCTCGCCATGTTGCTTCCTGATCCGAATCAGCGGATCACTGCTGAATTACTGGCGGCCATCATCGCGCGTACAGACACAAAGGTCGGCACGATGAGCGGAGCACCTTGGATTGGGCCTTGTTGCGGGCACGACGCAGAGCGTCTCTTGCCCTGTACGCCTCTATCTTTTGAATGGCCTTTGGAGGCCAATGAAACGATCATCAGCTGGGACAATATCGGATCCAACATTAAGATTCCAAGGATGGAAAACGCCGTAACCTGAATCGTTCCTCAATCGCCCACGACATTACTTCGCCTCTCCCTCTCCTTCTCGATCACCCTGCCGAGCTCCTTGAAGTCAACCGGCTTCGTCATGAAGAAGTCCACCCCGGAGCTCCATGCTTCCAGCCTCGCGCTCGCCGAGGCAAGACCCGTGAGAGCGATGATGTATGAGCGGGGCGCCTTGTGCTTCTGTTCGTACTCGCGGATCCGTCGTGTAGCCGTCATGCCGTCCATAACTGGCATGGATAGATCTGTTCATAGTTCAGATGAGTTAAGACGTGACTGGGTGCAAAAGAGAACTTACCCATAAGGACGACGTCGAATCTACCACGACGTTCTTGGTAGGAGAGCAGAGCTTCGAGGCCGTTGGTGGCTTCCGCGTATGGCGTCGAGCGTTTCCTCAGGAACGCTACGAGGAGCTGATCGTGTATTTAGCAAAACGATCTGCAAAGATAGTGTATATGCCTTATCTCACCTTCCTATTTATAGGATTGTCGTCCGTGATTAGTATGCGTGCGCCCTTCTGTATCTCGTTTAGTGATGGGGGTGTAAGCCCTTGATCTTCCACTGGTGTGGCCTTAGGCGTTGTTTTCACCGTCGGGGTATTAACCTCTGCCTCATCGTCCTGTGCAACTGGGAACTTGAGCGACGAATTAGAAGAATACATCTCAGAGCTTCTGCCAAAGTAGTCCGAGCCGCCACTGCTTTCGACCGAGCCGAGACTTTCGTCCCTCGCTCTCCTGGATAGACTGACGTGTGGGCTTTGTAATGGCGTGAACGGCGACGGGACGTTCTCCTCGGGGAGACCGAAGCGGTTTAGGCAGCGGTCGATGATGTAGGCTAGTTTGTATGGTCCGCAACTTTGGAAGGCATGCGTTAGTGCGTGTGGTGGTAGGGGGAAGTACGGGCGTGAAAAACTTACGGCTGCGTCATGATTTCGACTACGGACTCCTTGTTGCTAACGCGGACGTCCGATCGCAACGTCGACGCCTCTAAAGCATCCAGCGCGATGAAGATAGACACCGGAGCCTTTCCGTCCGATCTCCTGTGCTGCCGGATGGCGTTGAGGTACGCGAAGGAAGGTTCGGGGCAAATAACGAGGTCTGCATCGTGGCCCTCCCACTCTGTCGTCTGGACGACTTTCATGCCCAGAGTCTCGGTCAGGGTTTTCGCGAGAGCGTCAACGAAATGCGACATGCCCTCGACGTCCTGGGGTGCGCCGGAAGTTTCAGTCGGGGGCTCGTATTTCCGGTGGAGGATGCAGATGCGCTTGTTCTTCAAGCGGGGCAGGATCGAGAGGAATTGCTGTCGTTGGGGAGACACTTCGTAGATGTTTTCCGGTCGTAGAAGGCCCATCTTGATGGTCATCTTCGTGCCGACGGATTGGTCGCTTTGGACCTCGATTTTTCCGCCAATGCTCTCGATAATTTGGCGTACGATGCTGAGACCCAGGCCGGTGCCGCTCGAATGTGGGTTCTCCTGCGTGAAGGGTTCGAAGATCTGGTTGGCGAGAAAATCGGCACCTATGCCTGATCCGGAGTCTGTGATGGTTAGAGTGATGACGCGAGATCTGTCGTTGTCTTTCTGTGGTTCCCCTGCGGATAGCTGGACGTGAATGCGGCCGCTATGCGTGTATTTCATGGCGTTGCCGAAGATGTTCATGACAATACGCCTCCAAGCACCGATTGGAAGACAGTACGACCAGTCGTCTTCTTGTGACAGATCAAGAACGATGTAGCACGTTTTCCGTCGTAATACGTGATCCGGGGAAGATGTCGTAGACTGTCCCGGTGATACGTCTGGTAGATCTCCATGCCCACCTACAACCGAGAGATAGGATTGCCCTGAAAACATTGCCTCCACAACTTCTTCTGTAACGATGCCTAGGTCGAGGCCGGGAGCATTGGCAGGCCAGGAATTTGGCCTCAGGAATCGATTTGGCTTCGAGTATATGCGTATGGTCTGTGTGCCCTTCAATTTCTTGGAGGAAGCAAGCGGCCTCACGTCGTTCATTTTGGCGTGGTCTAGGAGATGGTTGATTGTATCGAGCAGCGTTCTCCCACACGCAGTAAGTGAGTTCAACATCGTGCTCTGGAAGGAGTCTAGAGCCGTCTCGTTTAAGAATTCGAGAGTGCCTAAGATGCCGTGAAGCGGTGAGCGAAGCTCATGCGACACAGAGGCCATAAAAGTGGTCTTCTCCCTCGTCGTGGCCAACGCATCCAGCCTTGATAGCTCCGTCATTATAGAGCTTCCGAAAACCTTAACATATGACATATCCACGAGGGGGGAGAGTAATCGATCGAGGCTGTTGCTCCAACAAAGACACCCAGCAAACCATCTTGAGCGCTCATAATCCCACAGGGGAACAAACAAAACACTTCGCGCATGTGGTAGAGCGGTTCGCAAAACCTTGGAGGAACGTTTTAGACGCATTGCAGTGTTCTTGCGTTTGGATGCTTCTTCTGCGGCGGCTGCATCTGTCGAAGCACTACTTGACGTGTCAGAATCTTCTGCCGAAGAAGATAGAAGTTCGCCTTCGTTATCGAAGTTGAGAACCTTGCCGTTGGGGAATTGGCGAAGAAGGCTAGTGAAGTCCACCTCGAGGATAGGTTGTAAATCACCACCAGCCAATTTTGCGGCCTTAGCCGATATAGCGCAGGCAAGCACCTGGCATTTCTTTGGTGAGTCTGATTTGGATGACTGATTGGGCCGATAGACGAAACTACGTTGACTGCCCAAACTGCTGCTTTCACTGGATTTTGAATCGTTGGATTCGCCCGAACTACTTAAACTTCCCAAATGAGGGTCCGTGGCTCGTCCGTGGTCACGATCTCGCACGCCCGCGACGGAAGCATCCAGGAATGCTACACCATCTAGGTCGCTGGACGCTTGCATGATAGTGGCTGCTCGTGCGAACATTGATTTCGCATTTGCAGGTAAAATGCTCTCCTGGAGCCTTCTCACAGTGCTGTGTCCGCTGTGTCCGCTGCGTGAGGTCTGAGCGGCGGGCTTCGCACCGAAAAGCATACGAGTTGTAACTGTTAGGTCTGAGCTGTTACTAGTAATGCTTTCATGGTCTTGTGGACCTAGTTCAGGGAGCCTTTTCGCACTGGGTTCGAGATTGTGCTGTGACTGGTCAATCGTGTTTTCTGCTTCGTAATTATTGGGTAGTTCTGCACTGGGGGGTAAAGCCTGCTCAACATCGTCTTGGAAAGGTTGTAGAGTGCTGGCTCCATCTGAGAAGGAGATAAGCCCCCTAGTTAATTGTTCGCCATGGCGAAAATGATTCTTGATGGTATACGTGTCGAGGTACTCGGCAATGGTTATCGCGAGGTCCAGAAGGACGATCACATCTGCCTCCGACAATCCGTCTCGGGACTTATCATCGTGTATGCATAGAGCACCGACGATTGCGCCAGAGGGACTGACTAGTGGTATGCCGGCATAGAAGCGCAGGTGTGGTGCGTTCTTGACGTAGTCATAATTTGAGTAAATTTCGCTCTGGGACATATCATTGATGATGACCACTGGATCCTTCCCTGTGACCGAAGAGGCATCAAGGTTGAGGACGCTCTCGCACAGAGCCAACGATCTAGGAATACTGACACTCCCGAGCCAAAGGGAGTTGTGCACATCAGAGCGCGAGCTCGCACGCAAACTCAGCTCCGGGGTGGCTTCTGCGAGGATATGTTGATGCTGTTTGTCTACGAGCGAGATCATCGCCCGCTTAGCTCCTAGTCGTGTACACGCCAGCTGCGCGAAGGCCGTCAAAGCCGAGTCCTTGGAGGGGGATGCAACATGATCCTTTGGGAGTCCCCAACTGTCTGGCGAGGTCCCTGTGAGCTGGACACTAGGGAGGTCCTTGAAAGCGAGGCTGTAGAGCAAGAAGACATCGCGCAGTCGTTTCGCCTCCGATACGGATCGAACAGGGCGGGACGAGTGTTGCATGGTTCTGTCTGTCGATCGACGTGAACGGCGGCAATAGAGCAGCCTGAACGTCCACGGGCCGACGTTGGACAACTTACTCGTATGTTCTAGGCCTTGTGTTGGGTCGGGGAGAGGAGCGTGGCAAGGAGGGGGAAGGAGGGGATGGGATGGGATGTTTAGAAAAGAGTGGGTGGCGAGTAGAGGTGGGATCTCCAAACTCCAGCGGATCTAAGGATGGGCATTTTCTTAGATTCCCATTCCCACATGGACTAAAATCGCATGCCGCGCATGCCCATGCTAAGAGTAAGATGATCGTAATCGTGTTCTAGAAAACGATTCGGCATGGACTGATCTAGATGTAAGACCCTGAAATGTGGATACTTTAAATACTTGTACCCGTATATGGATGTATGCCAACAGCCACAGCAATGTCGATTCACATCGAACCAATCAGAGTGGTGGCATCGTGCCTTTCCATCCGTTCTGCTTGGCCACGTGATCGGCCCCGGGTTCCAACTACAACAAACATATCATCGCATCGTAAGACAGGAAGGGACATCTTCGATGTTTGCAGCGAACATCCTGAGACACCACCAGAGGTTAATCATACCAACGTAGTAAGTCGACGCTGACTCCAAATTAGAAACCAGCCGTCTCTACTATTACTTCGTTTCATCCACCTAGTATGTCGCTTTCAAAGATGGGCATCTTTCGTCCTATACATGCTGTTGTTTACAGCAGAAAATCTCCACCTGTGCGATGCAAAATCTCATCATAATACCCTTGAAACGCCAACCAACCCTTCTCTGGCGTCCCAACCTGCTTATAACTCTCCTCCGCCTCCTTGTCAGGAATAATCCTCTTTGTGTTCTCCGGATTCCCAGCACACGCGGCATCCACGAGCAACTGCGCTTGACACGTTTTCTCCAAACTGAGGAACCAAAATGCCGCCTCATCCACCGTCTCCCCCACAGTCAAGATCCCATGATTCTGCAAGATTGCCGCCTTTCCGTCGCCTAGCGCGGAAGCAATGCGCTCCCCCTCTTCCGCCGCGAGCACCACGCCTCCGAACTGCTCGTAAACTGCGTGCGAGTTGTAGAAGCGGAGCGAGTCCTGAGTGATCATGTCGAGGGGGCGGCCGAGGGCGCTGAATGCCTTGCCGTACGTGGAGTGTGCGTGGCATGCGGCGTGGACGTTGGGTCGCGCCCGGTGGATCGCGGAGTGGATTGCGAAGGCGGCGGCGTTGATGGGCTCGTTACCTTGGACTACTTGGCCGGTTTCGTTGACGAGGATTAGGTCGGAGACGCGGAGGAGTGAGAAGTGCTTGCTGAGAGGGTTGAGCCCTGTGGTTGTTAGTTCGACCCTGGGCGAACATAGTTATAGTGACCCGTCGCACAACGACGAAAGCCGCAAGAAACGTACAAAAGTGATCCGTGAGAATCGGATCTCGAACACTGATATGACCCGCCACGCCCTCATCAAACCCCCTGGAAGCAAACACCCTATACGCAGCGGCAAGATGCTGTTTCCTATACAAACGCTCGTCCTCCGGTGTCTTGAAAGTAGGGTATCTTCTGATTTGCAGTGCTTGGCCAGAAGTCGTTCGGCCCATAGCGGCCACAGTCTGGTTTCCTATGTCCTCGGCATGGTCCACTCGTCGTGCTTCCGCGATGCTAGCTTTTGCGGTGGTTGATGTGGTGATTGTTCGAAGAAATGGGCTATGGAGAAGTGGTGGAGAACGGAAGGGACAAAGTCTCGGGCAGGTAGCGCGTGTTATATGTCTAGATACTTGTGCTCTTACGGAATTCATCGTGAATTGAATATTGCAAATAGTAAAGATCTCATTGGGGTTGTGACGTTCTTCTTCGGTGTTTATTATCTCGGATAACCGTCGTTTCGGGTAGAGCTTCCCCGCAATGATCTGCACGCTTTCCATCCCGTCATTGGACACCACGATCTCGCAATTGGGCGATTCGGCAACGTCAACTCTGTTCATCATAGCAGGGATGGATGGTACATTGTTCGGCTTGTTCACAGTAAGGGATCTAGACCAAAAGTAATGAATAGAGATTATATTGGGGTATATCATGTTTCACTCATAAATAGTCCTAACAGGAGTGCCTACTTTACTTTGCTACACCTTACTGTAGCAATAATTACTTTGCCGACTGAAGCAATCATTGAGAAGTTGTCCTCATACGAAGCTTCCAGTATCCAAACACTGATCAAGGGAATCCACACGCTAGATGCTGTAATGCATTCTAGAGGCCCGGTCATGTAGTTGTTCTCAGTTTCTTCCGTGGCTGCGTTGCCAATCCTTTCATGAGCAAAAGAGGAATGATATCAGTCTGCTTTGTTCGGCTGATATGTTTACGGCAGACCGGACATTGAGATCGTCGAGGCTCGCCGGGTGCGGAGCGTTCTTCGCCAGCTATCAGTGCTTCCATTAAGCAGCTGTGACAGAAAATATGACCTAGGTGAAAGTATATCAGTAAACTTCATACCAAACTAGAGCCAGCAAAAAGCGAGACGTACCACATGACGTTGCCGTTAGATCAGTCGGTGTATCCATGCAAATGACACAGGTGAGTGTGTTGAAGTTTGTCGCCTTCTCCTCTGGCTTTTGCTGTGCCTTGACTGCGTCCGCTCTTTGCTTGTCCAAAGCCTCCTTGAGTGGTGTATTCTCCTCGGTTAGGTCAACCTCTCCGATTTCGACCGTACTTGCTTTCTTGTCCTTGCTCACGGCGGGCACAGCTCCCCCATCTGAGCGTTTTCGACGTTTCGCCGATGGTCCAGCGCCCCCAGACTGGGCACTCAATCTCCTCGCAGGCGGATCCGGATCATCAGTTAGATCCACGACCCCACTGTTCCGACGCGATGCCCGCGACGATCTTGCAGGCGGCATGGAGGTATCTGAATAGGAAGAGTTTTGGGTTGCCCCGGACACGTCTGCAGCTGGTCTTCTCGAGAAGTCGAAATCTTGACGAAAGACTGTTGAAGGAGTGAAGAAACTAGAAGAGCTCGCCGGGGCCGGACCTGGGTTCAGGATTTGATCGAGAAAGGCAGCAGATCGGGGCGGCGGGAGCGGAGGCGAGGGAGGCGTCGGCGAGGGTGGCAAGTCCACGATGTCGTCGAAGGACCAAAGTGCGGGCGAGTCGGTCGAAGAATTAGGTTGGCCCTGGTTAGGGTTGGTATTTGAGCTGTCGTTGTTCGGCGCAGAAAACTCGATGGGTCGGGGAGGAGGGTTGTTGGGGTCGTTCAGTGAATGGTAGTCGGACATGGTGAGATGAAAGTACAATACGCCACTGATTGGTCGTCCAGGTTCACCGCGATAGGAATGATGGAATCACTGCAAGAGTGAAGGCTGATCTGCTCGGAAAGTAGCAACAACGGCACCGGAACCTGGACTTGAAAGTGCCATGACAATGAACAAGCCAGGACATGCGCGCAGGGCAGCCGATGCGCTTGTGCCTCCCGCAGTGATCGACTTCGGCTCGAACGGGCGTTAAGTGCAGCTGTTAGATGCTAGTACTCGTACAGTTAGTGAGGTCGAGCGCCACATTTGCGCCACAGAGCCCGGATCATATAATTTCCGCCAAGCTTATCGAACTTTCCCTTGCACTGATTCCATGACGCATGTGACCTTCTCCGCACTCTACGATACGGCACCTAACGGGAGGGAGCACATTCAACTTTTTTTTGTCTTTCCTTATACACAGTATACCTGTTTTAATACAACCTCCATACAGTTTCGGAATGAGGTGACCCGCAGTTCTCAACCTAATCTTACTATGAGCTGCAGTCACCGCGGAACCTACGCTGCCAGACGGATTGTTCAAAACCGCTGCTCTCCAACACCTCTCACACCAATATCATATATATCCCAACGAAGTCTTGCAACAGCACGAACTCGATCTCAAAAAGATACCAATGCGGTGCCGAAGAGCTTGCTAGGTACTTGCGCCTTCCTTCTACGGTCAATGCGACAACTAACCATACCAAGTTCCATCCGAAGCTCGCTTCAGCGAGATAGGGGTGCAACAACTCAGCAGCCATGTACATTCCCAAGTGTTTCCCGGCGCTTCTACACGGCCGCCTCCAGAGCTCGTAGAACTCTCCAAGGATCATCTCACGCGCCATGACCTGCTGGGGAAGAACCAGGACTCCACCCCACCCGTGGGGTTCGATATGCCCACGCTCCAGGGTGCGACTCTCGATGAGCACTTCTATAAACTTGGAATGGATGCCGCCGAGCCATACCTAAGTATGGCGAAGAAGCTTGCATGGGCGAATCCTCCTCCTAAACCTCGAAAGTGGCTTGCGCGCAGCGGGTGGACCAAGTATAACAGCGATGGGACGAGCGAGGCAGTGGATGCGCCGGATGAGACAATGCTCACCTTCGACACAGAAGTAATGTGGAAAGAGACTTCTTTTGCTTGCATGGCTTGCGCCGTCAGCCCGACAGCATGGTACGCATGGATATCGCCCTGGCTGTTAGGAGAATCAAAATCGGACCGTCATCTTATTCCTTTGGGAGACATATCGCAACCGCGGATCGTCGTAGGGCACAACATTGGTTATGATCGGGCACGAATCGCCGAGGAATACGATATCAGGCAGTCCAAAAATGCATTCATCGATACCATGTCCTTACATGTCGCTTCGAATGGGATGTGCTCAAGACAACGGCCCTCGTGGATGAAGCATAGAAAGAGTCGGGAGCTACGGGAAAAAATCGCTACGTCGGAGGAGAACGCGGACCTTGCTCACCTTTTGGATTCTGGGGCATTGCCTGACGAAGAGGAGGAATTGTGGATAGGCAGAAGCGCAATCAACTCGTTAAGGGACGTGGCAAAATTTCATTGTAATATCACCATCGACAAGGCGCGGCGCGAATATTTTGGAGAATTGGACCGAGAAGGTGTAAGAGCAAAGCTGGACGAATTACTCGACTATTGCGCCGCAGACGTCGAAATCACACACCGAGTCTACCAAAAGGTCTTCCCACTGTTCCTGGAAACATGTCCTCACCCTGTCAACTTTGCCGCACTCAGATTCCTAGCCGCCGAGATTTTACCCGTCAATGAGACTTGGGACGCGTACATTGCCAATGCCGAGGCGACTTACCACCAGCTAGAGGATGCTGTGAAGGAGCGTCTTGTTGGCTTGACAGAAAGAGCTGTAGAAGTGAAAGACCAGCCCGAAGTTTACCAGAATGACCCTTGGCTCAACCAGCTGGACTGGTCCGGCCAGGAAATCAGGATGGTGAAGGGCAAGAAGAAAAACGACCCTCCAAGACCGGCAGCTCGCCAGAAGAAGCCAGGAATGCCGAAGTGGTATAAGGACCTGTTCACAAAGAATGACGGACCAATGAATCTGACAGTTCGGACACGAATAGCGCCAATATTGCTAAAGCTCTCATGGGACGGCAATCCACTCGTCTGGTCCGATAAGTATGGGTGGACCTACCAGGTGCCAGTGGATGAGATGTTTGCATACAACGGAAAGGGAATGAAAGAGCTTGATATGTCCGAGGAAGAGAACCCACGACTACGCGACGACACGAAGCATGTATACTACAAGATCCCGCACAAGGACGGCCCTCTTGCGCGATGTGCAAACCCTCTTGCAAAAGGTTATTTACAATATTTCGAGAAGGGAAAGCTTACCTCAGCATATGAGTATGCTAAAGAGGCTCTGGAAATGAACGCATCATGTTCATACTGGATAAGTGCGAGAGATAGGATAATGTCTCAGATGGTTGTCTACAATAAGGAAGTTCCGAACGCAATAGCGTTGAAGTCAGCCTCAGACAAGGGACGTGGAAAAAAGGTCGGCTTCATCTTACCGCAGATTATTCCCATGGGCACAATTACCAGACGTGCTGTGGAAAACACGTGGCTCACGGCCAGCAATGCTAAGAGTAATCGTGTCGGATCAGAGCTGAAGTCTATGATCCGGGCTCCAGAGGGGTACTGCTTTGTAGGTGCCGATGTCGATTCTCAAGAATTATGGATTGCAAGTTTGATCGGCGATGCTACCTTCCAACTGCACGGCGGGAACGCAGTCGGCTTCATGACACTCGAGGGTACGAAGGCAGCAGGCACAGATCTACATTCTCGGACGGCAAGCATCCTCGGCATCTCACGAAACGACGCGAAAGTATTTAATTATGGACGTATCTATGGAGCAGGCCTGAAGTTTGCTTCAACGCTTCTACGACAATTCAACCCTTCCTTGACCGAGCAAGAGACGTCCAAAACAGCCAACAACCTATACCAGAATACGAAGGGCAAGAAAACAACGAGGAAGCAACTCCACGAGCGCCCGTTCTGGAGAGGTGGTACGGAATCGTTCGTATTCAACAAGCTCGAGGATTTCGCAGAGCAGGAGCGCCCACGTACTCCCGTCTTAGGAGCCGGCATCACCGAGGCATTAATGAGACGATACCTTTCCAAGGGTGGTTTTATGACTTCTCGCATTAACTGGGCTATTCAATCTTCTGGAGTCGATTATCTCCACCTTCTTATTGTAAGCATGGAGTATTTGACCCGTCGGTACAACTTGGATGCTCGCCTGGCGATCACAGTCCATGATGAGATAAGATATCTAGTTAAGGAGAAGGACAAATACCGTGCAGCAATGGCCCTCCAAATCGCAAACGTGTGGACGCGAGCCATGTTCTCACAACAAATGGGCATCAACGAGCTTCCACAATCGTGTGCCTACTTTTCGGCCGTGGACGTCGATCATGTCTTGAGGAAAGAAGTAGACATGGACTGCGTGACTCCAAGTCACAAGGACAAGATCCCGCATGGAGAGAGCCTTGACATCATGGCTCTTCTTGAGAAGGGTGAAATCGCACGTTTGGACCCAGCTATCATTCCCAAAGATCCTCCGCAGGTGGAGCAATACTCAACCACTTACAAGCCCCGCGTGCCCGTCATGGCCGCCCTCGAAGAATCATCGCCAAACACCTCCACAGCGCTAGCCTACCTCAAAGCTCAGATCACGGAAGATGACAAGGAGCTTCGCGAAGTAATGAAGACCGTTCGTCCCGCCCGGACCCGTTCATCTACGACCCGCAAATCCAAGCGTTCCGCCGAGGACGAGGAAATCGAGAACAGCATCCTCCACTACCAACAAATGGCCAAGCTCCTACCCGTCGACGAACCCTGGGGCGAGAAAATCAACAAACAGTGGGAGCGGAGCGGACTAAATAAAAAGGGCCAGTGGCACACTCTCCACGGCCACCGCAACAGCCCCGCGAGTAGGATCGTTCGAGGATTGTAAGACGCATACAAGGCGTACTTTCCCAACACAAACTTCCTTTCTAGCAGCACTCGACTTCTTTTTGTATATGTATATTCTTTTTTACGGGTTTCACCTTTTTGTACGATACCATGGTCTTCTGTTTACGGCCTAGGGAGGAGATCTTTTGTATGGCATATGTGTGATGATACCTTTCATGCATTGCGGCGGTCGGTTTGGGCGGTGCATGGATGGTCGGTGGTTGGGTTTAACGCATTTGCATCGCATCGCATCGTTCGTGTTTTCGACACGAGAACTAGCTAATATACACTCACAAAGTCAAGTCGCTATACGAGAATATCAACTTTGTGATTGATCTCACGCCTCCCTGGCCCCTTCTTACTCACTGTGACATGGAGAAGTGGTAAACGTTAACCAGCAGATTCACCGATGTAGTTTCCCGAACTTTTGTCAGTAACAAGATATGTGTTAGAGGAGAGAGTAACATTTGGCAGAGGTCATTCCAGGGTACTCCGTAGAGTAATGGTAATTGCGAATTCGTTCCTACGTAAATTGTTGAAAGGGATCGACGGCTTCCAGAAAGTCTGACAGGGGAGATCAGCAGGGCCAGAACCTAGAATTGGTAGGATGGGATAAATGATTGGCTGGCTGGCGAGGGTGAGGCCGGATGGCGGGATCTTTGTGCCTGCAGGGCGAAGGGAGACAGGCCGGCCAGACCGGGTGAGTGGCTGAGCTGGCATGAGGAATGGGAATGCTGTCTCGGGTACAAAGCCGAAGTTAATGCCTTTGTGTAGAGAATATACAAGCAGTACAATGAATTCTCAGTGGACTTTGATAGATTTTCATGTGTGTTTGCATTAAATCGATATAGTTACCCCACAAGACGATTCGTAATTGTAGACTGTGGGTAATGATAGTATCGTGGGGTACTTCCGGGGGTAGTTAATGTGGAATGTCAACAGTTGTGGTAATTCCCCCCGCTGAGTCCGTTTACAGTGACTATGGGACATTCACGGTGAGCGTAGAATTGCCTGATGCGGCTAGTGCTTATGCAGACCCCTGTCGTTCCTGGATGCCGGGACTTGGCGTTTTGCACAATTTTCGCGGTTGGCCCGACTTCGCCTTCACAATTCGCCGCTTTCCGCTCCACCTTACCCCTTTAGGACTAACGTGTCACCCTTTTCATGCATAAAAATAAAACATAAAAAAATCACACGATGAATCGACTGTCACCGCCGTTCTAAGTTCTCCCCCATAAATATCAATACAGTAACCGTCCTCCCTCAAAGACCCACATTCTCTCTTCATCTTCCCCGCATTATTCCAACTCGAGTTCACTCACTCACCAAACAACGTTCACTCACTTTTTCAATCAACATCAACGTCAACGCCAATACCTAAGTCAATTCGACGGTACTCCATACTCGCGTTCCTGAGATCCCCCTTTGTCGCACGCACCTACGTGTCCACTCCATCCACATAACAATCGCATCCTGCACCCGCGTCTAAACGTCCACGCCTCCCTCCACTCCTACAAACCCCACAATCGTCAAGATGTCTGCCGCACGCTTCTTCACCTCTCGCCTCCCTATCCGCGCTGCCTTCCGCGGCCACCAGGTCCGCCTCAACTCCAGCGCCGCCACTTCCCCGGCCGCACGCCTCGCAGAGATCGCACGCACCGCCGAGAAGCCCAGCGCCCTCGAGGCCAGCGTCCCCGTCATGTGGGCCGTCTCCGGTGCTCTCATCTACACTGCCTGGAACAGGATCGACGAGAAGAAGGAGGACCACGTCGAGAAGGTTAGTCTCGCTCAGCACCCCTTTGTTCCATTGACTCACTCGCTAACATCACAACGCAGCTTCTTATTGTTTAGACAGACACATTTAATCAAATTGCATATACCCCACCCCGGTCGGCGCACCAAAGAACGAGCGACAGAGCGAGCATTATTTGAACGGGGGGGCTTAGACACTTGCGTTCCGGTATTTGCATTGCCGATTTGCATGGCTTGCGCATAGACATGTCATCTTCATTTACACACTCTTACTTTCACGAACGATTTACTTTTTCATTGGGTCATTGCTGTAGGGAACTATTACTGGTTATGGGTATGGGATTGGATTTGGGCGGATAATGGCTCAGGCCTCGGGATGGATCATCAAGGGATTTCAAGGGAATAAAATAGGCGTTCAGGACTTCGAACGATAGAATATCATTTTTCTTCAGGGTCACTATGTGGACTCGGATCTATTTTTTTTACTTATCTTGATCGTGCTATGTCTTTTCCAGTGCTTTACACGTACACTATGTGTCCTTGCTACTTATCGAGAGAGTCGGTGTAGCACCTGCGCACCAGTGCAAAAGATCGCGAGTATCCGATTAATGCAGGAAAAAGAACAGGATATTCTTTAATAAGATGGGAATTATGAAGGGTATGAACAGCAATTATGGATGCAATTCGTGAAGTCGTAATGCAGTGCAACCGCGGATGAAACGCTCTTGCCTCTTTCATCCATCCATCTATCGTCACCACTTCCACTATAAAGACCGCTCACCCCACCTCTTCCATTCCATTAACGCATCTAACCCCACTCCCTTTAATTCTCTCATCAGATCTGGTATCTGTACTCCTTCTGGTCATCAACGCCTCCGCCAACTTCTCTTCTCTTCTTTTCGAGCTTCACATTGTGTCTCCACAGGATGCCCACAAAGGTCATGCACACAGCAGCTCCCGCAATCGTGATACCCAACCCCGTCCTGAATCCCGTGGGATAGAACGGTGCCTCTTTCTTGACGAACACATTTGCCGCCACGAAGTTCGCACAATTGCCCAGTCCCAGCACCATGGCCGTTCCTACCGCCGCACTGGCCCTACCCCGCAGGTTATTCGTCATCCACGCAGTCGACATGGCCATCTGAATGAACGTGCCACCGCTCATGGCGAACAGCGAAAAGTAGCGGATCCCGGGCGCGAGGCCCTTCCGGTCGGAATACACGACCTGAATGATCCAACCGACCATCGCGAAGGCGATGCCGAAGAGGATGAACGGGAAGCGGATGTTGGTGCGGCCTGAGATCCAGGACGCGGTTACTTGGAAGACGATGCCGGTTAGCCAGATGGGGATCGACATCACTTGGGCGTAGGCGGCTTTCCAGCCGAGCTCGGTGAGGATCGTCGGGATGAAGGCGGACATGGAGGCCGCGGTCATGTCGCAGCAGAAGAACATCAGTACGCTGGTTGAATCGTTAGTGAAAAGTTGGAGGGGATTGGGGGAGGGTGGCGTACGGAAACCAGATCTTGTAGTCGGAGAGCACCTTGAACCAGTTCACGGAGCGAAGGTCGAGCTTTTGGTCGCCCTTGTCGGCCTTCAATTTCTGCAGGAGATGGGCTTTCTCGGCGGGAGTCAGGATGTCGGACTTCTCCGGGAAATGAGGCACGAAGAAGAAGACGAAGAACGAGATGAAGATGGTCAGTAGACCCTCGATGATGAAGATCCACCGCCAGCCTTCCTTGCCAGCGATGCCGTTCATGTTGCGGAGACCGTATGCGAGAAGACCGCTGATGCAAGGACCGAGAATGCCGAATGTGAAGAAGCAAGCAAAGCGAAGTGATGCCTCTTTGCGCGTGTAGTACTCGCTGATCAAGAACGCAGCGCCTGGACGTGTCAGCACGATCAATACTCGTTGGATCTAGTACTCACCCGCTGGAAGAGTCGCTTCGAAGATGCCCATCAAGAATCGCAAAGCCAAGAGGCCCTCATACGAGGCAGTCAATCCCTGACAAGTCGAGATGATACCCAGAACAAGCATGTTAATACCGAGGAAGATGCAGGGCTTGACGTGTGGAAGACCCATGATCATGTTACTGGGGATTTCGATCAAAACGAAAGGAATGAAGAAGATCCAGATGCAGGTGTTGTAGCCGTGGGGAGGCATGTTCAGTCCCTTTTCCAGACCCTCGATCCTGGCATTGGCGACTAAAAGAGGTCAATTGGACGATTCGGCGCGTGGTTCAGATGAATCGCATAGTCACTCACTGTTCGTGCGGTCGAGGAAGAGAATGGTATATGTGCAGCCCAGCAACGGGATCAATCGTAGGTCCAACTTCAAGGTGTAGTTGGACGGCGGATCCATTGCGGCCTCGATGGTATCATGGTCGCTGTTGCTCGACTTTGTCGCAGTCTCCTGCGCAACAATCTTTTCCGCCATAGTTGGTTGATTTTACAATCACTCGGAGGACGAGAGCATGTAAATCAATTCAAGAACGAGAGACACAGCCAGAGACCAATCGGGGTCAGTGGCGTGAGGAGGCACCAGCAGAGCGGTGACGGACTCAGGCGGGGAAGGGCGTAAGAAAACCAGCGGGCCGAGCCTTGTTTTCTGTCGCAAACTATGCTATGGTACCAAACCTATGGGGCGAAAGGCGAAAGGGGCAGGAGTTGCTCGTGCCTGTCCTGTGAGACTCGAAAGCGAGTTTCCCGCGGGACAATGGCAGGAAGGGGAAGTGGATACTATGTACGGGAGCGCGAGCGTGTCGACTCTTCGCTGGGCTGGGTTGCAGCTTTTCTCTCGGCCTTCAGTACTAAGTGCGATGGTAGGATATTATCGCTGTTGGCGTTCGGGGGCGTTTCTCTTCTCGGTGCTATGCCCAGAGGAGTCCACTTCCACTCGAAAGGGTCCAGAAAAATCCCAGCAGAAGTTGGATTGGATTGTTATTGGATTGGATATCGACGATACGATAGCGGGGAGACGCAGCCGCGATGCCGCGCGTGCTCGGAGTGGTCGAACCGGGTGGGCAGTGGGCAGTGGGCAGTGGACACTCCTCAACCGAACACGATAATCCTTGCTCGAAGGATCAGGCGCGCTTGTCCGGACCTCTTCCAGAAGGGGACCTGTCAGGAGGGGCGAGGAAGAGGGACGAAGGAAGGCGGAGAAGAGATTGACAAGTTGGGTGCACTGCAGATGAGAACGAAGGTGAATTGAACGAATGCCGGTACATGCGTCGGCTGCAGGCTGTGATGAGGCTTGCAGTTGCAGTTGCAGTTATTATCTCCTCTGGCAGGCGACAGGCCGTGGCTGACCAAAACAGATTTGGTCCTTCAAGTGGGTACGGGCAGATAACGAACGGCCAAAGGACCTAATGAAGGTGAGAATGATCAATGGACCCTTGAGGTTTACTTGCACTTTAAGTCGAAATGGCGCGTCCAGAGATTAATTATTATGGGTTCCCGTGTGCTTCGGGAAAGTGAAAGAGAAGGGAGAAAAAAGAAGATTGATCCAGAAGCATGTAGCTAAACAGTCTAGTCCAGCTAATGGTAGTAGCTCCAGTACGCTAGACGGTCTTTCCTTCCATTGAACCAACACAGAACCACGAGCTGTATTACTCGCAAAAGGGATCAGCGCTGTCAGTCGCTACCTTGGTACACTACCTGGAAGCATTGTAACCTTATTAGTCCTCACGGCGTTGGTTGATTGGTTACGTTGTAACTATCTCATTGTTCCAACCGTCTTTGTATCATTGTACTCGCAACATCTGGCCTGCCCTTATGGGAAACAACTCCTCGAAACCCATCTCAGATCCAAATCACGATTTATGAACATGCGGAATTCTAGAGTCACAATAATGTACATGTACGACTTGATTTTACCCTCATACGTCGTTTTGTACGATACATCACTCTCCACAACGTAACGACAACCCCACAGCCAATGTGACTATATCATAAGAAGGTGACGGCAGTACGCGATTCGACAGTCACCCGCCTTCCAAGTCCATCTTCACTCTTGCAGTCACTGCTAATCCGTCGTACGTAACTTTGGGTCCATAAACGTGCATCACACAATACCGAGCGCATGGAGAGACCGGCGGATGGACGGGCGGGAGGGAGGGCGGGTGGACAGTAAAGTGCGGTGGAGCGAGCGGATATGTATGCATTCGCAAGGGCAAGGGCAGGGTCGCGTGGGATACGAGGTGCCTCGAGGGACGATGGCGTTTACATGCCTATGGCATGTGCGTCGGGGGGGTGTTGGGTTTGCTTTTTGTTTGCCGATGTATCCGCCGAGTGCGTGTGTGTGTGCGTGGGAGCGGGTGGTGGGATTGATGGTGGTATTGGATGTTGGTAATGGAGATGAACGTTCACACTCTTGCACGCAGATCACAGAGCTCCCCTCACCACTACTACACCTTACACACCCATCAATTGATCAACACTCCATTCCCATTCACCCGACTGCGCCGCGCAAGAACCCCGGACGATCTACAGCCATTCATACGAAATCAAGTTTTCCCTACTTTTCCAGATTTCCGCTGTCAGATTGACCCAACTGAGCCAATGCTGGAGACGGGAGTATGCTGTGTTACCCCTCAATCGAGCTTGGATGTGGTGGGGGGAGGGGGAATGGGTGGATAAGCGCAGTCGCCGAGGGAGGATAAAATCCGATGTGGGAAGAGTAGGGATGTCAGGTGCAGAGTGACATGGGATGTTCTTAGGTACCTGTCGTTGGACTTGTACGGATTTCGACGAAGGATTGGTTACGTCGTGAAGGTCGAGTCGGGGTGAATTGGTCAACAACCTCATTGAAAGAGCAGGAAAATCATATCGAAACAACACAGCATACGTTGAGGAATAGGAACAACTCACGACAAAAATGGCCAACCTCAACATCCCCCCATCCACGAATACCGTCCGCGTCCGGGCCATTGATGCCCTCACAAAGATGTCCGTCTCAACGGCGGCCTTCATAACCCCAGTCCTTCCACACCATACGATCCTCAACCTCACGACCACAACCTTCATCCTCGAGCATGCTCCCTCGAAAAAGACCATCCTCTTCGACGCCGGCGCGCGCCCAGACTTCGAGAACTTCTCCCCGCGCATCAAAGCCCGCCTCGACGTCAACGTCCGGGGCCTCCGCGTCGACGCAGACGTCCTCGGCATCCTCCAATCCGCCGGAGTCCCACTCTCATCTATCGACGAAGTGATCTGGAGCCACTGGCACTGGGACCACCACGGATCCCCAGAGCGCCTCCACCCACGCACCAAGATCATCGTGGGACCCGGCTTCAAATCCGCCTTCCTCCCCGGCTACCCCATCGACCCCGACGGCATCTTCGTCGCAGCGAACTTCACAAACCGCGACATCGTCGAAGTCGACTTCTCCTCCCCTACAACGTTGACGATAGGAGGCTTCCCCGCCATCGACTACTTCGCCGACGGAAGCTTCTACCTCCTCTCGACCCCCGGCCACGCGATCGGCCACATGTGCGGTCTCGCGCGCACAACCCCCTCCACCTTCATCTTCCTCGGCGGCGACATCTGCCACTTCGGCGGCTCGTTCCGTCCCAGCGTCACTCACCCTCTCCCGTCTCCTCCGCCGTGTCCGGGCTGCGTTCTCTTCGACGACGTCGACAACGAAGACGGGCGGCGGAGGACGAAGCCGTGGTTTCAAGTCAGCGACGCACCGACGTCAGCGTACCTTGACGCACGCACCGCGCAGGACTCGATTGACAAGATGATGGCGTTCGACGCGGAGGAGGATGTACTGGTTTGTCTCGCGCACGACACCGATTTGCTGCGCGTGCTTCCTGTCGTTAACACGGCGCCTGAGAGGGATTTGAACGATTGGAGGGGGAGGGGGTGGAAGGAGAGTGTGCGGTGGGGATGGGTGGGGGAGCTGCCGAGGAGGAGGAAGGATGACGGGGGGGTGGAGAGTGGGAGGGGGGCGCTGGTGGAGGGGGTTTGGAGGGGGGGGGAGAGGGTTGAGGGGTTTGGGGGGTTGAAGCCTACGATTTATTAGGGTGAAGGGCGGATATGTGTGTGAATGCGGGTGTGGGTGTGCAGTTGACGCTTTGTATACGTGTAGGTCGAATGGTCGAACGTTCGAATATCATTGTAAGATGCAGATATAGGGGGATTGGAGATGGACGCATAGAGGGCGAATTGAGATCATAGATACCTAACGACCGAACGACAACACGAGATGAGGGCGCAGCACAGGACTAGACAATATGTTAGATTTGAATGTAGGAAGTTCTGATGTCGTCCGCTTCACACGCAGCCCAAGTGCTTTCGGACTCTACAGTTGCTCATGGGTTCAACGCAGTGTTAGAGAAGCCAACTCGTGTTAGCTGGCTGTGTTGGTGGAGGTCAAGCATCGCTGCTCAGGCTTCTCAGGGGTTGAGTAAAGTGGTGGTTTGTCACTGAAAATGTTTAGTTGAATTGGAATTATGCTGCTGTTATTGAGATGAGAATATGTATAGCGGGTGGGCAGTGTGTCTAGCGGGACTTGATATGACTGTAAATGTTGATTTCTGTTCTTACTTTAACGCTCTTTGGATCACAACCATGTGATAGATATTATGTGATGTGAATCAAGATGAGGTATTTGTTGGTCTCCGTCTTCATACCACTGTAGATACGAGACGACGAGTTAAGTCCCCATCCATCCCACCACATGAGAAGAAGAAAAGTCACGAAGCAAAACATGGACGTCCACTGATTACGACGACAAGTCCCACCAGCCGGTGACGTTTCTGAGACAGATGCGCCATGTCGAGTCTCTGGCAACGACATACCTCGGTCTGTTCTGTGATTCCATTTCTTCAAACCGTGCTCCACTGGAGACTTCGTACTTGACCTTCCCCTCTATTTTACTATTCAATTCTCCTACGTCCAATCTCCCCTTGCATACACCTGAAAAGAAAATATATATACATACGTATGTACACACACTGCCGACACCAGAAGAAAGTAAAGTCTATCCGCCAAATCCCATCATAGCCAGTACAGGAAAATGAGATGTGAAGTGTCGCGTGCCACCTTACCCGAACCGTCAGGCGCAGATGCGAAAAAACATCATCATGCCATAAAGTTTCACGACATCGTACGACACGCTTGCGGTGTCATGGCGATGCGCGCGACCGGGGTGTGGACGTTTGGATGGGATTAGATTGCCGATTGCTTTTTCACTTGGCGGAGAGGGGAGGAGAGGGTTGGAAAGGAAAAGGAGGAAAGCTGATTGCGACTGATTCAGGTCGTCTTTGAAGTTTTTATTTATTCATCAAATCTGTGTTGTGTTTAATGATCTAACCAAGTTACGATTGTTCCCACATCCCTATCATTTAGGTAGACAGACACCCTCTCAAAGATCCGCATCAAGCACGATCGTCATTTGCTTAAAGTTCCCCCTAAAAGAAAGGCGATCGAAGCTTATGCGGTTTCTGTTTCACGTTCCGCTTGGTAGTAGGGATGTGGAAGCAATCGCTAAGACGTGTGTGAAACCGGGACAAGGCTTGGCGGCGGTGCTTGAGTCGACGGGGGTTGGTCGACGACGTACGTATGTACATGTTTGACGATAAAGTGGAATGGTTGTATTAGGGTTGCGTCGGGGGGAAATACTATGTAGAGGATGTGAAGATGGTGGTCAATTGTAACTGAGGAGGTAGAGAGTTCTGTGAAAAAGCCGGAAGCGCTGCAGAATCGTTATCAACATGATCAATGCAAAAGAACAAGAACAGTCTTTGATCGTGTATAAGTTTTATTGCTCTATCTTTTCCTCATTCAGTTTCCACCAACTATTTCAGAACCTCCAGTGACGCCGCAGGTAGCGTAGTAATTGACCCTCCCATGACGCTCGACGTGACATTCAAGCGTGATATCCAAGTCGTACACCAAACACCAAAACAAGTAAGAAAATACAGTAGTCTTCATGGCAGACCATCGTTGCCATTTGCTTTCCATCGTCCCAATTCCAAACAGGGTATCAAGCGTGCTCAGACTTCAGTGATGGCAACAAGCGTCATCTTCGGCGCCTCACCCTCCTCCGCAACGACCTCATCCCTCTTCGCCTTCTTCTCACCGGCAGGGGGCTGGCCATTGGCGGCAGAGTTGGCAGGGACATTGAGACCGGCATTGACAATGATGCCCACGCCGGCGCCCTCGGAGCCCATCTCGATCTTAGGCGTGTTCTGCATGGCCTCGCGGGCGTAGGCGAGCGCGGCGTTGAAGCCGGGGAGGTCGCGCTTGATCCACTCCATGGCGTGGCTGATGGCGTCGATGTGCTCGTTTGCCGGGGAGCGCTTGAGGACGGCGGAAAGGTCTCGTTTGGCTGCGTTCTCTGCGTTCGCCTCAGCGGGTGGTTCTTGGTTGGCTTCCGCCGGGGGTGCCGGCGGTGCTGCAGGCGGCTGCTGCTGTTGCTCTTGCTGACCTTGTGGTTGGCCCTCGGCCGCGCCCGAGGCGAGTGTTGCCATCAGTCCTGACGCGCTTTCCGCTGATCCCAAAGATATTTCACCATCACCGACTACCAGGGCTGGAGAGTAGGCTCCCAAGTTGATGTTGAGGGGTACGGCGGTGCAGGCGCCGACAAGAGCAAGGAGGACGTGTTGAGGAAGCATGTTGTTGGTTGGTTGGTTTCTTGATTATAGACTTTCGACTAAGTTTTCAAGGTTGGGATATTGAATAGAGGGTGAAGGAGGTAATAGAACGAATACGTGATCTTCTTTCGAAATAGTAAAGTTACAAATAAAAACTATCGCCCGGCGACAGATGAACTGATTAGTTTAATCGTTGAGAATTGAAAGTGAGTGGCCGGACTGGAGAGCTCGAAAGTCCATGATCCACCTCAGTTCTTATACGTCCTGTCAGTGACCCATAACTTGATGCTTGGTACTTGATGCTCGATATGGGATCTTTGCCAAGTCAATACCGTCTGTTTGAGATGAGCTTGAAACTTCTGTGAAGCTGGGCCAAGAAATCCACAGACGCTGTGAGGGCGACGTTGAGAGTGACTATCTGCGAGGCCAGGAGGCCAACCCGGTCTCGAGTCCCGAAGAAGAGGCAATCTGGTGTAGCAGCCAAGACACCACGCCTCTTTGAGAGTAATGTACGTACTCTGATAGTCTGTCTGAGCGTCTCTTTGGGCAGGTATACCATAACTGGGGCAAAGGCTGGACCGGTCGTTCTACTCGTGCACTAGTGATGGGTGAACCACAATCGCCACAGCAAAGTCAACACGCCAGTCACCTTTCAACCAACATCTATCTCTTTTCTAACATATTCAAGAAGTCGTTTCTAACTTCTCGATAATTGTTCCGTTGTACAGATATTTTCGACTAAACCTACTCCAACGCCGGGTGAACAAGCACATGTGACGGCTGCTTGTGCATGAACGGACGTATTGGCAAACTTAAGCGTTCAACTCATGGCAGTCGAATTGCCAAGTGATATAGTTGCCAAAAGAAGCTCATATATTCCGGGGGACGAAGCTCGTCTTGTGACGAGATAAGCCTACATCTAGGCGTGCACGCCCTTTGGGGGGCGACTCCTGGCACCAACTCCTTAGGAGGGGGAGGGGACGAACATCGGCCTGAACCAGATCGAGCTCGGCGCCCTTGAGCTTCACCTATAGAAGCTTTCGATCGCGACGGCCAATGTGTTGACCATGTGGAGCCTCGAAATGCTTCGAAGTGATTCGCGACCAGGGAGGCGTGTTTCACGTAGGCGTCGTAGCCGAAAGCAGTCAAGCAGGCGAGAAAACGCCTTGGCGAGGCTTTGTCAATTGGCGCATGGCCAGAAAGGTGCGACAGCATGTTCCTGGAGCAGCAAGATCGACAAGACACGGGGTGCGGGGAGCTGCGTTGGGGGCTTGTATCAAAAGGTTACTCGTAGGTAGTTCCTCAAGGGGTCGTCTACCGCGGCCGCCGTGATGGGCTTGCTTTAGGCTGTCTCATCGCCGCGATGATAGCTGCTTGTGGCATTAAACATGGCTGGGCACATGCAAAGACGGGAGGTGCTTCCAATATTAATTGAATTATTGGAGTTTTTTTCGGGGATGGGTATGTGAAATTAGTGGTGGAACGGGGTAAAATTCTCGATATCGATTCAATCCGAAGCTACGAATCGGACCGATTGAACGTTGCGGCGTAGACATTCGGGCGTTGCGCAGGGAAAATGAAAGAACGCGACGAAGGCTCTGAATCGCTGTTAACTAATTTTCCTTTGACTTAAAATAGAAAATATCAGATCAAACAAGCCACCGTGAAAAGGGGACATTTCGTCCACCTCAACGATCCGACACAAACCCTCAGGCGTATGTATGTGCATACAGAGTGAGCTCTCAGCAAGATCACAAAAGAACGAATGCCCAGAATTGTCATCTTGTCGAGGATACCAAGAAGTCCAGGTCTGTCTGGCCGTTTGTGACAGAACCCACTCTGGTCAACCCGCTTTTACTTGACCCATCAGTTCCCGATATGCCCAGCGTCCTGAGATCATCAGGGGCAGTACCAAAGGCTTATCATTTTGCCAATAATAACAAGACCTTAAGCCTGACAAGTCGTGATTCACAAGGCCATCAATTTAGAGGAAGGGAGATACTATGTTAGCCGTGCGGGAGGTTGTCTGTCTTTCCTCCTGCCACTTCCATCTGCCTCCATAGCGAATGGACCTTACCGTAAGATTGCCATGTTAGCGACCTTCATGATGATCGATAGGCTCGAATATTGCGTTGGAGATCTAATTTCGTAATTACCAGCTCACTTGGAAGACGGTATTATCGAAAGTTTCATATAAAGTTGTCACGTAGGGCATAGATGCGTAAGAAGGGAAGCCTTGTATGAGTCCATGCATATCACTCTGTCTTTACCTCATACGAGACAACTATTAATTGAGTTAATGTCAGTACCTTGGTACATAACCTTGATTCTCATGTGCTGTCCCTATTCTCCTTATTCTGCTTCTACTACTTTCTGTGCATCTACGTAGATATCTCAGGTGATTGGTATCATTCAAGACGCATGGTATACATGGCACGAAGTTGGTTGATGAATGTTGTAGTAGCTAATTGATACTACAAGCGAAAATCTGCTGGCTTGTGGTTGCACTGTGAAATTCAACTGGGTGGTTGACTCTGGCTATCTTTCTGTCCTTCCTTACAACATGCAGCAATTTGATTGATTGTGACTCTTGTTGTTACTGGTATCAGCTCATTAGTGTGTTTCTTTATAGTCATCAACCTGCCAGCAAAACACTGGCTCTGCTGCCCTATGATTTTGCAATTCTTCCGAACATGTCGTTGCCAACTGTCATGGAGAGAAGGCTCCCTCATATTTATCTCATTCAGAATGCGATGATGTAGAAAATAACAGGGATTTGCCTATGGCAGCATGCGCCCAAATCCTGACATAGGGGATGTAGAGTTGATTTTTATCTTCACTGAGTAGCATACCCATCATATCAATGTTCAGTTATAGCTATGAGAAGGTTGTCCCTATCTTGTACATTTGCAGATTACTTGTGTTGTGAATTCTTGGTGTCAGTAATGTGACGGGCATTCGTATGAGAACATTCTTACTATACGGATAGAAATATATTCTCGATTGACTTAAAAACGTCCACATATTAAATTCTCGTATTTCATTCGATTGAATTCTTCTAATACCTCTAAAAATTTAAATGCACCACGAAAGCAAAGATATCAAACTAAAAGTCACACAGCAGTCATTGTTCACTCCTCCGATGTATCAATCAGTGGGGAGGAAAAAGAACTTTGCAACGCCACACATCATTCCACCCTGCTGATGCGAATTTCCAGATTTGTTAATATTCTGTAGTCTGTACATAGGATCGTATATCATTCAGGAAAGCGCTGTTGGGTTGGAATGCAGAACGCGCATTTGTGTATCGTCAACTGATCAGTACTAATTGGCGGGGTGCGAATTTGACCGTATCGGGCGATGCTCGGCGGCCAATCGGCTGAACGACGTCTCTACATTTACTAGCGCCCACAATCCTTTCCAGTAATCTGCTCATTTTGTTATACCTAAAGTTGCGGTTAATTCAATCTTCCAAGGTGAAATTCTATTAGACATGGAAAGTGCCAGCATTGCATGTGCTATATAAATTTTACAATTCATCATTTCTTCATTAAATCACCAAGGTTCGGTGGTGTAGTTGGTTATCACGTCAGTCTAACATTCGTTAGTACACTGAAGGTCCCGAGTTCAAACCTCGGCTGAATCATTTCTTTTTGCTCTTTTTTTCGCCTCGGAATGGGTGTTGTTACACAATCTCCTTAGGGGTGTGCAAACGGGCGGAGTGTGCAGATACTTTTTGGCGGTTGAGGAGTAGATGGACTATACCCAATGTGGAATGGATTTGAGATAAATCAACCCGTTCAAGGGGGCAAATGGAAGGAGATAACGATATTGCTATTTGCAGCCTTCTCCATATACTATTGTAATTGTTTTTCCTTTGTCAGTTCCTAAATGAGATTTACCTTTTTCCTCACGCGATGGTAGGTGAAAATTAAGTGCAAGTGTAAAGAGGTTTCTCATAATCAGATCTACATATTGAAGTATAGTTTTACTCTCTGTTGTACAATAAAGATTGATACTGGCAATTGTCATTTGATACAATACACGGTATCGATTCTTTCAAAGTTTGGAGAACTCTGACTAGCTCCAGTTAAGGGAAGCCTTAGTCCAACCTTCAATCATCCAGATGCCTCGGCCTTTGCCATACTAGCTGGCAGTGAGCTTTTCAGCTTCAAGGGAGACGCTGGATATCTATAGGGTCCTCTTTGCCTTCTTGGCCTTGCACGCCTTGCCTTTGCCTGTTCCGTTTCCGTTTCCGTTTCCGTTTCCATTGCCGTTCTGGTTCTGGTTCTGATTTTGGTTTTGGTTCTGGTTCTGGTTCTGGTTCTGGTTTTGGTTTTGGTTCTGGTTGCCCGTGTTGGCATTTCCAGTGTTGGCATTTCCAGTGTTGGCATTTCCGGCATTGGCGTTGTTGTTGCTACCAGAAGCAGAGCATTGATCTGAAACAAAGAAGTCAGTAGCCGTTCCTCAGCCATAGGAAAATCTCCAACATACCTTTCTGTGTAGAGCATGCGGAAACGCTCAATGTTGCGTCGCCACCATTAGCAGCATTAGCGCAGGCATTGAACTGCTGGTCGCAGCTCCTTTGCAGCGCAGCGCTCAGATTGACGAAGGTGTCACCCTTGACTTGGAAAGGACGGTCTGGGTTTCCGGAGTCCTCGACTGGAGTGGCTTCGATGCCGCCGAGTGCGCCGTTGAAGCTTTGGAGGTTGTTCTGGCGCATGCGCAAGGGGCTGGCCAGGGAAAGGGCGAAGAGGGAGAATGCGACGAAGGACTTCATTTTGAGAGAATTGAAGAGCGGTTTATTGGGTTGATTGGTATAATAAAGTAAAGGTGTATTGAAGTTAAGAAGTGAGTGACCAGACTCTTGAAAGAATGTAAAGACGCCGAAGCAACGGAAGAATAGACAAAGACAGAGAAGCTCGAATGGTTGATGAGTGGATGAAGAAGCAATTATGGACTGCGGACATGTACACTCTTATACAGGACGGGTCTGCTCGTATTGTCAGGGACATGCTGTATGCTTCGGCTCGCTACCGATTCATGATGAAGCTGGCTACTGCGAGCCGCGCAGCTGACACCGTAGAAAAGTCCCCGAGCCGCCCATGAGCCCCTTTACTCCATGATATTGAATCAACTATTACTTGATCGCTGCCGGGAAGAAGGTCGTCAAAGGCAGAGGTAGATGCAGAACAGGTGGGCCTATATGGCTAAGCTTTCTGTTACCTGTCAAAGAGCGAATTAGTAGACGAATGAGAGCGCGAGTTGGGAGATGGAGGATCGAAGCATAGAATCTGACACTGTCAGAGAGTGGGTTTGGGGATTGCGCGAGCGCGAAATCAGGGTGCGCATGGTGTTTCGGGTCGCAGGTTGTCCGAGATTCTGGTACGCGGTATACTGGATGACTTTTCCCTGCTGTGTACGTGATCCAACGTCAACATATGCTGAGTGCAATTAATCGTCTTAGAAAACAGTTTCTATCATCTAAACATATTGTAAAGTCACATCTTCTAATAAGACGTTCCTCAGTGAAGAGCGAAATCGAAAAGTGCCTTGATGTCACAATGTCGCTCGTTCGCCCACCCCTGCGTCGATCAAGCGACCTGAGGCACTACATGAAAGAGATACCTCCGCAACCTCAATGCGACACATCTTCCACCAATGAATCGAATTTCTAGAGCGCGACTCTTGTTTTGTTAACAGTTTCCTTAAGAGTGCAATTCGTCTTCCAAGTTTTGCTCAAACGCATGACAAAACGTCCTGAAGAACCTTCGATCTTGGTTTCCCTTGGAGCTTTGAGAGGTCTAGATTCACGACATTCACACAGATCCATGTGTGCTCTGGGCAGTTTTATGGTCTAAAGTTTGGTAGTTACTGCTCATTTCAAATGTTATGCCTTCTGGCAGGAATAATGAAATTGAACACGCTCGTCTTTCCACCTTGCCTCATGCTTGTCCACCACACCAACGCAGTGATGGCACTCGATTTCCTATTGGAATGAGCACAGTCCAAACGAAGTCAACAGACTAATACTCAGGGTTGTGCCACAAGTTATTCTATCTTTTGGTCTTCAGAACGGGAACGTTCCAGTCCAGCCGCCGCATGCCTGCTAAGCGCTTTCTCCTACAAGCATTCTCAATGTCTTCTGCAAAACCCCAACTGCAAATAGGGACAGGTCAGTCTTGGAGCAACTCAGAGGCTGCTCTAATGCAACCTAGTATTCAAAACTAGGTTTATCAGAGTTCAAATCGCACATAGAGCTCGTAGCTATTGAGGCTCACAATGCCTTCATCTTCACACTCTGCCGCCTGGTCGAAAATCGCACTACGAAGACTCGCGCACACCTAAAGGATGTACATACATTCTTCTCATTTGGCAGATAATTTCGATTTGCGATGCGGTTCTCGGCTATTCCATCATTCTGTCTTTATAAGTGCGAGACATGCGCTATTGACGGGGTACATTGAATTGCATCAATTCCCAAGTGACATTTTGTCCTTCGCGAGTCCGGTAGATATCTCTGACGTGCAAAACTTCGACCGAATAATTTTTTCAGCCTCGGTTCTTTAGGTCTGTCAAGCAAAGGTCCAGCAGAGGTGGACGGTTTTGTACCTATCCAGAACGCTAGGTAGCAGCCAGCAGACCCCAATCTGTTATTCCAATGAGAGTACCGTCCTCTGCAACCATGATGGTTGATAGACCAAAATCTGCATGGTCGAAAAAGAACCTTTCTGCATTAGCTCGAAACCCCGAATCATTGGGAGGATAGGAATACCGCTGACGCAACGAATATGGATCTAAAGGTTGGGGTTTCCAAGGACGCTACTCCTGTATGAGATGCAGCCAGGAACGATTGAAAGGACACCTTTCCTGTTCGCGGACACGAGAACTTTCTGAGCGGGTGAAGCCAGTTCCTGTAGATTCGCGCAATTGTGTCTGTTCTTTAAAGATCTTCCGATATTGGGGGGTGGGGCGATCCAGACTTATGCAAGGGATGATGCACTTACGGCTAGCACCGAGAGAAGGGAGGGGTACCGATGCCCTCAGCCAGCTGGTATTCTGGGGTAATTGCTTCTCTACTTGCTGAGACTCGTTCTATCTATGACGCTTCGCTTTTAGATCATTTGTTTAATCACCTTTCGAACTGACCCTTCCCATTCATAATCATTCTAGCAAAAGTTCCAATAAGTGAGAATATCAGTTGTCCCTTTTCGGTAGTTATTTCTCCTTTCACGAAGTTTCTGGCGTCCTGGCCACTCCATTCGATAGCATTAGAAGCCTCTTAACTGATGATTTCATAGAGGTGGTCCAAAGCCGCTTCAAGATTCTATCGACTTAGTATTATGGCTCAGACTAACCAGTTAGACAGCCTTTCACAAAGCTGCAGCGTAAAATTACTACAGCTAGGCTGGAGCCTCAGTATACCAATTATGAGAGTGCTATGGGTGCTTCAAGATAGTTACTGGTAACCTGGCAATACGATTCAGACTTGACCCGTCACACAGCCATTCGTTGAGGAATAAATGAGGAAACTTCCTAAATTTCTATCGCTGCTCCTTATACTAGATGTCCATATTGCTGCTCCAACATTAAGATACCAATATCGCTGCTCCAACATAAGATACCAATATCGCTGCTCCTGTACTAAGATGCCCATGTCGCAAGAGGGCAAGCCGGTGGGAAAAGACCGGAAACTATTTGCTCACGCTTCGCCCGCGGGAAGATCACCATCTTGTGCTTGTACTTCAAGTCTCTTGTAGGCCAGCTGCCTCAGAACCTTTCCAAGGAAGGAACCCCAATATCCTTCTTTGCCTCTGTCTATTCCGTACTCCAAGATGTTTCCGTAGAGCTTGATGAGCTGAAAGATCTCGCGAGGAGAAGTTGTACTCAATGGCTCGGCGGGACCCAAATTCTGGATGACCTCCACCGGCCCGAGAACTTGGGTACCATCTTCACCGGACAGGGGTTCGCGGCGCGGATATGCGACATAGACATAATGTTGGTGGCCAATGACGGTGAGTACTGGCTCGATGATCTCGGCGGGCTTGAATTGCACCTGGGCAAGGTTCGCAAGTTCCTGCTTCTTGCGTAACGATGCTGCAATCCATATTCCTATTTGTAGCCGTGCTTGATTGGGGTTGCCTCCTGCGCTCTTGACCTCGATCCCGGAGAAGACCGCGGTGGTCTTTGTGAATTTGTCGGTAGTGGGACCAACCTTGCCTTTTCCTCTTCCATTCAGGACGTTATAGAGGCCGAGGTAGCCAGGCTTGCTATGGTGCGAGTATGACAAGGCATAGTCGACATTGCGATCGACCGCTTTGTAACGAGAAGAATCGCCATCGATCGGGGCCAAGACGGTGGAGAGATATGCTGGATCGATGAATTGAGATTTACTAACAGGTTAGCGACATCATCAGATTCAGGTAGATATACATACATGTTCTGCATCCACCATCGACCTTTCCCGTGCAAGTCAATTGCCAACTGGATAAGAGGTCTGACTACCTCGTCGGACCATGCGTTCTCATCTCTCAGACGAGAATGGCAAACGAGCGCATTGCGATAGATGGCCTTGACCTTCTGCCATATGGCAGCCAAATCCTGTTCACTGTATTCATTTTCCTCGTAAAAGTCGGTTGGATCGGTCGACCCTTCGTCCTCGATTTCAGAATCATTCATCATGATTTCCTACTTCCATTAGTCCCGTACGTCGTCATTGTTTGAGTGGCCCTACGTACCTCCATCCTTGCCGGAATGAAACCGGCACCTACACCATGTGCAAGCCGTTGAGCAAGTAGTGTAACCTGCACTGGAAGGGCTTCCTCCTTCTGGAGATCATCTACGCTGTCTATCCATATGGGCGGGCGCGCAGTTCTCAAGCTGGAAATTGTTTCAAGTGGCGGGCTTGTCTGGCGATCACCACTGGTTGAGGTGTCGCATGTGGTGATTTGGTTTTGGGCTGATGAAGACCCGCTCTGGTCAGGCCCCGATGCAAGACTGTCATTGGTTCTCGACCGCTTTGTTGGGGGTCTACCCAGCTGGAGCTGGCGACGTGATTGGGAAGTCGTGGTATTGTTCATCTCAGCAGATGCGGCGCGCTTGCCCTTTCGAATATACTTTGGTATTGAATGGTTCAGTGGAGGAGCACTAGCAGATCGCGATATGGAATCGATCCAGCGGCTGATGCGGTTTTGGGAACAGGGATCCAAGTTTATCACCATTTTCGTAAATGAAATGGAATCCAGGTTTAAGTACTATGGTGTTGTAAGTTTGTACATTCATTCACGTCAGGTTTTATGTTTGACACCTAACAAAGGCCGTCCAAGCAAATAGACCATAACTGGACTAGTCTGGATGGAAACACGGGAGACTCCCACTAGACTTAATCGGTTAGAGTGGGAAAATGGGCTAGCCTACTCCGGTTGGTCACATTTTCATCCCTTCAATCGACGATGGCACGTGACTTGAAGATGAGAGTAGATCGCGCAAAAGTCAAGTTGTGCAAGAAACATCAACATCATCGTTGCCATCACCATCGTCAATTCCATCCAAGGTTACAGATAGAAGCATAGCAATAGTTTGATGTCAACAATTCCAAAGAATGTAGAGGGAGTGGCATATGTCAAAGCAACAAAAGGAAACCATCCAATCCACAACAACGAACAACCAATAAATCATTCAATCAACAAATTAACAACTCAACCACTCAACCAATCAACCAAACCTCACAGCTTCCCGTTTCCTTTCAAACCATCCCCACAGAGCAAATGCGTCCCTGTATCTACATTGTGTGCCATTGGATTCCACACAGAGGCGAGAAGCTCACGTTTTTCGACTCCAGAATGGCGTCAGTACGTAGCCCGGGGACTTTCCTTCACCCAGCTAATGGGACGACAGCCCATAGATAAGCTCGCTGGCGAATTGTCCTCCCGGGGTGCTTAGGATGTATGAGAAACGGCAGGAATACGTATATATAGTTTGTGCCGGTGAAGCCTCGTGAGGTTCATTCTCCCTCCATTCTACTTACTTTCAATTCTTCGAGACTCTTTCAACCGCAGAACTTGCGCTTTGCTTTTCCGCGCGGGGATTGAATAAATACGTACGTTGTCGAAAGGGGTGACAGTCAACCGAAAGGAAAAGAGTTATCACACCCAATATGGCTATTCAATCATCGCCGCCAGCACCACCAGCACGGCCATACAAATCCGTCGCCGTGATCGGTGCAGGTCCCTCCGGTCTCTCCGCCGTGAAAGCTCTCAACGACGAGAAAGCATTTGACGTAATCCGAGTATTCGAGCGGCGTGATCGCGTGGGCGGAACATGGTACATCTCTCCCACTCCGCCATAATCAATCCTCCGCAAGACGTATATAACTGACGCAAAAGAACACCCCCAGGATCTACGACCCAGAACCCACGCCTTTCCCCTCGCCATCCGTGGACCCAGCACCCGCTTCCAACACGCCCCCGGAAACATTACCTGCATTCACTTCCCCTTTACCGGAAGATGCGACGCGCCGCACGGGACTGTACTCGTACCTCGACAGCAACGTGGGGATCGAGGCGATGGAGTTCACGTACGCCTCGCACCCGAAGATCAATTCCGCGCTGTCGATCCGGCGCTTCGGGTTCGATAACCCGACGAGGCCGTGGCAGGTGGTTGCGGGGTACTTGGAGGATATCTTCGCGAAGTACGTGCATCAGGTGACGTTCGACACGACGGTCGAGAGGGTGAGCAAGGATGTCGTGACGGGGAGGTGGGATGTCGTGCTCCGGCGGTCGGGGGTGTCGTGGAAGGGGGAGCAGCGCGATCACTGGTGGACCGAGACGTTCGATGCAGTGGTCGTTGCGACAGGGCATTATAACATTCCGAATATCCCCGCCATACCTGGGTTGCAGAGTTGGTACGACCTGTGGCCGGAGAGGTTGGAGCATTCTAAGCAGTTTCGCAGTCGGGAGGAGTACTCGGGAAAGTCCGTCGTGGTTGTTGGTGGCAGCGTGTCGGCGTCTGATTTCGTGATGGATTTGCACAGGAGTGTGAAAGCGCCTTTGATAATCTCGCAGAGGGGATTGAATGCGAACCCCGCGCTGGAGAACGTGTGGAAGATTCCGCATGTCGTGCAGAAGCCGACTATTGCGAGGGTGACGACTGAGAATGGAGGAACCGTTGAGTTCAGCGACGGGACAAAGGCTGTTGGCGTCGACAAGATTATCTTTGCCACGGGTTACCGACTTTCGTACCCATTTTTGGTGCCGAATCCTGTCACGGACAAGAACCGTCTTGCTGGGTTCTACCGGCACGTCTTCAATATCGAGGATCCATCGCTCACTGTCATCGGCCAGGTTCGAGCGGCGTTGTCTTTACGAAACTACGAATACCAAGCCGTGGCTGTCGCTCGAGTCCTAGCTGGTCGAGGCAATTTACCTTCTCAAGCAGAGCAGAAGGATTGGGAAGAGAAGCTGCTAGCCGTGCGAGGCCCAACACATCAGTTCCACACTATTGCACCTGATTTCAAGGAGTACTTTGATGGGCTAAGGGCGATTGCTGGCCCTCCTGCGGAAGGCAGCGAAGGATATGAATTGCCGCCGTATGATGATGATTGGACGCTTAAAGGATTCAGAGTGCTTGAGCTGAAGGATCAATATGCACAGAGATTGCTAGCCAAGAACGATGGAAGCGGATTGGCAGATGAAGGAAGACTGCTGGCCAAGTTGTAGACCTACATATTCACGATTAGCCAAAGGTCTATTGACTCCTTTGTTTGCTGTCCTTATCGAGCCGCCCGTCGGGCCCCAAATGACCTGGTGTAGGTATCGAATCACAAGTGCAAGTACGTCGACTCTAGCGCAGTGAAATAAATTGACCCTAAGAGTACACGCCGTTAAATGGATCGCGGTTTTGCCATCAAATGTGCCATTATCTACCATCCCCACCAATGCACCCTCCGCCGCGCGGCGTCCAATACCACGCGGCCTACCACAAAAGGAAATACACAAATTTAGACATACAACATGTCGCGCAAGGTTTCGTTCCAGGGCGCCATGCAAATACTGAGATTCGAGAGGTCATGCGGGAAACGTGTCCAAGTTGTCGATGCCGTTCCGTTTATATCGTGGTTGCAGATGTCTTGTCCGTGCTGCAATCGTCGCGCGCGATACGTTTAGCAGGGCTCGGCGCTGCTGCCCTTGGAGTTCATGAGAAGGGCAACGATAAGACCATAAAGACCTGAACACGGTTAGTGACTTGGGTTTCTGCGTGCCTTGCGAGTGTTGACGAACCCAAAACTTCAGCGAAAATGAGGATAAGAATCATGCCGACGAACAACCTAGGCTGCTGGGCAGTTCCACGGACACCAGCGTCACCGACGATGCCGATGGCGAAACCAGCGGCCATACCAGCAAGACCGACGGAAAGACCGGCACCGAGCTGGATGAAGTTGGTGAAGAGCGAAGATTGCTGCTTGAGGTCGTTGGAGATCAAGACAGACACGACGAGACCGTAGATACCAATGATACCAGCCATGACGACGGGAATGATGTCTGTGGAGAATTAGCTTTCAAGTCGATGGAATTATCTTTCCCGGCTTGCGAAACTTTCGAGCTCGGTGGAATTGAATGGTTTGGGCAACGCACTCTTGACGATCAGATCCGGGCGGAGGACACCCATAGCAGAGACACCGACACCTGCCTTAGCAGTTCCGTAGGCGGCGCCAAAGCATGTGAACACGATGGCGGACGTGCAGCCCATCGCACCGAAGAAAGGCTATTATATCAAGTTAGTTGAGCTTCTTTGAGTATTATAATTCCCTCGTTCGCGTCATTGTTGTTGCATTGGATGAGGATAGGTGTCGCGATGCTGACAACGGCCAGGAGGCGGAGCGGAGGGTGAGCGGCGACTTACAGCATAGACGGGGCTGTTACAAACACGAAGTTAGCATATATACTCAATTTCGAAGATGAGGAAGCCGATGCCAACTGTCTCACAGTGGTTGCGAGCTTCGACAGCTTGCCGCGATAGCAAGCTTGGAGCTGCCTGTTCGCTACGGTGATCAAAGAGGAGCTCTGCGCGGACTTACCAGTAGTCGTTGACGACCATTTTGACGGTTGTATAGGGCCGGACTTGGTTCGGAAAGAATCGAGCACGGGGTAATGAGATGGGAAAGGCGGTGGATGGAGCTTGAGGGCGTTGATGGGAGTTGGGAGTTGAATGGTGACGATGGCTGGAGATGATGCATCAAGGATTCGATTGAGCTTGGCTAACCTGTCACGTGGCCTCGGTGGCTTGTTTCGCCGACCACGTTACGAGTGAGCTCCACCCGTCATCGTCATCGTCATCATCAACATCAACAAAACACCAAACCATTACACAAAGAAGCTTTCTTAGGCGGCTATATTTGTACCGTACTCCGTAAATCGAATCTCTTTTTCCATCTTGGCTGCTAATGTAATGCTGGAAATCGTGTCACTTCAGAGCTTTTCGTAATCATATCAAGACCTCTAATTGAAGAAACACATACCATGTTTTAAAGGGTTAGAACGTATACATGGATATCTATAATTATTGCTCCAGCAAAGCTCTTTATCAGGCTCTTAGTTTTTCAAATAGTAATCTTCCCGAGGGAAGCAATGACACTAGATTAACATATTCACTATCTCACATCCTACTTTATCGCAATGCAAAATCCATCAATCACTTGTATCTGGAGGTGTTGGTGGGCTAAACGCATGTAAGTACTTGTAACAAGAGCAGCTCCGCTATCTGTTCAACTTACTAGTGATACCTCACACTATTCCCCCAAGCCTTCACTACCAAGCGCCGCGCATCCATCTCCCATTCCGTTAACGGCTCTAACATCTTCTGTACCTTCTCCTGGAACTCGCCATCCCTGCCACGCATAACTTCAAGGGTACACCACTCGAAGACCCGAGGGTAGTATCCCCCTGATGCCCAATCAACAAAGCAGGGGATATCATCATCCATCCAGACAATATTCCGCGGCGCAACGTCCAGATGGCACATCACAAAATCGCAATGCGAAAATGATATGGGATCGCTGCCGGCTGGAAGACGCCTACAAAACCAATGTTCAAGCCGTCTTGGGGAGGTAAGGTCAAACTCCATTACCATGCCCTCGCTCCAAAGTAGGCCACGTGATAATCTCCCACCAAGAGGACCCGGATTGGCACGTCGAAAGGTAGACAAATGCTGAAGTGCCTTGCCTATTTTTGCGTATTGTCTGTCGTCTATAGGGGAGTCAAGAACAGTCCCACGTACGTACTCCACGACAAGGTAGCCCGTTTTGCCATCCTCGAAGAAGCGGAATGGGCGAGGGACACGTAGAATCTGGCGGTCAACAAGCTAATACGCCTATTAGAGATTATCGTACTCCTCTACGGCGACCCCGCGTCCGAACTTGATCACCGTATCGTTAACACAAATAACTTTATTACCGTAATTTCCCCATGGAAGAAAGGAGTGCTCAATGGAAGGTTGAGAGCAGTGAGCGATGATGTCCCTTTCTGTGGCAGTTCGTGGACAGAAAGCAGATGAAGTGGTCGACATGGTGAACGAAGGACGTTGCGAGGTTGAGGCTCGAGTTGGCGAATTGTCAATCCTTATGCATGAGTGAGCCAATGAAGCGCAAGCACATCTGATGTGAGGCTGGAATTGTCTTTACTGACACCTATTGCTACAACACCTTGTTCATAGAATGCACAACATTTTTCAGTAGAGGACCTTTACGTTGCTTTTTAGATTTGCCTATTGTATAACGTTTCGTGAATCTTTGAATATCCTAATGAAACTTCCAAGGTCCTATGACTAGTAGCTTTTGTTACATTGAATCGGCACCATAAAATTGATTTTAAATGAATTCTCGACTAGTTCTTCGCCAGTACTGTACAACTCTTCAGTCAAATTGATATCACTGTGAATCAGTCCGTCTGGAATGTTACGATCGTTTGTGAACGACAGCTGTAAAAGAAAGCAGGTATGATGATCGTCGCACAAGTATAATGGAAATGTGTCAATAGAAATATACCAAAAATTATAATCATAAAAAAAGACGAACAAAAAGGGGTATCATTATCCATAAACGTCATATTCACATCCGCCAAAACACCCACACATCAACAACAACAACAGATCGAATCCTTCACACGGTCAGCGCCGCAACAAGCGCATCCATAGCACTCCCATGCGTCGTCGCATTGGCTACTGGTACATACGGCCCCGCCCAATTAATACTCAACCGATCCCCATCATCCCGATCGTTCGCCCATATGCTATCCGCGTTAATGCGGATAAACTGCGCGAACATGTCGTCCGGGGCCTCGGCGTGCAGGAGCATCAGGTTGCGCGCGAAGATGCCTTTGAATTGCGAGGCGTCGCCGCCGCAGTAGGGCCCGCAGCGGTCGTGTAGGACGCCGTTTTCGTCGGAGAGCTCGTCGATGGCGGCTTTGGCGGTGCGGGTGGCGAGGGAGACGTAGGAGGAGGCGGCGGAGGGGTCAGCGCGAGAGAGCTCGACGAGGCCGCCGAGGATCACGCCTTGGTTGTATGACCATGTTGTCTGGAGGGGAGAGTTTGTTAGTCGGAGGTTGAGAAGGCAAAAGGAGGATTTTATTTTTAAAGTTCCGTTGTTGCCTTGTTTGGGGAAACTTGAAACGAGGTGGTGAGATGGGTTGTGGGGTGAGCTTACTTGATTGTTGTTTTGGCAGTCTTCCGTCAGCCCGTCGTTGATTGTGCCTCGCTCGTTGATCATACCGCTGTTGACGAACCAGTCCAACTCCCTGCGCGCCCAGTCGACGTAGAAGTCCTTGTTGTCCGCGCGGTTCGCGAGATGCGCGGCCGTGCTGAGGAACAGTTCGTTGGCGATGGCGTTCATGTAGGTTTCCTCCCAGGACCAGAAGATGCCTCCGCCGCCGCAGCGGGTTGGCCATGACTTGGTGACGGCGGCGAAGAGTCCCTCGGCGAGTTGGAGATATTCTTGCGTGCCCGTGACATCGTAGGCCCCGATCCAGGCGAGTGCCCACCAGAGGTCGTCGTCGTAGAAGCCGTCGAGCCAGTCTTCTGGGTTGGGGGTGTCGACGGCGGCGAGTCGACCAGGCTGGTTGATGGGGAGTTTCTTCACATCGACGTACTCGTTTGTTTCCCATCCCACGGGGTATATACTGTATACCTCGCCGTCGATGCCGTGCGATTTGTTGTATCCTGAGATCTTGGGCTCTGGCTTAAGGAGTATAGTAGCATTACGCTTCTTTTTCCTCTTCTTACTGTCTCTTTTCCACGGCTCTTCCTCCACCTCTTCCCCACCCCAGGCCATTTCTTCAATCTCCTCCTCTTCCGGTTCGGCCTCTAGCTCAGCTAGGACTTCCGCATTTGACCTCTTCCCGTTCTCGACACCCGGCTGCGGGTTCTTCGCCGGCGCCTGCACAATCGTGTTCGCAAAAATTCTCTTCGCAAGGTCGACCAGCCTGTCGTTTTCCGAGTCGTGCTTTGCGAGGTTGGTCACCATGGTCATCACGTTGGCGCTGTTCCACCATCCTGAGGTGTCCCAGAGCCCCGTGCCGCCGTTGTACCATATCTGCAGGGCGGAGAAGGCGAGCTCGGCGCGGCTGATCGGATCCGTAGTTTCGTCGCTTTGACACGATGCATTAGGAATGTATGATAAGGCGAGACATGTGAGGAATGGAAGCGTGGGACGCATGATATGGGTAACTATGTATGCTCGCTTATCAAATCGACAAGCGAACGTGCTGGGGAAGATGGAATGTTTGCAAAGAATGAGAAGATGATGCAGGTATCTGAAACTTGAATCAAGTGTTTCTTTATAAAAGAAAAAGAAAGAAGAGCGACGATGTTTTTTAATGTTACGGTACGAAATGTTGCATGAAGATGATTCACACAATGGTACAGTCAAACTTTGCTTCAATGCTGATAGGACGACGCAAACGGACTTTACGCAACAATAAGATTCACACAGTGACGATGTTTCTTTGGCCGGTGCGGCGCAATAGCTTCCTTTTGTACATTCCAGAGGAAGAGGCCCATCCAGGCTCGTGGTAGGGCGACAACAGCAATAGTAACAGCACACGGCCGCTAGTCGCCCACGCTCCTCTCATCTCAGACACAAAATGCACAGCAGCGTGAGTGTCTAGGCGCACGAGACTCCATGGTAGATAGAAACATTTACAAGGAGAATATGGAGACGAGAGGAGATAGAGTCTCACCTTGCGACTAGGGATAGTGGGGACTGATGCGGTGATCCCTGTGGCTGCGGTATCAGGCGCATGCGACGTTGACCATGCGCTTCATCGGGAATTTTAAAGGGGAAGGTCAGGGATTGGCCTCGTGCATGTTGAGATGGAACCAATAGAGCGAGGATGGGCAAGAGAACGGGGATGTGCATCCTCGTGAGGTTCGAACTCAAGTTGTGCAGGCAACGCGTGGATGGTGTATCCGCTGGGATGATGCTGCTTGCGAGGCCACGTTCTCGAGTGGATGTGTTCGCTTAATGGGATGCAACGATGGCCGAGGCGTGCGGTTGTAAGATGGCGTGGATAGTAATTATAGGTCCATAGTGGAAGTATAAAACACTAGATGAAGGTGTGTATGACGTTGAAGAAGAGGTTGATTGTTGAAGGTTGATGATAGGTTGGAGGTTGGAAGGAGTGGCAGATACCAAATTGGCTTAGGGGCAGCTGAGCGACGACGGATTGTCCCTAGATCCCGATGTCTCGCACCCCAGGCACCTCTAGGATACCCACCCATCGATGCGATTCAGCTGTGGGATTCGTACAAATTCAAGCGCCCGCTTGTGTTCGCCCATCACCAGCGCATCCACCTTGTGTAGCCGCCTCGACGGCCCAAGATCGATTGCTGTCGACTGGATGCTTTCGCTTGGCAATTGAAGGATTGGCAAGGAGAAGGCATCCTGAAACAAACCCAAGAAATGTTTCCAGCGTGTAGTCGTGTCTCAACCCGCCGCATGAGGCAAAGCGTGCTGAGTGTACCTGCCAACACCATCAGGCAAAATTAGAGATTGCGCTCACAAAGGGGAATATATCTTTAGGTAGCTCGAGCTACAGAACGATAATTGAGTGCGGTGCATCGTTCTGCGGCAGCCCGGAGCAGCTGATGAGGCATATATCGGCCTCGGAATCGGAAGGTGGTAGACGATTTCACCCAGATTGTGTCACCGGGACAAACGAGTGAGGTTACTTATGACGAACTTTGTAGATCGTCAACATCAGACGCCGGCACAGTTCGGCACATGGGCGCTTAACTTGCATATAGTGTGTAGGGCCGAGGGAACACTCGTGTTTGCGAATGGAGGTATATTGTCCTCACTTCATTAATTATGACGACCATATCATTAGTAGACGCGATAATTCACGCGATTAATAAATCGAACCCAAGTTGTTGAACCTCGTCCATCCAACAGCTCTCTACACCGCCTTTGGTTCGATCCCTACAATCCCAGATCGTTTCCAGAATTTTTCTCACTGACGGGATGTAACCCCAATACATGACGCTGTAGAAATTATCGAGGATGTCCAACACCCATGTTCTCTGTGTTTGTGTCTCCAACTCCGCACCGGCTAGGAACAGCGGCCAGCTTATCGACTTGAACACACTGTCGCCCGGTTGCAGATGCGATATGTGATAGATAATGTCATTGGCCAGATCAGGCAAATTCACTATGGCTTCACCGCCCGCCGGGTTGATGAGCGGGTTGCTGTAGGGCAATGTACGGGCGAGGTAGATGCACACTGCAGACCGATGCGCTGATGCTATGCGCGCCCTTTTCTCGGGTTCCTCGAAGGGCGACACGGGCAGGTAATCGTGCGTCCACTGTACAGGATCGAATGCCAATGCTGCCTCAAGTAGCTCCTTGACTCTGTTGTGCATCTCTGGGGTGACCGGCTCGATTGTCGACGTGCGCTTGTCGGGAAGCTCAAAGGACTGCAGCATGATTCTCAGCAGCGGGGCTGGACACGAAAGGTAATTGTTTGTTTCGGCCCAGGATAAGATGTTCTCCAATGGTATTGTGTCAGGTATTAATTTAGGGGTGGTGGTATAATAAAACAGAGAGCCGAGAATATAAAAGCTAACATTATTAGTAGACTGCCGTTAAAGATGAGACTCGGGGCGAAGTGCAGTGCTTACACAAGAAAGTCAGATATTAGACATGTTCGTAGTCTACTCATCTCATTTGGGCGAAACGGTGGTGTTCCACACAATTCGATCAATCGTCTTGCTCCTTCCATGTGTACTTTCCATTGGTCCTGTCCAGACTCAATGAGGGCATAATTGACGAAGAATAGAATCGTAGCGAGGAGAATGTCGACATTGGAATTGTTGACGTCTCCTATTGATTGGGCGAGTAAGGCAAGTGCATTCGATTTCGCGACCAGCGCGTCTCGGTAAGATGATTTCAAAGGCCCACCAAAGGGGCTCACTGCTTTGTAGTACGCTGCGAGACATAAGCTCTTCTGCCTATGATGATCTGTGAAGACGTCACTTGGCTCTCTGGTGATGTTGAACACGTGCAGAGCCCCATTAGCTAGCACGATCTGAAGCAGTAATGGATACGCAGATGTTGCAGGAATTAGGTCCCGGAAAGGATTCTGGCCGGGACCATCATACACAACCATGTCTGCACATATCTGGGTCGCGAAGTGGTCCAGATAATATCGCGAGTGTGGATTGAGATCTTGCACAAGTGGATCTGCGAGAGCTCGTTGGACCCAGGTGATTGCACTATCGGGCCCGGTAATGGCGGTAGAGGAGGGTACAGCCTCGATATCCTTCTCATCATCTCCATCTACTTCGGTTACTCTGTCTGAATTGGGTATATCGGCGACATCAGTAGAAGATTTTGATGGAGCCTGCGGGCGCGGGGTTTTGAAAGTCCGAATTGCCGGGGGAGCGGTTACTGGTTTTGCGTTGAGTCGTTCCTCGTAAGTCTTTCCCATCATCTTGCCCCGGCTGGCGACGCCTTGGTTCCACACGAATAGTTTGCCATATCCCGGACACTCGATACCCGCAGATAGACATTTCTGGCAAACTGGTAATGATCGATCGCACTTCCAGCGCCGCCGCCGACAGTTGTGGCAGGCCTTGGTGGGGAGGTTGAGATTGGCGGTCATGTGTGTTTATGTCAGCAAGAGAGGAGCATGCAGAAGATGAAGATGAGTTGCCAAAAGCAGCAGCTAGCTTGCTTGGGAGGAAAGATGGAGAAACGAATAGACAGCTACTGACGCGGAGTAGATAAGCGGCATACGAGTAGTGGAACGGCCATGGAGCAAGAGAAAGGGATCTTTTCTGAAATACCTACAAAGAACCAACGCCAATGGGGCCCGTGGCTGCCGAACCGGTTGATCAAAACGGGTTCGGTGGATCTGGGAATAGAGTACGGATGGCTAGAGAAGCCTTCGATGCAGTTCTTTGTTCACCGTTGCCCGAGTCCTGGGTGCCTGGCCAATGATTCAGATGGTTCAGGTGCCCATTGTTCGCCTGATTACTCTGGATTTCCGCGTTTAAGGTCGTTGTAGCCACCCGTTCGGTGCAATTCCATGTGGTAAGATGCCACTGATGGCATCTCCATCTCCAAAGCCCGCTTAACCCCTTTAGGCGGCCAAGATACATTCATTGCAGATTGGCTCCACCCTGTGACGACCTCTTCTCTCACACAACTTCGACATTCGCCGCATTCTCTGCATGTTCTGCTAGGTCGTCACGGCGTCGGTTAGCGAATGCTGCATTTATCAGCAGTGACTCGAACAAAATGCCATCCTTCTTCAAATCCTCCGTGTCTATCCAACACACTCAACTATATAGTTCAAGAAAGCGACCACCATATGGAGTCTTGACTTTCGTCATACTACAAGTATAATTCAAAACCTACCAAGATACACTTGCGGACAACTTCATTCCATCATTTGGATATATACTCGCCTACCTTGTATAAGTTGAATTACTATACTTCATATCTATTTTCATGGGTACAGACGAGGTTGAGAATGGCCCATCGCCTACTCCAGGATTGTACACCCCAGAAGAACTGGAACGCCTCGGCCGTGAACGTCCTCCCGCATTCAAATCGATATGGCACGAACTAGGGTTCTGTTTTTCCCTTCTGGGGTCTATGTTCGTATCAGAGTACATGATCTCGGGTTTCAACGTCCTGCTTCCTCCCCTCGCTGAAGCTTTGGATATCCCCGAAAAGGCAGAAACATGGCCAGCGAGCGTCTTCTCCCTAGTGACCGGCGCCTTTCTACTCCCCTTCGGTCGCCTGGCGGATATATACGGTGGATACATCGTCTTCATATCTGGACTGGCTTGGTTCGTCATCTGGTCTCTCATCGGCGGATTCAGTCAAAACTACATAATGCTCATCTTTTGTCGAGCACTTCAAGGATTCGGCCCAGCTGCGTTTCTACCTTCCGGGATTGGCTTGCTTGGGAGCATCGTAAGTGCCCCTTTTTTAATTGCGGATCGATCCGCCACTAACGGCTGTTGCAGTATCGTCCCGGACCACGTAAGAACTTCGTTTTCAGTCTCTACGGCGCATTTGCTCCTGTGGGATTCTTTGCGGGTATCTTCTTCGCCGGCTTGACTGCCCAATTCCTGACATGGAACTGGTTCTTCTACATTGGAACCATCTTTCTGGCCATCGTCTCTGTCGTATCCTACTGGGCCATCCCCTGCGATGTGGGCGAGGATTATAAGGAAGAGGTCAAGATGGACTGGCTAGGCACTATTGTCATTGTCCCCGCGCTGATGCTCATTGTATACGGTCTGACCGATGGTTCCCATGCCCCGAACGGCTGGGCCACACCGTATGTCTTGGTCACGTTCATCCTGGGCTGGATCCTCATCGGCGTATTCGTCTACATCGAAGGCTGGGTCGCAGAGCAACCTCTCCTCCCCTTCGATCTCTTCCAAGTCAAAGGAATGGGCCCCTTGACCATCGCCCTCTTCTTCGACTACGGCGTCTTCGGAATCTTTCTTTTCTACGCGAGCTTCTACATGGAAAACATCCTCGGCGCCTCTCCACTCCTCACAGCCGCATGGTTCGCCCCAATGTGCGTTGGCGGCCTCATCCTCGCAACCATTGGCGGCTTGATCCTCCACTTGCTTCCCGGCACAATGTATGTCCCCAAATACACACAGTACGAACAGAACAACATGACTAACCACCTCCCAGTCTTCTCCTCGTAAGCGGCACATGCTGGGTCATCGCGCCCCTCCTCTTCGCCGTGATGCCCACCTCCCCCAACTACTGGGCCTTCATCTTCCCCGCCATGATCTGTGCGACCGCCGGCATCGACATAATTTACAACGTAACCACCATCTTCATCACCACGTCTCTCCCCAAGCGTCGCCAGGGTCTCGCCGGCGCCCTCGTAAACACGCTTCTCTTCCTCGGCATCTCCTTCTTCCTCGGGTTCGCGGATCTCGCTGCCGCGCAGACGAAACACCTCGGCGCGAGGAAGAGCTACAAGGTCAACTTTTGGTTTGCGGTCGGGTTGTCGAGTGCGAGTTTGGTTATCCTGGCGTTGGGGGTTAGGTTGAGTAAGGCGGAGAGCGGGTTGACGGTGGATGAGAAGGCGGAGTTGGAGAGGGAGTTGACGAGAAGGGATACGAATCAGGAGCATCCAGCTTGAAGTGTGCAGGCTGCAATGTTGGGGTCATTGGGGAGGTGGTAGGGGGAAGGGGGAGGAATTAACGAAACGTAACGTAACGCTTTTAGATCGTACTGAGATACCCGGATTATACAGATAACATAGAGTTTGTACTAATGCATAATTACATTTACACATCACCTTTCACGTCTCTGCACGCACTTGTGAGAACCTGTTATGCTAATGATGACCATGATTTAGACGCAACTGAGGATGGAGAAGGAGACTGAACACTAGGACACAAGCTGAGGTCGAATATACAAAGGGAGTGTGTCAATCTATTAATTTGCTGAGCTCAATATGTATGAGACTCGGGTATCTGGTATTACTGACTATACAACATTTAGTTAGAAGGATTTAACCCTCCTTCATCGCTGTCTTGCCAAAACGAAGGCAACTGCAGTGTACAATATAATATTTGCTCAACGAGCATCACAGCAATCACACGATGTAAATGTCATCCAGTCCCTCATAATCTCCCTCACCTCCTTCTCCCTCTTCATCCTGTCCGACATCCATACTCCCCAAGTCTACCCCCTCCATCAGCGGCGCATCTTCCTCGATCTTCCCCTCTTCCTCCGCTTCCTCCCTGCATCCCCCCCTTTCCCTCCTCCTCTCCCTCGTCATATTTCCCCAAACCCTCCCGTCCATAACATCATCCTCACAAAACGTCGGTCCAACGACCCTCACCTCCCCCATATCTCCGACTCCCCTCACTACAACCGGCCACCTGACCCCCGATATCAGCGCGACCCTGTCGCCCACCCTCACATCCCCCCTACACAACCCAAATGTCGAGCCCGTCCTGAACGGCCGCAGCCCGTGACGCACGAGCTTGTTGCACGACTCGACGTGGAGCGCGAAGATGTCCGCGGGTGAGGCGCGGTAGAAGACGATGGAGACCCAGCGTGCGAGGTATCTTTTCTTCTTTGACGTCATGGGGCCGATGAGAACGAGCAAAGAGGCGAGGAAGCGGAAGAGGAGGAGGAAGATGTGATATATTTTGCGGGTGGTGGACGTTCGGTGCAGAAGGAAGTGGAAGCGGGAGTTTTGGGAGTCCTTGTCAGTCCAAAGGGTGAGGAGGGCGGATGGGGAGTGCGAGAGGAGGTGTTGGCCGTAGAGGGTGTCGAGAGGGTCGATGGTTGGGTGTTTCCAGGCTCCATGGAAGACGCTGAAGGTGTTGTTGTTTCGGAGGCGTTGTTTGGAGGTGATGTTACTTATGTGTTTCTCCGCTTCGAACTCGTGATATGTGTCTTGGGTTTCGAGGAGGGGAAATATCTCGGATACTGAGTCGGACAAGATGTGACCCTTTACATGCATTGTTCCGGGGTGACGGCCGCTGATTTGACAATATGGATGGCCGAAGGTCTTTTGGATCACCGCGCCATCGGATAGCACGCATTGTAGCCATGAGCCTTCTGTCACGTCTTCGGAGCAGGATGAGAAGTCGGGAACCCATGAAGGCCCCGTTGCAATCGAGTTGTGTGCTGCGAGCTCCAGAACCTGCATTCCGCCCGTTTCAGCCACGAGATGTGTCGCCAATTGCTGGTAAATTTGGAGCTGAGACAGCCTGTAGTTGATGGGCGGTGGCAGGGCGTGTGTAGACACGTTGGAGAGAATGGTGTTGATACCGAAACTCATGTCCTTCGGGTTCGTGGCTTTCCGGTGGCGGAGATTCTTCGTCATCTGGCCTAGGATGTTGTCGGATTGGCCAAACGACCATTCTACACGAGTGGCTCTCGAGGGCGCTGATGGCGTTACAGGCTTTGGAGCCCGGCTGAGAAGCCACATGTAAAACAAGCCTGAAAAGATCAAGAAATTGTACGCAAAGATACGAAGGGCGTGACTGTTTGTCGTATCGCCGAGTACCGACCTCTTGATCCATAATACGATCATCCAGAAGATGTTCGCCAAGGTGTAGGACACGACCAACTCGATGCAAATCGTGATAGTGCTGTATAAGAATGCGGTCAGTCGCAAAAACTTCCGGTAGCGCGTCATCATCTGGGCCCTCGCCGGTTCGCACAGAGCAGGGCGCTTTGAATCCAGAATTGCAACCGATCTGTACATATCTCTACTAATGACTATCTGTCCCCATGTTTGGAACAGCGTACTCGTTTTCTTTGCGTCCAGGGGAAACATGATAGCGTACGCCAGACGCTCCCAAGCAATAAAAGAATTCCCACATACGACAACCGGGTTGTTGGCAAGGATGATTTCTTGGAATGTCCAGATTCGATTCGCCCAGTCTCTATCTAAGAGACCATTGAGATCATCGAGAGTCGCGAAGCCTCTGGCATACGTAGAGTAAAACCGAGCGAGCCACCCTAAGTTCCAGGGCCAATGTAAAACTTTGAGACGTTAGCAACATGTACCACCAGAAGTCCAATCCGAGAAAACTCACTGTTGCTATCGAGCGGCGAAAGCTGTGTCTTCCAAGTCCAGGAGTTCCTCGCAAGCCACCACCATGCAGCCGGAATAGCACGTAGTTTCGGTATTTCGCCCTCATCCGGATTTCCATTTTTAAAAAACAATTGCATCAACCCCGTTTTCGACAGAAACTCCATCGCTCTTTCGGTTGACTCATCTCCTTCCCCAAGCCAGATAAAAACCTTCTCCGCCCTCGAATAAACATCGCCCATAAGTCCGATCTGATGCGCTTTCTCATCATCGTCCATCTGGTTAATACACAGCGCATCGATCCAAATGACGAACGACCCCATGCTTTTCCTCAGATGCCATAATGCCGAATAGCAATTCGCAGTAACCAGCACGGCGACATCGTTGCAATACACGTGATCGATTATCGGATTGGGTGCCCCCCAAACGTACGACAAGGCCGCGAAAGATGGTCGCTCGTCAAGATCCGCAACAAGCATGCTGCAGCGGATGGGTCCGCCATTGAGCTCTGAAGTCGCTGGTTTTACCTCCAGAAAACGCAGGCATTTCGATTGTCGTGGAATAGGAAGTGTCCTGTAGAGGGCTTTCAAATTTTTTTCCATTGCGATTTGGCGAATTCGAACATGCGTTCGCTTCGAGGTCGTTCCAGTGGACGCGTTCGGGATAATAAACGGCTGCTCAGCCCCATCCCTTGGTTAGGCAACCCCCCGTTTCAGCCCCATCTTCTCGTGTAATCCCGCGGTAGTGCAAGTTTATGACTGCGCCTACAATGGGATGAATTAAGGGCTTGAAGGATTTAATGTAGAGGACAGACAATTTGATGGCGGGTGCATTGCCAAAGGTCGTGGAAAATATGGTGTTGGCAGAAGTGTCTGTATGTTGAATCGACTGGCCAATGACAGGGGCAGCAGCCGATCGACAGATCTTTCTACATATAGAAATGCTGCAGAATTCTTGCGATAACACAATTGCATAATAACCTATTCAGGACACAGGCAATGATATACATATTTCGAGAAGCAAATAGAATGAACAACTACATTTGTGAGCGAAAAACGCTTGGAGTATCAGCCCCACGAGGCATCCAGCGCTCTGCCTACTTTCTTTCGCGAGCCTACGAATAATCCATCACTCTAAAGTTCTGGTCTATTACACAGGTTCACATCTGCGAGAGTCTTTGTAGTCCAGATAGCTGCGTACGCACAGACGTGATCTTCCTGCAAGAGGGGCATTGCACTTGCTTTAAGCGTTGGTTCTCTTTTGATCCTCGGTCTACTCCTAATAGGGTTTGTCTGCAAGTACAGAGCAAAGAATGTTGGGAATGGAGAAGACCCACCACGGTATCCCATGCCTCTGACAGGTACCGGCAGTGCAGCAATTAGCTCAAATTGTCATATATTCCCGGGCGATGAAGATTGTGTCTTTCTATCTATGCGATGGGGGTATGGTAGAGGACTTCGAGAATGGGGATGGAGGACGCTTTACATTCACCACCACCGTTGACATACAGTACCCTCCGACAGTATATGGCAAAGTCCGAGTTGTATAGTTACCCAACGGACAATGAATCCTGCTTCAGCACATACGCACACATGGTAATGCATTGTGTCACGCAAATGCCGTAGAAAAGATGATTCGTTAGATGCATCCTATGTGAAAAATGTCATGTTCTGAATAAGGACCGAGTAATTGCGATTATAGGGCCTAAGTTTGTACTATAGTCGCCTTTTGGAGATGAGTCCTACGTATCTACAGCAAATTGTTCAAGGGCATGTTTGACGATTAGCGTCTACACTCTAGCCCTACCTGCTGCTACTATCAACATTTCCTTTTTGTAACAACCAAGTTAGGCCCGTCATGATCAGAAACAATTCCATCGTACAATTGGAATTCATCTGCTCTTGCCCGCGCCTTGTCTTTTGCCTCAGGCGATCCACCCCCTAACCTCCCAGCCTCACCCGGGGCCTGTTCCAAGTCGAAGTGCCATAACGTCTTGGCCACACAAGACTCGTCTCTAGGTATGCCATGCTTTTGCCCAGGCACGTGGCTTCGCCGATGCCAAAAGGAACAAAGGCGCGACGCAGAGTTTTGCTGTTGCCCTCATCGAGCCAGCGCTCTGGCTGGAAAGCGAAGCGGTCTGAGAAGTAGGCCTCGTTGTGCTTTATACAGTACGTATTGACGACCACCATGGTACCCGGAGGAATGACATGACCGCCAACAATGAAGGGCTTGGTGGAGGAGTGACGGTTCAGTACAGTCTCCTCCTCACGCCAGGGCATCGAGGTTGTTGGCACAGATATACGAAGGCACTCATCAATGATGGCTCGGAGGGAGGTACAGCCAGCCAGCAAAGGCCCGCTGCGAATGTCCTGGGCATCAGGGAACGTGGTACGGATCTCGGAAACAAGCCGCCTGTGTGCGGCAGGGTGGCGTGAGAGGTAGAAGAACACAGCCGTGAGTGTGCTCGAAGTCGTCATTCCGCCCGGAATAGTCGTCTGTGAGAAGTTTTGCACATTTCGCTTTAGGAGAGTGGGGACAGGGAAGAGTGAAAGACTGACCTGCAGGTACAAGAAACGTAGCCTCGCCCCAATGCTCACTCATCTCTGCTCTAGAAAGGTTCTCGCTATTTTTTCCGGCTTCGGTCGCCGCGATAGAATACAAGTCATTTTTGGCATCTCGAGGCAGGGCGACGCGAGTATTGATGATGCGAGTGAGGAGCGTTCGAAACGCGTTAAATTTGGCCTTGTTCCACCAAATAATGAACTTGTTCATGCCTATGCTAGAGAGAGTAGGCCATGCCACTTCCAGAGGCAAGCTTAATTAGTTTCTGGGTTGAAGATGGGATTCGGTGAGCAAACAATTACACACGCACCAAATACATTGGCCAACGCCAGCCTGCCCACCATGGCCCGCGGCAAGAACCGATTGTCGTCTTTTGTCTACGTCTCGAGCTCGTGGCCAAAGGCTAACTGCCCGGACACGTCAGTTACGAGGCGCTCACAAAGGGGCGTCATGTTGACGGGAGCCCCAGTATCCGCCACAGCAAAGAGCTCTCGCAGGAAGATGCTGGTCTCGGCTTGAATCGTGGGCTCAAAAGTGTGCAGAGCGCGTTCTGAGAGTAAACGACCGTACATATTACGCTTTTGTCGCCGGCGCTGCCGATCTATCGTGTTAAGCATGTTCTCCTGGCCCTCGAGCGATGAATAGCGATAAGCCCTTCCCTTGGTGGCGCGCGGATCCAAGTAGATATCATGGAGTGCCGTTACAGTGTTGAATACAAGGCGATCTGGGCCCTGGCGGTACACGGATCCGTACTGTTGCAAATCAGAGAAGGTTTGTAGATGAAGCCGCCGCCGGACGGCGTGGTAAACGGCATAGGCATTGGTGAAACGGGCAATAAATGGGCCTTTGAAATGTCTCAAAGGGTCAAAAAGGAGGTAGTACACTAGAACGGAGAGTGCCAGAGGAACTAACACAGTTGCGACATAGATCCCCAAAGTCAAACTAGACAGCGACATGCTTACAGACGTCAAACTCCCAGGTACAAACTATTTCAGAGGTAATTTTGAGAATGAAAAGTTCGTGAAATCAAGTATGGGTTTTGATATCACTGCAGCTAACCTATTCCGGCACTTTGCATAGTATAGCATGTTTTCGGAGGCGACTTTGCGCCGCAGGTGATATTACAAAATGCCTAGAATCATGATGCCTGTCAATGTAAATATTAAACCAGAATGTGAAGAGCTGGAGTATTTACGGCAATTACATCTCAAGAATGGATTGGCTCCCGATAGGTCTGCAGAGGACTGAAGATCCCGACTTTTGTATTCGGGTCAAGCTAAAATGGAAGGTGTTTCTTGTTTGAAGGACCAACTATACCTTAAGATCCAGAGGGTCTCAAGTCAAAAATGGCACAGCTTACAGAAGTACCAACCGTCTGGTTCGCTTATGGTAGTCAATAAAGCTACTTGCAAAATTTCATATGAAAGCGTGTTGCCTTCCCCAGAACCAAGGCCATCCTCTTACAGTTGATTGCCTTCTGTCCCTCAGTGTCATATCTGATAAGGTGCCTCGGGGTCTGGATAAATGATTTCATATTGCATTATGCAGTATGTCCTTACTGTGCCACTTGCGGTCCGTAAATATCACTCAGACAATTTGATTGGAAGGGCAGACCTTGAGTTTGTTACACATCAGATGCACGTCGGCTTGTATGTCTGGTTCTATTGTCCCAAGTCGGCGGCGCAGCTAGTGCATCTTCTTGATGGGTTGAAGTGTTCATGTGCAGATGCAAATCGGAACTTGAAATGTTATGCACAGGGAAAGATTCTGGTCAATTGGATGCATGAAAAACAGGCCTAATTCGTTAAGTATTCAGTGGTTGTTCGTGGGCTTGTGGGGTTTGAATTGGGATACGCATTCATGTAGATACTATCGACAGCTGATAAATGTCTACTTAGTTTAGACTCCTTGGGAGTTCAGTCGGCCGTAACTCTACCGCTGAGACTAAGTAGTAGTTTCTCTGTTTGTGAACATCAAGATGCTTGGGTTTTGTGGGGAGAAAGGCAACATTCAACACCTTGCAGCTACTACCTAGCTAAATCTTTTTCATCATCCCAATAGTAAAACGTTCCGTGAAGTCTTGAAAATGCGACAATTTGGTAACGGTCGGAACAGAGAATTTCGTCGCCATACTTTCCCTGTAGCACACTCCTAGATGAGTAGGATGTGTTCTGCTATTCCAAATGATCTGGGAGCTCTTCAAGGAGATGACCTGATTAAGGCAATCTCTCATCGAGCTCCATGTGCTCGACATACTCCCCAGTGGTAGATTTTGTTAGACCGTCCTCATCATGCGAACGTGTGGTGGTCAATCGCGATATGCTAGACTGATCCCACTGGTCGCGCCTCTTGAAGTTCCCTGACCTCTTGCCACCCGATCCGCCAATGGTGGCGACAGATGAGTCTGGCATAGGTAGTGGGTCTTGCGGCCTGCGCCGACGGATCATACGGAGGAAAAGAGGGTAAACGCTTGGCAAGCAGGCGCAGATGACGGCAACATCAAGTTCAATCCCCGACCACAATTGCAGCCCAATGCCGTCGCCTGTTTAGCAGGTAGGTCAGATGGCTGTTTTAAAGGACAAAAATGACTACCGCACTAAAGGAGGGGATGGGCTACTCACGAGTTGAGTTACCGCTACCATCAAAGCCCCCGATGACTCTAAACCGATAACACTGAACGACAGCGGTACTGTAACAGGTTAAGTGTGGTGCTAGGGTTATAAAGAACAACACACACCATATCCCCCAAGCAAACATGACCGTTACTGCAAATTTCTTGTACAGTGGTAGCTGAAGTCGCAGGATGTGTGGCAAAGGCACGACGAGAATAACCAAGGTCCAAAACAAATCAATGACGCCTCCCGAAATGCTAACCTTGTTAGCACCGACACAGTACCCCTCATGTTCGCCGTCCCAATGCTGCCAAAAATGCTTGATCGGCGTGCATTGAAAAATATTGAACAAGAAAAAGCCTACGCTCAGAGTGTCGCTGATAATGAGCACGGCCCAAAATGTAAGGCGGGGTGCAGTTCCGGTGGCGAAGATACGTAAATAAAAGAGCAGGACAGACGTGCGGAGGGTAATTTCGCACCAGTTATACAGTATGAACTCAATGTACGCGAGCTGACGAATGTTAGCTCGAGAGGCTCATAGACAAAGAAAGTGAGAGACTCGTACAATGAGAATCTTGGTGATGTTTTCTGGGGGCACCGCCCAGATATCAGTGCCGAAACCCAAGTTGGCACCCACGAATCCAACAGTCGTGTGAGCAACACAGCCAACCTACAAAATATAAGTTTGGGACCAGTTCGAGCGTCGCACGTGTTGGGAGAAGGTCCTCACCGCTCCTAGGAGATTGAAGAAGTCATCCCACCAGAGTTTGCTGTGACACACAATTCTGGATACAAGTCTCAAGATGAAGATGATACCAGCGAAGATGATGAAAAAGATCATCGGCGGCACCCATGAGCGGTCACGGGCTGGACGTACGCCACACTGGGTGTTCGTAATGCGAAGTGTGACTACATGGAGCAAAGTGTTAATGAGGTTCTTTACCACAAAACTACTGTCAATGGAAAAGAAGATATAGAGAAGGCAATATCACCTAGCTGCTCTCGAATAGTGCAGGACCCAAGGACGCATTGATGTGCTTGACTCTGAAGAGCTGCATTGGTGCAAATACAGGGAATATTGGTTGGGGCACAAGTCAAATTGAGGACAGCTTTGGTAATGCAATCCAGCTGTGATGACGATAATCAGAAATGTTTGGTCTAGAGGTAATGATGATCGGTACTAACACCACATTTGGGAAGTATCTGCGATTGCCCTGAGACCAGACCCACCATCATAACTAGGCCGAAAAGAATGGGAATCAAGTTTACTTTCATGGCGATTCGGTTAGTCGAAAACGAGACGTGGAAAGAGCTTGAAACTCAGAAGGATCAATATCAAAAATTCAAAACTGAATGATGGAAAACTTGTGACGATGCGACGGGTTTGGGAACGGCAGCTTATTTAATGAACTGGCGGGTTTAGTGTCTGTTAGTTTGGGGAGCATGCGGCAACGAAGTCCAATCAATCATTCATCCCGAGCAGATAGACTTTGTTGGTGGATGTGCAGTGGTTTGAGTGTCTGAGGTGAGATACACCCGCCTCCACAAACCTGAGACGAAAGGGGCCCGACGAAGTAGCCCTCCCAATAGAATCTAGATAAGCTGCATCCTGCTGCAGACAACAAAGTATTTCAAGCAGCCGTAACTTTGTGAGACCAAAATCTAAACACGATGTGTCGTTGACAGACTTTCACGCCGGCAAGATCCTATAACCGGTACGGTAACGCTCAGGAAGAAAGGACGATCTGACTACCCGTATACATTAAGGGTGTTATGGCCCATACCACGCCATGAAAACGGACATAAGATTCTGCAAACTGTGGATAGTGAACCCCCCCCTCGACAAACGCTTCCTCCGACATGCGGCGGAAGTCGTACATGAACTGCCAGTATGATCGATTGCCGCGAGGGTTGCTTGAGCCAATGTGAAAATAGTACGATTACATTGTGACCCCTCGGGCACATAGAACGAGAACTCAACATTAGGCCTTATTTCCCGTGCTAAAAAGAAATGCCGTATCCCAGGGACAGAATATACAAAGGATACTAGCTAGTCTTCCGTGCTGGGGTCGCGGGACTACAATCCTTGTGTAGATCTCCGGAAGCTGGGGGGAGGCCGACATATAGAAGGCGCCAGGGAGTGGTGAAAAGCATGGGTCCTGGAGGCTTCGGGATCCGATGAGGAAGCAACCATGCATGAACCAGTGGAGAATTGATTCATTATACGAACAGAATCACCAGTCTAGATGAGTAGGCAACCATGCATGAACCGGTGGAGGATTGATTGATTATACGAACAGGATCAACAGTCTAGATGCCAGGCCGTTGCCAAGGCTGCTTGACATATGCACAGACAGTATCATGTACCGCATAGGTACAATCATCTGGTGAAATTGAAGCCAGCTAGGCCTGATCAAGCCTTCCGGGCATATTATAGGAGGTGGGGCCAACAAAACCTTACTACAACGTCAGCCTTTCACTCGTACAGGCAAGAATCACGTGTATCTGCAGTTACGTGCTAAGCAACGTTCTATTATCCCTATAGCTCAAGCATTTTTGATGCCAAGTTGACTGAGACGCACTCGAGAATAGCAGTAGCACCATACACTCTTAGCAAGCAAAGCCCTAGTTCTAGTGAGAACAAGTTTTGCTCTCACAGTCGCGATTCTTCCCAGGTCTGCCCTACGACGCGCCAGTAGCGATCCGCATGCTTTCTCGCATGCGCAACATGCCCCGTTCCATCGAACACCTCGTGTTGCACACTGAACCCTTTTGCTTCCGCTTCATGAGCATGATGCTTCACAGCCGCAGCGGGAGTAATGCGGTCAGCCGGACCGTATACATAGACGCGGCAAGTCTCATGTACGCGAGCCGGGTCATTGTGGGCGCGCGGCGCTAGGTCGCCAATATGATCCGGCACCCGCAGTAAGGTGATGGCCGTCCATACAAGGGCAACGTAGAGATACGCGACCGGCATGACGGCAAGGCGGATCACTGCCGAAGGGGTTCCATCGAGTATGCCCTTGAGGAGGGTCTGGTAGGTAAAGGGCGCGGGAGTAGAGTCGAAGATGGTGGCGTGCAAGGGAAGAACGGTATTCTTGGGAGCATCAGATGAGCTGGTGGTTGCATAGGCCATGTAAAGGTGGTATAGCATGGTCGAGCCGGCATTCGAGAAGACGTGGACCAGTAGCCGCGGGGAAGGTCGCGACTCGGCGTCACTGTGAGGTGTAGTCTGGGCCTCATCCGGCTCAAGAACGGCGCGGGCGGCGATTGCGGCGATGCGAGCCTCTCGCAATCCCAATCGCGGAATGGTCATGCCTGCAAATGTGCACGTAACGAGCAAAATGGTCGAGACGGGGAAAAGGGCCTGGTGGTGACGGACGTATTTGGCGAGTGTGTTTTTCGAAGCTTTCATCCAGCCAAAGACAATAATAATAAGTGTCGGGTTATTGCCTTTGGGAGTAGGTGTCGTGTTGTCCGGCGATGGGTGCAACATGTAAACGCTGGGGGAAAGCGTCTCCATGAAGCTCAACCCGCCGCTGCCGCCGACGCCGCGCATACCATCCGTCGTTGTCGTTATGACCGATGGGTTGAGAGGTGATGGTGAATGAGATGAGTACTGGAAAGGTTTTGTCTAGGTGTGTGCAATTCGAGAGCGGTAATGACTTTATGTTCCTTGAGACAATGAAAGGTAAGCTAAGCAGGAGAGACCGGGTAAACGAAAGTGTAAGCGGCGTAGACATCCAGCATCAGAAACCGTACCCCGGCCATATCAGAGACTCCAACGAGCCAGGGGGTTTAAAACTGGTACATAAGTTTAAGGCAAACAAATTGTAGGCGGAGACAAGTGACCCTACACCCCTGTCACAGTGAATACACAAGGTTGAGGTCAAACATATTGGTTGATGGACGATGCAGCTCCTGGGTACAGCATGATCGGCTTCCCACCAATCCCCATGTTCAAGTACGCTCCAGGGTTGCCTCTTGGTTCCCATTTTCCCCCATTTAAACATGGTGGCTTCGGCTTGTCGTAGCTGGAAGACGTTTGTAGCTTGTTACCCCACGACTCAGAACACTACCCTTCACACTCTATTTCACCAGACTTGACATTACTGGTACGAGCGAGATTTCCTTGCAGGAGCACAAGACGCCTGAGCAGGGCGGCGGAAACGATGGCAACGAGAAGGAAGAGGTGCCCTTAGGAACATACCTCACCGGAATTCGCTTGGTGCTCGTCTGCATCAGGTCAGTTGCCCCTTTGACTATATACTACCCGTCATCTATTGTCCAAACTTCAAGCTAACGCGCAGCGATGTATCCATAAAGCCTATGCATATGTATTTTCCTACCCACAGCCGAGATTTCCATTGTCAGTACCTCGCTCGTCACAATGTCGATAGACTTGAACGGGTTCGACAAGAGTAACTGGGTCATCACCGCCTATCTTTCAGCCTTTACAGGTATCTTTGACCTCATCATTCAACATCAGTATCTTGAAAGCTGAAGACACCAAGGATTCCTCATCATTTGGGCCAAGACTGCCCATCACATTGGCCTCAAATCAACCCTTATTAGCTCCCTTATCATTTTCATGGCCTTCTCAGCCGGGTGCGAGGCGTCCCAGACCATCGATCAGCTGTGAGTCTCCATTTACATTTACATGATACAATTCAATCCTGATGATGCCTGCCGGGCTGTAGCATTATTTTTCGCGCCTTCCAAGGCATTGGTGCCTCTGGCGCTATGGCCTTAACGTCCACGGCATTCTTTCAGATTGCGCCCACGAAGGACTATGGCAAGATGAGTGCTATTTTATCGTGCACCCTCGCAGTTGCATTGGTCGTCAGTCCTCTCATTGGTGGTGGTCTCAGCAATGATAATCACTGGCGCTGGATCTTCTACTTAAAGCAAGTCAATAAACCATCATGTCATTTCAGGAGAAATACTAACTCTCATCCGCCCCTTGTTGCAGTCTCCCGATTGGAGCCGTCGCTCTCATCATTGTCGTACTTGCTTTGCCTAACCGATTTCGTCATGTTGATCCCATCCCACGAGATTCTGCTAAGCGCAGCGTCGTGTCCAAGGTGGCTGGATTCCTCTGGGATGCCGACATTGTCGGTGCGTTTCTGCTGTTGGGCACTGTAGTCTTCCTGGTGGCGGCGCTGGAGGAGGGTGGAACCGTAACCTTTTCTTGGGGATCCCGGGTGATCGTTGCATCACTTGTCGTTTCTGGCTGTCTTTTGACAGCCTTTGTTTTCTGGCAATGGTGGGCGGGCAGAGGGGCAACAGCGGCCGTGCCTTCATTCCCGCGCAGCTTCACCCACAACCGCGTCCTACTACCGGGTCTCCTGTGAGTGGGCTTTCGAAATTTTCTTTAACATTGCTGACATACCTGCGTAGAGGTGCTTTTTTGGTTGGAGCGCCAATGACCATAGCATCCATCCAGCTCCCACAGCGCTATCAGCTCATCAACAAGAGCTCGCCACTTGGGGCCGGCGTCAAATTTCTGGCTTACGGCATCCCATTTCCTGTGGGAGTGGTGGTTCCGACGATTCTCGCGGGCAGAATCCGCCTTCCTTTCACCTACATCCTCATGCTCGGAACTATTCTACAAATTGTCGGCTTTGCTCTCCTCTCCACTGTACCTAGCTCCGTAGATACCTGGCCCGGCCAGTTCGGATATAGTTGCATCGCCGGACTTGGTGGTGGAATCACTGGGGGCTTGTACAATTTCCTCGTTCCATTATCGATAGATAAGAAGGAGCAGTGTAAGTTCTGATTCGTTCCAGCAAGATGCATGCCCATGAATGCAACCCCGCTGACATTCACCTGGGATACAGACCTTGCCATCGGCGCGGGACAGCAGGCTCGCATGTTGGGAGGCTCAGTTGGCATTGCTGTTGTCAACAGCGTATGGGTCAATTACGTGCGGTCGCATTTGGGATCAGTGCTCGCGAAAGCTGAAATTGACACGCTGCTGACAGACACAGAGAGTCTAATTGACTTTCCCACCGTCACTCAGGAGACGTTCCGAACTATATGCAGCGACGCCTACAACCTGCAGATGCGCGCTACGTTGGGCTTTGCAGCTGCACAAGTTATTGTCACAGTCGCTCTATGGCGAAGATCGGCGTATAGACTAGGCAGCGAGGGCCAGCTTACGCAGTCATAGAGTTGTGGCGATCCAGAGGTTTCGACGGACGAAGATATTAGAGGGGGTGTTTAGAGGGACCTGTTAGATTGCTGTATGTAGTTCCCCGGCTTATTGCGAGATTGTGAGATCAAAGACAATGTCAGTTGTGGGCAATTTAAAACTAGGCAATCGGCCACCGTCTGGCGTGGTTGTACAACACCCGCATTGCACAAGCTTTCATAATCAGAGGGCTGATGGAAACTCAGTAATTGAAAACAAGGCAATGGAGAACTAGCCAGTGTGGCTACACGACGTTTGCATTATACGAGTTTACATTTTCATTGGCATCTTCAAAAAATGAAACTTCGAGCTTTTCCGGTCAGCCATATGAATCAGCATATCGGGTTACACAACGCATGCATTGCAGGCATCTCTACCAGTATGTTTGATTGAAAGAAGGCGCAGAGGCAAAATAATGTTAGTGTCCTGAGTCAAGAACATGTATCACCTTTGGACCGCGATGCCAATTTGGATCATCATTATTGACTTAGCGGGCTCCTGGGTATGCGTCTTGAATACAGCGATCTGGGATGCGCCTCGATGCAACGGGCATGCATACATGGCCATGGCGTTGTTGGATGTTATTTTCAACCATTATCGTATGGATTATTGCGGTTCAAATTGCTCATTATTTACTCTAGCCCGGGGTAAAGAATAGGCAACAAGTGCTCTAAACGGGTATGCCCTGCGTACCTCGTAGAAATCAAGTAGATTGTGGCATACTTAAACCGCAACTCAGAAGTATAGTCGCTTTGGTAAGTCTCTTCATTTGCTCAAGCTGCTGCAATACCCACAAGAGTAATAGTTTCACACTGACATCTTACGAGCCCCGAAAGAGAAAGACTCAAGATGGGATCTACAAGCCCCAATGATGGTGGGATACTTCGTCCCCTCGCTGTGGTTGGGATGTCGTACCGATTCCCTGGCGAATCAACCTCTGATGAAGCCTTCTGGAACATGCTCCTATCCAAGAGATGTGCTTCGACTGATATACCCCCGACCGCTACAATATCAACGCTCACTACAACCCAGACCCCAAGCGTCTTGATACGATTACCTGCCGCGGAGGTCACATTATTGAAGGCCGAGCTGGTACGACTGTACATTTGCCTATTCATGATCTTTGATGACTGACTCCACGAGTACGTAGATGTCTTTGATGCAGGCTTCTTCGGCATCGGCGCCACTGAATCCAGCTCAATGGACCCGCTCCACCGTATCTCTCTGGAGGAGTCGTTTCGCGCCTTTGAAAACGCCGGTCTGTCTCTGGAGGATGTAGCCGGCACCAAGACATGCGTCTTCTCAGGATGCTTGTCGCCAGACTACGTGACTGTCAGTCATAAGGACACCTACAACCCTAACCAGTACCATGCAAGTGGTTTGGCTATCAATATGCTGGCTAATCGCGTGATCTGGTGGTTCGACCTGAGAGGTCCCAGTGTCACAGTCGACACTGCCTGCTCAAGCAGCTTAATTGCTCTCAACCTGGCCTGCCAGAGCATTTGGGCAGGAGATGCCACTATGGTGAGTATGCCGGATCTACTGCTGTTCTTGAGACCTACTCAGCGTGCTCAACACATTCGCAGGGACTGGTCTGCGGAGCAAACATGCTCCTCACGCCCGAATCGCAATTGTACTTGAACAACCTCGGCCTGTTGTCGGAAGATAGTCGGTCGTACTCGTTTGACCATTGTGCGAACGGTTATGGTTGTGGTGAAGGTGTAGGTGTCATTATCGTTCAGCCGCTCGACGAAGCCATCCGGCACGGCCGCACCATTCGAGCCGTGATTCGATCTAGTTGTTCTAACCAGGATGGTAAAACGCCGGGAATTACTGCACCGAGTCAAGAAGCCCACTTCCGTCTGATCAATGATACTTACCTCAAAGCTGGATTAAATATGGAACATACGCGGTACTTCGAGGCCCACGGAACCGGTAAGTCTGACTTGTTATCAGCGATTTTGGGGAGACTGAACGAAGGAAATATCAGGAACACCACTCGGACAGGCGTTCCGGCCATATAGAAGTTCTCAGCATCCGTTATATGTGTAGGGTCTCCGCTTACCCGCTTTAGTTCTATCATCTGACAGATCATAGAGGCTCAGTGAAGACAAATATTGGGCATCTTGAGGGTGGTTCTGGCGTTGCTGGTGTGATCAAGGCAATTCTTGCGCTCGAGCATGGTGTTATACCTCCAAACGCCAACTTTGAGCGACTGAATCCTGATATCGACGCCGACTCTCTTAAAATCAAGGTACGTCATACGATAAGAATATGAAACGAAAAGTGATGTGGGAGAACCATAAATGAACTGTACTAATCATTACTCAGATCGTCGCCGATGCAGTCCCATGGCCCCCCGGCCTACGGCGCGCATCTGTCCAGTCCTTTGGATTTGGCGGAGCTAACAGTCACGTCGTCCTGGACGACGCCTACAACTTCATGCGCCTACACGGTTTGCAGGGTAATCACAAGACTAAGCCAGTTCCTGGACTTGATGACCTCTCCAGCACTACACCCAACGACATGAATACGTTTGCGCCCAAGATTCTGCGGCTATTGGTCTGGTCAACAGCGGACGAGGGCGGCATCGCACGAACCAAAGACGACTGGCGGGAATTTCTGGGACTAGTCAACCCGACGCAGCTTAGCAAGGGGCGCGACTTCCTCGGCGATGTGGCGTATACGTTGGGTGCGCGGCGGACTCACTTCACATGGCGAGCCATGTCGGTAGTCGATTCCATGGAGAACCTTGCTGGTGTGGCCGACTCGATGAGTGCCCCAACGTGCGCCGCTGCGTCGCCTCAGCTAGGTCTCGTCTTCACCGGGGTAAGCCAGCCCAAACTGATGATCCTACAATGTACTTGAAGCCAGGGCTGACGGTTTGCTTCCCTCGATCAGCAAGGTAGCCAGTGGTATGCTATGGGACGTGAGCTTATCACTCATTACGCCCTATACAAGCAAAGTCTGCTCGATGCAGGTGTTTACTTGGCTAGTCTTGGTTGTTCTTGGAACCCCATAGGTACGTAAATCGGAAGCATGTCGTTGGAGATATCAGCATGCACCGCTAACAGGACCATTCGCTAGCGGAGCTCTTGCGGTCGGAAACAGAGAGTAATGTCAACGAGCCGCTTTACGGTTCTCTATGCACCATCGTGCAAGTAGCCCTAGTTGAGCTACTACGCAGCTTTGATGTGCAGTCAACCGCAGTCGTTGGCCACTCCTCAGGCGAGATTGCTGCAGCGTAAGTATAGTAGTCGTGTGATAGATCTCAACGTCTACGTGATAGTTCAGCTGACAATAATATACCAGATTCTGCGCCGGCGCCATCCCTCGCGAGTCTGCCTGGAAGATTGCCTATTATCGTGGGATAGGTGCCTCGCTACTGGCTGAAAAAAGTGAAATAAAAGGCTCAATGATGGCTGTAGGCATGGCCAAAGACAAGGTCCAATCCTATGTCGATCAGGCATCTAGTTTGCTAGGAGAATGCCGCCTGACAATTGCCTGGGTCAATAGTCCGAGAAATGTCACAATTTCGGGCGAGGATATCCACATCGATCATCTTAAGGGCTTGCTAGATGCAGACAAGGTATTTTGTCGAAAGCTTCGTGTTGGGGTAGCATACCACTACCCACACTACCCACAAATGCAAGAGATCGTCGATAAATACCATGAGAGAATGGGCTTTCTTGGCTACCCTGCTTCTGACGAGGAGCAGCCACATCAGCCGGGCTTGATCTCATCGGTAACGGGGACCTGGATTGCGTCTGAGGCGATGGCTAAGCCTGAGTACTGGATCCGCAACCTCATTTCCCCGGTACTGTTTTCTGATGCTTTAGCAACCATGGCTCATTCCGTGAATACCCTGCTCGAGGTAGGTCCCCACTCGGCTTTGCAGGCTCCCGTCCGCGAAATTCTACGAGATATCGACGTGGAAAGTACAACTACGTACGTTCCGCTGCTCTCGCGTGGCGTGTCGGCTGTCAAGTCGCTTCTCGCGGCCATGGGCCGTCTGCACTGTCTAGGTCACCCACTGGCTCTAGACTATGTCAACATGAACCCGTTAGACTCTATGGTGACAATAACAAACTTGCCGCGCTACAATTTCAACCATTCCAGGGGCTACTGGCATGAAAGCCGGGCTAGTCGGGGTTACCGCCTCCGTCAGCATCCTGTCTTTCCACACGTAGGCGCCCCTGAGGCCGATTTCAACCCCCTCGAAGCCAAATGGCGCAAGATCATTCGCATTAGCGACTTGCCATGGGTTCAGGACCACAAGATCAACGGTACCATTCTCTACCCGGCCGCCGGCATGATTGTCATGGCAATCGAAGCTGCTCAGCAACTAGCGGATCACGATAAGATTATTTCAGCCTTTGTCGTTAGAAATGTTGCCCTGCATTCGGCCCTGAACCTCCCATCGAACGCGCCAACAGTGGGCATTGAAGTTAATCTGTTTATGCGACCACGGCAAGACCAGGACGGTAAGAATGCTGGGTGGTTCGACTTCCGCCTCTGCACCCACGACGACAACAGCCGCGTCTGGTACGAAAATTGCCATGGAGCCATCCAGTTAGTGTACGAAGCTGACCGGAACGACAGAAGCCACGCCAAGGGTATTGACAACGGCCACGAGGAGCGTTTGTGGCGCGCCAGCCTCTGCCGTGAGTACCACGAAATGGCGGCGGCGTGCTCCACGACAATGGAGAAAGAAGAGTTCTACAAACGGCTAGCAAATTGGGGCTTCAACTACGGCCCAGCGTTCCGCGACATGACGGCTGTGGCATCAGACGGCCACGGCGGAGCAGTTATCGAGGTGAAGACTTTTGAGCCACCAGACGGGTCCGCCCATGCCGAGCATATTGTCCATCCCGCTACCCTGGACTGCATATTCCAACTGATCATCGTTGCCATAACGAACGCCGGCTCCAGTAAGCTGGGGACAGGCATTCCCACACATTTCGACCGAATTTGGGTCTCGGCAACTGGGGTTAGCTACCCCCATGCTCGGTCTCTCAAGGCCTATGGAAGGGCAAAGCGTCTTGGGCTACGGCAGACGGAGACGTCGATCGGTGTCCTTGATTCATCTGGAACTCAAGCTGTGATCAAGATTGATGGCTTCGTGGCCACTGACGTCTCAAGCTCCACAGGCGACGCGGCCGACAAGACACTGTCCTCCAGTGCCCCTTTGTGTCACACTATCGAATGGAAGCCCGATCTCGATACATTAACTGGGGCGCAATTTCAACACCTCTTTACCAATAAGAACGACTTGCCTCTGCATTCGGAAACCCCTTACAACGATCTTGACAAGTGGTCCCCCACGCCGGCCGTGGCACATTTCGGATTGATTCTTGACTCCATTGTGCATAAGAGTCCGAATGCACGAATACTTCAGGTGGGCGCCGGCAGTGGCGATGAGATGGATCGGTTGATGAACATACTTGCCCCGGACGGTGTTCCACCTCGCTTTGGCCTTTTCGACTATACCCACGCGGAATCCGAACTGCTCGATGCAGCGCAGGAAAAGTACTGACACCATGGGACGAAAATGCGGTTCAAAAGGTTGGACATCAGTGCAAGCCCGGAGGAACAGGGATTCGAGGCGGGCGACTACGACGTGGTTGTCATTACAGTGGTGAGTTTTCTTCCCACACTGATCGTTTCCAGCTCAGAACACTGCCTCTGGCATCGAATAGTGTCTTACTAACTCTGACAACCTAGGACCTGTATACCAACACTAACCTAGCCAAGGCGCTGAATCATTGTTGCGCGCTTCTAAAACCGTGAGCCTTCCTAATCATCAATTTTCATCCGGGCATGCGTGATAGGCCTGGTGGCACTTATGTTCAGATGCTAATGTACAAGATACTCCAGGGGCGGGAAGCTGGTCATATTCCACCCTACATACCTAGACGTGAAAGATGGGCAAGGAAATTTAGGTGAAGATGAATTAAGCCAGCTACTTGACTCAGCACCTGGCTTAGATGAGAGCAAGTGATCTGTTCAGGATTTTTCAATGCGGCCAGCTATAAGTTCCGCATCATCATATGCACGGCGGCTGAGCTTACCCCATCTCTGGCTCAACCTCCATTGACGGCCGCGGTCGTGCGGATTATTCATGGCCCTGAGCACCGCAAGCTTGCACTTGAGCTTCAACGGTTCATGACCAATGTGCAGTGTTCAGCTCGAGTGCAGGGCTTGGACGAGGTGGCCGAAGAAGCGGAGGCGTATGAAGACATCTGTGTGTTCCTTCTAGAGCTTGGCCAGCCCGTGTGGTATGATATCGCGCGTGAGACCTTTGTCCGCATCCAGAAGCTCCTCTCAACTACGCGTAAAAGTCTCTGGGTTCAGAGAGGAGTGGAATCCTTGCCGCACTTCCGTCTCATTGATGGGGTGTCGCGGGTTCTTAATTCGGAGCGAGATAGGGCAGCACTCACTTTGCTCAGGCTTGAAGGGAATGATGATGCATTGACAATACCTCAAATGGGCCATATTGTGAGATTGTGTCGACAATTTCTGTCATCAGATGACGTCGATACCGAGTATGTCGAACGCGAAGGCATGCTGCACATCCCGCGTCTTGTGCCTCGACCTCAGCTCAACGCCCAGATCGAAACGCGACTACGTCCACGTCAACACGTTACTCGGCCATGGTACGGCGAAGGGCAAGTCCCACTACTCTTGGCCATTGGCTCACCGGGGTTGCTCAATACGGTGCACTGGGTTGAGGACACAGAAAATACGCCCGATGCACCTTTGGGAGACACGGAGGTGGAGGTTCGTGTACACAGCGTTGGACTCAGCTTCCGTGATCTACTGATGCTTCTCGGTCGCGTCAATCACTCTGGCATCGGGAATGATATTGCTGGAGTGGTCACACGGCTGGGGCGGGGGTGTTCGGGGTTACGTGTGGGTGATAGGGTGGCAGCTTGCCGCATGAACGCATACCGCTCTTTAGTGCGTTGTCCACGAACCCACGTTGTTACGCTTCCGGACAACATGTCCCTGAGCGAAGGCGCCTCCCTTCCTATGCCTTTTGTGACCGCGTGGCAGTGCTTGAAAGAGAGAGCATTTCTCCGTGCCGGGGAGACTGTACTGATCCACTCGGCAGCGGGGGGCACAGGACAAGCCGCAGTACAGGTTGCACAGTATTTGGGTGCCAATATCATCGCGACAGTTGGCACTGACGAAAAGAGAGAGCTGGTAGTCGAAAGATATGGTCTCCCTCCCGACCACGTATTATCGAGCAGAGATACATCATTTTTCCAGGGCGTTATGCGTCTCACTAGTGGGCGCGGCGTCGACGTCGTCTTGAATTCACTTTCAGGAGAAGGTCTTTTCGCGTCGTGGGAGTGCGTTGCACCCTTTGGATGCTTCATTGAGATTGGTAAGAAGGATATCATTGCCAAGGGCTCGCTTTCTATGGCCCAGTTCGCGCATAATGTCTCTTTTAGCGCTTATGACTTGTCGGAAATGCTGTTGGATCGGGCTGGGGACGCGGGTGCAGCCCTCCAGCAAATCCTCACACTTATTGAGCAGAAAAAAATGAGTCCTGTCCATCCACTGCAAGTTTTCAGTGCGGGGGAGATCGAGAAGGCTTTCCGGGCGATGCAATCCGGTAAGACCATGGGCAAGATTGTTGTCGAGTTCCGACCCGATGAACAGGTCGAGGTGAGACACATACAATACCCTCGTCCTTTGTACTAGCACTAATGACCCTTCGATAACCAGGCTTTCATTGGGGCAAAATCGACCCTCTCCTTGGATTCGGATGCAGCGTATGTAATTGCGGGTGGTCTGGGAGGTCTTGGCCGCGCAATATGTCAGTGGTTCGTTCATCGTGGAGCGCGCAACTTAATCCTTCTCACACGCTCTGCCGTCCCCAAAACATCCGAGGCAAAGGAACTCCTCTTCAAGTTGCGCAGCCAGGGCGCCCAGATTGTTGTCAAAGCTTGTGACATCAGTTATTCCAATGCTGTCGCTGCTGCTCTCCTTGCCTCGCCAGGCACACCCATCATCAAAGGTTGCATCCAAGCATCCGCGGTCTTACGTGATGCCGCCTTTGAGGCCATGTCCTTCGACGCCTGGCAAGATTCGCTCGCAAGCAAGGTTGCCGGCACGTGGAACTTGCACAGAGCAATGCCACAAGGAATAGATTTTTTTATCATGCTTTCTTCAGTAGCCTCGACGTGCGGATCTCGTGGTCAAGCGAACTACGCGGCAGGCAACACCTTCCAGAACGCTGTCGCCCACTATCGTGTCGCCGCGGGCGAGCGAGCCACAGCACTAGCCCTTGGGCCCTTTTTCGATGTGGGCATGATGACCGAGAACGACTTCTTGCAAAACCAATTCGCCGGAGTCAGCGGAGTGGCCGAGACCGAACTGCTCGCTCTGCTCGACTACTACTGCGACAAGTCCAAACCAGCGGATCCCAACGACTGCGAGCCAACCGTGATGCGCTTCGCGCCGGGAATGGAGAACAGCAAGCTCAACTACGTTCTGCGCAAACCCATGTTCCGTGGCATCAAAGCGGCGATGATGACAGACGATGCATCACAAGTGGCCAATGGAGCACCTGGAGAGCACGGTGGCCTTGATTTTGCACGCTTTTTCGCTGCCAAACCCACAGCCGCCGAAGCTGTCACCGCCGTCGGGTATGCGCTGGCAACCAAGCTTGCCGAAACTATGGTGATGTCGCGCGACGAGATTGATATGACAGCGCCCATGCGAAGCTTTGGGGTAGATTCTCTTGTCGCCGTCGAGATCCGAAATTGGATGAGCAACGATCTTCGAGCCGACGTAGCTATATTTGATATCTTGGAAGCGACATCCGTGGTGGCTCTCGGGGCTTTGGCCATTGGGAAAAGCAGTTATTTCGCGGAGAAAAATGATAGCGTAGAATTACATGGCCATGAAGAAAACTGCGGATAACTTTGAGGAAAACGGTTTCACGCTCGTGGGCGGGATCACACATGGGGTAATTGTGGCAAGATGTTCACAAGCAGGAAGCGCGTGGTGGAACTGTAGAAATAGGATAAGGCTTAAGCGGAAGAAATGCAACATTGAAGGTGCAAGGACGGTGACACGTGGTCAAAAGGCACCAAGGATTTGCGAAGCTGAAGAGCATTTGCCATTGTCACGGATGAGGAAGGATTCATCATGAGGCATAAATAGACACGACTCCTAACAGAGTTGCTCCATAGCTTATACATAATCCAATGCAGGACACAGGTAAGAACTTAGATATTTTGAGAAGTAAATAGAAAGAAGAACGATCGCATGTTTTTGTAGCAAAATGTAATGATTACAATTCATTATACATCAAGCGAAAAATTTCCATTATTTACGTATGTTCGTTCTGATCTACGGAAGAACAATGACTGCAAGAAACTTGCTATATTATTCACTGCTCCGTAATGGCACGGTAATTGCTTCATTCGGGTATCCTCCAATTCCTTGGCCAACATTTCTCTCATCATTTATCAAATTATTGGACTTCTGCCACATGTACTCATGGCTAGTCGTAATTAATGTGCAGTAGTGCTAACCCCAGTGGCAGTCTTGTTCTCGCCGTGAAAGTTGCTCGCTTGAACTCGAGCAATGATATCGCGATCGCTCTCTGTGGGGCCATTCAGCGCCTCAGCAGCCCTAGTCCTGAAGCCGGGAACCTTGGCAAGTGCTTTCCACATCGACCTTGTACCAGGAATGCTACCATGGCGTTCCTGATACCGCATCAGCCAGACAGAGACGATAATGAAGATCCAGTAGAAGTTGTAGGAGAGTACCGATCCGTATGTGGCGGTGTTCTCCCAGCCAAGAAGAGCATTGAAGACGTCCCATCCGTGGTCGAGCTCGCCGCTGCAGCAGTTGATGTGCCATACTGTGCTGCTGATATCGTAGGATCCGGGACCAGTGCCAGATTCTGCGACGTCGCCGCCGGTTTTCTTGCTGAATCTGTACATCTCCAGGCTCCACACGGACTTGGAGAACATGCCGGCGGAGATCAAGTACAAAACACAGGTCGAGGCGATTAGGAAGATTTGGATGGACATGACGTTGCCTCCGCGGTAGACGAAGTATCCGATCAAGAGACCAGCGGCAAAACCAGTGATGATGGGGATGGGGAAGGCAGTGGCTGGAAGGCCAAGCGATACACCACCGATGAAAACTACTGCCTCCAATCCCTCTCGTAGAACGGTTATGAAAGGAAGGATGAACATAGCATACTTGCGAGACCAGGTGGCAAGGCGGTGCTTAGGGACGCCATCCTCCTGGTTCTTGAGCAAAGACTTCGCAATCTTGACTCGCCACTTCTCTTTGGCTTTGTTGATGCGGAGCAGTGTTAGGCCCATAACGGTGATGATGATAGAAGCAATGAGATAGAAGATGCCTTCCCACAAATCCTCGGACTGCGCCCAGATGTCGTGTCCCAAGCCATAGAAAACTCCAATGAATGCGCCTCCAATGATCAAGCAGATGAGTGCGCCCACACCTGATCCGAGCCAGATCTGGCGTCGCAGTCGTTTGTATATCTCAGGATCTTGACCTGGTTGGCCCATGCACTGCTTCACAAAAGAGAGAAGCACTGAGATAATGATGGAAGCTTCGAGACTTTCTCGGAAGCAGACGAAAAAGAGCTGTACGGCGAACACGTTTGTGCCCATGATGGCAAGCAGTTGAGGAAAACCCCAGACAGAGTAGATGATAAGGTGTTTGAGGTGTCAAAAGGGTAACCTTCAATACAGGAAGGCAAGAGATGAAGATGATAAGATTTGGAAGCGAGACGCGGGAGTATTTTGTATCTCGGGCTGCTTTATGTTTCAAGCCACTGCTACTCTTTCGGGAGATGCACTTCGGGGGGACACCAAGCTTCGACAAGGCATGACTTAGCGACTTAGCGAAACGCGGCATGAAAAGAAAAAGGCCAAACCCAGCAAAGCGGGGCCTTGTTAGCAACACCACATCTGGTGTACCTTTTAGTTACGGGATGCAGTAGGTAGCTCCAATTGTTGGGAAGGGGGACGCAGACGACCTGTTAAAAAAATACCGCTACCCTTGCGAATGCCACCTTGCAAGTGGTTCGACATTCTTCGGCTAAAACGGGCGACCCTGAGTAATCTGATCCATTGTACGAACTGATCATCGCTACGACGCAGGCCTGTAGGTAGGTATTCCTGGAAATTACGACCAGTACAGGGCCGACTGGTTTCTTTATTGGGAGCCGCTGATCGGACCCTCTCGCTTCACCTTTTCCAATTGGGCATTGTGGAGCGAGAAGGGTTGGGTGGTCTCTGTTGTAGCGGGCTCTCGCCTTTCCATTTAGTCCCGGATCAATCTAATCAACCATCTTCGACCGAAAGATCTGATACGATAGTTGGATGTTTAAGATCATCTGCTAAAAGAACCGGGCAAGGAACTTGGCAAGGGTGGAGCAAATGTGCTTGTTTCCCATCTGATAACCTAAACCCAACGTTTGCAAGTGGTCTGACCACCGCTATCCTTCATCGAGGTAGTTGTTTGACGAGCTGGTGGTCCAGATCGACACTCCTCTCCGCTTGTGCATCAATCTGCAAGGGTGCGTGGTGTATCTGCGACGAATCACTGTGATCTCTGTCCAGCAGTTAATTGTCATTATCCACCCCAAAGCTATGGCCTGACCGCTTACAGCTCACGAGCGCTCCATCTTATTGTTGGCCCGTATCACGGCATAAACCAGAAACGACAGGGTCTCGTTTACAGGTCCGTCTCCATCAAACTAATCAGATTCTCAATAAGTATCATGTATATCGCTTAATCCACGTTCTAATGAGCTAGGATCGGCTCCAAGAATTCGCAGGTGTAGGAGGATACCTAATATCAGCCACCAAGTTTGCGCGCCATTCGGCTTTTCGGCGCTACTCCCTTCACGTTGCTCTCGAAAACCCCACTGCCCTTCTTATAAACGTAGAGGTAGTAATTGAATGCAACGTTTCTATTTTCACCCTTGCTCCCTTGATCTTTTCCATTTGCCCCCATCCTGTCGTCTTCTTGTAACCAACATCAACATGAAGACGACTCTCAGACAGACACTGCAGAGTGCAGTGCCTTTCCTCCTTCTCGCTAATCTCTGTACGGCGAAGACCGTTACTTATGATTTCAATGTTACTTGGGTTACCGCCAACCCCGACGGTCTTGCCGACCGCAAGGTGGTTGGAATCAACGGACAATGGCCACTGCCAATAATTGAGGTGGAAAAGGGAGATCAATTGGTTGTGAACATGCACAATGGACTGGACAAGGCTTCAAGCATCCATTTCCACGGAATGTATCAAAACACAACAACGGAGATGGATGGCCCGGCTTATGTTACACAATGCCCCGTTCCCCCAGGCATGGACATCACCTACAATTTCACCGTCAACCAGAACGGCACGTACTGGTACCATTGCCATACCGAAGCCTGCTATCCAGACGGATATCGACAAGCTCTTCTCGTCCATGACAAGGATGCATATTTCAACGAAAATGTGGAGGAGGAGTTCACCATCACATTAAGTGATTGGTATCACAGGATGACAGAGAGCATTGAGCCTGAGTTTTTGTCGCTTTACAATCCCACGGGCGCGGAGCCGATTCCACAGTCATTCCTTTTCAATGATACCTTGGGAACAAGTATCAGTGTGCAGCCAGGCAAGAAATACTTACTGCGACTCATCAACGTTGGTGCTTTCGTCGCCCAGTACTTCTACATTGAAGATCACGAGTTCACCATTGTTGAGGTCGATGGAATCTACACAGAGCCCAAGGTTACCGACTTGATCTACATCTCAGCAGCTCAGCGCTACACCATTCTTCTTGAGACAAAGAATTCCACGGACAAGAACTACCCTATCGTCACAGTAGCAGATTCTACCCTGCTCGATCTGATTCCGTCAGACTTGCAGTTAAACCATACCGACTGGCTGGAATATAACAAGGACGCGGCTCATGATGAAGCAGTCATGAAAGTGGAGGAATCGAGTGAGTTGGTTCCTGCCGACGACGCAGCATTGGTACCGTATGACCGGCAAGCCTTGTTACCTGAGCCGGACCTTGAGATCACACTGAGCGTCGTCATGGACAACCTAATCAATGGCTTCGGTTACGCTTTCTTTGATAACATCTCCTACACTCATCCCAAAGTGCCAACTCTCTTCACTGTCATGTCTGCTGCTGAAGATCAGGTCTCCAACGCTGAGATCTATGGCGAATTCACGCATCCAATCGTCCTCGAGCACAACCAAGTCGTCCAGATTGTCCTGAATAACGCTGATACTGGCTCACATCCTTTCCATCTCCACGGACACGCCTTCCAGGTCATCGATCGGTACCCACCCCAGGGTGAGCACTTTTACGAGCTGGCCGACGTCGCTGAGCCGGTTGAGTTCGATCCGAATAACCACACTGCATTTCCGGAGTACCCGATTAGGCGCGACACACTGGTCATCCCACCGCAAGGCTACCTCGTAATTCGATTCGTGGCCGACAATCCGGGAGTCTGGCTATTCCACTGCCACATCGACTGGCACTTGATGCAAGGGCTGGCACTAACGCTCATCGAAGCCCCAGATCAGATTAGAGAGCGCGTGAAAATCCCGCAAAACCACTACGATGTGTGCAGCGCGGCAGGCGTAGCGGTCCAAGGAAACGCCGCCGGAAATACCCAGGACTACCTCAACCTCCAGGGCCAGCCTAGGCAGCCCGCCTGGCTGCCCGCTGGCTTCACGCCCCGCGGGATCGTTGCGTTGACGTTCACGATTCTCGCGGCGCTGCTCGGCCTGGCTAGCATTGTCATCTACGGCCTCTCGGATCTCACGTATGGAAAAGAAGACTCGTCGTTGGCGGGCGACAGTCAGGGCCCATTGGAGGAGCCTGGAAGCACGCCTCGTGAGACGGTGGAGGCTAAGCGTAATTAGGGGAGCGATAGCATCGTTTTTGGGATCCGGGTGCAAAGTAAATACCACTTGTTATGATAGCTATGAAAATATTAATTATCTCCTTTCAAGAATGAATCGAAGTTCGGTCTCTCAAACTGCATGTATGCTCTACTGAGCGCATTCTGATCCCGAGCCTTTTCTTACCCAATGTACCCGTGTATTCTAGAAGTATGAACGATGCGATTCATTTCGAACTTGCAGGGAACATGTACGGCCCTATCACCAAGATGGCAGCTAGAAGCAGCCTAGGTATGAAAAGATCTTACCACCACGCTAAAACATGGCGTCCAATGGCCGTTTGAAAGCGAAAAACATGGCTGAATAGAAAAATCTTATCAGATCACATTGTCACAGATTTTAGGACTCAGGAGGACCCCTCTGGCGGGGTTGAGGAGATTTGCCTGCGTGGCTGAACATGCTAAGGGTCTAGCCCATGCGCGGTACGGTCACTACGGTTCATTACAAGTACAACTATCTTTCTAGCGTTTCCAACAAGCTCAGCCAAGGGAAATCTTGTGTTGGATCTCCGTGCTTGTTAAGTTTTCCTTCTCCACAACGGAGCATGGGGTGCGCATGCGAGGTCCTCATTCGTTACCCATTGCGTTTCTTTGTGAGGAACACCAAGGACGTAGACTAAGAAGGATGGAAGTTATCGCAAGCAATGGGATTCCCTTTTCGCTGCATCCCTTTCCCGTTCATTCTTATTACTCGAACAACCGAACGAACGAAAAGTTCGTTGAATAAATGGTTGGCCTTGCGATCGCTCGTTTCCACATACCCGTTTCGCATCCCACTGCGTTCGCTTATATTTTTGTATGTATCAGTCCACCCGCTTGGGACGCCACATCGTATGGTCACCACCACGCTATTGAGCGCCTCGGTCGGCGTGACAATCGGCGTCTCTCGCTGATCGCCGTTCACAATCATCCAGCGGGCAAATCGACGAGCTGGATAGGCGAGGAGGTGCATTGTCAGGCATCGTTGCCGCGACAGATAAGATGCACGATTGATGATGGGAAGTGGTGGAGTTATCATATCAGATGATCGAAGATTATCAAAAGATGCCGTATTGAGGTGGCAAGTTTTATCTCCTTTCCCATATACGAAGTATTCAATAATGGAAGCCGAGGCAGCCGTTGCAATAGAACGCTTTCGCACGAGCTGCCTTTTCTTGGGCTAATCATCCCGCTCGTCTGTTTGGCTAAATAAATCGGCCGTATTCACAAAGACGGTGGGGAGGTGATAAACATGCAGCAAAAGAAAAATGTCGCACATGCAATTACTTCGATGGACCATTCTTTGCATCTGCAGCCAAAGTCAAGAAGGGTGGCGAACTCTTATGTTCTTTCCAAGACGTCGTTGTCGGTTCAAAGACATCACACTGATCCCATCATCAGTCGTTGCTCAAGCTCCACTAGGAAGGCTGTTTTCCTCCTGACATCATGCTCAGCCGAATAGTGTGTGCATTCGCCAAATTGGAAGCCAGCATTTCCTCAATGAACGTCGCAGGCAATCTGCATCCATTGCCCTGTTTTCGCTCCTCATCCCTCGTCTCCCGTAACGGTCACAGCCAGTGCGAAGCCGCAAAGCGCATAGCAAAATCATTGCAGACAAGTCCAGATTCTCTTACATGCTAGCTCACCTTGAACATGTTCTGGTTATGCGTTTGCCAAACAACCAATTCGCCGTTTGCATGTGGGGCCGCGTTCTCCTCACATCATGCAGGACTTCCGAGAACTTGGACTTGGAACCAGATTGCTTCTCTGAAAATAGAGCGAATTGACGAAAGTTAGTACGCACTACCAGAGAATAGTTCCCTGGATTGGATAGTTCAGTGTCTGTTGCTGCTTCGCTAGTTGCCTGAGTAGTAATGACCGGAAATCTATTCGTTACTAAATATGCAGACCCCCATCAATGTTTAAGCAACAGGCCGTCGTCGATTGACAAGCACACTTGATTCAACCGTGGTAGACGTAGTTCTGTCGGATTAACTGCAAATCCAGACCATGATGCCATGATGCACAACTGTAGACGCCGGCGAAGCACGCCTCCGTAGTCGTAATCTTGACGTGCAATCGGCAATGGGTTTCAGTATCTCAAGGTGATGCGCGCATAAGCTTTCCTTTATCTTAAAATTAAACTTCTGCAGTTCGATGTAACTTGGCCGAAATGTTATGCAGGAAGGTTTCAGCTTATTGGTCCACGTTGTCCACGACGGGAAACTCATGAAGACTTTCTTTATCTACACGGCAAGGTGCATCTCCCACGACAAGGTGTTGCGTCATTTGAGCAACTTTTGCATGGAACCTCAAAGACATGGGTGAGAACCCCATGCCCCGTGTTGCACAGTCACTGACAAACATAAGGAGCTTCACAGCGTAGGAACATGCCTTGAATTGACTCCATGTTTCGTCCTTTTCAAGTCCAATTGCTATATACGCGCACTGTTGTCGCAAAAATCTCATAATATGTCCTTATACTGACCACAACTTGTTCATTACGTGTAGCCAAAGGTTGACTGCATTATGCTCTGTGCGGAGACGGATCGCTGGACAATATGTGACGATCACCCAACCCTGGCCAAAGTTCACTGCTAACAACGTCTATTCGACGATCTCCCCACTTAGAGGCAACTAATCTTTGCCTCAATATTCCTTACATGCAAAAAGGCTGCGAACAACACGGCTCGATCGATTACGGAACGGATCACGAATAACGCGGAGATCTACTCCTTCTTCGACCAAATGCAACTATCCTCCGAGCAATGTCTCCTAAAGGCTGCTCATCATATATATCCACCAGTAACTGATATCAAGCCCGAGAATATACGGGCGTCGTCTCTTGATCCAATCAGATACACATTACGATCCAAAAGGCACGAACGACCAATCGAATATATACCATCCAAACTCTTGACTATATAAACACTTGTCCATAACCCCGTTCATCGAGCTCGTATCTACCTCGACGCATACGTTCGGAGCGCACTGGCCCTGGATTGAGGCAGTTGCTTTGCACGCGCAAACGTTCACCGGACACGTGGGTCTTTTGGGTTCATGCCAGCAACATCGCCTGCTTCGAGCAGAGTTACCGCGAAATTGCCAATCGCGTCAAGATCTCTCGACGGCTGGACCCGGAGGCCAAGATCTTTGAGCTGGTAGAAGACTGGCTATATAGCCATGAACCATGGCTGCTTATACTGGAAAACGTGGACAATGCCGACTTTCTACTTAAATCTCCCGTTGTTGGAGATGGCCAGGCTATCAACTCGGCCAAACGGATACTCGATTACCTTCCACATCGCAAGCACGGCTCGATCCTCATCACGACAAGAGACAGGGGGGCGGCGCCCGACAAAATCCCAGACTCTCAGTGGACTAGGGATGGAAGATATGCTGTGGAGAAGAAACCCTTGGGATGCATAAGGTGTTTCTTTCGCCAAGTCTCAATATGGATCATGTTGTGCTGCCGCACATTACAATGTTAGGTTCATAGGTTGGGGGGTGAAAAGGACAGGATCAAAAGACCTGACAATGCCCATCCATTAGTAGGGGCCTGAAGCACGATTATAGTGATCGAAAACCGATAAATACTATCGCGGCCAAAGACACGTATAAAGATAAGTGGTGGAACGTCTTACTGAGGTATGTACTAACTCCCGCACTGTTCCTCTGATACATACCTATTGCCCATTCTCATCTTCAGTGCCTGCAACATTGTTTGGATTCTAAAACTGTACAGACAATAATGGCCTAGAAGAAGGAATCCCAAATGTCCGCGTATGGCATTTTCCTGCGAAGATCAACGCCAACTCCATTAAGCCACCCGTAGAATTCGTCATACCGAGATTCGAGGCATGACAGAACTATCCCGCGCCTCTCCAACGGCGGTCTCCCGGTACGCTCAGAAACTTCCCGACAGTGTTCAACCCCATGGATCCATGATGACTCGTTTCAAGGTCTGCCTGTCTGACCTTCGAGCATATTACGGAATCGGCGAGCACTCGGAGGACCCACTGGCACAGCTCAATTGCAGTGCGATTAGCATATATACCACGAAAGCCATGAACCGATTGTGACAGGTGATAGGGAAGGGTAGCGCGTAATCTCCCTGACCGATCCGAATTTTCCAGGGAGGAACATCAGAATGCAATGGAGAGTGCGAGACGACAGTATACCCCAACGCACTATATAAAAGGCCCAAGAACGACAACGAACGTAGCCAAACAGGCACCGAGGAGACCCTGACGACGACGACATCCGTTGCTGAGAGTGGAACCGTTGGAATCCTTCAGGTAGATTCGCCTGCCGGGGAGTGGGGAGACGAAGTAACACATCTCACAGGCTTGTCCACCTTTCATCTCAGGAGCTGTCTGGATTGAGGAGCTGTCTGGATTGGCCAACTGTCACAGGCCTGCGCTTTGGATGCCCACTCGTTCATGAACAAAACGAGAACCAAGGGAAACCTCTCGATTCGGATTTCCCGCTACGAGAATTGTTAAAGGTAGACAGCTTGTTGGAGTAGGTTGAGCACAAGAGACGACCGAAAAGTCGGTTCTTGCGTTCTGTTTTGCTGGCAGGGCGGCATCCTGGCACCCCCGAGTCAGTCTTCTGACTCGAAGAAACCCAAGTTATCTGAGCGGGACGATCAGGAAGAATAGGGCTGCTGAACCCCAAGATATATACTGCGTCTCCATGAAGAGGCTGATCCGGATGTCAGAGCCCGAAGGTATATATTGGATTTGAGTGAAGATGCCTCTCATTTCTGCTCTACCTTGGGTAGTCGTGGCGAAGATGGTGATCGACCGCGACGAATCGACATCACAATTACTACAACGTCCCTGACTTTTAGAATGAAAAGCACTTGTTCATGGCCCCCGAAGCGTTTCGGGCGTCATCCAACGGCCCCACGAGGAGCATTGACGATGGCCGTTGAGTATCGATTACACCTTTCCGCCGGATTCTAGATTGCGCATGTGGTGTCGCCCACTTTAGAGGGATCTATATACAACATTACCATGAGGGGTTTTGCTTGCTATGGAGGAGTCTATACACAACACTATTCTGATACGACCCCCTCCGCTGCGCTCCACAGCCCGGTGAAACAAAGTGCGCAAGGCCAAGTCGACAAGATATCTAAAGGTCTCCCTTGCCAAAAAGACACCAAAATCCTGATATTAGCAATTTACTCCAGCATCAATCCTCGAAGGTGGTCGCCACGCTACCTTCATTATAACCACCATAAGCCGGATCCAGTTATACAAAGCCACCAACTCGCATGTGGTCGAAACAGCGACATTTTCCGGGCAGTCGAAACCATCAGTTGGTGAGATGTAGAAATGATATGAATCATTTCGTGAAGTCTCCAACCATATGTCTCGTGGCCTAGACGAGTTTCGCTGTGCAATTTGTTCAGCAGATCGACAAGGAGAGTTGAGAAGGATGAAAAGTACGAAAGCGGTGGATATAAGAAACATTGAGAGGGGAAAAAGGCGCATGAGGGGAAATCAAAGCAGTCATTGGAATCAGGATCGTCTTCACGGAGATAGCGATGAACCAGCAATGGACAAGCTAGGAAAGGACCGCTTAGGACTCATCCATCAGCACGATACTTTTCAAAGATATCCTATTGTACAAATACGCAATATTCATTGTAGCTAGATAGATGACGACAGCAGTGTCAGAGGCTTGAGGCGTCGCTCAGATGTTCACAGTATAGTCATTCTGAGATGCAGTAATCAAGCTCCACACGCGTGATATCCCGCATGCCTAATGTGATCATACCGAGCTACACCTTTTGCCCATTTCCGATAATTATAGACAATGCTTTCGGATACTAGAGCCGCAAGTGGATAAACCTTCACAACGACACTAAGCTGAAGCTGCTGAGCGCGATGCTGTGAGATTCCCTCGTGGCGGGGAGCAACATCTGGCAGGTGAGCAGTATGAGCTTACACCAAACGAGCATCTGCCTCGGAAAGTTTCCGAATTCAAGCAAGCGATTACTCGCACTGCGAGCTGCCTTTGGTCGAGTGCGCGACTATTATGTGAGCAGGAGGCGCTGACAGACGACAAACGAAACAAACGCCCGCCTCGTCGCCTATACCTTCCCTGAACAAAACTTGAGCGTGTTTGTTGTCACCAAAGATGGCAGACCATCGATCTCGGTTTCAAGTGCGGCCAGCGTCTGGCGCATGGTGAGGCTGTAGAATGTTGCGTGTTGCGCCGAGACGTTAGGCCCTGTGTTGGCGGCGCCAGGCGAGGAGTAGGCCGACGTTTTGGGGGCCATCCTTTCAGTCGCATCCAGAGGAAGAATCCGAAATTCCAAATTCAAACGGTGGGGGATCGATGCTAAAGTTAAATCCTTTTACCTTCATTTTCTACGGGTAGGTAAGTATTTGACATCAGTAGCCGCCCGTCTAGTCGTAAGATGAATCAAAATCGGGCGAAAAGTATGCGAGAGTATTTTGTGTTCGCAGGGCCATTTCCATTCATACCTGCACCCTAAAGTGATCAGTGCATATAGTTTTGGGGGCATTTGCAGATTTCGAAACGCATCTGGCAAGGTATGGGGGCCGAGCATGCAGCCGTAGACAACCTCACGCACCCCATCTGCATCTTAGAATATGACGTCCAATCTGATCGACAATGCCACGCGATGGTTACGTAGGCAATAGCTGCGTAGACAATGCAGCACGCGGCTAGAAACCGAAGGGTGGGAGTAAGAGGGAGGGGACTCAGAGGAGATATGGAGGGTGGCGGTGCAGCTCTCCTGAACAAGGCGATACGGGAAATTTCTGAATCATTGAATCCTTTCAGATCAACCTTTCCTCGAAGAGCGCTACGCCCACCAAAAGGGGTATATTGCATATGCAGTCTGCGTTATTGGTTAATAGTGCGTGTACCCAACATATGTGCGGTGCGTGCTTGATGAAGTCCATGAGGCGAACACCACCAACAGCCGTCATCGTCGTTGCCACCGCCAGAAATACCCCGAGTCGGAGATTGTCCCCTTGATACTCTTCCTCTCGGCACAGAAACTCCTTGAATGGCAACTGCACAGTATTCCTTAGGCCCTGTGTCATGCAGAAAGCAGGCGGGCGTGTGAAGGAGTTTCGCGCGGGACGGGAGCGAGGACATCGGACTGAGTTCGTTTCGTGACTTGACTGGACAACAGCTGTGGCTATTTTCGGGCACTACCCCAAGTGCCCACGCTGAGAAGCTTGTCGCATGCAGTTGCCGTTGCAGTCGAGGGCTAATACTTGAACGTTGAAACAATGTTCGATGTGGGGATGTCGAAAGAATTTGATACATACGATTAACGATCAAGTGGAATATGGGTGGATGGGAGTGAATGTTCAAGGCTTGATTGGTCCGTGCTATACCACCAAAAAAGGAGAAGCTCCACTGTTCAGCTCTCTTCTACCCAACCTCATCGTCTCTTCTTCTTTTTCTATTGGAAGATCGGCCGAAACGGGAAACACAAGCTGTAGAAAAGTAACTATTCGACATCAATCCATGATTCCAATGATCGGACTTGTCGACATGGAACCTGAGAGAGGCGATCCAACCATCTGTCAGCGTTCACTAACTACGATGTTCGCGGTTCGCAATGCTTACCTGACAGAGCTCCGGGATAGGAGGCGATGGAATGGTCCCCAGAAACGTCATGGCGCACTGCTCCGCCACAGTGAAGTGAGCCTCAAGAAGACGTTACGAGACATGGCTCTGACCGACTCCTCGGGCCTTCCCTTCAGCTAGTCGGTGCATGAATAAAAAGACCCTAAACCCGTCTTGGCCACTATTGAATGGCGATACATTTATCTACTGTCGGCAAGACATACTATCATTTGTATCAGATGCCCCTCCACTCTTTGATGTCGTCTTACTCCTTCGTTGTCACTCCTATCCGTCGTATATGTCTTTAATTGTCATTCATTTACTCCCTCTTCGTTTCTCCCTCTCCGTACATGGCTTTTTGGACTACAGTGATGGATTCTTCGAGAATTCGAGACGCATCCTCCGTCGGCCGCCGACTGGTGCCAGTTATGGTTGACCAAATTGCCAAAGAGGACCCCAGACGAAAGATCTTCTCTTTTCCCAAATCCGAGGATCTCAAGGATGGCTTTCAGGATTTAGACTTTTCAACAGTAGGGCGAATTTTGCTATTGCGGTATCCTTGTCTAAAAGTCTAACACTGCCAGTTTGCGAACGCTGTTAACAAGACTGCATTCTTTATTCAACGAGAGATCGGTCGAAGCTCGATGTTCGAGACTGTATTATATATGGGCGACCCTGATGTTCGCCATTTTATTGCACTGGTTGCGTTGTACGTCTATACTTCTAATCTCACGAGCTCACCTATATGCATACTAACTGCTTCAAGAATGAAAACAGGACACAAGGTAAATTTTATGCCACCATGCTCTTAGAGGAGTCAAAATGACTTGAAAGTACTCACAAAGTCTCAGGTTCTATTTAGTTCACACCATAATAGCATTGCTGGTCATGTCGACTTGATCAGACGGACCGACTGCGCGATTCTCCTACACACCGCAGGATTTTCTATCTCTCATATTGCAGAGAAATGCCGGATGGAAACCATCTGCATGCCGGAACTGGACTATCTGCTGGACGATAGCCAGTCATGCGAACACTATCCTTATAATTTCACGTTCGAGGAGGCCAAAAATCACCCCTGTGTGGTGGTGCATACGTCCGGCTCGACCGGCATGCCCAAACCTGTGGTATGGACACACCAGGCCCTTGTTCATTCCGACGTACACCACAAAGTGCCGCAGTTCGAAGGCAGGCCGACAATCTACGGTGGAGTCTCGGATCAGGGATCGAGGACTTTCAGTGCGCTGCCAATGTCTCACGGTGCAGGCCTTCTAGGGGGAATGGTTCTTTCATTATTCAACAAGACTACGGTCGTATTGGGGCCTCCAGGACCAGTCACTGCGGATACGGTCAGCGATATTATAGAGTATGGTCATATCGATTCGATGAAATGCGTCCCAGTAACCCTTGAAGATGTAGCTCAGAGACCCGATGTACTAGCGAAGCTTAAGGATTTGTATCACATCATCTATGTTGGAGGTATGCCACCTTTGGAAAGGTCTCTTCATATCAGTTGCTGACACCTTTAGGGCAATTATCAAAACGAGCCGGTGACACCATCACTAACTATACCCATCTTTACTGTAGCATGGCGAGCACCGAGACAACCACGATAATACAACACGCAACGGACCCCAACGACTGGAACTACATGATGTTCAACCCCGACTACAATGGCATCGAGATGCGACCTTTAGGACACTTGTACGAGCTTGTCTTCGTTAGGAGACCCGAAATCGAAGAATTCCAAGGTATCTTCAAAACCTTCCCCAAGAAGAAAGAATACTCCATGTCGGATCTTTACTCCAAACACCCAACGAAACCGCACCACTGGAAATATGAAGGAAGGAAAGATGGCATGATCATATTCAAGAATGGTTGGAATTTCAACCCGCTAATCCACGAGCAACTTATCATGGCGCACACTGCCGTCGAAAACTGTGTGCTCGTAGGAACGGGGCGCGATAAGCCGGCCGCCATCATTAAACTCAGCAAGGAGTACTATACCGAGGACAGAGAGGCGTTGGAGGATTTGTTGGACGACATCTGGGAGAATGTGGAGCAGGCGAACGAGTTGGCGGACACAGCTGGGCAGCTTGAGCAGGAATATGTGATATGGGCCAGGAACGATAAACCGTTCTTGATTGCTGGCAAGGGTACTGTGCAGCGGAAAGCTACGATCGAACTTTATGAACACGAGGTCGATGAATTATACAGGATAAGAGGCTAATCGAGAGGGTTGCATATTTTGGCGTTGGTTTACAATTTTTGTGTGGTGCTAATATCATAGAACGTATAGTGGGATCATTGAAAAGGAGTTCTGATTTGGAGGCCTCAGCATTACTTTTATGTTCAATGTAGATAAATTCACATATACATAGAGCATTTGACCACAATGGGTCGCATTATATATCCAATTCGAGTCATCGGATGAATGTAGCATCGAAGGTTCACATTTCATGTATAATTCTATATTCTAGCATAGTGGACTTATCTGGCCTGCATGGAACTCGTTGTCTATGGTCTCTCTTACTTCTTTCCATCTTTTTTCCGCATCTTCCTCGGCGTCGAACGAGTACAACCAACGGTTCTGAAAGAGCAAAATCAGAGTTAATCGACGAGAAGGAATAATGTGTCACTCACCTTGATCTTAACATCCTCCGGGTCTATGTCTCTATCTTCATCCACACTCTTCAAGATGCCATGCCATCGATCTCTCAAATCCTCTCCATTTAGTTGGCTCAACCGTGTCCTTCCAAACCTCAGCTTTTCATAACTCCTCGTCGCAACTCCGACCTCATCTCTTCCATTCACCAAGTCCAATGCCGTTGCTAAAACTCCCGCGCTCTCAACAGCCTGACTTGCTCCTTGTGCCGAAGTAGGTAAGTGAGCATGACAACTATCACCAAGTAGTACAATTCTATGACTCCCCGCGCTGACCCATGTACTCAAAGGCTCTCTATAACAGATCTTCCAATCCAAACATCTCTCTGTCTGCTCCACAATCCCTCTAATATCCGGATCCAACGTCATCACCAACCTCCTCACCTCCTCCATATCCCCCTCCTGAAACCAGCTCTCTGGCACATCTCCATCATCCTTATGCGTGATAATCCAGTTAAACTCCTCCCCACCTCTCAGTGTATTCTGCACAAGATGAGTATCAGGCCCAATCCAGAAATTCACACAATCCTCCCCCATATACTTGTTAATCCTCGCATCGCCCCTCTGCTCCGCTGTCGGCTTGAAGAAAGCACGAAAACACGCATACCCAGACGACACAGGATCGTCCCTCACCCCCAGCACAAGCGGCCTCGCAAGACTCTTAATACCATCCGCCGCAACAATCACATCCGCCTTCAACCTCTCCCCCGACTTCAGGGTGATGATAGGTTGCGGATCGACGTCATCGTACGCGACGACCTCGCTGCCCATGCGGATTGGGATTCCCCGCGCGCGCACCCAGGAAAGAAACACGTCGTGGTAGTCGCCGCGGTGGCCGATATAGCCCGCCATGTCCATGAGGGGTTGCACGGCGAGGACTTTCCCGTCGCGCCAGCGGCGTATGGTCATGTTGGGTGCTTGGTTACCGATGCGTTTAATTTCGGAGACGGGACAGCCCCATTTTTGGAGGAGCGTAAATGCGTTCTGCATCGTGGCGGTTTCAGTGGATATCTCTTCATGGCTTTTTCGCCAGACTTTGTGTCTCTTCCCGGGCAGACTGCATTCGGAGGAGAGACAGTAGTTGGACTGCGCCAGAAAGACTATCGCTTGAACTTACCTCCCCAAGTCCTAGACTATCTCCCAACCTCCCGAACTCCCTCACTTTGTCTAGGACGCAAAGGACCCTATGGCCATGATGGTGCAGCGCGATGGCGGCAGCACAGCCGCCCAGCCCGGCACCGATCACAATGGCTTATCGTATTTCCGCATCAGAATCCGAGCTCACAAACTTTAAACACGACACCTACGCGAGAGACAATAGAGGCACGAACCTGTGAGGGGCAGATCATGTGTAGATCGCAATGGTTCGTATTGTGGCGTAGTCATTGCGGGCGTACGTGCTGAATCCGGGACCCGAGCACACGGGTGGGAATACGATGTATGTATGTATGTGTGGTCCGGTGAAGGTGGGAAAGGATTAAGAGATAAGGACAGACACGAAGTGAATTGGATTGAAGTCAGCGTAAGCCTTGTGCCTCGATCGTGAAATCTAGACAAGGGATGCTCTGAGGTAATGCGGCAAGTGGCGCGGAATTAGTTCCACAAGGCTGTATTTTGGTACTTAAGGTACTTATCCTGGCTCGGATCTGGGGACAAGATGGGGGAAGATGGGAGGGGAGCGGGACCGGAGTATGGTGAATGCAGGGAGTGGATGTGGGGTTGAGGTGGAGGATCGGCATTTGTGTGTGAGCCTATTTGGTGGGGAAGTAAGGCTGTCACAAGGCACTGGAGAGGTGACTTAACCTCGTACAATGTAAAAGAGATACACGAGTAAATATTCAGGTCAAGAAGGATTGAGAAAGCGATGGATTCTAAATCATAGTTTTGGCGAGATGGTGCCGCCCCCAATGGCTTTCTCCACCCTGTCTCCAAGCAATTCCCAGCCTTTGCCGCGATAGTTTTTGGGCCAGATCCCGTTCCTCCCTGGGGCGAGGATTCCGTTAGGATCGAGTGCATCCTTGATAGTCTCATTGAATCGCATCAGAGCGTTGTTATTCCAGTTGTATGTACCGGCGACTTGGTCAGCAAATAGCACATGGGTTCGATACTCTCCATAACCTTCTCGTGCCGTTTCTGCAATGAGTTCCCGCATTAGACCTGCGACACGGCGTTTTTCATCATTGGACGAGCGGTCGTAAATGATGTTTGTGATATAGTGCATCTCGCGACCAGCTACGCATAGTGTTGGAAAGAGATCGAATCCGTACTTTTTGTGCAGACGAATGTTGATATCGTGAACTATCTTTGCATCTGCACCACGAGTCGGAGTAATTGGTGAGAAGAACAAGTGCGCAGCATTGGGCTTCCAGTTTAGCCAGTCGAGCTCTCGAAGGATAGGGACACCACTACAAACCAATGCTCGCGAATGGATGTAATGGTCATCCGGTAGGTCCGACGGTAGAAAGAATCGTGAACCGGGAATGTTTGCAAAAGCCGATCGAATGATATCGAGTTGTGTTTCGATGCTGGTTTCATCTCCGTACTGTGTTCCATAGAACACCCACGAACAGTCGCCGCAGGGCAATTGCGCAGCGTGCTTCTGAATTATGTCTCGTGGGATAGGCGAGGAGCCGGCGTACCAATGCGACTTTGGAAGGCCCGTCACGTTCAGTTCCTGGACTACATGTCTGAGCTGAGGGATGTTTCCGAGGATTCGCTTTTGTGCCAGTGGTCGGATTGCTTCGACGATATCCGGAAAGTCCTCTTCACTTGGAAATGTGATCATGTATGATTGATGACCAGTTTCGTGCATTAGCCAAAATCCCATCTGGCAGACGATGCCGAAATTACTCTGCGAGAATATGCCATCTGAATAAGGCCCGTACGCAGGCTGAAAGGACTGCCATGTTGGGTTGTCGGCGCCATTCTTCCCTGGCATAGCGCCCATACCAGTCCGTAGGATCTCTCCATTTGGCAGTACAATCTCCATGCCACAATGACAAGCAAAGTGATCCCCCATTGGAGTGTACCCAACACCCCTATCAATGGCATTGCCCAACACGCTTCCACCACCAAGGTCTGGGGTATCGATCCACAACGGAAGTTTCCTTCGTTGCACCTCCTCGTACAGCGCAAAATATGAGACACCGGGCTCCACGACGCACGACGCATTTTCAGCGTCGATGTTCAATATCTTGTTCATTCTCTTGCCTAGGTCCACAACAATAGAGCCTGGCACACGTGGTGCGGTCCCACCGTAGCCAACGTTCCTGCCCATCGATATTGGGTAGATAGGTATGGCATACTTGTTCGCCCACCTCACGACCACCTGAACCTCTCCGGTTGATCCGGGATATGCGACAGCGCTACAGACCAGATCTTCTTGATCGACAACATGGAAGGCATCATGTGTATTAGGATGTTCAAGATACCACCCATCGACCAAGGGCTGGTTGTTCAGAACGACGTTGTCATCGCCAATATCCCGCTTCAGCGCAGCTATCGCAATGTCGAACTCGTCGCGCGTTGTATCGGGAGGTAATCGAACATCGGCGCGTCGTGGTACGGATTCAGGAACGGTTTTATTCGAGTATAGCCGATTTTTGGCCTCTTGGGCAATGCCATATAGACGCGAGGGTATGCCGCTATGACGTTCGGTCAAGGCGGGTGGTGGTGGTTGACGTTTGAGGTTCTCCATCGTCGTTGATCGAGTGTGAGGTGCTGGGCAAGGGTAACATCCGCGTATGAAGCTTCTGGACGAAAGTGCCCAGCTTCCACCGGTGGCAGGAAGCGCAGCATATTCATGTTATGGTAGGCATGGGTGTGCACATAATTCCGCTCTGTTGTAGACTGGCTGTATGTGGGGGAGAGTTGGGGGGATAGGCATCGGATAGGTATCGGATCTACCTTGGTCAAGCGGGGGAGCTGCCCATGCACGGCATTTCTGCTTGGCTGGTGCAAACACCTCGTTGGCTGTACTCGCCGTGACTTGCAACACCAAAAACTCTCAAGCTCTCAGGCTCTCCTAAGTAATGGTTCGAAGAATGCATGAAAAGTATCACTTTTTAGAAATCAATGATGGATCACCTAAATCCAATTCCTATTGGCCCTCGACCATGGGATCTGCTTCGCCTCGTTTCAGCCTCGTCATCCCCATCAGTCCCATGTATCTTCTTCATCAGTATCAGCACTCATGTCGTCCCTGCGTTCAAAACAATAATTCAAGATGAATCCAACGACTTCGGACGAGGTGCCTGAAAAGTCTAGTGCCCATGATGAGCAAATTGAACCAGAAGATCAGGACGCTCAACGCTGTTGTAGGCTTCATTCGGAAGACGCTGCCTACATAGCGCAACGTGAGTCAATCGATTGTTGCAAACATGGAAAAGGAGAGACAGATGATATTTCTTCTCTATCGAGGAATATGAATGGAATGCTATTAGAGTCGGAAACCGTCGAGCCTCTAGTATATCCACATACTTCAAATGCTCTGGATAGCTTCCGTCTTTTGGCTCTACACCCAGAAATGGGGAGTCCGAATTCAACTGTGCGATGTGAATTTATCGTCAGGTCTACGAACGAGGATTACTGCTACCTTGCTATTCGTGGTAGCAGGGGCCACCCATCTCTCGTCGTGGACATCGTTGTTAATGGTCAAAAGTTGGAGGTCACAAAGAACATACAAGTATTCCTCAGTACTATCCGTTCAAAAACCCACACTCGACTACTCTGGATTCGGGAGATCTGCTTGAATGCCGCGAACAAAGAAGAACGTAACATGGCGTTTACGGAACAGCAAGAGAATTATATTTTTGCACATAGCTGTCGCGCTCTGGATATGAACGACTTCATGGACGATGCAGTATACGAAGAAGCGGACCGTCTGTCCTCACAGAGTGCAAAACTATGGCGGGAGATTCCGACTGATGAGCTTCAAGACGATTTCCACCATCCCCAACATTTCCCAATATCGGTTGAGGGTACGTCTGAGCGTGGTGATCTACCATTGCCCTATCGATATGTTCCCTTGGATGTTGTTGCAGGAGAGATTCGCCTGGTCCTTTTGCCTCCAGCTAAGCAATACTCTGATCCGATCAAGGCATATCTTGCGCATGAGCGACTGAATGGTCCTGTTCGATTTCTATGCTTGTCATATACGTGGGGGAGCTCACAAAGAGACAATGAGATGTTGCTAAATAACCAGGTCATGAAGATAACTCATAATCTGGACAAGGCATTGAGGGATCTGCGCAGTTACGACAACATTGGCATCGTCGTTTGGTGAGCCTCCGACATTAGTACAAAGGTTCAACAAGTAAAGATTAACATTATCAGGATCGATGCCATCTGCATAAATCAAGAAAACACCCAGGAGAAGAGTCGGCAAATTCCTCGAATGTGCAGCATCTATGCGAAAGCATTCACAGTGTGGATGTGGCTCGGCGAGTGGTCCGAAGACGCGGAAACTGCGATTAGCTTCATAGGAGCTATCTGCGCGGCGCCCGATTGGCAAAAAAGAACACCTGCTCATGGTTACCAAATCACTTACAATCCAAGAATTTGCCAGGGATTTGCCTCTTTGTATCGACTATTGACCAGGCCCTATTTCACGAGATCATGGATCGTCCAGGAAGTGGCCATGTCTTCGAATCCGACTGTTGTTTATGGGAGGCAAAGGATATCCTGGTTCCAACTTCAGCAAGCAGCTTCAGTCATTCAAGTGCATTGGGATGGGTATGCTAGGCAAGACGATTTCGACAAGGAGCTACCTCGGTCTCATGAGGAGGTTGCATTACGGCTTAGTCACGTTCATCGTCTTCATTATCATCGCTCTCTACAAGAGAACGGAAAACGGTCGAGTCTCCTACATCTGGCTCTATCTGCACGCTCCACGGCTTGTTATGACCCGAGAGATAAGCTCTATGCGCTTTGGGATCTCGCGGATGACGCCCGTCTGTTGGGACTCAAGCCAGATTATACCACGCCAGCATTCGAGGTATACATGGATTTCGCGCAAGCCTACATCGAGAAGCACAATAGTCTTGATATTATATGTGCCTCGCAAGAATTTACCATAGGCCTGGGCACCTGGACTCCAGAATGGCGCCACCCAGCGACAATGAATCCACTAATACAACACATTCTTCCACCGACTGTCAGAGACTCTTCCACGGACACCGCACCCCTAGATCGTGCTTTGTATTGTGCATCTAGATCTACAAGACCTATTTGTACGTTCCCTGACAAGAAAACTCTTTCTTGTGCAGGCATGTTTATAGACAAGATCGACTATGTACTCGAGCAGAAAGGCCAAGTTGATATCCTTGATGTTCTACGATGCCGTGACATAGCTCGCCAATGGTGTCGCCGGTACGGGAAACTAATGCCCGAAGACGAGGTAGATGATCAGTTCTGGTGCATGCTAATGGGCGAAGAACCAGGCGCCATTCGAGTGGAGACTCACCCTGAACGAAATTCCGTGTCCTTCCCCGGTGCAGACGACGAGAACATGAACTATCGCGAAAGGATATATTCCATGTTGCGAGGCCGTCGAGTGATCTTTACCAAACTTGGGTACATGGGTCTCGCGCGAGCAGATGTTGTGCCCGGGATGGATGTTTGTATTCTCCTCGGGTGCAGTGTACCAGTCGTCTTGGGCGCGTGTGACGATTTCTTTTTCTTCTCGGGGTCAATCTATGTGCAAGGCTGGATGAAAGGTGAAATGCTTGCTTCAATGGGGACAGATGAAGAAATCCAACGGCGTTTTCACAAGGAAAAGCCCATCACCATCCGCTAAAGTCAAAAGGGCAACGAGATGCCAGGAAGACAGCTCCTTTCTTCATTCTGATCAGCGGATTCATCTAGAATCGACGTGAGCCCTGTTAATATTGGTGGAATTATAGATGAACACAAATACGTTGCGCATGTCTATCCTGCCATCTTTCGAAAACCTTAAGCCATCATGTGAAGTCGAGGAGGTGCTTATTGACAGCTGCAAGCCTCATGCGAGACCCCAGATTCTGCAAAGCATCTTATGCGACTTCAATATGATGTCGGAATCTGGGGAAGCGAGTATATTAAACGGCTTGCGATCGATTGGTGCATTTGTAAAATCCGAACCAGGGCGCGAGGAGATCTTCGAGTTGAGTATTCTTAAACGAAACCGTGTTCCCCATTTGTTTATAAAGACGATTTAGGGAACGCTATAGCCCCTATAAGGGTGCCTGTTCCTCAAGCATAATTGGCGGTAAAATATGGTACCGATCTGGCCACACGTGTTACCATTGTGTATCCCAGGTTTGGGTTGTCAACTCCCATGCAGCCAAGACAATCTCGACAAGCGTGTTTCAACACCAAATACAGGACGACAAGTCTGTAAACATCCTTGTTACTCTGGGGTCGGGCATTTCCCTGGCCAATCGCTAATCGTACGGAAGATCCACTTGTCCCATTCACCATTCATGTCATGTACGGCAGCTAACCCAAATGCCTCATTGCCAAGTGCTGTGAAGCAGACGGTTGAGCTTGTACAATATATTGAAATATCAAGGGAGACAATCAGGAGAGAATATACTCCGCAGTTGATGAAGCAGGTGTATATAAAGAGCCAGCAACCTCACGATTTTACAGCATTCCTCATTCAACAACCTTGACGGTTTCTTCTTCTCTATACATTCTGATTGACAACTTTGCTTACCTTTTCTCCAAATTCATTAACCTCCTTTCAATCTTCACCTTCGTCATCACCCATTCCAAAATGCAACTCATCAACTTGGCCGCTATCGCCCTTACCGCGGGCTCAACCGCTTTCGCCGCGCCACTCAATGCCCGTGCCGCTGCTGTTGACCAGCTTGTTGGTTTCGGTGCAGGCACCACTGGAGGCGGTTCTGGTTCTGGAACTACCGTGAACTCCTGCTCCACCTTCGAGGCTGCTTTGAAGAATGGCGGCGTTATCAAAGTCAACGGAAAGATCAGCGGCTGCGGAATCCTCAAGGTTCTGAGCAACACCTCTATTCTTGGTGTTGGTAGCAGCTCTGGATTCTCCGGAACTGGACTTCGCCTCAAGGATGTCTCCAACGTCATCATCCGTAACTTGGAGTTTAACACTGCCCCTTCAAAGGGAGATATCATTGACATCGAGTCATCTACCAAGGTCTGGCTCGACCACTGCGACATCCACTCCAAGGGACTTGTCGGCGGCAAGGACGACTACGATGGTCTTTTCGACGCCAAGCACGGATCTGATTTCATCACTGTCTCCTGGACCAAGTTCCACGACCACGTAAGTTTAACTAAGTCCGATTGTGCCCCTTCAAGACATTCAACCAATTAACCAATCCACAGTGGAAGGGGTCCCTCATCGGCCACTCCGACAAGCAGACTTCCGATGCCGGCAAGCTCCACATCACCTACCACCACAACTCCTTCATTAACGTGAACTCGCGCCTCCCCTCCGTCCGCTTTGGCGCCGCCCACGTCTACAGCAGCTGCTACCAGAACAACCCTACCTCCGGCGTCAACTCCCGCATGGGCGCCAAGGTCCTCGTCGAGCAGAACAACTTCTCCAACACCCCGCTCTCCGTTGTCACCGACCTCGATTCCGCAGAGGAGGGCTTCGCCACCGAGCGCAACAACATCTTCTCTGGAACTTCTACCACCAGGATCACCAAGACTGGAGCCCCTACTATCTCCTACTCCTACACTGCCGATCCCGCTGCCAGCGTTTGCGACATCGTTGCCAAGTCTGGCGGTGTCGGTGTTGTTACTTTCTAAGCTGCTCTTTGTCATCATCATTGGATGTTGTGCGAGCTTGTGGTAGTTTGAGGTGAAGAGGTGTCGAAGTTTTGAAGAGGTTTTTTATGGAGACGCAAAGTCTATTTCGAATGTATATATTCCTATCTTTAACCATACTTTCTTATTGTAAATACAAAGCATATTGCCGGCAGTTTTGGTGTCAATTGACGTTTTGATGTGAAGTGAAGTAGAGGACTATTTACCAGGTCTAGACCTCGCCCAATTGCCCAGAAACTTACCGTCTTCGCAAACTTTGGCAGGGATGAGTAGTCATTCCTGCACTAGAAGTTGAATGAGGGCTCATTCCATCATTGGGAAGGATTTGCAAGAAGTATCAGAATAGGATTTTGTCAAAGCTCAGTAAAATATGGTAGACATTAATCACGCTGCACATCTGATCATTGGCATTCTTCGGGAAAGTCATATCCTCAATTAGGAGAATCGTGGACTTAAATTGGAAGGTTGGTGGAACAATGGTCATAAAACAACTGTAGTGGGGCGTTTCGACGCCAGAAACATGTTGGTGAAACGCACGCCCAGACATTCGAGAATCAGGAGATCGGATTCGCGTCGCTGAGGTTGGCCGTAGAGATTGCTGTCTCAAAATAACCAATAATTGACAAAATGAATCGTAGAAGAAAAATCTTGTTCGATCTTATGTGAAGCTGCAAGGCATAAAGCTTATACTATCTAATCTGGGTACGAGTAGCCAGCCAATAGTGGAATCTGGAAACAGATGTCAAATCTTGCGTCATTATCCATGTCACAGCCTCGAATTATTCACTACGAGTAATTTTTTTTGCAACCGCACAGTAAAGCGTTAAATTATCATTTTTGTGCTTCTCTTCTTAGTATAGTTCAATACTGTTTCCTGGAAAATTGGTCCGCATGTAATTCAGAAATTTAAGTTTACGAAAATGCACATTTGACTAATCGACAGATTTGCATAAGTATTCAGTCAATGCAACAACATGTAGTCAACCATGTTGGATAAAAAATTATCCATTCATCCTGTATATACCTAGATTGTTCTAGCTAACGTGACAGAAAACCTCGATATCTCAGCGTCATTTCAAAATATCTCCAGAAGTCCCATCATCAACAATCATGGCACCCACCTTTCTTGTCGTTGGTGCGACTGGGAACACCGGCCGCAGCGTTGTCGACACCCTCTCCAAACTCCTCGCAAGCCACAAGACATTTTCAGACCATCAAATTCTCGCTCTTACGCGATCTTCAAAGAGTGAGATTTCCCAACAGCTCGCCAAATTGCCTCATGTCAAGGTGGAAGAGCAAAACTGGGTCGAGATAACCAAAGAATGGCTCCTTGAGCGCAACGTCGTCAGGGCGTTCATTGCATCCCACAACCAGCCGAACCATTTCGCGGAAGAATCAACATTTCATGTCGCAGCTCTCAGAGCAGGCGTCCAATATGTGGTCAGGATCTCAACAACAGCCGCAAACGTCACACCGGACTGCGATGCATACTACCCACGTACGCACTGGGCAATCGAAGCCATGCTCAGCTCGCCCGAATTCGAGAAGCTGAAATGGACTTCATTGCAGCCTAACGTTTTTACGACGATGTTTCTTGCTACCGCGGCCCAACTGATCAAGCAGTACCGTAAGGATGGTACGCAAGATGTGCTTCGAACAATGGCATCACCAGATGCCCCCATTGGCGTCATTGATCCCAATGATGTCGGTACCTTCGCAGCTCATCTTTTGCTACAAGAAGATGTTACCAAACACAACAAAGCCAAGTATGTCATGAACGGCCCGGAGGATCTCACTGGAAATCAGATCGTACAGATGGTCGAGGAGCAAATCGGCGTCAAGGTTGAGAATGTCAATTTCAAGGATATGACGTTCATCGACTACATGGCCGCTTCGAGCCAAGAGTCAAAGAATGTCATTTTGTCCATTAAGTATGCCCCAGTGACAGGCTGGGAAGGACTGTGCTTGACTTCTACGACCAGCAAGGAGGTTCTTGAGCTTGCTCCTCCCAAGAGAACGCCTGCCCAAGTGTTGCGAACATTGCTTGAGTAGTAGACAATGTACCAGAGAAGGGCGATTCCACTACAAGGGAATGAAGACACAACCGTTGTATATAACCACAATATCAATTAACGTAGGTGGCATACGAGCCGTGGGGATGGACGAGCCGTGGGTCGTGCCAAGCCCCCACCAAAATCGCAACAAGTTTGCAACAAAGATGGCTTTTACAACAAATTACAACAATTTGCAACAAAATCGTGAGAATCAAATACAGCTTGCCTTACAGGCTCTTAAAGAAGACGCGACACTTCCACTTCAACGCGCTGCAGCACTCTACAACGTGCCTCCAAGTACTCTTCGTGATCGCAGGAAAGGACGACCATCACGACGCGATTGTGCACCCAATCTTATGAAGCTTACTCTAAATGAAGAGAGGGTAATTCTTGAGCATATTATCGACTTTGATATGCGTGGATTTCCCCC